TTAATACCGCGCGACGATTGGAGAACGGAAGCCGTGACGTCACGTACTCCTCGTAACAGCTCTTTTCAGTTGAAGTCGAGCTCTCAGAGGCAACGTTCCCCATGTGCAGGGTCAGAGGAATTCCCGAACCGAAAAGGTGAGAGACTTATTTAACGGAGAAATTTCAATGCGGTTAGCTCTAAACTGGATTTTACTTATCCAAGATTATCGTTATCATAACTACTGTCTAATTTGCATATCGCCATCTGGCGAAAAACGTAATTCAAAGCTAATCGTCAACAAAGCGATCGGTGTGAAATTTCGGTAGTGAAAGAGAACAGACGCACCTGCGTGAGCAGGAACAATACATCCCTTTTTTTCTTAAATGTTTCTCATTGCATATACTTTTCCTTTTTTCTCTTTTCCTTTCATTTTATGTTTCATTGCTTTTTTCCTCTCGAATCTTCATTTGCATATTTTTTTATTATTCAAACAACATTTAACAGCCTGACAGACGCCAGCCGTCGAATTCGGCGTAAATATAAACGCTACCTTTTGAATCGAATGAAGAAAGAAGAATATAGTAAATTAAGACAAATAGTGCCATCCGTTGCCAAGAGAAAGAAGTTAAAAGCGGTAAGAGAGAAATATAAATAAATAACAGGCATATGCTATAGTGCTTATTAACCCCTAAACTAACAGTATTTGTTACTAATTTATAGCAAAAGCCGTAAGGGCCTATTGCAAATCTAATACTAGTCTCTTAATGAAGTTCAGGGTGTTTCGTGCCTTGTAAACTTTTATTATTCATGTTTGACTGACTAGAATGGTTGAATGAATATATATATGAATTTTTTCTTCACAAAACGCAGGTCACGGTCGTAGAAGAAGCGGTCAAGTACATAGAATACTTACACCAAGAGTTGGGTGATAAACTCCACTTAATACACGGTACAGAGATTTCAATGCATTCTAATTAAGCGCTTCCCTCGAGATACGGATGGAATGCGTATGGCCTTAAGGCCCCCTTTCTTCTTTCGTTAAACCTTTTTACCTTTCTAAACCTTTTTTCCGCTTTATTGTTTAACAGGATGCGATAGAAGCCAAGTTACTGCCCAAACTATTATCGACTTTGTATCAAACGTATGTCCACTCGAAGAGATGAAGAGGCGAGTAGTAACGGAGAAAAAAGAGAAAATTGACCAATACATGAGAATGATCGACAGTGCGTTACTCTTTAAAGAACCTTAAAAATGTTTATACTATTGTGATATACAGTATAATCTATTCATATATGTACATATATTTAACTTATGTATTTTATCTCTTATATGTTTAACAAAAATAATCTCATTTACTGTATTAGTGTATCTCTTCTTTTATTCTTCATAAGTATGTTTTACCTTCTAATCGTATAGACTATTAAGATTAATCACAGTTTGAAATGCAACAATTACATAAAGACATAACAATTAACGTGGATATACAAAAGCGTCATTACACCTCCCTAGCGTCTCATTATCCTCAATTTCAAATAACGAGTCATGCGAAAATCCGCTGGGTTTTTTTTTACTTCATATCTTTTTCTAGATGTTATTTTGTTGTTGTTATTATTTATGATGAATATTATAAAAACAAAAATTTTTTCCAACTCTTTTCCCATCGTCGTATGATACTGTTTTCATACAATAATAATGGATTGGTGAAAGGGGAATGAGATTGAAAGAAAAAAAAAGATAGACTTTTTGATGTTGGGTAGACAAAGTCGAGATTTGAAATGATCTTTTCTAGTAACACTTTTCATATTTCCGTTTCTTTAGTCGTCTTGATGGTTTATTTTTCTTTTATTTAAAAATAAAAAGAAGTAAAGAAGAAGAAGAAGAAAGAAAGAAAAAACATACGTACATACATTTAAATGGAGATGTATGAGAAGGAATTAAAAACTATGATTGATTATTTACGAATGGTAAGCAAAGGTATATTTTTAATAGGCCGAGGCTCTTCCGTTCTTTTTCTTTGATGTATAAACATGGGTGACAGGTGATTGGTGCTAGTTTAGTAAATAGAGGGACATGATTTTTCATACACGGTCAGAGTTCGAAAACTTCAAAGTATACCGATTCCCTTTCCCTTCTCTAATTTCATCATTTTTTTAAGAATAAGAAGAATTTCTAGATGGAATTTTTTATAGCTAACTAACTAATTTCAAAGAAAGGTGGGAAAAATGGCAGAAGATGTCAGCGCTTAATCGGGCGTCGATTAAACGCGTCTCCTAGCTTTCACCCATTTAATCCGATGCGCACATATTTGTAGATCGCCCTGCACCATATTGCCCGCATTCAAATCGCCACTAAGCGAACACAAAGAGGGGCAGCCAATTCTGACCTTGTCGTCAACCGTTTGCAGCTGCTCGTTACACCCAATAATTGCAATAAATTTTTTGTTCAAACGACCTTTTCAATTCTTTCTCTCCTTTTTTTATTTCTTTCTCCTCCTGTTTTTTATATGGCATTTCTCACTTCTACACCTTTTCCTTTCTTCTCTAATTATACAACAATTTACGAGCAATTTCTAGAACCATTTAGGAGCTATAACTTTGGGATACAATAGTCAATTCTTTTTCCTCCCGTTAAACTTCGACCCCTTGAATATTCGAAACCCGTAATTTGCTGCCATTACGAAACGCCAAAGTTACAGCATCAGGTGATAGACGCTAATCCAATCACGTGATACTTTTGTGACGTAAACGGGATATTGTTTCCTATTTGCTGAAATTGTCACCACTACGTGTATTTTTTTATTATCTGCTTTTAAGATTTGAATGTTTTATGCCCTTTTATGAGGAGAGCAGCTGGAATTAGATGTCAAAGTGTACGGAAACTAGGATATTACGTGTCGTGCTCTTAGCATCTTGATGGTATGATAATCCATGAAGATAATCTCGATGCATACAACGAAACTTTAAAAGGCCACGTGCGACCCGAGGCACGCGAGCTATTGATTGTATCTGTACTCAATTTTGTAGGAGAAAGCATCGAATGAATAGCTGGTAATCGTTTTTCTTGCATTAAAATCTCTGCCGAGGCCAGGTGCTTTTTATAATATTTTGGCAGTAAAAAAAAAGCAAAAAAGTAAACCCGTATAAACATACGCTGTCGACTAGTAAAACTGTGTTTAGTTAAAGTAGGTCTTGCGTCACCCCTGCCGACCGAGATGATTGCAACGCCGCCTGTGACGCCACATGTCGTCGCGTGACGGCATTGAAATCGTTAAAAGCAGCGGCGTTTATCCAAGTGTTTTGTAGACGGCCGTGTCAGGTTACGGGTTAGGGAACAGCGTCATCATTAGACGATAGTTTTTCTATACACGGAAAGGAAAAAAATATTACATATGGTGACAATATCACCCCCGTCGCGTTCCTTGTTTTCATTGTATTTCTTCTGGAGAGTATGAAAAGTAACATTCACGTTACATTGATGAACTTTAGATGTTATGAAATTTGTCAAAATTACTAATAGGAAAAAGCTTGTTCAAGTTTTTATCTGTTCTACTAATGGTCTTTAAAACTAATTGAGTTATTATTTAGGTGGGGTACGATGGGAGGGGACAGTGGGGAGGAAGAGGAGGGTGGTAAAAGGAGGTTGTCATACGTTTTCAACAGTAGGATGTCAACGATTAATTTTTTTTTATTGGACAATTCATTCTTCACTAGCAATTAGGTTAAACTATTAAAATTAATATTACCATATATAGAAATGATAGAAAGAATACAAAAAAACTTTTTCTATTATGACGAATGAAAGTAAATGTATTTCCGAAATGTATAACAGGTAAATCATTTTCTCTGACTACAAAGACGCTAATCGTTAAAACGCAGGTGTTCGATAAATTATCGGTTGTATAGGCTAATAAGTAATGAATTTTTACTACATTACTATACAGAGTCCTCATTTCCTTTTGATTTTAAGTACTCTTTACTAAATCTATTTGCTATTGTCAAAGAGGTATAGAGTGAGAGACATACAGAGAGAGAAAGAGAAAGATGGGAAATTATCTTTAAATTTTCATTTCTATCAAAAATAAAAGATTTTAAAAGTTATATGGATGACCTACATTTAGACTTTATAAAAAACATGAATTATTCATTAAGTTGTATTGACAGAATCATGTTTTTTTTCATGGGTTGTTATTTATTTCTATACAAAATTAACATATTCATTCTTTTGCCTTAAAGTCTTTATTATTCTGTAGCCCACTATAAAAAAATCTATGAATAAATAGAAATAATAAAACTGACGCTTTGTCGGTTGTTCCTCTAATTCTAGTAGTTTTCGAAACAACTACTAAGAGACCTCCTAACACTAATTAGTTTCCCTATTCCTAAAAATGCTCCGATTATGATAATAATACTACATCTCGTGTAGTGTCCTTTTAAAGTGATGAAAACTGCTTAATAAATATCTTATAAACCATTTCAAGGGTGAAATAAAAAAAAAAAATTAATTGTATATAAAAAATGAAAAAAAAATTGTACCAATTGCCGTACAGAGAACTGCCGTGACCAGGATTCGAACCTGGGTTGTCTCGGCCACAACGAGAAGTACTAACCACTATACGATCACGGCTAACAGGTACTCTGGTGAGAAGGTTTTTAAATATGGCTATATCCAATTGTACTGTTCATTCCATATAACGGACTGTTAAGCTTAGATGAAAATCTTCTTAAAATTAGCGAGGTGGTGCTGATACAAAATGTCAAAATTACTTTTCATTTATCCTAGTTAATCGCATAGTTCAATTAAAAACAGATTTTTTTCTCAACATTTGTCATATTTCAATATTATTGATTTAAAGCAGCGTAATACGAAAAGTACTATAACTAAATTTCTTGTGAAAACTATTTTGAATTGACGTTTTATATTTAAGTCAATAAATCTAGTCGATAGGTTTAGTTGATAAACTTGTAAATGCATCCAAATATAAACGTATAGTAATGCATATAGATAGTGTCCATAAACTGGACATTCTGATAGATGTTCTCTAATATCGTTACAAACTCAACCCGCGTGTTTAATTTTGTACTGTATAATATACAATTTAGACGTTTTTCCTCAATTATGTCAAATAAAAGCTTAAAAATCGGGACACACGATGGACAATTTCATTGTGATGAAGCCTTAGCTTGCTACTTACTGAAAAAACTGGATGAATATAAAGACGCTGAAATTGTTCGGTATAAATTTTATATCTATATAAGAAAATTAAACTTTATATTAAGATTAAATATAGAATAAAACGCTTTTCTCTTCTTTTATATCAACAGTACAAGAAATCCTGATAAATTAGCAGATTGTGATATTGTTGTTGATGTTGGCGCTATTTATGACCACGACAAGAAAAGATATGACCACCATCAAAGGTATAATCTTGAAGTTTGATACATTCCAATTAGATGAAACACGCATTCTAAGAGCTCTCTATATGATCCTTAGGGAATTTGCTCATTCATTGAAATCGCTTGATATATCTCTACCCTATGTTACGAAGTTAAGTAGTGCAGGCTTAATTTATTATCACTATGGAGAAGGAATAATACGTAATGAATTGAAAAAGGCTGGAATGGAAAATTTGACTCGTTGTTTATTCATCAAAATGTATGAAAATTGTATTGAAGAGGTTGATGCCGTTGACAATGGAATTTCGATTGCTGAAGGAACTACAAGGTTTTTTTTGTTTTTATTAGATTATCATTGCCAACATTTCTAGCTTCAGGCATGTATTTACGTTCTTCCCTTCTTCAGATATAAATGTAACAGCGCCATATCGTCTAGAATATCTTTTTTGAATCCAAGATGGAATGAAGAAAGCAGCCCAGAAGACTCTGATGTATATTGGCACTATTTATCTTATGCTAATAAGTTTAATTAAGTTTTTTCTTCTTTCCTATTATTTGTAGAAGCGATTCGAGAGCGCTATGAAGCTTGTTGGAGAACATTTTGATGACAGACTGGACTACTATATCACTTCTTGGATTCCAGCAAGATCAATTGTTGAATCTGCATTTCACGATCGATTTAAAGCTCATGAATCTGGTGAAATTTTGGTTTTTACAAAAGGTTGCTGCCCTTGGAAGGAGCATTTAACCGAATTGGAAGAAGAGGAAGGCGTTGGTGACCTAGTAAAATTTGTACTCTTTACAGATCAGCATGGTCATTGGCGTGTTCAGTCAGTCCCTAAGGAAGTAAATAGTTTTGAAAGTAGAATCCCTTTACATCAAGACTGGAGAGGTTTGAGAGACGATGTATTGAGTCAAGTCTCTGGAATAGACTCTTGTATATTCGTTCATGCGTCCGGTTTTATAGGAGGAAACAAAACTTATGAAGGAGCAATAAAAATGGCTCTAAACACAATAAAAGCTGTGAATCAGTAAATGTTTAGTGTTTATTGTATGTAATATACGGTCTTTGTTTAAATACATAAAGAAAATGTTAAATATTAACTGTTTTATTTATTAAAGCGTAAAAAATTCCATTCTATTGACAATACTTATATAGTTGTAAAGTATACAGTATAATCAGTATATATGTCAATATTATCAACCTAAGAAATGAACATCTACTCAAAACATAATCAAGTTCATGCTTAATTAAGCCTACTGTCCTGTTGAAAAATTAGTAAGAGATAAGACAAAAGGGAATAAATGGCATCAACAAATCGAGATCATGAAATTACAGCACCGTTTCTCGAATATAAAATATCAACGATGCTATTTAATTGTCTATCAATATGTCTTCACGTGTTTAATATTTTATTCTTAGACGTTGGATTAACTTTTTATTTTTTTAACATCGGTGACTTTTCAAAAGGATTGAGAACTTTGATATTCGCATTGCTATCTTCGTTAACAACAACGGCATTTTCCTTATTCATGTATTACTGCGATTATAAAGGATTGACAATGCGCTCGGAGCAAGAGAATATTGGAGAATTGCGTGCGAGAAGGTTAAGCGAAGAAGAGGGAAGAGATATACAATCTTTCGAAAGACCTTCAAGGAAGTGGTGGATTATAAGGATAGTATTTACTCTCTTGCAATTTGGACCTGTTATAAGGTGTAAATAAATGAGGTTTTTTATTCGTATCTGCATTTTTTTTTCAATAGGTTTTTTTGTTACTTTATAGGCAAATAGAAATCATTCATTTTGGTTTGAAATCTATGAAAAAGAATCAGACTAAGATTAAGAGTACAACTTTAAGATTATGTACTCGAAAGATATCAGCTTATGAGAATTTAAGAGCGGATCAAGTAAACCTTATACCAATGTTTATTGATTCAGCTCCCCAAGCTATTTTACAATTATATTTCATAATAACCTATGGGAAAAAAGGTATTAAAATACTATTGAAAATTGCCTAAATCAATTCTAATCGACATAAATATCATGTTTAGGTTTACCTCAAATAGTTTCGATTGTCTGTTCAGTTGTATCAGTGTCATACGGTATGGTCAGTTATTACAGATCATCTAGACTAGCTGGCTTTGATGATGTGGAATTATGGAGGTTGCATATTAAGTACGCTATTTACGGAATGATTTTTCAGTTCTCTGGTAATTTTTTCCTAACTGGGTCTAGAGTTCTAGCCATTGCTATGTTAGCTTCCGTATTCCGGAAACGGATTTGGATCTTTTATACAATAGTCGGGTTACACGTTTTTATCTCATTCCTTTATGTACAAAGTAAGGGCGTCTCTTTTAATGAGGATAAAATTGCGGGGAAAAAAAGTTTATGGATTTTTAAGATATGGTCCGCCTGGATGTTACTGTTTTGGTATTTCAAATTGAAAAAGGATAGACCAGATAAAGCCGAATATACTATCTATTATGTTATAATATGCTTAGAAAATTGTCTCTCTAGCTATCTTTTATTCAAGATAGAAAAAGGATTTCTTACACCTCTCATAATAGTATTGACTTTTATGCCTGTTGGATTATGTTTTAAGGGAGTATATTCAGCCTGTTTTCATCCGGCTTCCTTTCCAAAAGAAGTGGGTGTTCACGATAGTGTAATTATCACTATAAGCATCAATATGGAAAGAGATGCTAATCAAACAGCACACAACCTCACAAATAACATATATGAAAAGCTTTCCGTTAGAGATCTGGTTCAACATAGCCTTAATATATCAAAAGGTAAAGACGTAACAAAGAATGAACTAATCATGAATAAAACTTATTTTTATTTCATTACTAGAAATTTCGCTAAATTCAAAGAATAGCGTACAAATTTAAGATGAAATTGACATATACTGTATATACAGTATATGTATCGTTGAAAAAGGGATGGGATGAGAAGGTGGAGAATCGAAAGTGAAATATACATATCCTATTTAGTATATTCCTCTATTTTCTTTTTATATACTGTATATATAAGAGTTTGATATTTTTTATGATTTATTAAACAATTTATAGATTTTAATAAAGAATAAAACTGTAAGTTCATAAATATATCGTGCCTTTTTGTTTGTTATTCATTGTTTGTAAACATTAAGGTTAAACATAAAATAAAATGTTTGTTTTTAAACATCTAACGATAACGAAAGAGCAACTGCGCGTTTTATCCAGTATTCTGGATTAAAGACACCGTATCTCAGTTCGACAGATGTAACGTAGGCAGGTCTAACAAAAGATCCACTTCTATCCATCGAGTAATAAATTGGGGTAATATATACACCTGTTACAAAGAAATATCATATTATTACAATAATATTTCCAATGGTAAAAGTTTAAAGGCCAATTTACTTAAAACTAAGAGTCGAGAGACATCAGAATTGCTGTTCCACGTTTAACCCAGTGCTCTGATGTCTTTTCTCCAGTTTTGAGGTCAACTGCAACAACGAAGGATGCCCTTCCGGTTTTACCTGCCCGATCAGGATAATAATAACAAGGGCACGAGTAAATACCTGTATTTTTTTTAAAAAAAAAGAAAAAAGACGTATTTAGTCATCTTAATCTAAATTTTTTAAGTAGTTTTGTCGTTTTTATTTTCGGAAAGGAAAAGATTCCCAACATTGTTAGTTTTTTGTCTTTTTAGCTTATAGAAATATTGATTGGCATGCAATTTAGTTAGGAAGGGAAGAATCACCGGGGATAATCATTGAGTTGTTAGTTGAACTGTAATTATGATTTAATAAAATAGCAATAGCAATCATGCAGGTATTTTTATTTTTTTTTTTTTGTGAATCACTAGTCTTGGCACCTTCAAAAGTCGAGACTTAAAACGAGGGCAACAGCCCTTCGAATCCAATGTTCTATCGGTTTACTCCCAGTCCTTAAATCCACTTGTAGAACATAGCTAGGTCTGGGATGTATTCGACCCCGGTCAGTAAAATAGTATACCGGGCAGCAATAAGTACCTGTGAAAGAGCACTACACACTGAAAAACTTTTTAAGAGATAAAAAATACACTGCAAAAATAAACACTTTGATATTCCCTTGGTAGAGCATTAAAGGCTTTTAATTAGTTAAAGGGGCTCTCAGAGTATTATACGTTCTTTTTTTCTATTGAACGATAAAATAGTTGTTGTAAAATATCAAGAGGGTGAATGCTTCTTTTATTAAATAGAGATAATGGATAACTAACAAGGAAGTAAGAAAACTTCCCTGTGTACTCTTTGCTTAAGGAAACAATAAAAACTCTAACAAAAGCTATAGCTAACCTCTCTGACTTCTTCTTCTTGTTTCTACAGGTTTGAAATGTATTGATGGAATAGGGCAAACGAGTTGCATAGGTTCGGCTTCTATCAGACATTGATTCTTTATATCCCATCCTGCTCCTTGAAGATACATTCCTTTCACATATACACCATCTTTAGGGGCAGCGACGAGGTTATTATCATTGACTGTCAGAACGCTAAAGTCCCATGAGAGTGAATCGACGGATACATTATTTTGACGAGCACTCGTTTGAAGAACCGCAGTTAGGAATCCCGTCGGGAACGTGAAGCCGGATAGCCAAAATACCAGAGGCGGATGAGTTGTTTCAGCCCATTTCGAAAATTGTTCGACTCTCTGAACCAAATCTCGGGTCCAAGACGCTAATGGTTTTTTGGATGGGTAAGCTCTTTCCCAGCTTGTTGGTACACGAGCATCAAATATACATTGGAAAATATCTTCTAAATCAGTTGACATAACCACCAAGCCCTGAATTCCTTTTTCTAGGGCTATTAATTGCTCTCTAATTTGATCTAAAAGAGCGTTGTATCTTTCAATTTCTTGGAGGAGGACAACATTTAAGGGCGACGGATCAACGCTGAGTATCTTGGCTGTCGCCTCATAATCTATGTTTTCTGGCAGTTGTTTATAAATATTTCTGGCTAAGTTGATTACTTGATCTTCTCTACTTTCTCCCTTGGTAGTGGAAACCTGTGGTTGAAGAGAGAGAAGGGTATTAAATAGGTTTCTTGTTTCCTGTATTTGAGAGGTTATGTCTGCATTCGGATGTTGACCAAAAGCCTCTGGATGGTCTATATTTGGCAACATGGATACGTATTCCTTATAAGAGGATAACGGACCATCCTTTGGAACATAATATGTTGGTAGCGTTGACAATTTAAAGAAAGGTGTAGAAATAGAGTCATCACAAAAGAAATCGTTTATATAAGTCATTAATAGCCTTCTATCCCAATCATCAGTCACATGACCTCCGTAATTAATGCCCGCAATCAAATATTTCAAAGCGTCCCATGGTGTATCATCATACTCGTCCAAGAATAAGCATAATAGATTCTCACTAACTTCGAAATCGGAATCGTTAAACTCGTATGGAATATTCCAACCTAACATTAAAAACTTTCGTCTTTCCAGCAATATAGAATGGAAATAGCAGAGGCAGAACAACAATTTTTTGTATTTATCTGGTTTGGAGCTCTTGCTAAATGTTTGATCTGTAATTAAATTATACAGACGTTTCATATTGGCTTTGAGGCCTTTTGGTGGTTCGGTTGTCATTTTAATACCAGTCTGTAATATTGATATTGGAAATTCTGGGTGAGGACTTGAAGAGAGCCATAATCTAAAATCGGGATGAGGTTTTTCTAATTGTAGCTGTTCTACTAGCTTATCCAATTGTGGCATCCAGGATAGCGAGAGATGGCAATTAGCTAAGAAAACCCATTTACCCTCTTTTACTCCTTCCTTAATCATTCTTGTGGCAATTGGAGCTTGTCCTTGACCAAGGGAAAGAGCATGAAAATTAGCAGCCATATTCTTCGATTCAGCAAGTTGTAATAAGAGTGTTGTAGGATCAACACCGGCACTTAAAACAAAGATAAGCGGAGTTTTTTCAGTTGAATCATCAACTACAGATTTCATATCAAGAACTGGAGGTTCCACAAATCTTGATCCCAAATTATTAACAATAAAAGATGTTATACAGAAAGAGACACGATCTTGCCTAAGGGAACGAACTATCAGCATTTTTTGTAGTTCATTACAAGCGTTATCCCATTCTCCTGGTAGTGAAGAGTTTTCTGGTTCGCTCGATGTATACCACAAATTCCAATCTCGTGGGTACTGCTCAAAAGAAGTAATTAAACCGTGAAAGTTGGTCAATTTATCTAATTCAGTTATATTATCCCAAGAGGAGTCGGGCAACCAGCCGGAACATGGATTATCCATTTGATTATCTCGATCCAATACTATACCTCCTCTCAAAAAGAATTGATATTCGTCTGTATTCAGTTTACCAGCTGATTCAAGGATTTTAGCACACATATGATAGGAGAAGAGAAGTTTGTGCCTTTCGAACAATCCTCTACAAGTGAATTTGTATACAGCATAGGTATGATAGTCATTTAGATTTATTATCCTCTCTTCTAACTTTGTTGATCTTGTTGATTTGTCTATTGAATTATTAAATAGAGTTATATAAGAGTCTAAAGAATATTGATACATAGGGTCGATTCTGCCCATGTCATTGAGCACGAAGAAAAGTATAGATGCCCTTTCAGCACACGGTCTGTAGCCTTCTCTTGCCGAGTCAATCTTCTTCTCAGTTGTTTCAGACGTAAGAAGTTGTTCAGTAACTTCTTGAGAGGTAGCTTTTGATGTTTGTAAAGTATTAACCAGCTGTTCGTCATCGAGTAACGAACCTTGAGCCTCATTTAATAGTCTCAGAATTTTATCTTCTAGATCTTCTAGCTTCTTTTTACTAGATGCAATTCCAGTAACCAGAGTATCTTTTTGTTCTTCTAATTCAGGCTTTTCTTTTCTAACTACAATACCAAGAAGTTGGGCTTCTAGGCCTTGTTCTTTTACTGCAAAGTTAACTATAGTCGTCTTTGTTGATATTTCAGGAGCATAATGGGGATTTGAAAGTTTAGTTGTAATATAAAATCTAAAATCGTAATTGTATTCTACTTCTTTATCACCCAATCTTATTAATGGTACTCCGCCAATTTTCACAATAGCTTTGTTGAGAATTGGGTCAAGTGATGGATCAAGCTTTTCCTGTACGTTTTGTAATAGAACGGGTAAGCCATGTTGAACGGATGCCTCAAGAACTCTCATATAATCGGGTTGTTGCAAATCAATTACTTTGAGTTGTTTTCCTTCCATAGCTTTAATCCATTTGATTGCTTGCCCTTGAGGATCTATCATTAAAGGCCATCGTCTTCCTCTTGTTACTATAACGCCATTTTCTGTGCTAAACGTATCTGACGGTAAACCTTGAATATTCCATTCACGAACTTGCGTCGCTTTCACCATAAAATCGTAAAATTTGAAAGATGGAGAACAAGGAACACCTAATTTTGTTATTGTAGTTGTCCAAACTGAATTGGCCATGTCATCACGATACTCTGATAAGAATGGTCCGGAATAGGAGAGGAATGCTGCTGAAATCATAACATCTCCCACTAAAAAGCCTAGCTTCTCCTCTAAATCTTCAACCGTTCTTTCCCATCTATCTTTTTCACCAGCAAGACCATCCACAAGCAAGGAAGCTCGGTTCAACATCATTTCAGTATGTTCAGCTTTTTGTCTTAATTCTTCTTTCTGAGCTAATTTTTCATCATATTCTTTCTTTAGCTGTTCCATTTTACCCTCAACTTCGGCTAGTTTATCTCTAGCTTCTTGAAGTTGATTTTGTTTCTCTTTTAGCTGGGCTTCAGCTGCATAAAGCCTCTGCCGTTTCGGCTCAACAACCCTAAATATTCTTCCATACAATTCCATAGCTCTTACCCACATACAAAGTGACCTGGCAGCCGCAGATACACGTCCAATTGTATCCGGTTGAAAATCAGGCTGAGCAACATATTGACCAATCTTTTTCAATACTCTATCACTTATATTATCCTTGTCAAAGAACATGAGAGATTTGATAAAATTCTGGTCACCTAAACAAGAAATATAATTAATTAACAACAAATTCAATTAATTAAATTAAATTAAAAAAAAAAGAGCAAAAATCTAACTAAAATCATTCCAGATAAGACAAATTCAACACCATAGAGAAAAAAAAGTAACTAATAAGCAAAAAAAATTAAGAAGCAAAAGAAAAGAGAGAAAAGTAGAGAAAAAGCTCCTTTTCTCTCTTATTTTATGTGCTAAATTGTCATATTTTGGTCCAAGGAAAATTGGACAAACAAAACAAACAACTATACTATTCATGAATTTGTGCAAAAAATAACTTGCGTGATTAATTTAATTGCGAGCGATTATATAAAAAAAAGTATAAAAATAACAAAAACTTTTTTTTATTAAAAAAAAAACAATTAAAAAAAAAACTTTATATTTTTATTGATGTTTTTTCCTAACCTAACTGTCTCTTAGCTTCCGCCCAAGTAGGTTCACCTCCTTTCAATATCATAACGCTCTGCATAACAGTTTCAACCAGCGCAGGCGGTTTTCCGTATGATTTGATTTCCGTAATATCGCTTTTGTTCAAAGCGTCTAACGCCTGTATTTTATTTGTTTATATGGTTTAAAATAGTCTATTTTTAACAATTATTAAATTTTCAATGTGTAAGAAAAATAAGATAATAAAGAAAATGCACTGGTTTATTCCCTTTTTTCCTTGTTTTCATGTCGGACCTTTCCTTTAGGATGAGATATAAAAGATAAACGCGTAATGGAAATATATTAACTAATATAAGCACTAATGAAAAAAAGATAGCTTTTTTCCCCCAAACAAAAGATAGGATATAGAGAACGGAAGAAGGAATCATCCCTTCTTCCAGATAATTTGCTATAGATAGCTCTTTGTAGATCGTTACTATTTTATACAAATTCATTACTTAATTGCCTCTTGGCTTCTCCCCAACTAGGTTCGCTGGATTTCAATATCATTACCGCTTGCATAACCTTTTCGACTAGGGCTGGTGGTCTTCCGTAAGAACGAATTTCAGTGACATCGTTCTTATTTAAAGCCTCTAAAGCCTGATTTATAGTGTTTTCAGGTTAAAATTGATGTCTTATACGTTTAACAATAACTTTTCAATTCATATCATCAATTGTTTTTTTGTATCAAATATAATAATCTATGGGAAAGATTGATTGAAGATAAAATAAAAAATAACTGACCTTATTAGCTTCCTCTAAAGCGGGCATAGCTTCTGCTAAATCAGCTTTAGCCAACTCAGCCATATGTAAACATTTTGCCTCTTCTTCAGATATTTTCTCACTTTTCGTTTGAACAGCCTAAAAGTTTTGAAATAGAACAAAGATATTATCAAAACGATTAAAGTTTTTAAAATAATGGAAAGGAAAGGGAAATATTCTGATTTGTTCATTGAATCTAATGTGGTTGAAATACTAATAAAGAAATAATAATGAACATGCATAGATATCATTGATAGATGATTTTTTTCAAGTGTTTCATTTCAACCTATTTTCGGTTTTGTACGAATATATGATAACAATTGATTTTGTCAATTGTAAACTTCGTTCTAATTAATCATTGCGCATGCGTATATTGAAATTATTAAAAGAATAATATAAAATAATATAAAAAAATGCTTATAAAGCATATATTCCTTTTATATTATTTATACAAAAAGAAATTAATATAATTTCTTTATTTGTTTCTCTTGTTTATTTTTAACTAGTGATATTGATTTGTAGTATCTTTTATGCTTTTCTTCGTGCATCCTGAAGTATCCTTACCATTTCCTCACATTTCTATTTATAGTTTTTTTGTTTTTTTACAATTTGTAGATTGAATAACAATTTATCAATTAGATTATACAAATATAAATATTATAACCGTTATTAATATTGTATATATATATATATATATCTTTTCCCGCTCAATCTTATCACTCATTACCTTTCTCTGCTCATCAGCTTCCCTTTTCTGTTGTACAAGAACGACAAGATATTCTTCGCATTCTTTTTGGAATTGAGCTACTTTCTTCTTATCGATCTCAAGCTCGATTGACATTTGTTCAACTTTGGCTCTAGTTTCGTCAATTTTCGAAAGACCATTCTTTAGTTTGTTTGAAGCATCGGATAATTCTTGACGTTTTTTATACAAGAGCCTGGTAGATTTTGTGAGTAATAGAATAATTAGATATTGGGGGAAGATAATTAAATTTCCTACTTACTCTTTGTAACCAGCGACTAACTCCAAGTAATTTGTTGGCGTCACGTAATTATGACGTTTCATTTCTTGTAACATTTTAGCTGAATAATCAGTGACCGTTCGATGCATAATTGAGAAAATTTTTGAGAGAGCTGGTTTCATTTTTTCTTCTTCTTCGTTTGCTAATTCCAAATCTTCTAGATATTTGTCGGCAACCTCTAGGAGAGCATCTTCCGGCCATTCGCTAAACCAATCAATTGTTGTACAATTTACTAAAGCGGGATACATACGAATCCTATTCCTAAATGGTTCTCCTACAGGACTCATACAGAGAACAAGATGTAGGTTAGCTCTAACTCTATCTATTAGAAAGTTAAACATATTCGTTGGTGTATCATCGATTCCCTCTTTCTTTGCATCGTCAGCTAGAGCATTGCGAACTTCTTCTAATTCATCAGGTTTATAGAGATTAGGTACTTCACCAGAAGATAACATGTTGTTTATATCCTCCAAGAACGATTCTTCAACTATCTGAGTGTCGTTGAATAAGAATACAGTAGCTTTGTTTTCTACACCAGCAGTCCAATAGAGTCTTTTAATATCTATTTGATAAATAAACAATAACCAAGTATTTAAATAGTGAAACAGGGGCATATTTGTTTCTTACCATCCCTGAATTCTTGTTTTCTATAATGTTTTGTTATTTCTATTTGGAAGGTCGTATAATCGCAGATGAACGCTGATAATCGAGTCAAACTCTGCCTTCCTGATCCTCCAATACCAATTAACAGCATATTACCGCGAGGCTGACGTATAACTCGTACAATTTTCGAGACTATTACATCAAACTAGAGGTAATTAAGGGATAGAAAATTGAATAAACCTCTTACTGTGTTCGCAAGCATCTTTAAAAAGTACAAGATTCATTCTGATAACTCCGGGAGTATTGTTGTATTCGTTTAATTGGTCAGCCATATGTTTCTTTAGAAGACTAGTATCTTGAATATCTTCATATATTTCTTCTGTACCCATATAGTCGCCAAATACTGGTGGCCTTTTATCTGGGCATATTGAATGGAAGGTTGTGTCGAAAAGTATTCCGAGTTTGTCGGCAAGAATACCAATAAAGGCCTCGTTATCTTTAGCATCCACTAAACGATCGGAGAAGACTCTATATGATATTTATATAATTTTAAGTATATTTACAGTTTTGTCTCTGTTAAATTAACATACCTGAAACATTCATGAATCCACAATCTGGTCATTGAGGTTCTGGTATCATGAAAGGTTTTGTTTGCTCTTAAGAGACCCTGGAAAATCTTGGAAATATCTCTGAGGTTGAATAAGTAATGTATCCTTGTGGGTGTTGGAAGAAATCTACCAACAACAGCGTTATACATTTCAATTGTTGCTTCAGTCATAATGTCTCCTATTGGTTTAACTTCTTCCTCAAAATCTTGTAGCTTTTGATTAATCATTGAACCAAATATTCTTTTAATTTGAGATTCAGCTGGGAATGTCATATTAAGCAGGTTGAATCGACTCTGTAATCTTTTAGATATAATCATTCTTCCACCTCCAGGTGGACCCATAGCCGCTAATAGGAACATATTTCTCACTTCCTTTATTGTTTGCTTCAATCTATCATACCAGAATCCGTAATCTAACCATTGCCTAACAAGTTCCAAAGGTGGTTGGGAACCGAAAGTGTCCTTAGCTGGCATATTAAAGTCATCCAAGAAGCAAATCATCTTTTTTCCTCCTACAGGAACGTATACGCCTTTTGTTCTCTTTTCAACACGAGATTCAATAATATCTTGAACATTGTTAGAAGATGTTTGGGCCGACATATTTACAGTTAAAACGTTGTACGCTGCAGGGTCTAGCTGATTGATAACGCCTTCAGCTACACTTGTTTTACCAGTACCAACAGGTCCTACTAACATTACAGGCTGTTGATTATTAACTAGATTTGTGACTAAGAAATTATATCGGACTGTATCTACGGTTGGTACTATAAGCTTGAAGAAGGGTAAGCTAGGATTATATTTCCAGCCGTGTCGTAATCGCTCTTCCCAATGAGACCAAGTTTTATTTTTAGGGTCTACTTCGTATTCATAAATGGAATCTTTGTTTGGGAATGTTCCTTCCATTTCTCTAAGGAAATTATCAATTTTCTTTCTTCCATCTTCATCAACAGATGAGCAAATCGACCATATCATACAAAACTGGAACCATAATTCGATCATTTTTGAAAAGTTATCAGTATCGGAGGGATCAACTCCATTTTCAGGAGTTGCTAGAGTATCCATCAGCTTACATAGGCTTATTACAGCATTGAGTTCTGGGACAGCCACTAATTCGTAACATTGAGACTCCTTCTTAAAGTTTTGAACCTTTACGAGGAACTTATCGAATAATCTTTTCGCTTCCTCAACGAAAGTTTTGTCTGTCTTTTTGGCTAACCAACTGTCAACGTATGGTTGCCAACCCAAATTAGAATAGTCATAATAGACCATACCACATCTGCTTACTGTGGCTGGACTGGCAACAGCTAAATCTTCAACTTCAAATAATAAGCTTACTTGATCTGGCATTCCAATACGCTCACCGTTTATAAGTGTCAAGATTTTATTGTCATCCATAACAGAGTTCATACTTTCAATCCATAATGTATCTACGGGTCCATCAAAGATAATCCATTTTTCATCGGGTTTATCATCGGCACATGTTTGTCTCATTACTGAAGACAAAACACCATCTGTCCATTCATTTGTTGATAGGTCGAATTCACCATACAATTCCCCTAAGGATAAAGCTTTTGGATTTAAAGGATAATCCCTTACCACTTGATAAGTTTCTGGGTTTTCCTTATTAAGTCTAGCCATTGCTGATTGTAGCACTCGCCAAGAAACCGTCTTACCACTCTGAGTTTGTCCGACTATCATAACTGAGTGTCGAGATGATTTCGTTTCGAATAGTTGTATAACTTTATTAATGGTACTTTTTATCGGTTGTAATTGTTTAGCAGAAAGTTCTTCTTTAATAGCTGTTTCTAATGTTGAATAGTCGATTGGCTGGGTTTCAATTCCAGGGAACAAATCAGATAATATGCCATTAAAGAGTGGAAGATCTACGCTTGTTAATTTTGCAATATTCATATCTTTCATTGATACCAATAAAATTTCTTCGTCGCTCATATTAGGGTTAGACCTTTTCTTCTTTCCAGCGTATCTTAAAAGACTTACTAAAGCTCTCAAGCCGAAATCGTAATGATCTTGTTTACTAAGTTGTTGAATGGCGAGAGAGTAAAGAGTGAAGACTTTCTTCGCGAAAAGTTTAGTATTATTAAATCCTTCGGCAAATAGGATAATTTCGGATATAAGACTCGAATCAGGAACAACCATGGATATAGGTCTAAACATAGACTTCAAGTTATCTGGGAGTTCAGTTCTTCCAGCGTAACCTGGATTCATAGTGATAAAAATACCACAACTCCATTCCAGTTGAATTTCTCTTCCTTCGAATGTAAATCTTCGTGATTGATTTGCTAAAGCCGATAGTATACTTAGAATTTGTTGTGCGACAACAGATAATACTTCGATGTTGATTCGGTTAAATTCATCGAAGCAGCCCCAAGCTCCTGTTTGAGCAAGACCGGAAAACATTCTACCCATGCTCTTGTAATCTAAACCCTCCGAGCAGTTAACGACGATTACGTAATTGCCTAAGGCTTTTCCAAGATCCTTTGTAGTTTCGGTTTTACCCGTACCAGCTGGGCCTTTAGGGCTACCACCACGGTGTAGATGAAGAGCAGTTGTTAATGTCATATAACATCTGTCAGTTAATGGAGTAATAACTAATCTTCCAGAATTGCCAAGATATTCGTAGCCATATTGATTTTCTGTGTTCGTTTGTCTAATGACGCAATCGTCAATGTCTCTTTCCCAGTAAAATCTTAATTGACTAAGCCATTCAAAAGCAGAAGGATCGTTACAGTTGGTCTTGATTAGCTTTTCAATAATATCTCTGGCGTGAACTTCAATGGTAACTAGGGCAACGATCTTTAATCGTTGAATCTTATTTAGAGATCCTCTAATGGCTTCCGAGAATTTGTTGAGCATTGCTACTTGTTTTTTCTTTAAAGATTTCAATGCCTTCTTATCACCTCTTTCTTTAGTTGTTAATAAACCTTTTGTAACGTCTGCTGTCCATTGCATTTGACTAGCAGTTATACACATTTGACCTGGATGCTCCTTTATCCATTTATCTCGCTTTGTCAACATTTTTCTGAGAGCATTCTTGCATTTTTTTAACTCCTCTTTAAGCGTATTCCTCATATTTTTCTCTATATCACATAACCAAGCTTCTACAGGTCCTTCCAATTGAGTTGATTGAATAAATTGAATTGTTTCACCATCAGCTGAACTCATATTTGTACCTTCCCATTTCTGAGCATGGTTTTGTTTGGACATATTGACTTTAACAATATTGTCGAAGCACTTTTTCAAATGAGGTTCTACTGCCTTTGGGTTCTTGCTTTGACCTAAGATCTCTAATAAATCGTCATTAGATAAGAAGTAGAATCTTGGGAAGATCTGTCTCTTGGTTTCCAAGTACATATCCAGAGACTTTTGTATTTCTTCTAGTTTTGTATTCATTTCGTTCAGAGTCTCAAATAGATTCTCATGATGAGTACTTCTCAAAGCATTCTTATCCTTATTCATTCTGGTCATTATTCCTTTCCATTTACTATTTATCTCGTCGAAATCGTGGGATTCCCGTGGCAATTGCTTTCTAATATCCTCTCCAAGGAATATATTCTATAAGTAAAAGTTTATATATACTGATATAGAAAGAAAATCGAAAATCATCTATCGCACCTCTAGATACATCCATTGTCTTTGAACGGTTAGGAGCATTTCGATGCATTCTCCAATAAGAGAAAGATTTCTTTCCCATTTATCAACATCAGAGTCGAATGCTTTGACAAATCTCGATGCTTTCATGGTTTGTAATTTTACTTGGTTATCTTCTATAACCGCAAAAACGTCATCAGTGGCCTTGAGTTTAAAGTGTCCTATAACGAATACGAAGGTTGTAAAAAGCTGTAATTAATTATTAAAAGAAAAAACCTTTATCCTTATATGGTGCAATATCTAATTCTGTAACGGACCAAGTGCTCTCAATTTCTTTCAAACCATTTTCAATAGCCAATTCCTTCGTAGCAGCACCAGAAATTTCGTTTATCTTTTCGCCATAGACATCAAATCCCCATTCAATAATCACTTCCAAAGTAAATTCTTCTGCATCAGGTTCAAATTGTCTATTCATTTCTTCCCTTATTTGTACCCAATGTCTTGGTCTCATGGCTTGATTCTTCAAATCAGTTATAAGAGGCATAGTTCTAAAATGAACAAATTAACCAATTATTCAAAACATAAACATATGAGTGATTTTTACCTTCTGAATTGGTCAACCTTTCCTTTGGTGTTATCCACAATATCCCAGTTTTTATCTTTTAATTCTTTACTCATCTTGTTTAATTTCTTGAATACAGATGTCGATACTTCTTCCATATCCTTTGTTTGTAGGGCGATGAATTTTCCTGATTTCCAGTCCGCCCAGCTTGTTTCCCAATCTTTGGTTATTTGCCAGACTAGCTCCAATTGTTCCAAGTCTTTTTCAAGAGCTGCCAACTCTTTAGGAGGAGGATGATCAATTCTAAAAATATTGAGTCCTTTTCTAATAGTTGCTTCTTGATCTCGTAAAGCTTGAATATGAGCTTTGAATTCTTGAATTTTGGAAAGGGCTTCGTCAGTTCTTTAAAATTAAATGAAATTTGTTAAAGAAAACGCAAATATACCAAAATTTTATAAACAAACCCAAAATTTGCAGCGAATGGTCCTTCTTGTCCAAAACTGGATACGAGAGATCCCACTTGCTTTTTGAAATCTTCAGATTGCGATAACAGGCCTGTTTTGAATTTTTCCTTTGCTTTTTTCAACATGTCTTCGGACTCTGTAAGTCTCTCTTTGAAAATTTCCCATTCTTTGGGAAGATTTTCTTTCATGGCAATAGCTGATTCTTCAATTGACACTTCGTATTTCGCTAAAATGCTGTAAAAGGGAAGAAGAGAATAATATCGTTCTGCTTTGGAAAAATATTTGTATAACTTACAAGAATTGTTCATCTAGAGGTCTGAAACGTTCTTCGATGTCAGTGAGACTATTTTGTAGTTCATCCCAGAGGGTCAGGGACTCGTTTAACTCATCCAGATTTTGAGGCATTTGAGTCACTTTGTGCCCCTTCTCTTGCAAATGATCCGTAAGATTTTGCATCTCACCAATGGCAATATCTTTGAGTAATCCTGTGAATTTTTGTTGCCATTGGGTACAATGTTGAAGAATAGAATTTTTTAACGGTGAGCAATCCAACATAACGAATTGAATATTCAAAATCGGATCTTGAGTGTGAACATTGTTAGCAACTTCAGTATAACGGCCAATATCGGCGTCGAAACTTCCAACATGAGGTTTTAGTTTGGCATATCGTTTAATGAAAGCGTCCTTTCCAATTTCCCAGATTTCTCTATACTCATCCCAACGCTGAAAGAGTTAATAAGATATTTACGTTAAAAAAATAAAAACGGTTGGAAAAATGATAAGTTTTACCTTCAAATAAGTCTGAAGCTGTGAAGCATTATTCTCCATTCCTACTTCAATTTGTTTTTGTATTTTTTGTACATCGCTATCGACAGCAATTCTTTCAGCAATCGACTGGAAAATTTCAAAATAAAAGACAATTAAATATTACTCTATTGTTTAAAAAAGAAACAAATAAATCTCTAACCTCTTTTGGAAATGATGTCGATTTCTTTTTGGCTACTAGAGCTGGTAATCTTTGAATAGGTTTAATGCAATCTTTCATATGATCCGCAACTGAACTGACAATATCTGCTAATTGCTTAAGAGTTGGAGAGAATTCAACTTTATCTCCATCCAAGGTTACTTCGACTCTAAAAAGAGCGTTTGGTGCCGATTTCCCATCACCATTTATTGCCTTTCCAATTTGTTGCAAGGACCATTTAACGTTTAATCTGAAAGCTTCTGCAACTTTTTCGTCCATTTTAAGTGTATATCTAATATAATAAATTGGATTGATAAGATGCATGTTTTATTATGGAAAATGAACACTTACTTTGCCCAGTGAGTTTCAACGTCTCTATCGTTTTCGAATACTTTATGGGTTTGTTTCATTATATCAACAATCTCTAGATGAAGTTCCCTGAGTTTACCAGTAATATATTCCCTATGATCTCCTTGGTCATCTTCAAACTCCAAGTTCATATAGACTTTCTTAGGATCGATTTTAACAAGAAGATTTTCACAAATCTTTTTGCAATGTTCCAAAATTCTGGAATTTGCCGCCTTATAGGAATCGACAATATTTTGAACTCTGCTAGCGTGCATTCGGCATTCATTGATAAAATATTCAGAAACATTTTTAGATGCCCATGTTAGTTTATTTAAACCAGGTCCTATCTTTTTGTCTAATGTCTTAATTCTTTCCTTAAATAAGGCTCGTTCCTCTTCGGACAGAGCGGCTATAATTCTATTATAGTCTCTAACAACGAGAAGAACGTGTTCCCTTAGACTACGAAGTTCATCTCGTTTTGTATAAACATCGGCAGCATAATGAGGAATTTCGAACATTAAACGTTCCCAATAATGAATTTCTTGGAATAACTTCAATAATGATCTATATAGTTAATGAAAAATTAGATAAAAACTATTAAACACCTATGCATTATGTATACATACTTGTCGAAATTGATATCCAACATAATCTCTCTCTCCTGACTTTTACGCATTAAAGGTATATCTAATAATTTCAGAGGTTCCTGTTGAATTGATAAATATATACAGTATAGGGTACAGCATGAAATTCATGGAACATATTAGAGTGAGAAAAAACTTGTGCCTAGATGCAGTTTTTTTGAAAATGTGCTCTTTGGTGTTAAAAATATAGATATGTAAAAAGAAAGTATAACATAGTGGATATAAAGTAATAGATTTATCGTTTGTGTACGAATATTGAATTCCTTACCTCCTGAATTACGTAAATAAAAGCAAGAATATAAAGAAAGTTTGTTAGTTTAAAAGTTTTGTTATTTATATAGCAATCATCATTTTGTTAATTTTAGAATATCATATTAATTTGATATATTCTCCTTTTCAATAAACCCACCTTGTCGATTGTTTGTGTCCATTCGTAGAATGTTTTCCTACTACTCTCGTCCAAAGCTTGACAGAGTTGTTGATACTGAATTCTAGTCTCATCTCCTGAACCAATTGGTGGGAGGAAATGGGCTCTATCGAGAACCATCATCGAATATTCTATCCTCCTCTTCAACATTCTGTACCAGTGTGCTTGTCCAGCGAATTTTGGATGATTGCTCGGAAGGGGAATTGATTTTTGCGTCATTTCTTTTTTAACAGCATTAAGTTCTTCAGTAAACATGGCGTAGATTTCAACAGTCTTTTTATCAATTGTTCTTCTCATTGCTTCTCTTGATGAAAGATGCATAAAGATATCTAAAACTTCTACTCCTTGTTCAACTGTAGTAACAGTTTCGAAAGCGGAGCAAAGAACATTTTGCATCATTACTTCTAAATCTTTTATTCCTCCTCTGAATCTGTTATAATCATCGTGCCAACTCGTAGCCTTTACATCCAAAATTGAGTGTTTAACATGGCGGAGATTGTTAAGATGCTTTTCAAAAACTGTTTCTATCTCTAATAGTGAACGTGCTATGTCCAAACCCCTTGCGCCTGCAAATAAAGGTATACTCGTTTGTTCGCCTTCCTCTCTCCTTGCAAAGTGTATTTGACAATCGCAAACTTCCAATAGGTCTTTACAACGTTGAACATAAGCATCAATCTGAGCAAATATACTACTCTTATCAAGAACCCATGGAGTTTGAGAGAATTTATGATGTAACTTTTGAGTCTGAAAATATTTGATGGTTATTTACACGGTTCTTCCATAGATTAAAACAATTTAACATACCTTATCATATATTTGCTTCCATTGTTCACAGCAATCAATACATTCGTTCAAAGTTTTCATACTAGATTGAACATATCCGTCAAAGATTCTGTCCAAATCTATTTCGTTCGTGCATCGTCTGATAATTTCGTTACTTAATTTCCTTAATAATCCTGTTAATCTATCGCGACTCTTATAGAAATCTGAATTTACCCAGATCATTCTAATTGTATTAATGAGTTTAGGTAACATATTGGGTATATCTTTCGGATGGGCGTCAGCTAGTTCAACGCAAGGATCTTTCAGCACAGATAAGAATTTCAGATTACTTAGAGCTTGGTGTGATCCATCCTAAACAAAGTAATTAGTTTAGAATGAAAAATAAATTAAAAATTTAGATTAAGTAACCTTTATCTGACTGGATAATTTCAGAAATGGGCCTACATAAGAGCTCTTAGCCAATTCTAAGATTTGTGTTATTCTTTTTACTCCAGATTTGTCAAGCTGAGTACTTATACCACTCAAATCGGCACATCTATTCTTCCAGAAGTCAATTTCCTCTAGAGGGCCAGCATTTTCTGCTGCTGTTTGTAAGGAATCTTGGGAGCTCAGAACTTCCTTTATTTGTCTTGTCCAGTGTATCATAGCAGCTGGTTAATAAAAATACAAAGATAAAGCATAGTTTGTAATAGATTTTGCTGCTTACTTTCTAATCTCTGGACCAAATCCTTATCTTTAAAAGCCTCTTCTATATCTCGGGCAACACCTTCGTGAGGTATGTACAATACAGTTTTACCTTCCATTCTCCATCTTGTATCGGTTAAACTTGCTAAAAACTTATGAAGTTGGGCAGTAAAATCATTTTTAATACTATCCGGCCAAGATTTATTCTCAAAAAAAATTGGAGCATAGACTCCAATCATAAGCCTTAGAAGAGCTGGTATATGTTCTTGTCCAGTCATACCGTACTGAACAATCAAATTAAAATTTTCAACTGTCAGTTCTACATTCTTTTTAGTTTTAATGAAAAAGAACATTTCATTGATGCTATACTTTGGTATAGCGTTTGCTGTAACCAAGCCATGAATTTGATCATCGTAAACAATCAAGAGGCGTTCGTTGGCACAAAATGCTTCAATTGCTTCTAAGTTTTCTTCTTTCCACATTGATTCAGTTAGACCAGGAAGAATTACTCTGTCCTTTATTACATCTCTCTAAAATAGTATAATTGGCAATTAAGATAAGTCTATAAATATTTAAAAATAGTAAAAGGCAAGTTTCTCACAATGTCTTCTGCTTTTTCAATAGATTCTACAGCAGGAGATTGTATGCTTCTTGTCTCTGATTTGTCTGCATTTGATACTACATCACCCCCTTCTCCTCCTAACGGAGATGCCCTGACGTTTGACAATTGATCTGGATCTTTTGTCTCACCACTCTGACTCCTTGGACTTTTAGGAGTGCCTGCTTACATTTGTGCAATTTATCTTGGATATACTTAACTTTCAGTAAGATAAATACTTACCAGCAGCATTTTGACTGGGCGTTAACGAACCACTTCCAGACATAGTCTAGTTTTGTTTAGTTTTAACAACAAATTCCAATAAAAATTTTTGTTTTTTCAACTTATCACAACCTTCTATCAACTTTTTCCTTTTACTCAATTAAATCGTATTTGATTTAAAGTAAAAGTTAGTTGATATGCAAATTTGATAAGAAAACTAAAATAGCTGACCACTTGATTATTTTGGTAACCGTAAATCTGTTTAAAAAGTAAGAATTACTTAAAGAATTGTTGGCGGTATGTCCGCCATAATTTTGCGTTGCTAATAACAACAACGGAAGCTGATTATGCCCTTGACAATTATTGAGCGCCACCTGTATTCCCAGGAAAATAATGAAATTACGTTTATAAATGTATATGGTTTTTTCCTTAATAAAGTAAACTTATTAAATAATAAAAAGAAACTTAAAAATTACTCAGATTTCTTTATTTGCAATTTCTTCAATTGTTTTTAAATAATAATTCAAAAAAAAATAGAAAATCCATCAAATATCTACAAAAATCTGACGTTTTATATTAAATTTAATATTTCTTAACAAAAATGATTAGATATCAAGAATAGTAATGTATTTTTCTTTACCTCTTAATAGCTTTATAAAAGCGCCTATTTATAAGAAAGTAACTAGAAATAACTAGAACAAAATCAATACATATCGAGGCACGTAACTTATTTCACAGAAATTCTTTAATAAGTGCAAAGTATACCTATACATTAATGTAAAAGGGAAAAAAAAGGGGACAGAGAGAGAGTGAGAGAGAGACAGAGAGGAATAGATATTTAAGTAGAGAGATAAGTGGATAGAGAAAAGGAAAAGGAATAAACAACAAAGACCAACCATCAAACAAAAAAGGACAAAATTTATCAAAGGATTCATAGTGTTTAGTAGAGAAATTAATTAATAAATTAATTATTTTATCTTCTTTACAAAAAAAAAAAACAAAACAATTATTTAGCTCTCCTAATCACTTTGTTGTTTCTTTTAAAATAAATTAGCCGACATGTGCAAAAAACCTACTATAACAAATATTTATCCTTTTTTTGTTTCGTTCTATTGACTATTTCATTTCTTTGGTTTTTTTTTTCATGACAGGTCGGTATAATATTTACATTTATACTTGTTTTTAGTTACAAAATACCTAAATAAAGTTTTTTTTTTGTAGTATCTGAAATTATAAATAAGTTATAGACAAAAAAAGTTACCTTTAACCGAGGTAAATGATCATGGTACAATGAAATATTAAAAAAATAAAACATAAAGAACAATTAATTGAATTTTAGTTTATCTTATGGATTAATGATCACTTCGGCACTGACCGCAGTCAAGTAATGTACTTGAGGTTCTTCTTCTAGTTCTTCTCTTTCTGGCCCTATCATACCACTTCTTCTTACGGGCGGTCGATGGTAGTTATGAATTCTTTTTTCGTGATTATTTCTAGGTGTTTTCTGATTAAAGCTCCTTTTACAGACGGCACAGTCAAAAGGTTTTTCACCAGTGTGCACCCTCATATGTCTCACTCTACTAGCATTGGAGGCTAAGCGTTTACCACACATTGGACAAGGATATACTTCCATGTTAGAGTGGGCTCTCTTATAATGAACATTTATATGAAATTTCTTTCTACCAAGGAATGAGCAACCGTCATGAGGACACTGAAATCTCATGATTTTTCTTTCAACAATTCCATGCTCTTCAACGTAATGAACCCTCATATCCTTTGGTACATGGGTCACATAATTACATCCATCAACGAAACATTTAATCAATATATCAGAGTCCTGGAAGTCATCTGGTAATTCTACTCTTTCTTCAACCTAATTTTATTTGAAAAAGAAAAAAATAAAAGATTTCCTGTATAAATCAGCCCTAAGCCATAAACTAAGATACAAACCTCTTTGTCAATATAATGATGCCTATATTCTTCATGTCTAGCTCTAGACTCTTCATTTATAAAAGTCATATCGCAATAATTACATTTGATCTTTTCTCTTTCGTGAATCTTTTCGTGATCAGTAAAATATGACATTTTAATCTTCTTCCCGCAAACTGTACAGATTTTAGTAGCTTCTTCAGAGTGTATTTTCTTTATGTGAGTTCTTAAATAGGTCTCCCTCACTTCAAGACCACATTCTTCGTAAGGACATTTAACTTTTCCCGCTTTTGTGTGAACTCTTTCAATATGGTGGTAAATTTCAGACTTCTTAAAATCTTGATTACAATACTTGCATGTTTTAATTACATGATCCGACTTATGTTTATATTCGTGATTCCTTAACTTGCTGTACTCATCAAAAGATTTACCACACGTTGGACAAATCATAATTGTATGTTCCATTTTGCTATGTTTTGCCATAATATCCTTCGATCTACAAGAAAATTCGCATTCCTTTACTTCACAAACCATCTTTTTCAAATATGATTTTCTATGAAATCTTAAATTTAAATTATTTGAAAAAGGTCTTTCGCAATTTGTACATTTGCAAGTTGGTTCAAGTCTTAAGTCTATTTCAAAGTTATTCGGCAACAATACACCGCAATAACCGCAGTGAAGGTTGGAAATACAAGCGCTTCCAGTGCAAAATATTGTTCGACTATTTGCTGATGGTTCATGGTAATCGATAGACGCTTTCAAGTTTATTGATACAGGTTCGGCTTTGTTATCCTGAAATTTATCTGTAAAAAGAAAATCTTCTTTGAAGCTTACGATTGGTACTTCTTTAGCTGCATGAATATTGTCTAAAAGTAGAACCACACTTGGATTCTGAGGAATAAATAGTTTCTTTAGCATATATCTTAATTTTTTTAGTTAATTTTCCATACCTTTAAGAATCCTTCCTGAGGTCTGTTTCTGGTTCTCTTAGAAGGTTTCTCCGAAATAATATCTACTCCTCCCTCTGCTTCGCAATAAATAATTTTCTTTTCTTCGTCAACATTTCTTAAAGTTTTCACATGAAATGTAACCTTATGACCAGTGGGAACGTCGTTATCCTGAATAGCTACTTTCGTTGGCCTAAATTTTTTCTTTGGCTCCCTTGCAGTCCAAAAATCGTCTTCGTCAATAGTGACATTTTCCATTCCACCATTCCATTCGCCCAAGTACTTTACACCTTTTCCTTCCTTGACTGGTTCGTCCATATCCTCTTCTTCATCATCCTTATCCTCTACGTACAAATCAATAGGCTGACCGCTTATTCTGCGTCCTTCATAGCTTTCCTCGCCTTCATCATCACTTGCCGTTTTATCAGGTTCAACTTCTAGATCTATCTCACAAATTATGGCCTTTCCTGCATCAATATCTGCCTTTGAAGAACAGGGATGATTTTTTGCTGATAACTCTTTGTCTTGACTACAGGTATCCATCTCCTCCTGATTAACAACTTCAAATGTAGGTTCCACGCGCTCTACTCTGATACAGCGTTTAGGCGGTTGAGCTTTCTTTCGAGTAGTTGGTTTACTGGATAAAGGTTTTGATGATTCCTTCTGAGTAGATTTATATCTAAGTATAAAAAACAAAGAATTATGAATATGAAATTGACACTTATTGTATTAAACTATCAGTTACACAATGACATTAAATGGTATATGTAACAATTGTACTTACAAATCCAATAAATGCTTAATAAATGTTTTTTTGTCTCCTCCATGATTTTTTCTCATATCCTCAAACTCTCCCCAGTCATTTCCAATATCAAATATTCGTCTTGTATCAGCTGGTAGCTCTGTTTGTATACAAATGAGGATATTATTATTTTCGCATTTTTAAGGTTCCAAATAGCTAAATGCAGAAAATATTTAGAAAAAGCTCACTTAAAGACTTCTTTAGCTTCCGATTTTCCATCCATGATCTTCGTTGTAGCCTTAGTAGATTTTTTAATCGTAAAGATGAGACTGACCTGAATAAAAATACTCAAATATGTTGTATTTAAAAATCTTCAACAAATCATTACTTTTTGGGTTTTAGACTCTTTAATTCTTTCTTCTTTTTGTCGATCAATCTTTGAGATTTGCGATTAGATGTCACTTTCCCTTTCATATCAAAAGGAGGAAGGGAATTTTTAAAAATTTGTATCTATAGCTTGAACGAAGCGAACAAAGCGAACTGCACGAATTTTTGTAGTGCCGATTCTGCCCCTAAATGAAAACTGGTTAACAGTAAGGGATTGGGCGGGAAAAAAAATGATAACAAGGAAAAGCCTAATTTTTACTTTAAAGTTTAATTCGAGATTATTCAGAAGGTCTGAAACCGCCTGAGGAAATAAACATAGAAAAATATGTATCAATCTTACTATCCAGATCATGAATTATTAGTGAGAGAGGAATTCTGGTAAAAGATTCTTCATATTACTCAGTCTATTGTTCCTTTGATTCTTCATTTTTACGTGATTGTAGCAAAATCTAAAAATTTATATTCTCATCTTTCTTGTCTCATTATCCGTGAAACAACTTAAGAAGTTGGTGGTTATAAAGATACGCTTTTGTGTTGATAGATAGATGTACATATAAATTTTGTGTACACATTAATACCAATATAATAGTATTTATGTTTATGTAAATAGATATATTATTAGCTTGTAATACTCTTTACAATTTCTAATTCATCCCATCACTGTGGCCATAACAATGTTATTAAAATGTCTAATTTGTACTCTATTTCTTTTAAGTAAGTTTTCAAGCTTTTTAACTCGTGAAGCTAAATCCTTTCCAATCCTTGAGGATACAGTCTGCGGACATACTAAATGCTCGATCGTCCAATATTGTGATAATGCAGGAGAACCAACATGTCTTCCTTGTAGTAATATTTGCGACAACAAACAGAGCTGTAGAAAGCACTGTTCCGATGTTTGGCTTTTTTTTTTCGCTGTTACGCAAGATACTGGTGAACTTAGGCTAAAGAAGTTTTTAAACAAATATTGTCTGTATATTGTTTATTTAATATTCTATATTTTACTAATAATTAATTGATTTTTAGATAAATACAATTTCACAATCCCGAAGGCTCCTCAGCAAGAAGAGAAACAAACACTCCCTGTAGGATACACTATTACTCTGACTGTTTTCTGCACTATTACTTTTGTTATCTCAGTATTCATATTATTCAAGATCGTTAAATTTTATAAAAATACTGGAAAGCCTTGCGGATTTCCCTCAATCTGCAATTTTTCATCATATGCACCCATCACAAATAAAATACAACCTAAACCATTTTATGGATGTAACTGACAATTATTGAAAAGTTGAACAGATTGCTAAAGCTTGTTTTTGAAGAGAAGTAGTCTTGTATGGATAATTTACACACCATTAATACTTTTGTTGATCTATTTTAACAAAATACAGATCAAATGAACTCTAAAGAGTTGGAAGTTTTATCCTTAGCGCACATGCCACATGTAATAAAAACAGCAAAATTTGCTTAGATGTCAGCTGTGTTATTCGATTATAAAATGTGCTGAATAAGTAAAAATTTGATGAAGTTTCCTTCTAACAATAACATTATCGCTTTGGATGGCAAAATAAGGGAGAGCAGGGGTCATTACGAAATAACAAGATTATTAATTACAAAAGGTAAATAACCTTTGAACCTGGTTCTTGGAAATTAGATTTAATACAGCAATTACAATGCCTTTTTAATATCTTCTTTACTGATTACTTATACTTAAGTTTGTCAAGTATTATTTAACTTTCTTTTCAATTATTTTTTAGCACTAATTGGGAAAGGCAAACGGTAACCTACTAATTTGGTTTGTAACCATACACAAACTATTGACCCTTGTTTCCGATTTAGTGACTATTCTATTCTAATTTCTCTCCAACAATACTAAGCCTTTTTTTGTAGAGGGTAACGAAAAAAATATGAAAAATGATATAGAAACAGAGCTCGTATTTTTTAATATCGCCAAATTATATTTAGGTTAAAAATGGTACTTCTTGTCTTTCTTTTAAACGTAATCATCATTACCTTAATGAAAATTATTTCTATTTCTGCTTTTCGCCCCTGGAAAATGCTTCTTTTTTTTCGACACCTTACAAGATGACTTATCTTCCTTTGATGTTTTACCTTGAAGCATTAACTTATTATTTTTCTTAGCATTAGCTTAAATTACAAAATTCAACCTTTATACTAAGTTTTACATTTATTTAAAGAGTATATGTTTGTTTATTTGTTTTTTGTTTATACGTTTGTTTTATTAAGATAATATTATACCTAATCTTATTAAAATTATATTATCTCCAAAATTGAGCCATTGTATTGGATATTCTTTTTACAGAGTATGTAGATAAGAAAGAAACGAAAAGTAGATTTATTTCACTTCCCTCAAAATTGATTCACGTTCGTAAAAAAAGAAACTACTTAATCATCAATAAATATACTACTACTGTATCAATAAAATGGGATCATTATTTAAAGTTGGTCTAAAAATAACCAGACACCGTGCTGGAACGAAGCCACGTAAATTGGAGTTTTGTTCTTGCATTTACCGTATATATATATATATATATATGTTATACAGTTGTATAGGGTTTATGTGTAAATTGTAGTAGTATTATTAATCCACATCGTTCGTAATATATGTATAACCTTTCTTATAGTATCTAGGTTATATTATATTGTATAGTGGTACTGTTTTACTTAATTCTTTTTTTTAACAAACACATACTTGTTCTCTTATTTTGTGTTTTTCCGAATTAGATTATTGAGTATATTGTAAATTAGATGAAATATTATTGTAAATATCTCTCTTAAACAAAGGTTATTGACAAAATATGGTTTAATAAGTTATTTTGTCTTGGCAAATAGAGAAATCTTATTACTCATTCATTCACATAATTATAATAAAAAAAATTGCTCTATCGTTAAAACCAAAGACTTTAAGTAGAATAGAAAGTAATTATATAAGGCAGGACACTGAATAAAGACTTTCAATTAATCAGTTCTTATTACCAGCTAAAGCAGTCCATAATTACGAAAGTTTTAAACAATACGCCTTTTGCTTACATCAAAGTTACCTTTTTTTCTCCCATCTTTTTTCTGTTTTACAGCTTCTTTTTCGGTGCTATTTTAGGGATATTTTCCTGTTTAAGTTGTTTCATAGATCTTCTTCACTCACACAAATATATTAATAGTTTTGTTGATGATAAAAGAATGTTGTAAGGTAAATATGCTGTAGGTCTTCAAAGTGAAATTAATTTATTCTTTCTCTTTCCTCTTTTTTATTAGTATCACGGATATATTCTTCCTTTTTTTATCATTTATATTTTTTTTTTGTTGACATTTTTATCATATTTCATATTTCTTATATAGAAAATTATTTCTCTTCTTTTATTCTCTTCTACTTTTTATAATGATAAATTAGATTTTTAGCTATGGTTTTTCTCTGAAAAATGAAATATCTTGAAAATAAAAAGCGAATCTTTTTCTCTTTCCATTTGATGGCAATGATTGAAAAAACTGGTTTAGTTTTTTTCGGTTTTTTTTATTCTTATTTGAAGTCTATTTTGAAAGGTTAGCTAGGTTTTCTTGTGCTGCTGTTGTTGCTGTTGCTGCTGTTTCTATTTCTCAGTGCAATAACCAAACTGATTTACAATTTAGAAATTCTAAGAGAGTATTGGAGATGGAATTATGAGTCAGAGCTAGAAATTCATTATTATCATAATTGATATAATCTAGGGTCTAGAATAATTAATCATAGGGGATTAACTTTATTTTTTTCACATATTTTTTCAAATAAATTTCCAGTAGACAGGCTCATGTTATTAATCAATTTATAATTAATGTTTTATTAATAAACATTACTATAACATTATTTGCCAAAGCAGTCTGCATATCTATATGGAGATTATACAGAAAATTAATGAATGTCTGTCTACGTCAAAAAACAAATATGCATTGCTCTTTAAATAAAGTGAATTTTAATTACAATGCACATAGAAAAGTACTACGTATATATAAAATTTTTGCCCATCTGTTAAAATTTTTCATTTGAATAAAATCTCGTTGTAGACCTACTCTTTGGACATTTCTGCGTAAAAGAAGCTGTAGGCCTAGTTTATCCTTCGATCTGTTTTGAACGTTAACTTATAAACATAAATAACCTTGTACGGTAAATGACCTTCCTATTATATTATAGGCGTCCAAAAACAAGATCTCTCTCGAGCATGAAAAAAAAAGAGCATAAAACTGTAAAAGGTGAAGGGTTAAAGGTGAAAAAATACATAATTCTGTCACTCAGCCACTTGGTTCACTAATGAATTTTTCCCAGAATTTCGTCCATCCATATGCAAACTCCGTGGAAAAAATACCTATTGATAAAAATTGGAAAATTTGTTATTTATTTCCCGGACGGTTTTGCTAGAAAAATACTATTATTAAAGTTTGTGTGCGAGGATGGGAAACGGATAGAGGACGCGTGCCTATCGATAATAAAAAGGATGCATAGATATGTCGGTCATCAATGTTGAAAGATTTATGAAAAAAAGCTTTAGAAAGTCGATACATAATAAAGTAATTTTTAGATGTTACGATTATTATGAAAGTAGAATATTCTTTGACATATAATCTTGTCAATAGTATATTTCACAAATACAAAACCAAATCCAGGTTCCAAATCTATTTTACCATATTTAAGCGCAATGCATTTATACTTGTATATCAACGAAACTCTCCAGTCCTGTAGGCTAATTAAAATACCGAAACCGATCACATTTCTTAGCTACATGATCAGGTGAAGGATACTGTTGCAACTTTCTATTTCTTTCGAACATTTCTAAGGGGCTTTAAGATCGAGACTGTTGAAAAAGTCTTTATTAACAATTTATTATACACTAAAACTTGTCTCCTAAAATAAAGCCATTACATATATCCTATATGGGCCTGGGGGCTATAATTCATTTTTGTTTCTTCTTCCAGCAGAAAACAAGAGAATCTCATCAAGCGTCATCTATACAAAAATAGTATTATTAATACTGATCTAAATATGTATGTTTGTAGTATTTGATTATGTGAATGATTCAAACTAAAACCTATTATACTGTGGATTATTACGAGAACCTTGCTTTTCCTTTTCAGGAACAATGTGTTTTTAGACATATATAAATTACACAGCATATATATAGCATATGTATCCATGGTTCAACTTTCTAAAAAAATAGATACAATTATTGATACCCTTAAAATAGAACACATTTGTAACAACTTTGAAAAGTGCGTATAATTTCGAGATACTGGTCAGTTCTCTCTGTTAGACTACGCTGCATATAATATTAAATATTCTAAATAAATAAACGAACAGAGGGAAGAAAAGATGGAAGCTTTTGTATAATAGGTGTGACCTACATTTTTATTGGTTAAACTGAAACAGATTCTTAATGATAGAATAATTTCTAGCAAAAAAAAATGCAATAATAAACTGAAACAAAAAAAACAATACGTAAAGATATTGACAAAAAATAAAACCACAAAAAAATAAAAAATAAAAAAATATAAAGAAACTTTTGGGAAGAGGGAGAAAGAAAGCAAAGGGGGGATAGAGAAAAAAAAGAAAAAAAAAGAATGCATTGATTAATCCAGAGTAGGTAAAATGTTCAAGGGGCAACGGGCAAGAAGAGTAGGAACAATTTGAGCGCGTTTGGTAAACGCAATTTGCAAATCTCCTCCTCCCGAACAAACTTCCTCACTGCCAAACGGCACAAGTGCTTCAGCGAAACGTCTTTAGGCAATTTCAATACGGAAACGGTTAATGCCGGTCCGAGAAGGGCTACGTAGTCTCCTACACTCGAAAAAAGTGGGAGGAGAGCAGCATGTTGGTGAGATGTTGCCCCAATGGCCGCTTGAACGATATGCAAAACGGTTAAATCGACACCCGAGTACAAAACGACGTGTATGGGTTGAACGAGATGGCGTCTAGGAGCTCTAACGCCCAGGGAGGCTAAAACGGCGGCATTCGGGCTATAAGCCAAATGGTGAGAGACACCTGTGGGAGAGGACGTCGATTTTGCTACCCAACGTTTCTCAGCTACACTCCATAATGAAACACCATTCTCTGTATTGCCTATGGCAATTTTTGAGTGACCAGACGAAGGGTCGAAGGCAATGGAATGCCACAATGGGGCGGTATCTTCGATCGTCTGGAGAACTTCGCCAGAATAAACACTTACTAACTTTATATCCTTGGTCACGGCGAAGGACGTAAAGGGATCTGCACATCGGGAAAAGGCCCAATAGAAATTGGGTCGTAGAAGATAAAAATTTTCATCTGGAGATATATAAGCCTCATGCATGCATGCTTCTGAGAGATATATATCTTTCAGAACGCTCAGCGCTCTTCTAGACGCCATATGCAGCGGAATGAAGTGAAGCTCCTTCGTCTTCTTATGAACGACCTGCAGCAAAGCTATATCCCTACCGCAACCAGCTACTGTCACTGCAGGAACAAGTAATGGACACGTATATCTCGAACTTCGTCTAGGAACCACTGGAGGGAGATGATAACTCTCCTCCTTCATCCGTAGTTTATTTGAAATGCTCTCAATACGAAATTGATACCCTTTTGTACAGTAAGCCTGCATATTGAACGTATTCATATCCGTTAATATGCCACTTTGAAATGGCACGCAATAGTCGATTTTTCGGTCGAAGCCGAAAACATCTGAGTGACCTCGAGCCCATTCTGAAAGAGTGCAGGAATAGACCTCTGACCAGTCATTATGCGTCCTTTGTAGAGCTAAACGAGCTTTTTCAACGTAGTCCGCAGCTGTCGATGGTCTTTCTCGGCTAGATTTACTATGTTCACTTCCCATCCAGTCGTTTATAAATGCCAACAGACGTTCGACGTTGTTGATTCATTATTTACATATTAACGCATCTTTGTTGTTGATAGTATATCCAATATACTTCAAAAAAGCTATAGTTTATATTCTACATAATTTTTATACGTGACTAACGAATTTCGCGAGTAAATCTGCGTGTTTTTGTATCCAGAGAGATGGGCTCGTCTGACCTTGACCTTACAATAAATCAGAACCTCTTTCTGTCTAACCGGTCAAGGTTTGTTATTGTTAGCTTCCATAAATAACTTTTTGTTTATTGTCTTTCTTTAAAAGAAACTTTTTTCTGTATTTATGAGGATGAACATGAAAGCTAAAAACAAGATTTCCTAAAACCAGGTAGAAACCGGTGAAAGACAAAATCAATAAGGTATATAGTCTCGTTTTTTAGCGTGACTTCCTGTGTGAGGAAATTTCAAAATGGACGATAAAGTATCATCGTCGTCGGCGAATTCTTCTAAATTTAAGCCGAAAGTAGGTATTTAATTGTTGTAAAAGCTGCATATCTTTACGCCCACAAACGATCCTTGCAATGTGGAGAAATTGGAAAAATTGCTTCATTATTGTCCCTAATCTAACATATTTTATTCAGAATATACCGCAAGCCAAACTCAAGGCTTTTCAAATCGGTGCTATGAATTCGAATAAACGAGTGTTGAGCAAGAAGGAGGAGGAAGAAAAGAAGAGAAAAGAGGATATGGAAAGAACAGCAGAAGTTTTCAAAGAATTTGTTGAAACCTTTAAAGGCGATCAGAATAAATTAACTAAAACATGGGTAAAGGGTGACACAGTCAAAGATGGAATAAAAGTTGAAAACTCAGGCAAGAGAGAATTATATAACCCTTCAACAAAATCTTCAAAACTGGCTGAATTGGCCGCAACATTTCCATCGTCAAGGAAAGAGGACCGAAAAAAAGAAGATAAATTTCAGATTGGTCCCAAGCGCCACGAACAGAAACGAAAAACTAATCTAGAAACTTTCAAAGAAGAATTAAAAACGTATATTTTAAATTATTTACTGTCTATTTTCAAATCTGAAGGCAAAGGCTTATTAACAAAATACTTTGCCTAAAGATTTAACCTAGCATAGGCATAATTACTTTTACTACCACTTTTAGAAAAAGAATTTTCTAAATCGTACTGTGGCCAATTGGAAGGATTATTGTTTTTAATTATTGATAATATATCGTTTTCCCATTTATATTAATTAAAATGATAGGTTAATAGATAGAGTATATTGTATGATTAATCATACATTAAATTTCTATTCCTTTTTTTATAGCTAATCTTTATATATGTCTTTTGCTTTTAACTTGTGGATACTAAAGAACATCAAATTTATATACAGAATACAAACAGAAAGAGAGCGTCGACACAAGATGAAAGAACAGTGCCTTCAGCCCTCCAGAAGAAGCAGATTCGAACATTCATCTCCTGATATTCCGCCGGTTACAGATCCTTTAGGTGTTTCTCTCTCTTCGGAAGATGTAGTTAAAACTGGAAGTTATCCTACTGTTCAAGACGATGAAACAAGCACAAATATTTACCTGGGAAATATAAATCCGCAGGTACGTTTACGCTCGTTGTTTTGGAAAATTTTTCGAAAAATATTAACTAAAACCAATCGATATCGGTCGTTCAGACAAAAGAGAATGAATTAGCAGAGATTTATGGACGTTTTGGGCCTTTGGCAAGTGTAAAAATAATGTGGCCGAGAGACGAAGAACAACGGGCTAAGAATCGAAACTGTGGTTTCGTAGCCTATATGAACAGGAAAGACGCTGAAAGGGCTATGAATTGTATGCAAGGAAAAGAAATTGCTTCGTACGAACAAAAACTTGGGTGGGGCAAAGCTGTACCAATTCCACCCCACCCTGTATATATACCTCCAGCCTTAGCCGAATTAACAATGCCACCGCCCCCATCTGGTTTGGCTTTTAATGCCCAACCCAGATCAAATGAAAAAAGAATAAATATTAAAGGAGGAAAGGCAGATGACGAAATTCTAAAAAAATGTGTAGTAAAAGTGGTTGTACCCACCGATAGACACTTGGTACAGGTTATACATAGGGTTATTGAATTTGTAGTTAGGGAAGGGCCGATGTTCGAAGCATTAATTATGAATAGAGAAATGAATAATCCCGTGTATAGATTTCTATTTGAAAATCAGTCTCCCGGTCATATATACTACAGGTTGGTGATGTTTTTTAATATGTTTGTTAGTTACAAAAGATTCTTAGTTTGCCTGATTATTTATTTGATGTTCAACGCTAAATTTTTAAAAAGAAAAGCTGATCCTAATTCTACTAATATTTCTATAAGAATTTGATAGAATTGTCAATTGATTTAGACAAGTTATTGAGCAGTTCGTGGAGAGTTTTATTTTTCACTTAATTTGTGAAATGAGCATTTTTTATAATTTTCGTTTCAACCAAAAATAATAATGTCCACATTTCTCAAACTCAATTTTGGTAACTTTAGAAACTTTTTGTTCGTACATGACAAATATTGAAAAGTTGTTAGGGATATTCATTCAAACGAATGAAAATTAGTGGAAAATGTTAAGAATTTGAAAGTTAAAAACTTAGATCATGAATTCTCGTTATTTCTGCTGTGAACATTTCATTTCAAGTTATTGTCAATGTAACTAAAAACAGGTGGAAGTTATTTTCGATTTTACAAGGAGATACTCCTTATTCGTGGAGAACAGAAGAATTTTGTATGTTTGAAGGTGGGAGTATATGGAAACCACCTCCCGTAAATCCATGGACAAGAGGGATGCCAAGCGAACTTGTTGAAAAAAATGTGGTCATGGCTGAAGAGGCTAAAAAGGGTAATTTATCTAGAAGAGATGTTGAAGAATTAGAAGATATCCTTCATCGAATTTCACCCGAAAGAGTTAGTATTGGAGAAGCAATGGTGTGGTGTATAGACAGAGCTGAGTCAGCTCAACAAATTTGTGACTTTATCGCAGATTCCCTTAGTAACCCAGAGACAGTTCCAGCAAAGAAACTAGCTAGATTATACTTGATTAACGATATTCTACATAATTGTACAACAAAAGCAAACGCATCTTTCTTTCGTAAATATATGGAACCTCACTTGGGCAAAGTTGTAGATAATTTAAGAAAAACGCATCAAACTATAGAATCAAGATTAAAAGCTGAACAATATAAAACCAGAGTCATAAATTGTTTAAAAGCTTGGGAAGATTGGACTGTTTATCCTCAGGACTCGATAATTCATTTACAAAATATATTTCTCGGTCTGGTTGTAACTGAAGAAATCACCAAAAAAGTAGCTGTCGAAATAGACGGAGCTCCTTTAGAAGATGAAATCGATGGAAAACCAATAGGTCTAGTAAAATATGATAGTGATGATTGTATAGATGGCTCGCCAATGGATGACGAAGCAGTTGCTAATAAATACAATGAAATGAAAACTCAAGAGAGGTCAGAAGAAAGCTTCAAAGGCTTTCAAAAGTCGAAATGGGAGGAGGTAGAGTCGTATTTTGGTATAACAAAAGTTTAAATTAAATAAGCATTTCTTTAACAGGTGGATGAAAATGATTTAAAAGCTCAAGCAGTAACGACGTCGAAATGGGAATTATTTGATGATGAAGATGGTACAAAGGGAGAGGAAGGAGAGTTGGATGAAGATCTTGACGGTGTTCCAATGGAGGAAGATTACTCACGCTCAATTATGAGTAATTCTAGAGGTAATGAAGTTTCAGAAGAGAAAAGACAAAGATTGCGAGAAATCGAAGTAAAAGTAATGAAATACGCCGATGAATTAGAAAGCGGAAGAAGGCAAACAAAATCGGGAATGTCGATTGCCGATCAGGTAGAGCAATACCGACAAAAATTATTGGATAAGGAGAGAAAATATGAACAGCCTCTTAGTAATTCCTTAGCAGCCATCAAATCTTATAGTCCCGCCCAAGATTCAGAGTCACCCAGGTCGAGAAATAGATCCAGATCAAGATCTCCCAGGAGGAGACGAAAGTCACGATCAAGATCTCCTCGACGAAGGAAAACTCGGTCAAGATCACCAACTGACCGATATGATAGAGATCGATCAAGATATTCCTCAACAAGTAGTAGCAGCAAACATAAACATAAAAAAACGCGTTACTGAATTATTCTTTGTTGTTTTTATGTTTTTTTTATTTTAGAATTTTACATATTGCGTAGAAATTACAAAAACAAATTATTAAAGAGCAAAGTTGATCTATCCAAAGTTCTCAAGTAATTCTCATTCACTGAAAGCTTATTGAATGTATGCCTCCTTTCATCTCAAATTACTGACAGAGAGAGTTAGTAATATCTTGTGTATATAATTACTCGATAAATTCCTCTTATGACAAACTACGATGACTTTCCATCACTTTTTTCTCTACTCGTGACCAAATTGTATTATTTAGTTTTTCTTACGAAATTCTAATACAAACATGTAATAAATTTCGATATTCAATATAAAGAACATAAGCGTATCTTATCTAACGGAAGCATATAAGTATTAGACTTGAATTGTTAGGGAAGTGAATATTATATTTGCATTCAAGATGAATATATTCTGTACTTTGTATGGAAGATAAATATCTTATCAGTCAAATACGTTATCTTAATGCTTTTATTAGTCCCCATAATGTCATATTTGTTAAAATAATTGTGATTTTTAGCAGAATACTTTGCAAGCTTCAACTATATTATGGAAAATAGATGCGCACTATGTTTATTAGTAAGTGAGAATCAGGGTAAATTGAAGTATAAAACTCTGTGCAGCGAATTAAGACGTGAATTAGAGAAAAATCCGTTTGATTTTTGTAATAACTGCTATAGAGAACAGAAATGGCCTAAAAATTCAAAATTCGTATTACAATATCTTGGGATTTTGGAAGATAATTTTAAGAATTTTCTTGAAAAGGATTTAAATTTCATTCGACAGGAATTTGTTCAGAATCTTTTTCACGATCAAAAAATAGCTTTAAAGACATTTGATAATAATAAAAACAGTTGTCAGCACGATGACCGAGGTATTCTATCTAAATATTTTATGGATAAACGAAATAATATTCATAGTTTACTAACGAGTTCAAAGTCTCTTTTGAAATCTCGTTCACATAACATAAATGAAATTGCAAGTAAAATTAGGAAAATGTTCGAAACTCATTTAATGCTTTCACTTTCTCCTTGGGATAATATATTAGCTAATGAAACATTAATAGAAATTAAGTTGGGTCTCGTTCCCATAGACTACCCTGGAAGTTATCATATTATTGACATTAGCTCTCATGTGAATTATGTATTTATTTTGACGGAAGATATGAAGAGTGGAAGTTGCTACGAATATAAGTTATGGCGACTAGATCTTAACAGTAACAAGCCAACAGAGGTATATAAAGTGATTTCTGAGAAACTCCAATACAGAATTGAGGTAGCTTCTAATGCCTATCTGTACGCTGAAGGAGGAGCAAGTGTAATGAAGATACGTTTGTCAGAAAAATCAACCGTAGCTGTATTCTATCAATTTTATGGCGCTCCTATTCAAGAGAAGAGGAAAATTATAAAACTGGTTGCTTTTTCTAGCGGTGTTGTTGATGTGAGGTTATGGTTAGGTAAATGGTATATTTGTAGAACGGATGATCCATTTAAAAGGAAATGGAAATCACCAATGAAAGGTTGGCACAATTATCGCACAGTAGACGATTTGAAAGTAGTGGGAGAAAGTATACTTTTTTTAAACATAGATAGACTGATCGAAATAAATCTAAATGATGGGTCAGCGGTCCGAACTTTAAGATTAGATTGGTCTAATACCTTATCATCATTACCTTTTCCGGATTCATTCCTTCCCGATAAGCCAATTATTCTTGGTAAAAACTTTGACTGTGTCATAGTCAACATGGAAGATATGAAGCTTTTTCTTATTGAAAAACATTTCAAGAGATTTCAGCACGTTTTAGTCACTGATAAAGTATTTATTGTTGTTCAATTCTATGAAGACAGTTCCTGGTGTTTGTCTAGAATGGACTGTTTTAGATAAGAGTCCAAAAGGCAATAACTCTGTTAAACTATACATTCTAAGACTTGAAAGCAATGAAAAAATCTGTCAAAGAGTTTGAAATATATGTGACAACTTTGTGGTGAATAAATATTCGTTTTCATGAAAGTCAGATTATTTTTTACACGGTATTTAAGAAATTTTTTGTAACAACATAAGTTATCTTTAATGCAATTTTTTAAAAATAATTATATATTGTGTATGAGTTGAAGTGACAACATATTACAAAGACTACGACCCTCTCCAAGTGCTAATCAATGATTTTTCATATTTATAATCAAGTGATGTTGATCAAACAACACTTGTCTGATTAATTCTACATGCTATATTAACAATTTAGACCATTAACGTAAAAATTTCAACTAAGACAATTATGATTTGACTTGAATTGGTTTGAGTACCTCACACTGTGTATTTTTTTTTCAATACTTAGGTTTGCTATTAAACCATTAAACAAACTAAACGCTAAGCACAATCATTAATTTATGACCATTTATGTCATTATTATTCAAGTCAATCCAAATTCCTAACATGTTCAAGATTGTTGCAACTTCTTCTTCAAAGATTCTGGCATTTCTGGAGGTGGTGGACGAGGTAGACGGAAGGCTACCTTTACGGAGTCATAGATAAACCATTGCAAAGCTGTTAGAGTTCCTATCATGATGATACGAGGTCCTAATCCTCTCCATAAACCTGAAATAAAAAATTATTTATTTGTTTGTCCGATATGGAGTTTCCGACCGAAAATAGTATAAGAGTGACTTAAACTCCTGATATCAGGTATACCAATCTTACACACCAACGACTCAAGCACCCATGAATGACCAACCGAAAAGGTTGTTGGCAAGAGTACGCCCTAATGGGTGGATCTAAGGGATGTGTTTTTGCACTTTTCAAATAAAAAAAATACTCACCAGCCATTCCTAATTTCTGAGCAACAGCAACAACTCCGGATCCTTTATCTTGATTCAATTTTGAAACAATAGTATCAGCAGGATGACTGACAACTGCACAGAATACACCAGCAATATAGCCAGCAACGAATGTAACAACCAATTGTTCTGGTTTTGAGCAGTCTTCTCTTTTTTTAGGTACTACGTATTTGTAGATAGCCTCAACTGTTCTTTCAAAGCAGGCAAACTTCATCATGGTGTATGGAATTTGTCTTCCCCACAAAGGCGTGATACCCTTATAGAATCCCCAAGCTCCTTCTTCGGCTAATAATTTAGGGAAGCCTTCTCTTAACGTGTTTGCCCAACCAGGTTGTGTTTGTATTCTTACTTTCAATGCTTCAAAGGGACAGAGACCCATATCTGCAAAGAATTCAGCGCTGGCGCTAGAAGCCAAGTAAAGGCTAGTTCTGTACAGGTAAGTTTTTTCCTCTCCTAACATGTTGCTATAAACATTCTTAAATAATTCGTAGAAACCGAATTTTCCAAGACCTTGGATGGAATAACCAACAAAGGTTGGGCCCCATCCCTTGGCTAATCCTCTCATTCCATCTTCGGCAATCGTAACCTTAAAGCCATGAAAGATGTTCTTGTATTTTGCGGGATCTACTTGAATTCTGCATTTAACCAAATCGAGGGGAACAATAGCTGTGTGAGTCAATCCGCAGGAGAGGATACCGCCGAAACCGCACAATGCATAATATTTAGCAGAGCCGAATTCGCATGAAGCTTCCTCTGTCGAAAACAGGTTAAGATTAATTCATAGTGTCCTATAAAATTAGTCCTAGTTTCACACACTCTCTATTCTTAAAACGCCTATCGGCATGATTTTCAGAGTACTTGTAACATATATTTTATAACCGAATACTAAGCGCCATTTTGATACATTCCCTTATGTATGTAATTAACTTAAAATAAGTCATGAAGTTAAAGACTGAATCTCTTTTAAAATCAATATATGAGAGAGAACTAATTATTGGCTAAGGTCATTGTTCCGTTATCTCAGGACATTATACGTTACACGTGAAGTTTTTGAAACTTGGGTATCTAAACCATAAATTGAAATATTCTTATTTAAATACCAACACACTGGCTTAGATATATCATATCAAACTGAAATTACCATTTGCAGGAGCGGCAATCACTCTATTTTCATTGACTTTGAGTCCTTCACAATGAGCCGATTTAAACGGGCTATTCTTCAATTTTTCGCTTAGCGCTTGAAACATCTTTTAGCTGTTAAGTTTATAAACAATTGAAAAAACTAAAATCTTATTTAAGTAAGAACTTACGGTCTGTGGAGGCAGAGTAAATGATTGAATTAAGATTGAACTCAAGGTCGCGTGTCTCTCCTTCAATATGGCGAATGTGAACGCACCTATAACCAGTCAGAATCTCGTGGCGCCCCCTCAGTCTGGCGACAATAATTTTAAGATAAAGCACAATTCGTAAGAAAAACTTTGCTTAAGACCTCTATCATACATATTAATTAAATTTCGTTTTCTTTATGAATGAAGCTACTTTCAAAGACATTATTTTTAAACCATCATATATATGCGTTTAAATTTGAATCTAAACTAAAATATTTTGTAAATTCATTAAATTTTGTCTGATAAAAAAATCTATTTATTTTCGTTTTGAAAGTATTTACTTTCAGAATTTTTTTTGGCAATGTCAAAAAGAAAGAAGGACTTTGTGGTGTAAAAAATTGTTTTTGTGACGTACAAGTTACATCACTTCCGGTTTAAAATCGCGTAATTATTCGGGAGAACATTTAACATAACTGATAACTATTTTGTCAGCAGACAACTAGGTAGATGTGAATAATAGAATTTTAATGAAAATTTGTATTTATTCTAGTTTTAGAAGATCGTACATGATAATTAAACATACTTTTAAATCATTGCCAACTTTGCAGCTTTAAATTTTTCAATAAGTTCTTCTCTAATTTTCTCGGAACAAAAAGCACTTTCTATACCATAGAAAAATGTTTTCCAAATATTCTCTTTGGACAAATTAAAAATTTTTTGAGCAATTTCAATTTCTTTTGACAGGCTTGTTCTAAAAACTCCTTTATCGTCCGTCTGAAAGATAGATTATTAATCAGCCCTTGCTAACATTATATTATTAAGTTTACATACGCAAATTATAATTGGATGTTTTATGTCATTCCAATAACTAAAATGATGATCTTCTAAACTTTTTACAGTATTTGTAAGGAAGTTGGAGGTTAAACAAATTTCTAGAGAATTTATATTGTACAAAGAATGAAATTAAAGCAAACCTATTTCTGAACAATCTTACCAAGAGGTATTCTGTTCTTCTTTATGAAATTTACATATTTGTCTTTTCCACCCACATCTGGATGTAAATACGTACCATGACCAATTCTATCGATTCCCATTCCGAGAATATCTTGGACTTCTTCAACCTTTTCTTTAATTTCTGCCAGATGAATTGCTATTTGTAATCCTCTCTCTTTAGCCTTTCTTAACAGGGGAATGAAGTCTCTCGCATCGTTTTTCTATTATTAAATAGGCATAAATCATTAAACTTTCGAAAGTTTATAACTCACAGACGGATCACCACTCAAGTCAATTCCTACTATTGTATCTCTAGCCTCTCTATCCTTGTCCAACATTTCGCATAATACTGCAAACGAATTTTCTGCATCTTCTATACCTCTCCCTCTATCAAGAGAGACAAGAAATTTGACTATAATATCCATATTTCTGCAATTTTTTATTCCTTGCAAAACAGCGCGAATATATTGGCTCTTGGTCATGCAGTCTTTTGCAGACCTTGGAGTTGATCTTAATTCCAAATACTTGACATTTTCTTTATGAAAATCTTTGATAACCAACTCAGTAATCTTTTGAATATCTTTTGGCGTTCTTGAAAGGCTTTGAATGATTTTAAAGACCTGAAAAACTCTGCAAAGATAAAGAATAAGAATTTGTAACGACTTTAAAATTTTCCATTACTCCTTGATTGACCGTTTATTTCCACTGTGAATAAGACTATTCCATTTATCTAATGTGTCACTGTCCAATGCCGGATTTTCATCTTTCGCAGTTTCTATAAGATAGCTTATAGCTTCATCACTTAAGGAGCCGCTGATATGGGCATGTAATTCCTAAAATTAAAATAAAGATACATAATATCGCCCATCGATTTCAGAAGTAATTTTGATAAAGTTGAAAGAAATTCAAAACATCATTCTTTCTCTTTCCTTTATCAAGAAAATATTGAACATAATGAATACTTACAACTTTAGGGAGGCGTTCTATGTATTCGCTACTGACGTTAGCTATGTCATTTCTTACTGAGATGCCGGCCATCGTTAAAAATGGTTCTAATTATATGTGGAGTCCTGTTAATAACTGTAATCTATTCCCTTTTAAATATTTACTCTAATATAATTCATATAATAAATTAAACAATAGCCAATTATTTATTTATAAATAATATTTATATATTGTATAAATTAACCTTTATAATTACTTTATACTGCATAAGTGAAAACACTTCTTAAGAGTATACAGTATATTCCATTAGAAAACCTCCTTACGTCTCCTTTGGAAACTGGAAACGTCAGTCAGATAAAAAACAGAAGATTATGAATAATTTATGAATAGTTTGTTTATTCACTTGGAAATTTTGATGATAAATTTACAAAAAAAAGACTTAATAGTCTCAAATATGCTGATAAAAAGAAGCAGGAGTCTTATTGCAAGTGAGAAAAAGTCCAATGCTTGAGGAGTTTTTAATCTTGTAATAATTCTTAAGAAATTTCTAAATGCTAGATGCTGCAGTGGAGGCGTTTACCTGCTGTTCTTTCCTTATATCCTGGGTTATCTGCGTTAAATCTTGAATAAATTGTTGTATTCTTGTCAGCTGTTCGTAGGTGTCTTCTACATGTGGTGTAGCTTGTTTTTGATGTCGAGATACTAGCATGTAGAGGTTATGAGTTGCCCTAGGTAAAACAATATGGTCAATACAAGATGCTCTTTTTCAAAATATAGAATGATTTTTATGATATTTGTCTTATTAACTTACATCTTAATTCGACCTAATAAAAGAGTCTTTTTGGCTGCTGTGTTCTTAATATGGGTCCATTTACTTTCCCATTTTACAGCTTCACTTTGTGTTTTATCCAATTTTGTTTGGAGCGTAGCTAGCCTATTATTATAATTAAGAATCTCATTATTCTTTTCTTCAATATATCTCAATTTTTTCGTCTTTTGTTTTTCTAATCTATCTTGATTTTCTTGTTCCCTATTCATTAAATCCTATTAAAAAACAAATTAAAATGATTACAATGACTATTAATAGAAATCTATTGAATGTTTCTTCTTTACTTGATGAGTTGTAATGAGTGTATCGTGCCTGGCAAGAATTTCTCGAATTTCTTGAAATTCTTCAGCTGTTTCAACTACTTTTTCCATATATTTTTGATATACAAGATGTCTTTCCATTTTTTCCTAACGTTTAAGGGACAGTTGTTTAATAAGTCGAGTACTAATACAAACATATGAAGTTACCTGTAGTTTCTGTTTCTGATCTGATAATTCTTCAGAGTCTGATTTTAATCTAAGAAAATAATTATATTTTAATTTTTTGAAAATGAAATTTTGTGTTTTAGGAATGAACTACAAATAATTGACACTGCAATAGAGGCTTTAAAAGTGTTGATGCAAACATTCAAGCACAAACTGGAAATAAATTAGGTTAAGAAGGATGGGTAAAGATAGATTAGCAAACGCTCTCTCTTTAAATTTCAACCTTTTTATATCGTTTTCCTTCATTTTGCATATTTGTTCTTCCTCGGATTTCTTCTTTACAGCTCGAGCTTTTTTAGAATCATTTTCCTGCACACAACATTTAGCATAGTTGATAGAATTTTTACAATAGTGATAGAATATGTTTTCATTAAAATCATCTCAGTTTGAATCATTTTGAAAAAAATAGCAAAATATTCGACTTCCTAGTATGATTTAGTAAAAAGAAAAGACTGCTTGAAGGCGAATATTATTATTTATTTTTTTTTTTGTAAGTAAGAAGTAACGGTTTGATCATCTATTAAACTTCTATCCTATTCTCAAGTATACCTTATTAATTCATATTCCTTATTTACAGAAATGTCTTTTTCAACAGTAGCTTTGCGTAAAGCTCGTCTACGTTTTTCATCATTCTCCTATTTAATCTTGATAAATTGTATTTTTTGTATCAAAGCGAATATCTACGTACAAACCTTTAAGAATTTATCGAATTTCAATAAAGATTCTTTCAATTGATACTCCTTTCTTTCTAGTTCTTCTCGGCGTTGTTGCAAACTTTCCATTTTCATTTGAAACTCCTAAATTATAGAAATTAGAAAAGAAAATATTTAATATTGTTATAGACTTTATAGTATTCTGTCGAAAATGTAGCATTAATTAAACTTAATACCTCTTTCTGAGCTGCCAGAGCTTGTTCGACTTCTGTCATTTCTCGACGTTTCTCTAAAAGCCTAGTAGCGGGAGTTAGATGATCATCTTCCCGCTCTGGCATCTTGCTGTAAAGATATATTTTATTAAAAACAGTCGTAAATTTATTGTATTAAATTCTTACATGAGTAATTTATCCTCAAAAGTGTGGCGGAAATATTCATTTAAATCGATAGCCATTTTTAATGCTTTAATCTCACGTTGTTACTTAAGGCAATTTGGATAAAATTTTGTATGGAAAACTTGAAGTTCACAGATGTTTGTCGTTGCTATGGTAATTTAAGGGCGAAATATTCTTTAAAAACATAGAGTAGTAGTCTGGCAATTGTATTTCGTCTAAAACGTATCTCAAATATTGAAGTCGAATCAAAACCAGATTACGCTGTTGAAGATGTCTGCCCTTCAAACTATTAGCAATCATTCTTTGCGAAATTGTATTCGACTATTCGGTGTCTCATCGTCCAATCTTTACAAATCTTTGGGACAGAGGTATCTCTAAGATTTTGCATCAAAACCAGTGCAAAGGCGTCTTAAACAATACAACTATTCGATTTTTTTACTTAAGGTCTTTCTCTCAAAAACAAGAGGGTATTCCTGCAGCTTCAGATAACCTAGGATGGTTCAAAAAACTTTTACCTATCAGGAGTATCGATCCAGGAAAAGAGTCACATTCGGTCCTTTTAGCAGAGAAGGAAATCGTTTATGAGCTACAATGTTTGTTTTTTTCATAAATTATTTAAACAAAACATTAGATTCGTTAACAATTACAACTAGCGAAGTAATAGGCCTACAAGTAAATATTTCGCTATTCGAACCCGGTAAAAGAATTAAGAGAACTAATTAAGAATGTTGAAGATATAAATTTATTTGTGTAAAAATTTTTTGCAGTTCATCAAGTTAAACCAGAATTTATGGTAGAATATCTGAAGGAATTGTAAGAAGTGTTAAACGAACGATTACTATTCAATTTCTTAATTTAAAATATTTTTAATAATAAGCGAAAATTTCGTTTCGATTACCACTGAGAAAAAAACCGGGGCCGAGCTAGTCGGTAGTTGGACAGTTGAAATTGGAGATCAGGACGAAGCAGGTCAATTAAATTGAAAAAACGAACATTTGTATTTTAATCAAGTATTTGAATAATTTATTAGTTCACTTATGGAAATATCCTGGAGGATATGAAGTTCTTAACGAAGCAACGGAAGTATATCGGACTGATCCAGTAAGACAAAATTGAAAGGCAAATTCGATTATTTTTATTTCAAGTTTACTTATTTATCAGCAATTGGAAAAATTTCGTTTAAACCGAAATAAAATGCTTAGATCTAGAAAAAATCAGATTCTCTTGGCTTTTAGCTTCTGGGGCGAACCGAAACAACGACCAGCCGAAAAGAACATATATGAGTTACGTAGCTATGTTTTGAAGGTAGTTTGAATAAGATAGTTGACAAAAAAGATTGTATTAACATTTCATTGTATTATTCATAGCCAGGTACTATGATTGAATGGGGAAATAATTGGTAAGCATCTGGACAAATTTTATTAGATTCTAGGCTACAATCAGTGCACTATAGGATAAAACTAGAGGAATAGGATTAAAGCAAAAAATACTTGAATAAGATTATTAATACTATTTTGTAATTCTTACGCATTAGGGCTCGTGGACTGCGAGCTAGAAAAATGTACAATGAAGCTGTAGCTGGTTTATTCACGCACATTGGTGACTTATATACCATTCACCATATGTGGGGTAAGATTATTATTATTAGGCATCTCTGCGATCTGTTGTGAAGTGTACATAGCCTTGCTAGACTTTTTCACTTTTGAATACTATAAAAAAACAACAAAAGTTATTTCCATGAATGTTACAACTATCATATTAGTAATTGTGTGTTCTTTTCTCCCTTCCCGATATACTTCAGAGTTCTTTAGAGTGTTCCTCTGCTTTTTCATAGATATTTATCTATATTTGAATTATTTTGTTTTTTAACTTTTTTTTCTTTCTATCATAATTATTTCACTCTTATCAATGAAGCATAAGCTTATATTGTAGGTTTTACGATATTTACTGATGATAGAAGAAAGTTATAAATGTTAAAAAAAAAACAAAAACCACAAAAATTTTCCTGATGTCGTTAGTAGGTAGTTCTTTGTCGTAAACTAACAGGGCAAGAGGTCTGAGATTTAGAAGGGAATCAGACGAACCAGTCGGAGGATTTTTCAGCCACATTGGTGACGGACACCACGTTCATCATTTTTGGGGTAAGATCGAATAACGTCGGGAAAAAGAAGTTCATTTTTATTTTTCTAGTTTCTTTCTTTTTTTTCACGATTTCCTAAACTAACTTTGAACCAAATTAACTAAATTAAATTAAAACTAGTATCGAAACTATTAATTTTCTTCATTTAGCTTATGATAACCTGCACGAGAGGAAGAGAGTTAGAGAGGCTGCTTGGAGACGACCAGGATGGGATGATTGTGTTGCGTATACAGGTGAGATCTTTAAAAGCTGATAGAAAATAATATTGCAATCTAAATCTTGTATTTTTTTAAAGTACCACTAATCAGGCAAATGAAATCAAGAATTCTAATACCAACTCCGTTCTCGCCACTACAATAAAGAGCCAAAATTTTGATTTGTTAGTTTCGCTCCTGTTAAAAACTAACTGAGAATGCAGTGAACATAATATTTCCTATATATTCACATTACATGTGAGGTTTTTGCAATAAAGGAAGCGCTGATTAGACTTAAATAAAACAAACTTTCCGAATAATCTTTACTTTCAAGTCATATTTTATAAAAATTCACAAAAGGCGAATAAGTACATTTGATAGTCGTTAAATACATATTAAATATTTCATTTTATAAAAAGCATGTTTATTTCAATATTTGAAAGGGTTTTGTCAATTATATTCATATTTCTTTTTGAGAAGTTACGATCGAAAAGTCTTAATAACTTCGTATTAAAGCTGTATTACCGCATATTTTCATCAATATGCATTAGTTTAAAAAATCGTCTGCTAAAGCATAACTGGTAGTAGTTGCACGGCGAAAATGAATTTTGTAAAGGGTGCTTTACAAAGAGCACACTATTGCACTAAAGTTGAAAACTCGTTGTTAAAGTTATTAACCAATAGGATAAAAGCAACAGGTCCTATAACTGTTGCTGATTATATGAAAGAAGTTTTAACCAATCCAAATTATGTGAGTGCAAGGAAAATTATAAAGATGGTTCAATGACATTAATCTATAATGTAATTTTATTGAAGATAGTATAAAAACAAGTTATTAAATTATTTTTCAGGGTTATTATATGCACAGAGATGTATTTGGTAAAGGAGGAGATTTTATAACATCACCAGAAATTAGTCAAATGTTTGGCGAGGTTGTTAGATATTTTTATTTTAAAGGTGTCAGTTATCCTAACAAATTCAACAATTTAACAGCTAATTGCTGTATGGTGTGTTCATGAATGGATGAACGCGGGAAAACCAAAAAAACTACAAGTAGTAGAATTAGGTCCTGGACGAGCTACGCTGGCTGATGATATGTTAAGAGTTTAGTTGTATTTACTTAATATATTCCTTTCAATTTAAGGTTCAATCAAAATTTTTCAGACATTTAGAAAATTTTCAGAATTGAACGATATCGTTTCGTTAAACCTAATTGAAGTCAGTCCCAAAATGAAGCAGCTACAACACGCAAAGCTTTGTCAGACAGGAATTTTAGATGATAAGATACCCAATCTTAATACTTCCATGACAAGATACAATATACCGGTAACATGGCATAATGATATTCAACTTCTTCCTGAAGAATTTACATTCTTTATTGCTCATGAGTTTTTTGATGCTCTGCCCATTCATGTCTTCTTAAAAAATGAAGAACTTTGGAGAGAAGTTTTGGTTGATGTTGATGAAAGTGGAGAAAACCTACGATTCGTACAGTCTAGACAATCGACTATTTCATCAAAATTATATAAATTAAATGAATATAGTAATGGTCGAAACATTTTTGAATTTAGTCCAGAAACTGGTCTAAATGTTGAGGCAATATCTAAAAGATTAAAGAGATATGGAGGTTTCGGTATGATCATTGACTATGGCCACTTCGGAACAAAGGAAGATACTTTTAGAGTATAAAATTCGTTTATTTTCTTTAATTGTTGTAAATATGTTAATGAAAACTCTTTCAGGCTTTTAAAAAGCACAAATTACATCATCCTCTTAAAGATCCCGGAGAAGTTGATCTTACCGCCGATGTAGACTTCCATTACATGAAAAAAGTTGCAGAGAAAGATGGTAATTTATTGTTGAGCTGAATTATTTAAATTCAAAAAAACATAATATTTCAGTTAAGGTCTTTGGTCCTGTCAATCAAGGAGACTTTTTACATCAAATGGGAATTTCTATTAGATTACAGGTTTATAGAAAATTTCCACCACGCTATTGTTATTCATTTACTAAAAAAATCTTGTAACAGATGCTACTCGAAAACGCCAATGAGAAAGATAAGGAAAATTTAATGAGTGGATACAAAATGTTGACTGAAAAAGACCAAATGGGTGAAAGATTTCAATTTCTTTCACTTTTATCCCCTAAACATTGTAACGAAAATTATGAACCAGCTGGATTCTCAACGAAGAAATCTTAAAATGCTTTTTAAAGAAAATAAACAGTTTTGTAATAAATAATATTTATAACTTGAATGGTGTATTCATAACTTTTGTCCGTAATTATACGATATATTAACTTGTTTGCACTTTACATCTTGAGAAATGTACAACTTTAAAAGAATTATTAGCATCTCAAACAACGCCCCATTGTTCTTCAGCAGCTGTACACAATTTTGCACAGGACAGAGCAGCCGAAAGGGGGTAAGAGCTGAACGACATACAGTTTTCAGTATATTCAGGAGAAACAGATCCCTTTGCAATTGCTCCTATAACAAAAACTACTGGTCTATCTGGTCCTAATATTTCAGATGAATTCATTACGTCTCCTTTAAAAGATGTAGAGAATTTAGGGCAACCCGTTGGTAAATGATCTGTTATTGGATTCTTAATAACTTTCAAAAGTTTTTGAGGCCTGTCAGCCGCTGAAACACTGAGTTTATGGAGAAGCTGTACCATAAGACCGCAAAACCTGTCAAACGTACGAGGAATACGCGTTTGTGGGTTCACTTCAATAAGAATATTCTTTTGGGTATGGATATAAATTTGTAGTTTTCCAGCTCTGTTCAGAGGGCTATCTAACAGCATCATAAGGCATTGATGCGTTATATCGGGTCTGTAATCTGAAGGATCCTTGCGAAATTTCTTCAAAAGTCCTTTATGCTTGTCACTAGTTAGCAGTTCGTAGTCTTTACCAACCTAACGTGTGGACGAAAATAAAGATCAGGACGAAAAAAATAGATTTATACCTTTGCCGTCTCCAATGAAGCGCCCTCCAGAACAACTATAAGACGTCTTTCCTGATCCCTATCATGCAGTGATCGTAGGTGATTGGGTACTTTCAATTGTTTTTCAACTCGTGTCTGCTCAGATTCCTCGTGGTCGGTCATGTTTGATTGTTAGCGGGGTAAAACACTCAGTTTTCACCGCAGTGAATCTTATTAATATTCATGAAATACTTATAAATATTCTTGGAGAGCTTTTAACCAATCATAAACTTTCTTATATGAGCTCATCAATAATTTATCGATAGATGGCGCTGTCAACGCGAAAACTTTTTCTTTTTTTTATAACTTTTTATTGAAAGGTTGAATTGTATTTATTGTTACAAAAAAGAGAAAGAAATTAAGAGAATTACGATTGCCTGAAAGTTTTTTTGTTTGAAAAATAAAACAAAATGATCGACAAAGCCATTAAAAAAAAATGATAAAATCACATTTCAGGTTGTGATTTCAACATAAAATAGTTGAAACATTCATCGATAAAATTAGCTATCACAAAATCACGTATTCTTAAAACATACTATCAAACTATATTTACTTTTTTCAAGTGTGGCACAATGCAATTTCTTTTTTTACATACGAAAAAAACGTTAACTTTTTCAACCTAAAAAATTTTAAGCACCATGTAAAGATAAGGAGTTGTTTTTTATTGTTACTGTCCAGTTAAGAAGGAAAAAATTATTGTAGAAAAATAGAACTATTTGTGTGTTTTTTTGGTTAAACTTGTCCTGAAATTGTTAGGTGAGAATTAGGAATAATAAATACCAGTTTCAAGTTTGAATGACAAACCGCTATGATTCGCTAGAGTCCTACTTCCATCGTGGTATTGATATGCGTTTGGTAATGATGTTATAGTCTCTTCAAAGGTTGGTATCACGCCGTGAAAAGTACCTCTGTGAATCTATGAATGGAAGTATTGCAATTTTTTATTATTATTGCGTGGAAACATCTATAAAGACTAATTCTTGAAGTTTTTTTTACTTACTTGACTCCTTTGGTGCTCCATATTACAACTCATCATTTGTACTGTATCTGTTGCAGGTGCATTACCATCTTGTGGATATATTGTTCCATTGTTAGGATGAAAATATCTTGGCGTCATTTCTTGACTGTACATGTCGTACTCTTGAGCCATCATATGACCGTAGTTGGGAGGAGGCTGCTGCTGTGGCTGAACGACTTGTTGCTGCACAGGCATTTGTTGAATATTAGCTGCCGCACCTTGGACCATATTGCATTGCTCCTCTAACATATGGTTGGGATTTTGCAGTGGTGGAGAATAGTGATCATAAGCGGAGGATAGTTTTGTACCCGACAATACTAAAGATTGAGCTTCTCCCATGCTTATTTGCTGTTGACGCCTATGAGTGACCAGGTGTTGTCCATGGCTTGGGACGAATCCAGCACCCAATCTATAAGAGTAATGATTAAGAAGATCAGATAAAAGTAGATCATTTTTTTTCTTTTAACCGCGTATAAAAAATTGCCTCTCTTTTCCTCTCTCGTTCTATTGTTAATTTTGAGAGTCAATGAATTGCCTAGTCAATTATTCAAAAACTCGTCTACTGAGATATTGGTATTCTTCACCCTCTCTATTAGACTGTTGAATGACTATTCTATGGCATTTCTTCGTAATTATACGTTACTAAAAGTGCGCATGAAAAGGTTATACTATTTATGTTAAGCGCTCAAACAGTTGAAAAGAAGTACGTGGGTTAAATTTTGAATATTTTCAAATTAGTCGTTTAAAAGTGATTAAAGTAATTTGTAAGAAAAAACGAAGTTGTAGAAATGAATTTTTAGATATAGCCTCTTTGCCTTGTTGTTTTATAACAAATGATAGTGTATATAATACAGTATATATGAACAAACTGAGGGGCGTGCTGCAAACTTTCAACAGATTTTACGGTTCATACAACTGTCTGAATGAAATGAATTGTTTGCTCGTAACCCGGTGATCGCAAAAATCAGGTCAATAAAACTAGTTTTATAATTGAAATGACCTCTTTTCGATTCGTTAAATTCATCAATTGCTTCCCATACGAGTTTATCACAATTGCTCAGCGAGGTGTCGCCACTCGCACAAAAGACATCTTCCTATCAGCCTATAATTAGGAGAATATATACTCGCTACTTCCTGACTTTATTAGCTTTGGTTAACGCCGAGGGACGTTGAAAAAAAAATTTCTTTATTAAATGAATAAAAAAATGCCCCAGCGTTCACCTTATTGGTCGTCAAAGAAAGCTTTCGATAAAGGAGTTTGATTTTTTTCCGTTTTACAATGGATAATAAAAGTCGGCAGATGGTAGCACAATCGCTACAACCGGCCCCCCTCTCCCCTAACAATTTAGATTATAATCTTTACCTATTGATAAAAAGAGTAAGAAAAGAAATCTTTCCAACTCTTATAGAAAATTTTACTTAATTTCTTACCTCTGTTTGTGACCGTAAGCAATATTTTCTGGTAATTGCGAATGTGAATTATAAACTGTTCTTTCGTGACCGGGACCAAATTGCATCTGCTCGTATTGAACAGCCTCTTGCTCTTCAACGTTACCAATACCCGTTATATTCATACATGGCGTCAGCGATTCTGGTAAACGATCTTTTGGTCCTTTAATCTGTATATATTTAATACAAAATAGAATAATTGTATTATAAAGAGATTTATATTAATATATAATTTATATATACATTTCGACGAAAGAGCTAGATATACAATACATTAAGTATATATGTATATAATTAAAATAGAAATCAAAAGCCTTTAATTGCTATACTTGAACAGTCTATTTATTAAGCAGGTATATAATCAAAAGAAATGTTCCTATAACCTTGAAATATAAATGATTTTGCTCCTAAGAAATCCTTCTCCTTTCTTTTATATTTTAAATAAGAAAAGAATTATTAATTATTCAAGAAAGAAAAGAGACGAAAGATTAAAAACTCTTTATGGATATGTTTGTTTGTGTTATATATATATATATATATATATATATATATATATATTTGTACTAAAAGTATATTCATATATAGTTTTTACTTATGTATTCAGTACTGTCGACTGATTAGGTTTTTTTTTACGTAGGTGGAAATATTTAGTTAAAAGCTGTGCTTAAAAAATTCAAGATCTGTAGAAATACTAATAAATAATACCGTAGTCTTTTCTTCTCATTTCCCTTAAATACATTTTTTAAGTGTTTTCTGATCATAAACCTTTTTGCCTATTTACCTCTTCTCTTTCTTAGTTTAGGATTATTTTATTCAATTTTTATATATTTAAATATGTATCTTCTATTTAGATATGCAAATGAATTTTTTACATTGTTTGTCAATGTAATGATGTAATAAATTTTATAATGGCGAGCAGGAGGGGGAGGGAGCTGTTTATGGCAAAAAGATATCTTTCTCTAAGATCTTTCAGGGGGCAGTGAAGGTGGGATTAAAGACCTTTGGGAAATTGCTGGGGTCGGGCGGTTTGAAAGGACATTTCGTAATATTTATGGGTCACCCATATATTTGCTTTATATTGCAAATTAACGAGATCTTCAATGCCGCGCCCTGAATCATTGGCCTAATAATGTCTGGATTTACAATGAGAAAAGTCTCTCATTTCTCACTATTGATAAAAGTCTATAATAAATATGTATACAGTGGAATATGTTACGCAGTAAGTATCAAGACTAAAGATTTAATAATTTACAACATTTTCATATTAGGATAGACATAAAGTAGGTTGAACAAACGTATTTTAATGAGAATAAACATATTAATTATTACTATCATTATTTGATATTGCCAATGGTATGCGCAAATTTCCTTTTTTACTAGCATTTATCTCCAGTAAGAAAAGAAGAAAGGTAAGCGCTGGCTTGTTTCAAACAAGGTAAATGATACCGTATGGTAATCATCGGTTTCTAACAAACAAAATTCTTTTAAACAAAAAAAAATAACAAACTACGATTGGAATGCGATTGTTTTCCGTAGAATGACGTTTGTGAAATGTTTTCACCTCTATAATTTCGGCAACTATTCCTTAAAAAACCGCCTCAATTTTTCTTTCCTACACGCCTCCACTTACACCCACTCGCCCACCCCATTCACTATCCAATACGCCAGTAATTTTCGAGAGAGTGAGAGAGAGAAACGACTATTATTAGCAATTCCTTTATTTAAGGAACTGAGGTGGTAGGTGAGCGGATAGACAGAAGGAAAGAGAAGAGGAGAGTATGTTTAAGGGAAAGAGGGAATTGTATACAAATTTCAAATTCTGGCAAAAAAGAAACCGCGGCGTCCACGCGCTTTCAGGAACGCGCATTAAAATTTCCATTTTCCCTCTATAGAAATCAAGTATAAATAAGAAAAAGTTTAGTTTTACCTTTGATTTCTTTTGTTCAGCCCTTTGGGACGGTGAGTGAATTTTACTATGTTTGCGTAACGACGATGGATCAGTGTAGCGTTTATTACATCCAGGTATTGAACAAACATAAGGTTTCTGAAAATAAAAAGAAAAAAGCAGCTGTTTTAATATATTCAATACATAAAGTACATTATTCTAGTTTACACGTAAAATTCGTATAACTTTTAAAGGGTTATGATTAAATATATAGGCTTAACAGATCCACACACAAAACTACAGGCCTGACAATCGTAAACACACTAGTTTGAATAGTTTTTACACTTTGTCAATGTTGTTTGACTTGAGAAATGTTTATTTCAAGTAATGTAGCCAATTTATTCCAGTTTTTTTTTTAAAAAAAAATAGTCTTCTCTTTTCTTTTCTTTTTTTTTTACATATAGTTTAACATATCCTTCTTGTTCAAAGAATTTGTTTTTATAGCTTATACGTTATACTAATATTATAGTGTGAAAATAAAGGAAAAGTTTTAACCTTGACAAAATTTCGATAGCTTGCTAATTAGAATCGGTATATGTACTGTATATACATCACTGTATATATATACATTGTTTATATAGAAATATAGAAAAAACAGAAGGGAAATTGATATAGAAACGCTAGAAAAAATTCTTAGAATACTTAGTAGTTTAGATACTATTCTGCTTATAGTAACCGATATCATTTACCAAACAAATATCAATAAGAATTACTTATTTTTTTCACATTAAAAAAAGATAATTTATTCTACTGGGCTCGGTGGATTATAGCGATTAATTTTCTTACTAAGAAATTGGCCTCATTCGGATTAAGTTAACAATAGTAAGCTTTTACCCGTTTGTAATTGTAGCCGATATATGACGCATTTTTAACCGTTTACTAATAATAACAGTTCTTTTTTACCTCTAAAAGTACTAACTAATTATATTAGCATAAAAAGTGTTATTTAACAGCTATTAGTATAACCAATTCGAAAGAAAAGTAAAGAGGCTCTGTGACGTACGAAACGTGATTTAACCTTGAAGCAAAGTCAATAAAATCGATACATGTTTTATATACAAAGTATACAGAATGCATTGAACTCATGAATAGTTTAACTTGGAAGAAAAGATATTTAGATTAATATTGTTATAAATACATTTGTGCATATATAAACATACAGTATATTTATTAATACATAAATATAAAAAATGTAAGCCTATAAGACAAAATAGAACTCCCTTATTTTCTGATTGATCGGAACGTTTGAACACGAAAATCATTTATAAAAGAAATTAAAGAAAAGTTGATGAGAAAAGATAAAAGTAGAAAATCTAATTTAGATTTGATGTTTTTTAAACAGTTTTTTTTAAATATATAAAGAAAAAGTGTACGAACCGTATCCAAATGCGTTCTTTGATGCTTCGCTCTATCTGAACTATTGCTGAACGCTTTGGGACAACCAGCATGTTGGCATAAGTAAGGTCTCTCTCCAGTATGAGAACGTAAATGTATCTTTAAATTTTCCAATCTGGAAAAGGCTTTATCACATCCTTCGAACTGTTTATGGGAAAAATTTTCAAATATAATTCTTATCCTCAAATCGAACTTTTTCAACAATCTTATTTAGTTATTAAGTAGGCCATTATCTGCACTTTATAAATATGCCCTATTCAAAAATATACTGATCAATATTGGCGAGAGCAAAACGATAATAATTCATACCGGGCGGTGAGATCAAAAGCAAATGAACATTGTTAAAACGACATAAAAGAGTTAAAGTATATTCGAGCTAATAAACTACAACAGGAAACCGAAGGGTGTCGATGCAATTGAACTACTTTATGCTCTTGGAATGCTAAGTTGAAATTAGTGATATTATTCAATAAAATACAATAAATAACAGTATTCTTAATGTCTCTTATTATAGAAAAAGTACTAAATGGCGTAAAATAGTATCTTTTGCATATCTTTATTTTCAAAATCGTATACAAAGCGGCATCGTTTGAAGAAGAAGGGTTTAAAAAGAAAACCCACCTATTATTTATATATATATATATATATACTTTCTATAAATAAATACTAGTACGTTATATAATATTTAATATTATTATAATATCCTATTGTTTTATATAATAAATAAACTTTTTTCCTTCAAATCTCTTCGCATTTATGTTTTCTTTTCTTTTTTTTTTAATTAATAGGCTTACAGCTATGGAATTTCAACCTCGATTTTACAATTGATTAACTTTATTGCTTTATTATCTCACTTTTCTGTGATTGTATTAATAAAAAAAATGTAGTAGAGTTCAGAATGAAATATACTCGACAATATTTTTCGTACTATTGTCTTCATTAATACTATTGGCTGATAAACTTTATATATATATATATATATATATTCAATATACTGTAATATATTGATTTATTGATAGATTTCATTATACCTAGGGAATTATATTAAAAGTACATGTTGCCTATTACTTATTCTTTCGAACGCAAAAGTTCCAATGCTGGTCATCAATTTCACTCAGTTGGAAGTTGAATTTTTATTTATTATATAGGACTAGTTGTAACGGCTTTTTAAAAACGTATTTTTTCCTATAAAAGAATTGTACAGCTATTAGATTAAATGCCATAAAAAGAGCTGTTATTTACTAAATTTACAATAATTGAAAAGTAATTTGTTAAATATTGATCAAATTGTAGATTTACAAATAATTTAATAAATAAAGAGTAGTTTTTCCGGTAATGAAAAATAACAACCTTGCAAATATGATTTATTAGTTTGTAAATCTATTTCATTTTTTCTACTTATCTAAATATCGATTTTATTGATCTGGTATAGATCTTTTATAATACTTTAATCGTGTAGAATATAAGAGTGTCGTGTCATCAATTACATAATGGATATTAGGCTAAGTAAAATAAGAAATAATTTAGATGTAGAACTATATCTATATGTAATCAAATTTTTGAAAAATTATCTTCCTGAATTTGATTAAAATGATCGATTTTTAAAGAATGCGTGTTGCGAAAAAAAGAGAAAAAACAGCCTGTAAAATTGGTTAAAATTAAATAGATTATATAGGCTGTACATGTACAATAGATATAGGCGCTCTTGTAAAAAGTTTTATGTAAAGTATGTACGGAAATGAAATGATATATAGGAAAAACTTACAGTGCACTTGTTAGGCTTTTCACCAGAATGAGTTCGCATATGAATCAGTAATTTATAACGTGCGTTGAACGGTTTTTGCCTCCTGGGACAACCTTTCCAAAAGCAGGTGAAATCCTCCCCCTTCCTTTGGTCTATATGATTTTTCTCGATATGTCTGACCAATTCTTCCCTTTCACCAAACTCTTTATCGCAATCTATCCATTCGCAATCGAACTTTTCAGTTTTACCTAATTCTTCCAAATTCCAATTGGATTTAACCACAATCGTATTAGATTGAACGCTCTCCGGTGGGTAAAACGACTGTCTACTTTCAGCGCTTGATAAACTATTCCTTGCCGACAAATGACCGAATTCGGCCGAGGGCGTTGACGAGCTCGAGGCTCTTAAAGATTTCGGAGAAAAACGTATTAAAGCATTCAGATCAACTCCTTCAGTTGTGGGCGATAACGATAAGGGACGCTTATTCGTTTTAGCTGAATAATCAGTTAGACGACTGGAACAACGGGATCCCGTAAATTCTACAACGGAAGGAAGTTTATTAGGTAGCCATGGGTCCTTTGGGGATTCGTAAGAAAGAGATGACCCTGTAAAAAAGTAGAAGATTGAGCATAAAATGAAAGAAAAGCGATATTATTTAATTATTCTAAGGATGATTGAAAAACTTAATTGTATAATTATTTAAGGTATGAAGTAAATAATTTATAGTGGCTTGATTTGATTAAAGAATTATGCCTAATTCAAATACATTTCATTCTCCTCCATTATTATTTTTCTGCAATTCTTTAATATTTCTTCGTATAGTTTTTTGAATATACTGTATATATATATATAAAACAGTATCCGATTGATTATTACGACTACAAAGCAGTGAAATATAGTGCGCATTTAGTTTTATATGAGATATACTTTGGAATTTAGAAGTTTAATTAGAAAAACGAGAGATTATAAAGATAATACGATGTTCTATACGTTCAACAGTACTTGTCTTTGAAAATATAAAATGTAATCCTTTCTTCCTTTCTTAATAACAAAAGCAAGAGGGAAAAAAAAGCTTAATTAATTTGTATGAGTCATTCATAAGATATTTCTACTAATTTTTCCTTAACAAAAATACCTAAATAAACCATAGAAAATTGGTAAAATAGATAAAATAAGTTCGTGTTACTTTTCCTTTCTCTCTCTCTCTCTCTCTCTCTCTCCTATTTAAATTATTTGAAAAGTATGCTTGTACAACCACTTTCTTTTTTGTAATAGTTATTTTTATTTACTCTATTTGTAAATAAAAATTTGTAATAATAAATAAATATAAACATCTTTAATAGTTTTTTGATCCTTTTATATTTAGGTTAAATCACTAATTTTTATTTTATTTTTTAATTATTTTTTTTTTTTTAAAAAAAAGAAGCTTACCATTTTGATAGAGAGGCGGCATACGAGGCACACTACAGGAATTTTTCGCCATTGAAGTCTCCGATTCTGTCAGATATTCTAATTTCGGTACACCATTTTTTGGTCGTCTTTTTGCATGTCTTGGTGTTGAGTTTTGACTCATTCTATGGGAAAAATATTCCTTATCGGTTAAGATTGATTTTAAACAGCAATAAAAATTTGTCTATTGATGACGTCATGCGTTATCGCTTTTATCTCACTGTAACGATTTATCGCCAATAATATAAATGAATATATTCTCGGATATACTGCACACAAACATATATATATATATAATACAATAATAATATAATATAAAACAATATATATATATATATATATATACTGTATATATTCATTCATTCATATATTCTCTTAAGATATTCAACTATTTACATTCACATAAATGTATAAGTTGAAAATTGTAAACATTACGATAATTTTCTCTCTCTACTCTTTTATTACGCCGTACTCCATTCAATATGAGAGTTACATAGCCGAGAGTGTTCAGTTTTCTTAAAACATTCATGGGATTAGTTCATTAATCGATGACCTACTTGCTCGATCTCTATAGACTATGCTGATCGACAGCTTTAGAAAAGGTCAAGGTAAACAAAACGAGCAATTCAAGAAAAATCTTTAAGTAAAAGCGCAATTTCATATTGATTTCCAAATATAGGCCTGAAAATGAAAAAATTATGGAAATATTTTTTACCTTTTACTTTTTTAATGTCAGTTTGAAAATTTTTAATCCATTCTCCTAACTAAGGTTCAACATGGTTTATCACTCGATAATCCAATCGAAAGATTAAAAGAAAATGTTCAATAACGGAATCTGTTACCTCATTGTGGTTGGGCCGATAGACGTAATAAATTTGCCTCAAGGTAAAACTTCAACCCCAGGGAATAATTAATCAAAGTATGGCACAAACATTATTGCATTGATCAATGAGGGACATATTTTAAAATTTGTCTCTTATTTCTTTAAATTGTTTTCTTCATAAACGAAGAGAGTATTGCGATTAAAGATAAAAAACCTACCGCATTTGCCATAGCAACTTTGGACGCTGACCAGCAGATGGCGTTTGCACAAAGAACTTTTTTGATAAATTTTAAATTAAACACGTAAAAATTCCTTTTTAGACATTTAAAGAACGGAAAATGTCTAGAAAATAAATATATCACGTCGCTAATAAGGCGTAGAAAAAGGGGCAAAGGCCGAAAGCGGCAAAGCTTCTGTGATCACTATCCTCTTCATCATCTCAACTTCAAGCGTCATTAACTATCAACAATTGGGCAAGGTTTTCACTTATTCGTTTCCGAAGTTTGAATAAAAATAAGCCTATATCTTTCTTCAGTTTTCAAATTTACAGATTCCGTTTGATTGAACAAAATAATTATGAAAAGTATACGAATGATTATCAATTTCTTGCTTGTTTTCTTTAAGAAAAAACAGTTTTTTTTCTTTTTTTTCTTAAAGTATATTTATAGAACGTGGGAATGCGGAGGATTTGTGATTAATTGAGCATGATGAGATGGGCAGTTGGGTATAATGTATTTATGGCGTTTTTAGTGTCCAACACTTAACGCCCGTCACAAAAAGTTGATAGAATTACCATTTTTTTTTTTACAATATCTAAATTATTACCAAGAATATTGTCTTTATCAAGTGCTTCTTCTTATTCTCTTGAGGAATAGCAAGATATTTAATCCTGTTATTTTTATATTGGAAATTCAAAAATATATAAAAGAAAATAATTAATTTTAAAATATTTCCTTTTCACATAGGCTTCTCCCTTGAGAACGAGAAACAGAGCTGGAGAGTGGGGGGGAGTTAGAAAAGGAAGAGAGAGAGAGAAAAAAAAGAAAGAGAGAGGGGGGAGAGGTAGAGAGGTGTGGCCTATTTCTCATAGATCACTTGAACGAGTTCGTTGTCGTAAATTTGATGAATAACCTTTCAAATTTGAACTTTCTTTCATTTATGTACCCCACCATATGCATATACAATTATCTCACTTCCTGCAATAGGGCATAATTTTTCCAAAAGAAATCAATTTTCTCACTTTATCATCATCTTTTCTCAACTAATTACGTTTAATTGCATTTAAGGTAACGAAAAAATTGTTTATTATAACAACCTTTCATACTGTTGAAATGGCGTATTTTCAACTTATTCCCTACTTTTTTATATTTAATATGTTTTTAAATTTGTCCATATTGCCTCTTTTTGTTAGTTAGAAAGAAAACGCTTTAGAAAGTAACTAATCACTCTTAAAATCAACCAGAAATCGAGGTCATAACGGCATAACCCTGTTTGAATACGGAAACAGTGATTATCATAATTTCGAGCATCTGACACAAAAAACGCCGTCAGCATTCTGACCCAGTTTTTTCGTGACGTCGCTTTTTTTTGTTCATGATGTATTGTTCCCATTCGAAAAGCAGGAAAAGTTACAAAAGAAAATTATTATTATATTAAATAATGAGAAAACAAAAACTTTTGCTTAAAGAAAAGAAGAGAAGTATGGAAGATTAATTTATTTAAATTGAATTCGAGATTTTTGCTGCCCTAGAATTGTTTCTAGGAGAAAGACAAAAACAAATTGAACGAATTCAACAATAACAACAATAGCAATAAAAAGATATAGATTAATTTAAATATTATTAATAATGAACCTATTAAATTAAGTAATTTTCTGGATTTTGGTTTATTTTTTGAAAGAATATAAATGAAGTTTATAAAACATATCAAAACAACTTATCAAACGTTTTTAAGATTAGTTCTTTGATCACCTTTAATTTAAAACACGCATGTGATTTTCATGAAAAAGAAACGAAATTGTAGCACGCGAGAAGCCAATCGGTTCTTAGCTCGTTGTACACTGAATAGATTGACCAAACTGACCATTATATTGGTCAATGATCTGATTATGCGGTCAGAGATAGTTATCAAAAAAATTTTTCTAATGGAAATTTAATTACTATCTAACGTCTGCTATCGAATAGTTTTAAAAAATTTAAATAACTTAATTCTACATACGGATAGTTGGTCTTCTTCCAATGATAATCCTCTGGATCGGAGATATAATCCTTTCTAAATCGCTTTGTATTGTCAACAATCTCCTCCGATTTCCTTTTAGACGGTCTTACAACGCAGTAACAGGACACCTCCAATTCGAACGGATCCATCTTTTAAAATAAACTTTAATTAAGGTCGAGTGGTGAAGCGCTGCAAAAGTTTACGCGCCAGACGACTAGAATAGCTAAAATAAAACATCAATCAACTATCAAAGATTCCGACGTGTACAAAGGGCTCATATTTCACGCCGTAAACAGTCCGACTTCACTACTAACCGACAACGGGTCGATCGAGCACGGTGGAAGGCGGAGCATAAATTTTTACGGCCGATTGAACTATCCAATGACGCCAAAGATGCTGATCACGTGACATGTGGCAGTTCGCGTTTCGAGTGTCGGTAGTGGATTGATGACTTTTTCACTGATGCAGTTCGATGGGCGTTAATAATATTTACGTTTTATAGAAGAGTCGAGTGCCTTCATACAAGGAATGCTAAGTCAAAACATAAAATTTAAGATATTTCCAATTAAAACACAACTAGGAAATGATTAAGAATGATGGTTTTACAGAAATATTCCATTATGCAAATTACACTTTTAATTGTTTTGTATGGAAAATACCTATTGATTCAAATTAAATTTCCAACTTACTAATCAACCCGAGAACTTGTAAAGTTGAAAAAGAAAAGTAGAAAAGGTTAAGAAGACATGACTTTTTTCCTTCGGGTTACAAGCTAAAATAAAAAAGATTATATCAATAGAGGAAAATGTGTAAATATCAAATGGAAAATCGTGTTTTTTAATAGTTTACTGACACTTTAAATTATCTAACTACACTTCATAGGAAACGGTTTTTTTGTATTTATGAAAACAGGGCAAAAGAAGTTTTTGATACTCTTGTTGAAAATAGATTGTATACTTTTAACAATGAACTATTGATATTCTTTAGTGTAATATTTTTAGAGCGAAAAATGAGTATCTTAAAAAAGTCAAATTAAAAATTCGATGCGGAATCTTCTTCTCTATTCAAAACTACGTAAAAGTAGTAATCGAGCAGATGAAAAAGGTTGGAACTATTTGGACAGGAAAATAACATGTTATTTAAATAGAATGCGATTAGAAAAGGCGACATGACTCGGACTATCACTAGGAACTCGCCGAATACAATAAATAAGTTTAGAGGTCAATCTTACGAGCCATTTAATGCTACATGATGTATTACTTGTGTCATGCAATATTCTTTGATCGAGTTATGCTTGATTTCTATAACAATTCCTTAAAGAATAAAAAATAAAATACTCCAATAATTGTTATAGAGTATAAAAGTTTAAAAAAAAAAAGAATGAAAAAAATCGAAAGGGTTACGACTTTTACGGAAGTGACGCCTATATTTTGTATATAAAAAACGAAATATGGAAGGTAGATAATTTTAACGCTCACGACCTGCCAAAGCCACCTGCTTACACCCCCTTTGATCAGGCGCCCAGTAATTTGCATACATCGTTTTTATAGAGCCATTACAATAAGCTTTCAGCAAGTCCCGTTCGGTTTTTAGGTTTTTAAGTGGGTATAAACGTATACAATTTGCTTGACGGCGATTGAAAACTTGAATTTCGATATTATTTAAAAACGCTATCGTTTTTAAATTTTATAAATATCTTTTGATCTCAGTATTCTGTAAAAGTCTTATTTTTCTTCTTTCTTTCCATTTCAATAATATATCCTTTTCACCAAGCTAGAAAGTCTATTTCAAAAAACGAAGCCTTCTTCATCTATCATTAGATCATCCCAGTTCTATTTAAATATACAAAATACTTTTACAATTGTTGTCATTCCGCATATGGATCAATTTTTTATACCTGCTTTGATAAAATTTGATTGTTCCTTTTTTTAAAGATATCATTCAGATGCCCTTCATAATTATTTATATAAATCGTTGGTTATTTTTTGATTGACTATATAAGAAACTTATCTAACCAATAATTATACGCAATAAAATATAAGAACGCTTATTTCATTCATTTATTGTACTAGTCATAAGATTTATTGCTTCGATTTCGTTCCTCATCTATATCTTTCTTAAGATGTCAAAAAAACAAAATTAAAAAAAAAGTACTTAAATTTAAGATATCTCTTCGTTGAATCTTGCGTCTGTTAAGGAAAGATATATATTCTAATATATAGGGTATGATAATATATTACGACTTAAGAGGGTTAAAATTATACGGGATTTTCGATACTGTAACAAAGTAGAGAGCACAACGATACTTGTAATTTTGTGCCGCCTGTTAAAAAATAGGGGCTATATTTCTCATTCAACCTAAATTCACAATTATTCAGTTTCTCTATCTATCTATCTATCTATCTATCTTTTCCTCCTTCTCTCTCTCTCTCTCTCTCTCTTCCTTTTTTTCTTTATACGTATAATATGCAGTTTATAAATATAATAGAAAATTTATATCAATTATGATAAAATTCCTCCCTTTCTTCCTTTCTTTCCCTATATTAATTATTCTTTAGAGTTTGAACAAACATTCGATTATTTGTAATGTTACGGTCAGAACATACCAGATAAGCATCTCTCAAATGCTATATAAAAAAAATTATAATGGCCCTACGTGGTGTATGGCTCCTACGAGTTGAGGTATAGCTCACCCTTTTTTTATTTGATCTTTGATAATAGCACTTAAACTCCTAACAGTTACCTATACAATGGCTCCATCTTTCGGATTTCGGAAAGAAATGTGATTTTTCTCTCCCGCCTCGCCCTTTCCTTATCCCCTTCAACAGGAAGTTAAGACATAACGGCGAAAAGAAAGTATGCGATACATATTATTGATTTGTTATTGTATCAATTTATTATTTATTTTAAGCTTTTTCAAGCTATTTTGCCCTATGCAAATACATCTATTATAGTTGAACAAGAAAAGAAAAGACAACCTGTAATATTTCAACATTTGTGTTAGAAAAGGACGTTTTATTTTTCGTATAAAAATTTTTGTATAGGTTGGCGAAAATGAAACGAGTTGAAATTTATATAAAAGAGAGACGGAGTCAGACAGAGAGTAAAAGGAGGGGGGGGTGAAGAACGGGGGGGGCGAGGGGAGGGGAGAAGGGGGGTAAGGGGTTGGCATGGAAGAAAGGAAAAAAGCATAAGATCGTATTACTTGTTTTGTAAATATTAGTTAAAAATAAATTCAATCAAAATATAGTTGAATGTTTTTCACGTTATTCGTATTTATATTAACAGTAAAAACTTGTAGACCACACATTGCCAATATGATAGAATATCAATCTACGAATACTGTTTTTTATAGAATTTTTCCGCAAAGTTCTCCCATATTTCCCTCTCTTCATTTTATTTTAATGTAGTATTCATATATATAAATACACCTTTCAATACTTATTTGATTAGTGTTGATCGTTGATTATTGACAATTTGTCAACAAATATTTTTTTACTTTGCTCCATTAATAGTATGTATTCTGCTTATTTGAATAACTTAACAAGTAGGTTGTATTCCTTGCCGTAGGAAAATTTTAGAGGTCAAATCTTTTTCATTACGTGATCCTTAACTTTGCTAACATCTATCTACAGAATATTGATTACAAGAAAAGAGTCAATAGTTTTCGTATTCTATCATTTAAAACGAGAAAATTGTAGTATTTTAAACAAATTCAATAATAAAGTATTGTTATTATACTTTATTGAATTTTATTTTAATATTGTTAATACACTGTGTTGCGTATAGTGCGATTTTCATTAAGACTTGGATAAAAGATAAATACGAGTACTTAAACAATTCATTCTTCGTTACTGAAAGGCTTTGAAAAGATCATTTTGGAAACATTTAGAACCATTTATTTGAAAAAAACCAACAACTTTTTGACTAGTCATACGCATCCTCTTTCATAAGAAAATTAGAAAATTAGAAAATTCACTGTATGTAATATTCATAATATTTTGCATAGCATTAGAAGAAAGACGATCTTAAGTAAATTGCTGTACGAAAGCTCGTTGCAGTCTTTCGATTTGGTGGCAAAATTTTACGGCCGGTCCTAATTTTATTGGTAGAAAATCCTGAACGGTCTGCAGGTTTAGAAGTAGTAGAGCTTGGCCGTCAATTTCCTAGAAAGTAATAAGTTACATGTTAAACATAATTACTTCCAAAGATAAATAGATTTAACGTAATCCGATTACAAATAGATGTAATTATATTGACTCTTACCTGCTCCCGTAGAAAAGGTACTACGTATTTACAATCATTGTCAGTCATAAAATTAACAACATCGTCGACAGTCCACTTTATAGGATCGCTTTCTAGCAAAAGCTTGTCAGAAGTTAAAATAGGTTCAGGCTTTTTTAAAGTTGGCTTAACTTTTGGTTCTTCTTTCATCTTTTTTATCTCTGTTTCCAGGTTCTCTTCCTTAAGTTGAAGGCTTCCTTCAAAATTTTCATCTTCTTCCATTGAGGGGGATAAAATTTCGAACTCAGTTGTCTTCCTTTTTTTTCTTTTACCGAGAGGAGCTACTTTTATGGCTATTTCTTCTTCCTGTGTTTCAGTTTTTATTGGTGCCTTTTCAATTGTACCAAATGGTTTCCTTCCTCCAAATTTTCCTCGTCGTTCCTTAGAATCAACAAGTAAAGACAGCGTATTTGGGGGACGGCCTATCCTCTTCTTCTTCTTTTTTCCATATTTGTAATCCACTGTTGTGAATTTAAATACATTTTAACAATTGTACAACATTACTGAATAATTTTTTTGGATATTTTAAAGTCAAAAAACAATACATACTGTATCTGTTTTTTGTAAACTGAGAGCATTTTTCAGGACAGTGGCCATTTACAAAATTTGGTGAAAATAAATTAGGACAGCTTTCTATCTTAATGCATATTTGCTTGCAGAATTCCTCAAGCTATTGAATATATGAATATTATTAAAAGATTTCATTTCTTTGATACATTAATTACCTGACTGGCAGAGCTACAGATTTCTGCACTAGCTCTATATTGTCTTCCTTTATACCTAAAAATGAATGTATTACAATCGGTTTTCTATTAATACCTAGTAGTGATCTTACTTTGCTTTCAATGAAACAAGTTTCATATTAGGGTTAGGTTGGTCTTGTAGGCTGAATAGTCGTAAAACAAAGGATGGTTTGTAAGCTACATTTATTAATTTGCTCAGCACCTGAAAAAAAAATTATTCATTACTGTATAATTAAAATTTTCTAGGAATCAGAATAAATTGTTTAACAGCTTTGTAATATTTCTAACTTACTTCAGTCAAAACAAGTTCAATTGGTCCAGGCCCTAACGATTTAGGTAGCATCGAAAGTTGGCCTTTATTCAAGAATGGTCCCGAGAAACATTGATGATTGAAATAGATTTTTGGACATGAGCCATCTTGACTGTGCTCATCCGAATAATTTTCTGATCTATCTTGACTAATATGTTAAATACATGGATATAGTTTGTAATTATAGGGCAAATTATTTTAATTAATTCCTACCCGGTTTCAGTGTCCAAATTACGCTTTACTTTTACTCTTAGACGACTTTTGTGAGGTAATTCCAGGGGATAATCATTACTATCACACCATCCAACAGGAAAAATATCCATGGAACTTGCTGCCCTCACAAACTCGTTTGTTTTCGATGTCTCACTATCCAAATGAAGAAATAACAATTTCTGAACAACCAAACTAACCGTTGCCGGGCTTATGACATCAGGATTTTCTGGATGTACTACTTCTAACTTATCCCCTTTAGCAAACTTAACATTTTCAATAAACTGTTAAAAAATTATAGCAATATTATATAAACAAAAAAAACATATTTTATAGGAAAGCTATTGATATTAATGTCTTACTTTATTTAAGAAGCAGTCAGGTGAAGCTGCTTTTGACCCCGTTTTTTCTAAATATTCATCCCAATTAAATTCTGGATTTTTTGAAGCTGTAAATTGATTAGTTAAATGTAAATTCAGTATTATAAATAGGAAAAAATAGGAATTTAAAAACTACCTTTAGGAGCTTTAATCTTAATTCCATTTGTTTCACAAGTCTTAACAGGAAATATATTACAACTACCGGAATGACAACACATTCGGACAATTTCTTCACCATCATAATCATCTAACTCTACTATGCAAAAGTACTCGTCCAAAACTTCAGCTATTGTGGCGGGATGAAAAGAACATCTTCGGTTGGGATGCATTGCTTCCAATTTATCCCCCTTCTGAAAAGTATGACTTTGCACTTCCCTCTGAAGATTGAAGAGATCAATAGGTGGGGGGTTTTTTTCGGCTTCGCTAAAACAGTTGTTCAGAATTTCGTTCCATTCTTCGGATTTGTGTTGATCTACAATTTCTGGAATAGGTTTGTACTCTAAACCTTTCTCCTTTCCCCAACCAACAGGATGCAGGCGATAATGTAAAAAAAAGAGCCAAAAATCAGACTTATATTTCGGAATTTCGCCATGTTCACTCTCATCATCTTCAGTAGGTCCTGTTCCCACAAATCGTAAAAGGAGCCTTCCTCCAACATTTCGTATAACTCTTACAGGCCAGATCAGAGGGCAACATTTGTAGTGCTGAACTTCCAATAATTGTCCTTTTCTTACAAAATCTATGGCAGTAGTTCCGCTCTATTGATATTGAAAAAAGTATATTTCAAATATTTCAAGCTTTAAATTAAACAACTTACATCACTCTCAAATACGTAATCTAAAGGTGTACCAGCACCATCTAACTCTCTTTCAATAAATTCATCCCAATCTTCTCTATTCTCTTTAATATCTTCTGGAGGTTCTCTACTGTAACTATCATTATTTTTTCCCCAATTTAAGGGATGGACTTGGCTAGGCTTTAACCATAACTCTTTATTACTACTATTAGCTCCAATATATCTCATATTGAGAACTGGTCCGGCAACTATTTGAATTCTTGCGGGCCAATATTTTTGTTCTCCATGTTCAACTTCAACAATCATTCCTGCCTTAACACAAGACGATAAACTATTCTGAACATGCTCAAAACAGTCATCATCTGCTTGTTTCGAGTCAGTAATTTCAAGGTAATCACCCCATTGAAATTCTATCTCTTCAAATTCATCTGATGCTTGAAAATCTTCCATTTCTGCTTCGTTATTAGTCTCATTTTTACACTTCATTTCTTCTTCCTCCTCATCTTCATCCTCCTCCTCTTCCATATCGTTCTTTGCTTCGCTTGTGTCACCTACGCTTTGCTCCTTATCAAAGTCTTCTGTCAATTTACAGAGAGAGTCATCTGATGAGATACTATCATTTTCTTTTACAGGGTTTTCGGAGGTAGCTTCCAATTGAATAGTTGTTTCTTGTTTCATAGGTGATTTAGAAGGTGATCTTGAGTGAACAGTGATCGGTGTTGGAACTCCTAAACTGGATACAGTTTTTGGTGCAATTTTTCTTTGTGTAGCAGGTAATAGAGAACCAAGTTGCATTTGCATATATTGAACCTGAGTACCTATAGGCTGAGATTGAACTTGTTGATTGATAACAAGTTGAACAGGCATTCCTTCTTTTTCCCTAATTTTTTTTTGCTGTTCCAAAACTTCTCGGACAGTGGGAGTAATAGGTCGAGGGCTTCTGGTAACAACTCTGGGTTTGGGTGGAGCATTCGGATTTTTGGGAGCAATAGGTTTAGTTGTCTGACCACGATGAGGTGGTACTAGTCTGTTTATTATGGGCAAATTAATCGGAAGTTGTGGAGCTATTACAGGTCCTCGAAGAAGTGCCGGTGTTGATGGTATTAAATTTCTAGTAGGAACTATATTCGACGTTTGAATTGGAAGGAAGACTGTTGTCGCATTAGTGGGTACACTAAGTCCCGAAATAAAAGGAATTTGAATTGTTGTCGTATGGGGAGGTTGCGACGCCATCTCAGTACGCTGATAAAGTAATAAAAAATTTACCTTTTAACTTTTATTACTATATGGTTATAAAAGACTACTCATAGTAAAGCCTTGAGAAGCTAGATTGATTGCATGAAAATGTTTACAATATATAGTGTTGTTTTTACGATTTATAAAGTGAAAAATTCATATACTAATAATAAATAAACTTTGACTAAAAAAAACTATTGTACACATATATACAGGACAAATTAAATTGATGTAAACAAGAGAATTACGCCAATTCTGCCGCTGCGTATATATAGTATCATCTTAAAAGATTCGACATCTTTCAGCTAATAAACCTTATACATTATTACTTTTTAGTTACAATAACTTACTATTTTCTATTTATATGATAATTAAAAGAGGATTATATTTCTTCGAACAATACAAGTATAAACTTATATATTGGCTTAATATGTAACGTACATTCATCAATTGTTTGACGGTAATAGTATACAATTCCATCATGTAACAATAACCTAAAGTATGAAATTAAAACAACTACTCTAAGCCATTCAGAATTTCCTAAGATTTGTAATCCTTCCGGAACCAATGTTAAGAATAAATATATAAAAGAGTGTCACATGATTAGGTGTTTTCCGATGACGAAAGAAAAAAAGAAAAAAGTATCTAAACAGTTGTTTTACAGATTGATTTACTTACGATTAATGATATTAACCAAAATTTATATTGTATATCAAACAAAAATTAATGCTATTAGAACAAAACAAGTGTAGCAAAATGGCTTTGAATAATTACATCTCCTCATCGCTGATTGGTTGAAAGCTACCACCTTATTAGCTCATGACTTTACTAAAGAAAACTTGGTTTATCCATCCCTTTTAATATGTTTTTTTAAGTAAAACAATAAAAAAGTAAAAAAGCGTTATCTGTTATCAGTAGCTGCCAAAACTTAACAAGGACGACACGTAAACATAAATATAAAAAACTGTTTGCATCGTTTGCATACTCATCAACATTAACGTGGTTTCGAATATGAAATAAAGTAAAAATATTTTTAAAAAATGTAGAAAAAAATAAAAGAACCTTTTTAGATTATTTTTCGATCAAAGGAATAACATTTCATTAGGTTTAAAAGATGGAAAATGACGATAACTATGAATCTTCTCTGATAGAAGTAGGGCAAAATGGCGTTGTAACAGTGCGCATGCGTGCATTTTGGTTAATGATACTGATAAAAGATAGTGGCTCTCTAGGAGTGTTTTTTCTAGAATAAAATATAATTCCTCTATTTCGAAATCATCAAAATATTCATTTACGTTGAAAATATACTATTTTGGAAGTTTTTAAATAGCTGGGTTCCTATTCAGTTCTAAAATATTTCCTATAACGGGCGAGGAACACTGACCAGCAGAGACAGGAAGTTGCTGGGAAGATTTATCAACATAATATGAAAAACTCATTTAAGGTCCTATGTTAAAGGTAATCACCCATCTGACACTAATTCTAAAGAGGCTATGTAATGATCAAAAAAAATCAATTGAGAAATATCAACGTATTTGATTTTCATGGACGTCAACGATACAAAAGAATCGCTATCAAGCGAGATCCATTTGACAAACAAAAGTTCTGATGACGAATATCATTGCAATCAACATGCCTTAACGGGAGAGTTGGGACTTATTGTCCAAGCATTATTGGCGTTCATTGCTTTTTCAGCATTAATAAGTTAGTATATAGAAAGTTCCTAAAAGTTGATATCTAAACTTTTATTTCTCAGTTAAAAGATTCTGTGAGCCGAAGGAACATCGAAGATCATGGTTAATATGGTTTTTTGATACATCCAAGCAAGGGATCGGTGCTGCTGTGATTCATTTTGCCAATGTTTTTCTGGCTTCCATGTTCAAAGGTGATCCTTGCACATGGTATTTTATTAGTTTTCTCTTAGATTCTTCCATTGGTCTGCTAATCATATGGATCGGCTTAAAGATATCAAATTATTGGGCTACTTGGAAAGGTTATGACTTATTACATTTTGGTGAATATGGTACACCTCCAAAGATACAAGCTTGGATAGGTCAATCCGGCTTATACATACTTGTAATGTTAGTAGAGAAATTTCTCGTAACACTACTTGTCCTACCTCACTTTTGGAAAAAAGTTAGAGAAGTTCTGACGTCACCTATTTCAAATCCCAAATTGGAATTAGTGATAGTCATGTTCATAGTTCCATTTATCGTCAACGCATTTGTGTTTTGGGTGGTAGACAATTTTCTAAAACGCCATATCAAATTATCTAATTCCATTCCTTCCACACCAACTTCAAGATATGTTCGAGCTAAACAGAAAGATGATTCCGATTCCGAAATATTGCTCACTGCGGAAGAGGAGGAAGATATTATTATCGAAGGTAGAAACGAATCTTATAGGTTATTGAATTCAACTAGATCTTGACTGTGATATTTATTACTCCGGCGTGGCTTCTATTGTTCTGCATTTTATAGGATAATTTAGAATCTTATTTTATTTTATCTTCTTCGGTTGCTGTTTACGCACTTGAATCTAACTATTGTCAAATAATAGATGATATACTGACAACCGAAAGTATATAAGTAATGAAATCTTAAAGATAAAGCATCTCAATAAAACTGAAGAAAATCTTTCTTCTTCAAGACTCTCAGGAGTGTTTTATGTCATTTATTCAATATTTTTAATCGATTTATTAAAGAAGAACATAAAAGTGAATCTTTACTTATTAAACATTATGTATATACCTTTTATCTAAGTACATAATAACAATAAAATTGTAAATTCGTATAAAAATATGTTATCAGAAATAAATGAAGATAAGCTACAAAAAATATGAATGAACTGTATATTAGTATATAATGTATACACAGTATGTATTAGTAGATATATACAATAAGAGTTTTAATATAACTATTTGTTAAAGTTTCGCACTAAAAATGCTTCATGTGCACAATAAATATTAAGAAAAGTATGACTATGTTCTGAATCATTATCTTTTTAAAGAAAGATTTTGTTTAAGACTCAGGGACATGTTTACTTAATGTTATAATGTTGAAATGTATTTAAGCTGGTATATAGGTCTATAAGAATTCTTACAAAAACCCTTCAACAAAACTCTAAAACAAATTATTTATTCATCTTTTCTCGTGCCTGTTTAATTTTTGTATTCATTTTGTCTTTAACATTGTCTTTTCCTTCTCTTAAGAGAGAACCCAATTTTTCCTTTTCGTCTATTTCTTTCCATACTCCCATTCTTTTCAACTGTTTTACTGTAACTTGCGTTCCTCCGATAGTTACAGCATATCTTGCAGGAGTTACAAGCTTGTACATTAAGTAGGCTATGGCAGCATGGCCTAATGGACTGTTTTGTGCTTTTTCAATAGTTTCTGGTTCTAAGAATCTTTCCAAAATAGGAGTAATATCTAAACCATAGTGAGCCGCTGAATAGAAACTTGTAAACCAAACACAAGACGTCACAACATGAACAGCCACTAACGTTTTTCCATATTGTTTATATGCATCTTTAAAACGTTGAAAGAGCCCCTTTTGATTTTCGTCTCCGCCGCCTAGACTGAATGATTTACTTTGAATGAATAAGGGCTCTACTTTACAAGGTAACCTTGAATGTAGGTCTACAAAAGAAAATAAAATAACATTAGCTTTTATAAAGTTTTTTTGTCCTAAACCTTTTGACCGTGTTATCGAAATTTTCTGAGTACTCTATATATCATAAGATAAGAAGTCTATTTCTAGAAATTTACTAAATGCGAATTTTACCTCTTGCAATTATGCAAGTACGAGTTATAATGACACAAAAATCCATTTTTTTTGTCGGTCTATTAATAAAAGTAAAATACTGCTAATGAAATTTACTTCTTTATTGTAAAATAGCTGCTGAAACTAATGAAGAGAAGCGACTGATCTGATAATTATGCATCATAATGACTTAGAAAAGTTTTCGGATATATCTTGGAAATAATTTTACTTACATAAAGTGTTTGAAGTTTGTTTCATAAAGGTTCTGGTATAACATCTGGCTAAGCCATTGAGAGAACGAATCATAGTTGTTATTCGATAATAATATGAATATTGTATAATGATGCAAATACTAGCTAGTATTGGTGTTATCGTTCAGCATGCCGATAGAACGAAAAAGTTTCCAAAATAGTGTCAATTTTTCGATGTCCAATCTATCACTATGGCGGTCACCGGTGTGAGGGTACCAATTGCTTTTTCAACTATATTTAATAAACTAAGACTTGATCCTTACAAGATATGCATGCGAAAGAATCACAAAAATGTAAGAAAACCTAAATAAATTTGTGACCCGTGATATTTTATTTTACAAAATCACTCCAAACTTTATTTATTATTTGCTTAATTATCGTTCTTCTAAGTTAATTATATGAGAAATATTTAATGACTCTATTACAGAGTTTTCAAAAGAGAATTTTTTCCGGTATACAACCAACTAGTATTCCTCATGTTGGTAATTATTTTGGTGCCGTAAAGTCGTGGGTAGATCTTCAAAATGATCAAAAAGAGAATATTATCTTAAGTATAGTGGACCTACATTCAATTACCGTACCACAAAACCCAGCACGCCTACAGTAAGCCTCTTACACTAATTAGTTTTTTGTTTCAATAATCTAATTACAAAATTTTACTTCCATACAAGGCAACAAATTGAAGAGTCTTTAATTTGTTTAATCGCTTCAGGCATCGATCCTAATAGAACAGTACTTTTTCAACAATCCAAGGTGAAAAATATAGTTCTTATTTTCTGATCAATATTTGTGCGAGTAGAATATAACAATATACATATATACTGTATATATATATATATATATATATTTCCAGGTTAATGGACACGCAAGTCTGTCTTGGATTCTAGGCTGTTTATGTACAATACCACAATTAGAGCATCTTCCTCAATGGAAAGTTTGTTATAAGAATAGGAAGAAAGAATATACGTTTAATGAATATTTTATTTATTATAGGAAAAGAGTGAACTTGTAAAAGAAAGTCGCTTAGGAATATTTACGTACCCCGTTTTGCAGGCTGCAGATATTCTTTTATACAAGTTAGAATCTTTTTTTTATATTTGTTGTGCTTTTACTAATTGGCCCCGTTCCTACTATTGATTTATTAAATAATATGCAATTTATATGTTCTTTCTAACTCAACGAAATCTATGCAATTTTTTGTATAATAGCTTTTGAGCAGATGGTAAAAAGCTTTAACTTACTTCCCCGAGTATGAAAAAGCGGGCCTTATTTATAATTTATATTCATCGTTATAGAGCAACACACGTTCCTGTTGGAGAAGATCAAGTTAAACATATAGAACTGACAAGACATTTGGCTAAGGCCTTTAACAGAACCTATTTAAATATTTTTCCATCACCCCAGACAATTTTAGGTATCTTTCATTTGACATATTATATATTTCGTTACGACTTACTAAATTTTCAACTTTGAAGGTAAGCATAAGAGGATCAAAAGTCTTCGTAACCCCGCCAACAAGATGTCAAAATCGGAAGCAGATAGTAAAGGAAAAATTGACATTTGCGACTCTGCTGAAGAAATCGTGCAAAAAGTGAAAAAAGCGGTTACCGACTCTAATTCAGCGATAACTTACGATCCTATTGAAAGACCAGGAATATCGAATTTAATTGAAATTATGAGTGCTGTAACAGATACCGAACCAAATCGAATAGTTGAAAACTCTGCCGGTCTAGATACAGTTCAATTTAAGAGTAGAGTGTCGGAGGCGGTTGTGGAATATTTTAGGCCAATAAGAAAAAGATTTATCGAATTAAGAGAAGATAGAAGCTATCTTCACAAAGTGCTGAAAGATGGAGAAGAGAAGGCACAAAAAATTGCCGATGAAACAATGCATGAAGTAAGAAATGCTGTTGGCCTCAATGTTTATTAATGATATAAAAGGGAAAGAGAGAGAGATAGAGAGAGATAGAGAGAGATAATAAAAAAGAAAAAAAAAACAAGTAAAAAAAAAACAATATATTTGAATTCCACTATAATATAAATACAGTGATTAATTCAACTGTCTATGAATTTGAATATTTGTCGAATCTTGAGTATTTTTCGTATTTTCAATAGTTTTTCGTGCTTTTTTTTACAAGATGAGAATATTAAAATGAAACTGAAATGAAAATTCTGACAGATTAATTAATTTATTAACGATTTGTTGTAATTTTGATAGCCTATTCGAGTTTTAAAAGAAAAATATCGTTAATCGATAGAAACGACAAACGGCTTATTTATTCACCATCCAAACGTGCTTTGTCTTTCACAAGAGTCGTAAAGACATACCCTTTTCTGTTTTATTTCTCTTTTTTCATCCATTTTTATCTTATCTTTTTCCGGCTTAGCATTTTTTCACAAGTTATCAACACACTGACAATTAAGAGAAGAGGACGCAGGTAACTCTCTTTGTTTAAACGCATAGAACAAATTTACAAAATCATTAGTAGAACGGGCGACAATTGTTCGATCGATCAGAATTCGATTAATTCGCCGTTTCTACGACAACGTTGAACTGTGGTAAACAACTGTATCGCTATTAGGAACAAAACCCGAATAAGAGAAATTGAAATTTTGGTTTGTATATGATTTTTTATTCAAATAGGCCTAAATACTTTTTTTGAAAACAGCTGGCGTAGGCCGAACTAATCGATTTTAACGCATCCACGGAAAAGCGCACATTTATTTATAAATATATATATATACACACCTCTGTAAATTTTATACGGTGTTGTTTTTGAAAGTTTTTTGTCTAGACTATTAGTAATAGTGGAAATGTATCATGGTAGGAGGATTAGTCGATATCCAGCTGGATTAAATATGTATAAAGAAGACAGAAGTCAACTTCGTCCAATTTCTGCGGAAAGTTCAACCTACAATGATCATGATTTACCAAATGTCTTTCTCTTTTTCGTGTTTGTTCTCGAATTATTGGTTCTCATTTTTGTCATTGTACTCGAATACTTTTTCAGGTAAGTAACTCATTTTTTTTTTAGCAATTTATTATCTCTCTACTTATATATATAGAATAGTGTACTATGTAGAATTTTACTGTATATCTTTTCTTTTATCTCTCTCATTCTCTCTATGCTTTTCCATTCAAATCAAAAATTTGCTATATTCATTTCCTATTTTCCTTTTGCCTCTCTTCTCTCAACTTGAAACTATATAGTATATATATATATATATATATGTATATATTTCTCTTTTATAGTAAAAATTTCTATATAAACTATTAAAGATATTTTAAAAATTGTGGTACGTAAATAGAAGAAACAGATGGGTAGTAAATTTACAATTGATTTTTTTAGCAGTATAATTATACAAAAGAGGAAAATTAAACGATTCTATTCTATTTTATTTTGTTATTTGATTATATAGTTTATGAGTTTTTTAAAAATGTTTTTAAACAATAAAACCCTTTTTTATTATTATTAAAAGCTGGAAGAACGCTTTTTTTTTAAATGTATATAAGTTAATGGAAGTAATGGAAAATTTTTCCATTTTTTCCCTCTCCTCTCTTTTCTTTATCTTTTTATGTGCTTTTTAAATAATTAAATTTCCTGTCGTTCTTCCTTCTTTATTAATAGTCTATTTATTTATTCATTAATTGATTTAATATATACGAATATATTCTTTAATAGGGAAACTGAAGTTTTTCCAGTACGGGAAACTCTTTTTACCTGCGAAAACCTGGTTACTAAGCACTTTGATAGATCCTCTTATGATGACTTTGATTTTAATGCCGACGTTAGTTGGCCTGTGGTATTTTCTTTAAGTTTATGTATTCCGCCTGTAATTGTAAGTAGGCTTGCCATAAAGCTGCGGTGGCATAGAATAAATCAGAATATTTTTTGTCTTTAGATTCTCTTCGGAGAGTTAACTACCTGGGCATTTTCATCTATGGAAAGAAAAACTATAACTGTAATATGCTGTCCAGTACAAAGATTAGTTCGCCGGCTCCTTCGTTTTATTGGTGTATTTCTCTTTGGATTGGCTATGACAATGATTTTTGTTGATGTAATAAAACTGATGTGCGGCACAATAAGACCAAACTTTTACAAGATTTGCAAGCCAAATGTAGCGAATTGTGACGTCAATATATTTTACAATGAAACTGTTTGTCAAGAAACAGACAAAAAAATATTAAGAAATGGGCGCTTGTCGTTTCCATCTATGCAGGCGGCTGTAACAGCATTCTCGGCATTTTTTTTAGCTGTTAGTTTGTCTTTTTAATATTTGCTATCATTATTCATCAAATTCTTATCTATATTATTACATTATATAGGTCTATTTGAACAAGGCATTTGAATGTAAACCAATTAGGCTACTAAGACAAACTTTTGCGCTGGGATTTGTGATGTTGTCAGTAATATGTTCTTGTGCAAGATACGGTTTAGGAGAAAGTCATTGGTCTGACGTCTATTGTGGATTTGGACTGGGTTTCCTATTGTCTCTATATATGGTAAAAAAACTTTGTAAAATGCTTCACTCTCTTAGTGAAATTACATAATCACACCCTTTCAGACTATTTACGTCCTGAGAGGCTTTGAAGATGGCTGTTTCAAACACATGACGAAATACGTTTATCATGGAAATAACTTGGACAAGAAGGATTTCCACGATATTTACAGAGAGGTTAATAAAATTTTTATAAAAATCTATTGCAGTAGAATTAGTAATAAATTTTCTAAAAGTATTTTTATTAGTACAAATTAATAGTGTTTTCCTGTTTCTAAGTTCTTTCACCCTTTTTTTTAACAGAACTGGGTAAAGCTCCAACACTATAAAAACTAACAGTGGTGTTTTTTCTTTTCCTGCACAAGAAATAACGTAGTTCTCGCTTAGATTCTTTTTTTCCCGCTCTGCAAGATGTATATATATATATATAAATTTATATACATATATATATATATACTCTATAATTAATTACATATATAAATATTGTCTCTGCGGCTTTTTGAACTCTAATTTCTTTACTTAAAGTTACACTGTTCTTTTTGTCCACAGTAGTAGCATTAGGTACTTTTATAAAACCTGCTTTAATGAATGCCATCATGAGAGAAAGTCGTAAGAATGGAATTTAATATAGCATACGTAAAAAACGAAGAAACAAACTTTATCAATACATATTTTTTACCATTTCGCTCCCTCCTTCCTTCCCTCCCTCTCTCTTTACATCTATCTATATGTCATATAAATCTGCTACAGTAACATGTAACACAGAAAGAGAAGGACAATAAGCGAGTGAATGAATGAATGAGAAGGAGTATATTTCTTTTTATTACGAGCTAATACACAATCTAACTTGTTCTTGATATTTTTTAAGTAGCTATACAACTGTACTGAAAAAAAACAGCTTCTTTGCAGTTTATTATTTTTCAACCTGCTTAGAAAAAATGTTGCCTTTTTCTTTTTTGACAAATTTCAAATAATAATTCTATCAAAAAGCAAATTTATAGGATTAGCATAATTTTTTATACTAAAAAATTCCCAAAAGAAACATTTTTTCAATGAGATTTTCTTTTTATTTATATTATTTGTCTTGTTTATATATTTTTTCCCTTCTTTTCATTGAAAAAGAATAATCTCATTCTAATTTGGCTTCTTTTTTTTCTCTTGTGCCATGTGCTTTTATCTTATTATTTTTAATTGACAATAATAATTTCCTCTCTTTTCTCTTATAGTTAGTGTTACTTCTTAGGAAGCTATAACTATATTGTTTTTCTTTTACTAACAATAGAGAAAGATTTAATTCAGTTGTTTTTATATTTTTATATCTGTTTGTTTGCACATTTCGGTATTTTTTATTAATCGCTGAGAGATAATGATATCCTATTTTCAAAAAAAGAAAACCACCCAAATTTTAAATAGAATTTAAAAGAGATAAACTAAATATTCGTTAAACGCTATTAAAACAGAATACCCTAGAGCGAAATTCAGCATATTCGGGTCCAACTATACCTAGACCTTTAATGAAGTATCAAAACGACCATGACATCGGAATGACAAATCATCATAGAAACCGTCATAAGAATACATTTCAGCGTGATTTACAAAGGAAAATTGATATGAGAAGCTACATGCACCAAAATGACGCTTTTTACGACGACGAAATGCACATATAAGACAATTTTTTTACAAGCAAAACTATCGAGTAAAGGAATGATAATTTCACATACGGAACACTGTAAATATAACATATATATATATACTGTATAGTAAACTGGTTAATTTCCAACGTAGAATATTTCATTAACACTGTAAATGATTGATAATAGACATAAATATTTTTTATGTTTGCTATTGTAAAAGAAAAATTGATTTTTTTAATAAACATTAGAATAAGCTTTTACTTTTCTTTTCCTTTTTTTTTGCATATAAATAACAAATTATCTTATAAAACAAGATTATATAGCATATTATATGCTATATATATATATATATATATATATATACTATATATAGACCAACTTCTTTAAGAAAGATCTTAGGAAAATCTTCTCTTTGGAGATTCTTGTTTTTGTTATCTTGAAAGATAAAGAATTCCTTTTTTTTTAATTTAAATTATTATAATGGACGTGTAATGGTTTTTATCTCTGGTTATTCACTTTCGTGTATTCTAATTTATTGTACATTATTATTTTTTTAGAGTTTTATATAAAATGATATTTAATAGCTTTATTTAAGGACAATTAGAAGAAAAATGTTATATGGCAAATTATAAATAATACATATTATATACTGTATATATACAGTATATATATATATATCCTTTTATGAATACTTTGTAATATTCCTCTTAGACGTTAAATCAGAACAACATTTATATTCTTATCAACTTCAAAGGGATTTCCTTAAATAAACTATGTACTTATTATTAACATTCCGACCACCAAAAAGCGAAAAACTGTCCTACATCATTATATATATATATATATATTATATATGTATATATATATAAACAAAAGTGCCTTATAAAAGATATTCACTGATAAAAACCAATAGAACAATGAAATATCTTTACATTCTGCTTAAATTAAAAAGTGACAAAATAGAATATCACAGTTGTTTTTTAATTCTTCTTTACGAATAAATTTTCTGCTTCTTTATCTTTATTTTCTTCTATTTTTGTCGAAAGTCTTTTTGTTATACCGTTTGGAAATTTATTTTCACGGGTAATGGAGCAGCCATTGGTAGCTTTTCTTGCATGTATTCTTTAAGATATTTCTTTTCGACTGAATTTAGATAATTTAGATCTCCATTTATGGAAAGTTGATGCTGGATTTTAGAAAAAAGAAGATAAATAAACAAGATGTATGCAAAATAAGGGAAATGTTGATTATTCTTATACTTACATTTATCTTATGTTCTGGGGCTGTGGCAGCACTGTTGAAGCATAACCAGAGCATAAAGACAGCAGAGAGAAAGAGAGTTAAGCTTAATATCAAACGAGATAAGCCTGTTTTTCTAGCGATGCAAGCCAATAGCGTTGCCTCCCTCTCCTTTAATAGGGTAGAACTAGTCTGTAACGAGATAGAGATCATTTTCAGAATATAAATTTTCAATTCATTTATTAGACAAGTAAAATTGGGAAATTTACTTCCGTCTCTTGCGAATTAATTAATTGGGACATTTTTATATCTTCTGTTGCAGATTTATCGACTTCAGCCAAATTTGTTTCCAGAATATTGGATGTTTTAATATCAACTGCAGTTATAATTAATAGATGTATACATTAAATTCATAGGAACAAATATGAAAATAAATTTCACTAACAGCTAGCAGGATCAAATTCCAAGGTGGGACCAGATTGTATTATTAAAGTTCTACCCGATTCGTCAGTTTGAGCAAGATAAGTCCATGATATTTGTATATGCGAAGCCATCTTATCAAACGCATTTTTATACATATCATGTATATAGGTAACAGGGTAGAAAATTGCGAATTCGTAACTTCCAATTTCTTCGTCCTGAAACAAGTACAGATTTGGAAATATAACCCTATGTATATACATTTAAATATTTGGCAGTTGGTAAAAAATAAACTGTCACGTATCGGATATCGATTTAATATGAAATTTTCGAAGGAAGTCATAATAGACGGTAAGGGAAGCCTCTCTTCCGATTTTGTACTTACATTAACACTTTCCCTTTTGTTAAACTCCTTCTGTTTTGCACAGCCTAGAGTACAAGCCTCTCTTTCACCTTTATCTTGATAAGCTTCTTTACATGCTGAAATGTATTTAATTTTCGTTTGAAAAAACATACAAAACGAAAAGTAATTGCAAATTACCTGACAGGCAATTGTTTAGAGTAGAATTTTCTTCATTAGAATCTTTAACAAAGTCTATTACAGAATACAGTCTACATCCTCGTTTGCAGCATACAAGATGAGTAGCCTGTGAAAAATATATTTCACAGTAAGAAATCGCGAAAAAATTTATATTTGAATGAAATTTATCCATACCTTTTCATACGTGTGCAAAGGGAATGTATTTTCGCAAACGCTATGACATTTTCCAGCAAGATCAAGATTCAAACTACAGTAAGAACAAGATATTAAAGCAAAAATAAGAAGGAAAATACACAACGACGCCATTTTGCTTTGTTTACTAATCACGGGGTCACGTGTTTCAACGAGAGAAGAAAATATGCGCCAGATGTCGTAGTGATACTATAAAATATTTCCTTTAACAAAGGTATTTAATAAGTTTGGCTATCAATAGAAAGTTCAGGACAAAATATAAGAAAGAGTTATTCAAAAATTAATATAAAAGACGGGTTAGATAAAAACTAGAAAGCCTAAATATAACTTTGAAAAGCGTTTGAATAACAATAATAATAGTAATAGTAATACAATAACAGCACTTGGTAAAAAATATAATTGATAAAAACTATAACAGGAATTTTAATTGATAAAATTCAACAGTTAGTTAAATAACCTATATAAAAAGTTGAAATGTTTAATGAAAATCTTAAGTTTCATTTTCTTTTTTATTTAGACTTTTTCTCAAAATGTTCAATATCATCTTTCAATAATATATTTAAACAGAGTTAATTGATTAAAAACATAACATGTCTATATATATATATATATAGATGTATTATATATACTGTATAAAATAATCGTATTTATTAATATTCATTGTTAAAAATACTTTAAAAAGTATATAAAAAAGAAATCAAAGTATGATATTATTGAAATAATTTTTAAAAAGAAAATAATAAAAGAATACTTAAACATCAATAATTAAAATGTATATATAAAAAATATTACAAATACATATTTGTAATACTAACTCCCTCCAATAATGATTGATTAATTTGAACTGGTACAGTTGTTACTGCTTCTGAAGTTATATTACTTATAGTAATCACTTCTGCCTCTTCATCTTCAACTGGTTTTAGAGGTCCGAGAGTGTGACCAATTCTCTTCCATTCCTCTTTATGAACTCTATGCTCGTGGCTCCAAGCTGTAGCTACGTGTTGAAAAAAACTACTACAAAATCTGCACTTATATGGTTTTATTCCCTTATGTTTGTACATGTGTTGTTTAAGTTGAGATGGGTAAACAAACCCAAGACCACATTCTCTACATTTGTGCGGTGTATTCTTCAAATGTTGTTGTTTCCTATGCCTCTCAAGGGCACCGATTCGAAGAAAGGTCTTATTACACTCTTTACATTCGTATCTTTCTCTATTATTATCATGAGTTTCTTCATGTCTAAGAACTTGGTGCTTGGATGTGAAAGCCTTAGAACACGATTTACATTTAAAAGATTTTAATTTTTCATGAGCTGATTTTACATGGTATCTTAAACTGTTGTGGTATCTTGTTGAGTAATTGCAATCATCATATTTGCAAGCTAATAAAGACGTTTTCATGCCGTTTTTAGCGCAAGATTTTTTTTCCTGATGTCTCTCCTTCGCTGCCAAAGTCCTAAAAGGTTTTTGGCATACATCGCAAAAAATACTGCGCCCTTCAAGGTCTTTATGTTTTCTGACTAAATGATCAGTTCTAGTTGACATATCAGCGAATCTATAAAAGCGATAAAATAATTTAATGACAATAATTATTGATAATTAACTAGTCATACTTTTTGTCACAATGCGGACAAGAATATGGTTTTTCTCCAGTATGTGTTCGAACGTGAATTCGTAGAGCATCTGGTCTTTTAAAGCATTTCCCGCATTGGCTACATAAATGCCTTCTTTCAGCATGAACTGAATTTTCATGTTGATATAGTCCTGAATGGGATCTCGTAATGAAATTGCATCCTTTCCGTTGACATTTATATTCTTTCGTTGAATGGCAAGCTCTTTTGTGACCCCAATACTTATACTTATTTTGTAAGACTTTGCCACACTTGTCACAAATTACTGGATCTTTGACAATCCGACTGAAAATTGAGGAGTTCTATTATACAGTTTGACTGAAAAATCTTTCTTTTATTATTTCAATAGTAGAAGCAAAAAAGGATAATTTTATTGCTTAAACTATCTGAGAGAAAGAAAGAGAGATAGAGAGAGAGACATGGGAGAAAGAAATATTTAAATTATTATTGCGTATAATGGAAAACCTCAATTGCGATTTAGGATGATTTTCTATTCGATGTTGAGAATATTCTTTACGATTTGAAGCAATAAAATCACAGTATGCACATTTAACTTCGGTTTGATCTGCGCATAATCCATCAGATTTTGGTCGTTTACGTTTAAGCTGCTTTTCTTCTTTCAAGTTTTTCTCAAATTCCGTTGTTTCTTGTTCGTTTGAATTTTCATTATTACAGATTAAATTACCAGAGGGACTATTATCTTCAGCTAAATTTGTTCCTTCGATATCTTCGCATATTTCTATTTCACAAGGTTCAGCAAAGTCTAGGATCATACCTTTTTGAAGATCTGTTATATTAGGATCAATCGCATTCTCTTTTACAGGATCATTTTGAGTTACAGCATTGTCGGAAGAATCATGTGAAGACTGTGTAATTTTTCTGTCTTTTGAGTCAACAAAAGTTTCATATCTGTCGATATCAACAAAATCAGAAAAAAAGAACTCCTCAAAAATTCACCATTTTTAAGCTTACATATATAACAGATAGCCTGCAAATTCTTCATTAGATCTGATGCATAACTTTTTTTTACATGAAGTCCATTTCTTAAAATGCTGTCCTATTTCTATCAATGGCATACTTTAAGATGTCTTTCGAACATTGATATATTTTCCATAACAAATATGGATGCTCGAACCGGAAGTCTAACGGAAATTTAACTTTCCAATAAAAATTTAAAGCTTTGACATGGAATGAATATTAAAAAGGCCAATTGAATAATACAAATAACAATAAACAAAATAATTCAAATGTATTGAATTGATTGCTCAGATCAAACTTTGAATCAAATTAAGATAAGCACAATAGCCGCATAAACTAATTTAGATGCGATAAAGCATAGACAAACACTCAAATTGATATATGAGCTTCTTTAAACATTGTATTACACATACTTATAGGCGTAGTAATAAGGCAGAGATGAAAAGTTACATATAAGAACTAACAAATTCAACTAACGCTCAATAAAAAAAAGCAGAAAAATTTAACACGATTCAAATATTATATTTTAAGAAAGACTTAAAAACTTCAGCATGGCGTTGCATCAAGTAATGTTTACTTTTCAAAGGTAGACAAAAGTTTCTATTGTTATTTTTAAATATATAATAAGTAGAGTATTGAAAAAATATAAGCTATAGATTTTGAACGAATGCATTAAGTTATGGAATTTAATTATCTTCTTTATCTTTACTTCCGTGTTTCAGAATGCGAGTGAATTCAACGTAATCGAATTGGCCATTTTTTATTGGCGCTTCACGAAATATTTCATCCACCTGAAAAAAATATATGCATTAATTAACAGGAATCGAGTTATTTTCTATTTCAATGATCAGAACAAAATATAATTATATCTATATATAAATATATATATTTATTTATTTATTTACATCTCTTTCCTCATCTTACAGTTAGCATTAGTATTATTTAAGCCTTTAAATATTTAATTAAGTATGATTTTTGCTGATATCTGACTAAAAACAGATAAGTTCTTTATATATTATCCACTTCAAATTGCTAGCAGTTATTCCATCGTAAAAAGTTTGCAAGAATTCTCGATTTCAGCTTGTAATCACTTTTTTTATATGTACTAATAATTTTCAACCAGAGTATGTACAAAAACTAATAAATTTCTATTTAAGCCTATCGTCACAACATTCTTAAATATCTTCTTTTTACTTTTATATTAGCCTTGCCTTATTTTATTACTTTTTCTAAAAATCATTTTTTGTCTCCAAATATATATTTTTGAAAGTTGATATACAAACCTCTTCTTCTGTAAATCGATCTCCCATTGTCATAAGTAACTCTCTTAATTTATCTTCGTTTATGTAACCAGTATTCTGAATATCAAAGCATGAGAAAGCATTTTTAATAACGTCTTCTGGGTCGGTTCCGTTAAGTTTTTCTCCAAACATCGTCAAAAACATCGTAAAATTGATGGGCCCAGGAGCTTCACTAATCATGCTCTCTAAATAATCGTCGGTGGGGTTTTTACCAAGGGATGCAAGCATATCGTGCAAGTCTTCTTTGTCGATAAATCCGTCTCTGTTTTGATCAATCATTGTGAAGGCTTCTTTAAACTCTTGAATTTGGGCTTGATCAAACATGGCGAAGACGTTGGAGGTGGCCCTCTGGGCCCTCTTCTTACCCTTCTTTTGGATTTGAGTCTTCCGTGATGACATGTTGGCTAAAATTACAAGCGGATTTAGTAGTCTAATAGTTTATGAGTAAACGGTTAGATTAATCATAAATATAAGAGATTAGTAAAGTCGACATTTTTCCATATTTAAAGCGTATAGAGTAATTAAAATTAACTATTCTTATAGCTTAAACATTTAATATTCTACCTCAGTTTCTGATTAATGGCAGCTCCGAATGGAAAAGGAATTTTAATGTGAAATGCTGACTACTGAACTTGGCTACTTTTTTGCCTGGCGGAAGTGAGTTTTTCGTATTTACCTTAAAATTATAATTCACATCTCGAAAGAAGCAAAATTTATATTTAATTTAAGAATTTATTGAATTTACATAGCTAAAATAATATATTTTTGAGATTTTTTTTAAATACGAAAATATTTATCGTATTGTCTGCTAATTTCGTTGCTAAGAAACTCCTTAAAATAAGAATAAGCTTTTCCTCTATAGTAATCATATCAGTCTGAAGCAATTTTTTGTTGGTTATAAAATAATATTTGTCTTTCGTCTTAACTGTGAGTTACTTTCTCATATCTGATGGGCAGAAATATAGTTAATCAAATAATTTCGCTTGGCTCTTTATAAAAATATTTAATATGCATTCTCGGGCTCATTTAATTATTGAAAGAGAAATAAACGACATTAAAGAGAAAAAACCAAGGGTAAGATAAGAATGTTTTTATTAGATATTTTAATTAAATTTAATAATTAACCCCAGGGTATATACGTTGAACCAATAAGAGATGATAGTCTATTTGAAATAAGTGCTGAATTAAGAGGCGATAAAAATGGCACTTGGGATGGTAAGATGATCATAAAATTCGTTAAGGTTTAAATAATATTTAGCTGACACGTAAATTATAACAAAAACAGGTGGAATTTTCCGCATATATATAAGGTTTAGTGAACACTACAATCAAAAACCTCCTCATGTGTCCTTTCACACTATTCCTTTTCATCCTAATGGTAAGTAGCGTAGTGAAGACTTTTCTTCTTCGTTATTCCACCCATGAGAACCGTCTTGTTTTATAATAAGACAGTAATTGGGGGTAAAATTAATCTTAAATAGTCAAGTTTTTGCCATAAAATTGTATCCATTAAGGAAAACTCATTAAGAGAAAAAAAATGTTTTATAGTTGATGTAGTTCGTGGAAAACCAAGCCTTTCATTCTTGGAAGAAGAAACCTTATGGAATCCTAATGAACATAATTTAATGGTAATATTAACGTCTCTGCAATATTTACTGGATAATCCAGACCTAGAAAGAATTGCCAACCCTCAAGCTGCTGAATTATTAGAGTATGCTCCGCAATCTTATTTTAAGATGGTTAAAGAATGTGTTTCAACTAGTCAAAAATTAATGGGTAATCAAGTTGAAAAGCTTTATATCAATATTAATAAATTTTTCTTGAAGTAGGATTGAAAGATGCTCTAGAGATTAATTCAACGTTAGTGGGTCCTCCAAAAAAGCAACAAGTAGAAATAATTAGAGAGCCGGGAGCTATACAGCCAACAGAAGAGGTAGCAAAACTAGCTTGTAAAGTTTCGTTCGATGATTATTATAAAACTTGGAAATATATTGCTACCACAAAACCAAATACAGATTCCAAAAATTATTGTAATATTTTCTCAGTGTGAAATCTCTAGTCATGTGTTTCTTATTAATTTTTAGTACTGGAAGCCCTCGAAAATGATCCAACTATGCAGTGTATCCATTTAGGAGTAACATTAGATAGATTACGCCAAGAACTGGAGGAGAACGAAAGGTTTTATATCTAGTTAGTATAACAACTGTTCTCTTTTTAAAACTCTCATGTAAATAGGAACAAACCAACTGTAACATCAAAGCCGCCAAATGCCAAGAAGAGCTCAAGATTAAAGCAGGTAAACAAAATGAAAAGGATATATCTTCAAGGAGCAACAAAGCAAAAATATCATAGTAATTGTTTAATATTCAGATTTATAAAAATATAATTTGATGTATTATTTTTCTTTTTCAGTAAATGAATATTCATCCGGTGAGGAGGAGTTTGAAGAAGAAGTAAACAATCTTGTTGAATGGACAGAAGGACTTGATGAAGAAGCCTTATAATTTAATGAAAACTGCAGATATCTTAATGACTTTATTCTATCATATTAAATTTCGTTTAAGAAAAACTTTTCTTATAAATTCGTATATTCAATATAGTTTCTCACTTATTCATCCTGTTATTCATTTCAATTTCCTACAACGAACTATAGGGACACTTTTGAATATATCTCAAAAACATCAGAGATCTAATTTTAAAAAAATAAAACAAAAGAACAAAACAAACATTCCAACGGTTAAACTTTATAAGAAATATTCAGGTTGCGGCTTCTTTAAAGGAACACCTCTTGTTTCCTGATTGTTTTGAAAATATTTTATTACAATTGTCATTAAATATATAGCTTATAATTAAAAAAAATACCCTAGAAGCAGCTTCGAAAATTATAAATTGCCTCCTCAAAGCATCGTCCAACTCTAAAATGGCAGCGACATTACCACATCTGCAAGAGTATGTAAATAGATATGAAAGTGATTATGTACAAATCAAAGGTATTTGCTCTCAAAAATTAATAAACTTAGCATGAAATAGCTATACAGTAGAATATTTTTTTCATCTCACCTGTAGCAGTAATTTGGTGCAGACCACACTGTCAACACTTGTTCGCAAAAGTGCCATTTGAAACCCTCCATAACTAGCTGATGAGCTCTACATATCATTTCGACATTATTTGCTCGATTGAATGATGCCACAACATCGCTACCGAATAAGTAACCAGCGCCCCGAGGAGAGACTCCCCACCCTTGAGTGTCTGTTGTATATAGGCTTCATTAACATCAAAAAGTTCAGAAAGACTAAAAACAATATACCTTCGGGGTCAGACCATAATAGGTCACACATTGGGCCGTCGTGTGGAACTTCTTGTTTTCGGTCTATTTGTCGAATTTGATCAAGAGTTTGAATTGATGGTGAAAGACCACCGTGCACGCAGAATATCTAGGTGATTATAAATTGTATTATTATTACTAAAATCAAATAGAAATTTTCACTAACCGTTCCATCTATAATAGCTGACAAACTTAAATAATCAAACACTTCTGTGCAATATCTCCATACTGTTATACTTCCGTATTTTCTCATGCACTCGTCATAAAATCCATACACTTGAGTAATCTGTCTACTTTCGTGATTGCCCCGTATAAGAGTAATTCTATCGGGATATCGCACCTTCAGTGCTAAAAGCAATAAAAAAGTTTCGACGCTGTAGAATCCTCTATCGACAAAGTCACCTAGAAATAGGTAATTTGCCTCAGGGACATTGCCTCCGCATTTAAACAGTTCCTTGAGATCATAAAATTGTCCATGAATATCTCCACACACCTAAAAAATGCATAAAATATATTTTTTAAGTATAACCTATTTGTCTTGTCAGTATTGCGTTTCATATGCAATAGATGTTAAGAAATTGAAATTTAAAAAAACATTTATAGTTGATTGAAGTGGTTACATATTGATTACCCTGCAAAGTGGAATCGTAGTTTTAATTATAAATACTTAAAAAGTCGTTTTTCTAATCAAACAATTAAGTGAAATTAATGCTCGTTTTAATTAATTCAAAGATATTTTTTAAGTACCGTAACAGGAGCATCCACTCTTTGTACATTGGCTTCTTCGGCTAGAATTTCTCGCGCTTTCGAACACAGCGCTTTTACTTCATTTTCCGTAATAGTGTGGCAATTTCTCAATTGTTCTATTTGTCTATTGTAAAATATATATTAGCTGTTTAATTTATATAATAATAGTACTCACCTGTCCAGGTCACTTTGCTGTGCCATCGTTTTCGAACGTTCCTAAACTGAATTGAAACGTTCTACTGGTACTGTACAACTTGGAGAAATCGATAACTAATTAAGTTTGATAGATTCAATTTCTTATGCAATTAATGAATCGAAGGAATAGCAATAAATTTAAACTAATCCAGTATCATTTAAAAGCTATCTGAGGTTGAATCGGTGAGTTTTTTTTAAAATAACAATAAACAAAAATATTCTAGATGGTAATTTCCTATTCCGGTGTTAGATTTTCCTGGTGGATTGGCGCTAACCGCTGTTAAACAAAAGTTGATTGGCTCGAGTTGACTTTTAACCAATCAGCGTCTATTTTACATGGGAAGGGAAAATCGCCCTAACTTACTCATGCGATTCTCTCTGATAAAGTGTATTCTTTGATACTATTTAAAGAAATATCGTTTTGCTTTAGACGATATATCGATATCCTGCGCGATAAAAGAATTTTGCTTATCGATCGACCAATTGCGATTTTCGATTAAAACCTCGTTGTCTCTACTTTCAATACACCTATTTTCGTGAGGCTCCTATATTTATTGCCGAGGAGTTAGGCATGGGTAAAAAAAAGACAAAACGCTTGCCAAGACAGCCAAAACCAAAAAAAGACAATCCGTTCGAGATTCGAGTTAATAAACGAAAATATGATGTATTAGGACAAAAAACTTTGAAACACGAAAAAGGTCGACCTGGTCAGAGTCGCACGAGGGCTAATGAAATTAGGTCAAAAAGTCTTTTAAATGACTATGAACGACGAAAGAAAGCCAGTTATGGGGGGGTTATAGATAAGAGAATAGGCGAGAATGATGCCAATTTGGATCCAGAGGAAAAGAACTTAAAACGATGGGCTGCAGAAAGAAAAGCAACTAATACCTTAATGGAACTGGATCATGAAGACGTATTAACTCATTCTGGAAGGCCTTTATCAGAAATCGAACGATTCGACGATAAAGATTTGGAATTAAGGTTAGTTATATGACTTAATCATAGAGAAATTAAAGTAGAAATTGTTATTGATTGCCATAAATCTGAAATTAGAATTTTGTAATTTGAACTTGCAATACTTTTAGTGACGATGATGACGATGGAATTATATCTGCTGACATTGTTAATGAGCATTTTGGATCGGGTAATATAGGCTCCGAAGCTACAAAAAAAACATGGAAGGAACGTATGGAAGAAATTATGGTAGAGTCCAAAAAACGCAAATATGAAAGAAAACTAGAAAAAGATCGAGCCCAAGAGTTAACTGAAACTGTTGATGCTGAATGGAAAGATATTATGCATTTGGTTGCTGGCTCGGCGTCATCAAAAGATGGCGAAGTATCTGAGAAGAAAGCGGTGGATGATTATGATATGGCTGTCAGATCTCTAAAATTTGATGCTCGAGCATTAGCTGGGGATAAACTTGTTGATGAGGAAGAGGCAAAGCAAAAGAAAATAAAACAGAAGATGGAAGAAAGAGATAAGCGGATGAAGCTGACTAATGGAGAGAACGGTTCTGAAAAGATTCACGCTTCCGTAGATGATCTTGACGATAATTTCGCTTTTGGAAAAGATTCAAAAGAATTAAATAGTGATCAGGGTGATAGTGATGACTCAGATGAGGAAAGTGAGTCTGAAGAGGACGAGGAAAATGGTTTAGAGGGAAATTTAGAATTCGAAGAAAAGGAAGATGAGGATGGCAATGATGAAGGTAAAGAAGAAGATGCCAGTATGGATAGCGAAAATGATGATGGGGATCCATTACAGGATCTTTCCGATTTGGAGAGCGACAACTCCGATGAAGAGGGAGCTGAAGATATTTCCGATTCAACCATCAAGTCAGATCAAATTTTCGTCAGCGAAGATTTTAAATCACTTTTTGCAAACATTCAAATGGCAAATCTATCTGCGAAAGAATTCAAATCGAAATTAGAAGCAATAAAATCTAAGGGAAAATCACTGTTATGTGATGCAGTTGTTGTTTGTAAAGAATGCTGCCAAAAGGGAAATATTCAACTGTTAGATGTTCTTGCACCATTTGTTTACACTCTTGCTGAAAAGAATCCAAAAAGTGCTGCTGCATGTTTTTTAAATCATTTAACAGAAATGAAATCATCTCTTCTTGAAGGAAAAGTTTCAAATCCTGCCGAAATTATTCTTTTTATAAAATTTGTTGTAGCTATATTTCCAGCCTCCGATGCTAGGCATTGTGTTACAACACCGGCTAGTGTTCTATTAAGTTACATTCTGAAGACTATGAAATTAAAATCTCTTCGACAAATATTCTTGGCCCTTTTTGGTTGCTCTATAGCCTTAGAATATACGGAACGTGCTCGGAGAATAAGTCCTGAAGCTGTGAACATTTTAAATGCAATCCTTAAATTGTGCATATCAAAGCATTCCTATCCTTTTACATCAACGAAAAAATTAGATATTCTGAATTTGAAAGATAGTGCGAAACTTAAACATTTGGACGAAAAAGAGAGAGTCGATTTGAAATTTGTACTTTTCAGTTGTTATGGCAGTGTTGCCGACGATAAGCACAAGGGTTTGGTCATCTTAAACACTATAAAAGTCCTTAGGAAGTTTATTGAATGTTACCCAAAAAATATTGGTGGCGCAGAAGCTTTTTGGGAACCTGTTCTATCAACATGCGAATTGTTTGAAAAATCTAAAAATCATTCATCATTAAAAGCGAAGGTAAAACATCTTGTAAATGAAATAAAACTGTGCTATCCGTCAAAATTACAAAGCCTTAAAAGAGACAAACAAGCCCCTGTCATGTTAAAAATGTTGGAACCTAAATTTGAAAACGTTGAAGAAGTTGGTAGGAGCCACAAAAATAACAAAGGAAAGTCACGAGAGAAAATTGAGAAAGAAATTCTACATGCAAGAGTTAAAAAGGAAAAGAAAGGTGCTATTAGGGAGTTACGACGAGACGCTGCTTTCTTAGCAAAGAAACGTCTACTGGATGATATAACTAAAGATAAACAGAGGAAAGCAAAAGTTAAGAGAATCTATTCACAATTGGCCCAACAAGAAGGCGATTATAATGCCCTTCAGAAAAAGAAAAAATCATAGTGTTTATGCTAAAGTCTCCACTTTAAATTCTCATAATAATGTACATTATTCGTTCATTTTTCAAGGACGAAAAGTGAAATTGTTTTGTATTAAACGTTATAAATTTGTTACTAAACTGCTTGTTAGTAACTTTCAAAACTTGTTTTTTTTTCATACGATATCCCTCGTATTAGGAATGGTGAAATTTGAATTACTGATTCAAAGTGTTATTTTTGTAAAGATTTTTGTAAAAATTTCGGGTAAATAATACACAGTTTCTAGAAAGAAATTTTATAAATTAAGAAACAAGAAATTTCATATTTTCACCTCTATTTTTATTTTCATGATTATATTAAACTAAAATATTGATACTTCCGATCTATATTTAGTTAAATGATGGCTATTAGCATATTATATATATATACATACACTAATTCATATTCTCAAATTAATTCAAAACTCCTACTTTATAATATTTAAGTATAAAATAGATAAATCGGACTTACACTAAAAATTTCTGTGAATACGGTTGAGTGTTCACTGGAGACAATGCAAAATAATCTAAAGATTTTTATTATCATAGCAAGTTTAACAGAAGTATTTCTATTTGGAGGAATAGGAATGGGATGGATTAGTCTAACATATATTTTTAAGGATCAAGGATATTTCATTGAAAGTTGTGATTACTATAATAATAGTAGTAAAGTAACATGCTCTGGACAAGATATTTCCTTGAATCTTATATTTACTATATACATTTCTCTTTCGGGAATTGGCTGCCTTATAGGAGGAATATTGCTGGATACTTTTGGTATTTATCGAGGAAGGATTGGAGTGTTAATCCTACTCCTTTTCGGTTTATCTCTTCTTGCTAATTCGTCTCCGAGTAGATAATTTATTTATTTTATTAAATTATATTATTATCACTTAAAACGCTTTCCAGCATATCCAGCAATACTTTGTACAGCAATGGCATTTATTCAAATTGGAGGAGGATTATTACATATTATGACTCTAAAGTTGTCAAATCTTCTTCCAAACTATTCAAATGTTATTATGTTTTGCGAGAATGGTATTTATAATAATAGTATGGTAATAGCAGATCTGATAAGGGTATATATTGTTATTTTATTCATTCTATAGAAGTTCAATTCATACAATTTCTCATTTTAATCATGAATAGATAGTATATAATTACGGAATTCCAATTAAATGGTCTTTTCTTATTATGATTGGTGCTCTTATACCATTTTCTACAATCACATTATTCCTAACTCGATACAGAAATGAATTGGAGATTGCAGTAAAAAATGACGTATATGATGATGATGATGAAAATTCAGAGGATGAACTACTAGTGTATGATTCAAGTGAAAATTTAATTTTTTAAATAAAAACATACCTAAATGTTAATGTCTGTTATTCTTTTATTAAGGAAATAGGTCAAACACACTTATTAATTTCCTCAGAAAGAGTATTTATTCCCTTATAATAATAGCCATATTTCATGGATTTAATACTTTTTTAAAATTATCATATATTGGTTACTTAAATTCATTTTTAGAAAAAATAGCTGAAATTCATAAAGGTTTGTAGTAAAATATAACATTATCTATTTCAATAATATCTTGAAAATACCCAATTTAATATAGAGCACAAAGTTGCAACCTATACGGCTATATTTTCATATATCCAATTTGGTAATGTCCCTATAGCCTACCTTTTAGGACGGTTTGCAGATATTGTTAAGAAAGGTTAGTAAAAAATAAGTAAATTCTATTAGTTTGTATCTACTATTTATAAATATCTTTACTATAGGACAAGTGAAAATTATGGCTCTAAAGTGTATTCTTTGTATAACTTGCGGAATACTATTATGCATTACTTCCAGCTTTTATAACTTTCGTATTCAAATTATTAGCTTTATATTGTTTTTGCTACATAGAGTTCTACTAGATACAATGACCTGTGCAGTTATTAAGAAATGGTAAATATTTTAGTTATACTTACAAATTACTTCTCAAAGATTTATTTTCATTAGCTTTGGTCAGACCCATTTTGCTACAAGTTATAGCCTTATAACGACATTTAGTTGCTGCCTCCTACTCTTTATCAACCCCTTCTTTCGCATTCACGAACAAGTCTTTGATCAAGAATTTTTGTACACAAATTTAGTTCTTATTTCCTTATTGTTTTGTACCATTGCTTTACCAGTTTATATCCTAGCTTATTTCAAATAATATAAAAGTAAAAAAATTTGATAAGGTGTTATAGGATAGCGGAAAATGTGTATTTCATCTGCCAATGATAGATCGATAGTTGATTTAACAATCATATAGAAATTATGTTAAAATGTGTAATTATATTAAGAAAATAGAGTTTAACCATCTTCACAGAACTTTCAAAATTGTTCTTCTAAGCACTAATGCCACTTAGGAAAAATTGAATGATACATAATGTACACTGAGTTAAGTGTGAATCGTGATCTTAAGTTCAAGCAGGAAAAAAAAAAGAAAATTTATTCTTAGAATGTAATTTAAACAAAATAACTTCAGTCTTTAGCACCGGAAGACCCGCTTTCTTCTTTCGGTAGCAAACTCTCACCCATAAACAATTTTCCAAAGCTCTGGTTGGCAAATTCGTCAATCTGTTCAGCAAAAGATGCAATTTGTGAGGACACCAAAAGGGAATCCAATCGTGGTGGAACTGCGATTGGCTTAAATTGCTTATGAATGTCGTCATCAGGCAATGGAGCTTCGCCTCTTTCTGATCTTGCTTTATTTTCAGCAAACTGTATCCAGAAACATTTTAGAAATTTGTAAAATACATCAAGAAATGTTTATGCTTACTCTCTTTTGTAGAGCTTGCTGTTTCTGCTGTTGTTGTTTTTGGCATTGCCTTTGATAACTAAAGAATCGACTTGAGTCTTGTGATAATTCATCAACGCAATCCATCAGTAATTTCAATTTCTTTTCTAGTAAATTGCTACAAAAAAGCACAACAGTAAAAAAATTGTTAAAAAGACAAATTGTTTATCTTACCCCATTCCTAAATCGAGGAATCCATATTGATTACCGCTTGGCATAATTTCTCCTAATTCACAGCACAATGCACTAGTTAAATTTGAAGTTTTAATCACGATATCAACTTCTTCAAACATGTTATCAAAGCTGGTTCCTGTTTTCTTTAAACTGTGATCAAGTAAATGATGTTATTTTTTATTGCTATTTTTAAGACGGTTGAAGTAAACAGTTTATAATTCATTTATTATAAAATTTTGCTTACTCTTCAGGAGTATATTTTCCTTCATTGAAAAACTGCATCATCACTGGTGTAAGTCGGAGGGCTTTCAAGGATAGTTTTCCCTTACTACTTTTGATTGGATCTAATATGTTGAATTGAAATTTTAAATAAAAACATTATCTCGGAGAATCAGTAAGTACAAACCGTAGATTAACACAATACTCTCTTCAATCGAGTTTTGGTAGTTAAATTGAGACTCTAATACACCTTTATTGATGAATGAACCATAACAATTACTTTGATACCATCCAACACTTAAATGGTCTACGTTAACATGTCTTAATTTCCTAATGACTTCGATTTGATAATACATTTCATCAAAATCATCTTCTTCAGTAGTCTTGGGAATCGGGAAACAATTGGTAACCTAATCATGTTCAATATTGAGATACACTTCAAATGAAATCATCACGCGTAGAGAGAATACTCACTTCTAATTTTGTTCCTTCAATCAGTCCTAACAATACTCCTTGAACTGGGTCAGAAGCTGACATCCCGTCATCTTGACAATGTTTAATAATTTTCAAAAGTACCTGAAAGATAAAAGGTAATAACAGATGCCATGTACACGTGACAAACGCCGGATATTTTTATTCTCTTTAAAATATCATAATTTTTCCTCAAAATAGAATCAAAGTGCTTTAATGTTAAAAAGAGACGTTATAAACACGAAATCTGCGCAAAACGATACTTACAACTGAGTCAATTTGTACAACTTCTATTTGCGCAGGCTTCTTGGACGCCATTTTGGTTTCGAAAAGAAAGGAGTTCTGTTTTACAAAATTGTCGTAAAATTGATGGGAAAATTTAGAACTACTTTTTTTCGTTTCGCTGATTGGACGTCTGAACAAATATGTCACAGGTAATTTAAGTGTACAAGAAATAGCAAATTGCTTTCTTTCATGATAGATGAATTTTTATTTTCTTTCAACTGTTGTATAAAATAGCCAAGTTTTTTCTTTATTTTCTATGAAAATATAAAAAGCTGATAGAAATGAGCGATAATACCTGAAAATAATGTAAAATTACCGGTTCATAAACAAATTTAAATCTTCTTAGAAACAAGAGACATCTGGGGATAAAGCCGAGAGGAAACGTAAAGAGACTATCTTAGATCTTGGGAAATACTTGGATAAAATCATACGTGTAAAATTTGCCGGAGGAAGAGAAGGTTTGAAAAAAAGCAGCAGAATTTAATTTAACTTAAAGTCTCCTCTTTGTGTATATAGCCAGTGGAGTACTTAAAGGTTTCGATCCATTATTGAACTTAGTGTTGGACGGAACAACTGAACATTTACGAGATCCAGACGATCCTTATAAAATAACGAACGATACACGCCAACTAGGACTGACTGTTTGTCGAGGGACAGCTGTTTTGTTAATTTGTCCTGCCGAAGGAATGGAATCTATAGCTAATCCTTTCTTGGCACAAGAGGGGGAAGGTTAAGGCTTTTGTAACGGAAACGATTCATTTTTGAATTTCATAAGTCAGTTTGAATACACAACATTTATCATTTTTGTATGACTTTTATTTTTCCAAACTTTTACAAGAAAAGTAAAATTATTAGTCAGTCAGGTTTTCATTTATTTATAAAATGCGGTTTTGTGCATTTGATAAATCATCTCATACAGTAAAAAATCTATAAGATACATTATTTTAAAAAAGGCAATATCACATCTAATTCCTGATGTCTAAATCATAGAAAAAAGAAAGGTATAAAATTTTTGTAGTAGGTAATATCACGTTATGTGTTTGGCAAGGCGTCGTTCAACGAGAAGATGAACTGGTGAATCGGAACCTCTTAGCCAATTTACAACAGTTTCATGTTCCTTTCCCTTGCAGCTTATTCCGTTTATCTTTAATATTTTATCCCGAACGTGGACTTCATTTCTTGGCTCTAAAACCCTTGTAACGTATATTCCCTGCTACAATTTATTAAACAATGAAAAATTAACTTTTGAAAGAAAATAGAATATAATACCGTATCATCAGGATTGAAAGGGTTTCCAGGGGATTGTAGGCCACCAGCTATACTGATACCAAGATCAGGAGTTTTGTATAATTTTACAAGTAATTGGGTAGCATGGTCATCCTGATAGCCGCTATCTGTAGATGTTTGAGAAAAAGGTTGTCGTATATCTTCTTTTGATGAATCGTCAGCATAAGGTATGTCTGAAGAGGCATGAACAAGTTGGGCACGAACGTCATTTAGTGGTGTTGTTATCGGTTCCTATTGGAGTGGATCAAAAAGTTTTGAAAGCTATATATTACAATATAAAAAAAAACTTTAAGAGCTGATCAATTTCCTTCAATTAGCTCTTTTTTCTCCTTGTCACAAATAGAAATGACCATTAACTTTGAATAAAGTGCGATATCATCAATAAAACCGCCGATAGTATAATAAATGATTCCTTTTGTTGGAATAACAAAATAACATTCTTTGCGTGTTTATGTATGATATCACAGTTTTATCAAAAAATATAGAATCATAAATGCTTACAGGAATGTGAGCAAAGCTTGAAGCGATGGGGAAAGGTGCGCCGGTTTTATTGCGAAGTTCGGGAACGCTTCGCCAGCACTAACAGAAGTTTTGTCAATAGTTAGTTAAAATAAAATTGTTAGTCTTCAGAAATAAAGAACCGAGTATTTTAAAAGAGTGGATCATTAAATTAAAATCATTCCGTTAATTGATATTCGATTATCATTTTGCCATTGAGTAATAAATCTTTAATTTAAAATATTCATTGTTATATATTGTTCTTTTGATTGATCATCTCACTCAATAGTTGACCTTTTCGAATATCTTAAATAATCGATCAAAGTATATTTAAGATCAAATTTTTTGAGTTTTAACAGCGAAACAAAACCACCTGAATGTGCATCTTACATTTGTAAATTATTTATCGATAAAATTTTATCATCTTTATCTTTCATTTCGTTTCTTCTCATAGCCTCTACGAAGAGAACAGAAAGAGAATTTGATATTAATTTAACCAAATTTGCAGCGGAGAAGCTTAAAAACATAATACTCTTTTCGATTTTTGCATGAATAAATATGCATAAAGCTCGGGACTTAGTGGATTAATTGATTAACTAACGATTAGCAAAATATTTATAGCTATGGCTTACACCCACCTGTATATTATTTAATCCATTTGGTTGAGATGGACTTTTATTTAAAGCAATTTGGGCTTTATATAATTGCTTTTTCCATTCCTCCTCTTCTAAGTTATGATTTTGATCCGATTCAATGGCTGATCGACGCCACGGGGACGGTTGCGGTTGAGCAGGTCTGGTAATTGGCATTGCCTTATGCGAAAATGAAAATGAATGTGATCCATTTTGATTTGGAGTTCTTGGCGTTATGGCTCTCTGAGCAGTCGGTATTTGTTTGCTGGTTGGAGTAGTTGGAACATGCATTTCCTGGACGGGTCTCATGGACAAATTTGAAATCTCGTCAATACGTTGAAGTGGGGTTGATCGAAATGATTCAGACCGAACAACTTCAGCGTGAGATTCTGGTCTAAAGTGTCTAACAGGTGTAGAATGGAAGTTTGCGATCGGAGGACCAGGCTGTGGCCTGGAAAGATGGGATGTAGATCTAGCCTTTCGATTTAGAATTGCTTTCATTCTTTCGTATATTTCTGCGTCAGATTTGTATCCTGTATCGCTCTTATAGCCTGTATCTGAATCGTAGCCTGACATAGGATTTCTAGCGATGCCACTATCACTCTCGTAGCCCTTTGAAGACCTTCTAAGACGTCTGTCCATTGGAGGAGGTCCTAGCAGCTGAGGAAGGTGACGAGAATGAGGTGATAAAAATCCTCCATCATCGTCATCTTCTGTTTCTCCTTTTAGCCTCTTTTTATCTTTCATCATTTTTTCCTTATCTGCTTTCAGAAGATGATGGCGTTCAACAACCTGAGTTAATTGCCTTTCAGCCCTTCTCCCTAAAACGGGAGCTTCCTCAAGACGATCATTGTCTGTTAAACTCTTCACTTGAGCTTTTACATTTCTTGCCCTCATTTCCGCTGGCCCTGGAGTAGGGACTCTTTCTAGCCTACTAACGTTTTCTCCGGCTGAACTATCCCAAGTGATTTTTCTTTCGCGGTCCCCATTGATATAATCTCCTGCAATAGAATCGTCGTCACCATCATGTGGCTGTTGAGGCAATAGATAACAAGTTAAAACTTTTCTTCCATTTTGTATATCGCTTTGTAAGCGGATGATAGGCTGTGCTTGATTTTCAGACAGCCACATGGCTTGCAAATAATTTAATCTCATAAGAGACATTGGCAGATTGACCAAAAAGTTAGAGGACAAATTCAAAACTCTGAGTTTGGGTATTCTTCCTATTTCATCCGGTACATAGGTAAGCTGCAGAAAAGAGGAAAAAAAGAAAGTTTTAGAAAGATGAAACAATTGAATGATTTAATTATGTAAAAAGAAATGTCATAAATATTATTGAGGTTCGATATATCGACATAATTTTACTTGTTTAATTATTTCTCAGCATGTATGCTTATTTATACAAGAATTAAGCGATTAAATGGATATTTTGCTATTTATTATTTGTCTGTCGATTTATTTGCCTTAAATAAGGTACATAGGGAATAAAAGAATCTTGATACAAATACCTTAATCAGGGAAAATTGTATGTTTTTTTTTTTTTAAGTGAAAGTAAGTGTTATTAGTATTCTAGTATATGATTGATTTGGTGTAACTGTGGGAAACTAAAGAATACAGAAAATTATGGAGTAGGTGTCCAGAGATTCTAACAATACTCGCACTCTTTTCACACAATATGGGTCCAATATAAGGTTAGAATTATAAAATCGACTCTGAAGAGAAAACGACGTGAAGGTTTTCTGTTTTTAGTCGGAATATTTTAGGGTTATATCTTCAAAAGAACCTGCACTATTTACAAGTATAGTAGTTGTTTGCAAAACAACTTTTTATATTTGTAGTAAGCCTGGGAAAATTTTTAGAGTCATTCGGCCACATTTAATGTTTATGCTTTTCTTTGATAAAAAGAAAATTGTTTGATCGAGAAAAGATAATAATACTTGAAGAAAACACAACTTTTTTCTTTCTCTTTTTAATTAACTAACTAATGTGTCTTAATACCTAAAAAGGCTTACCTGATTCGCTCTTAGAGATAAGACAGTTAATGCCTGGCAACTACCCAATTCCGTGGGTAGCAAACGTAATAAATTCTCATTAGCGTATAATGTTCGAAGATTACGTAACAATCCAATCGAAGGTGGGAAATTTATTAGCTGATTTGCGCTAACTTCCAATTCGGAAAGGGAAGCTAATCCTCCGAGGGAAATAGGTAAACATTCCAAAAGATTGTCGTCCAACTTTAAAGTTGTTAAATTACTTAAACGACCAAGAGATTCAGGTAATCGTTTCAAGTCATTAGAGGAGAGATGTAAATCCGCTAGCTGAATACAAGCCTCAATACTTCCGTCTATGTTACGTAGTAGATTTTTACTGGCATCGAGAAAGACTAAATTTTTAAGGTTTCCCAAACAACTAGATATTGTAGTTATTTTATTTCGATCGCACCAAATTTCCTTTAAATTTTTCATTTCTCCAATAACATCTGGAAAAGTATGAAAGTCATTTGTACCCACATCTAAACGTTCTAAATTAGTTAATCTGTTGAATGTATTTGGCAAATTTCTCAGACGGTTTTCCCTAGTTGAAGATAAAAAACGAATTAAAAAATTTTAAAGGAATTAAAAATTTAATTCTTTTACCTTAATTCCAAAACCAGTAGGTTTGTTAGTCTTCCCAATTGGCCAGGTACAAAATCCAATAAACAATCGTTCAAGTGCAAACTAGTTAGTGAAAGGCATTGACAAACGCCATCAGGCACACGACCTAAGGGATTAACGCTTAGATCTAACGTTGAGAGCCGTTTACAGCTCTTTATTGCGTCAGGAACGTATGACAAAGAATTTTTCGATACATCGAGTTGCTCGAGACAAATTAAACTTCCAATGGCTGGTGGAAGGAGTTTGAGCTCGTTATCAGAAACCGATAAGATTCTCAGACCAGTACAACAAAAAAGTTCTCTGGGTAGATCCGAAATGCAATTAGCATCCAAAAGTAGTTCTTCAAGCGTCCTCTCTCGAACGAACACGTTGTTGGGAACTTGATCCAAAGATCCATGTCGATAATCTAGTAGTCGAACATCGTCTTCGAATTTTTTTCCTCTTATGCAAGCGCACAAAGCTTTCTTTGTCGATAACATTTTATCTGAAATGAAATAATAACAAAAATGAACTTAGCATTTTTGATTCTAATAGAGGACACTATTGTTCTTTCAAAAAAAAAGTACGACATAATTGATAGTTACCATACCTTCTGACTAATCGTTAATAACTATACTGAATAAAAAGTTAGCTACCACTATTCCATACAGGTGAATTCTTTTTATAATAGAACAAGATTGGATATCTTTCATCCAATCCCTCACAACCCCTCCCCCGTAAGTGAACTATTTGAACAAAGTTAAATCACAAGGACTTAAAGCATGGATTTTAGTAGCCATGGGTAAAATAAATAAACCATTTTATTGATTTACTTTGAAACAACACAATTTGTTATTAAAGCGAGTTAAAGCTTTTCCTTTGAACGGAACGAAATTTTTCTCGTTAGATTTATACTCTATATATTAAAAATTTTTCAACAAACCAATAGTAGATTGCATATTTTCCCTCTTTTTTTTATATATATGTTTACTGCAAATAGTAAGTATGATATTGTTAGAACTTGTATATGAACACGAAAGAATAGGTTTTTCTTTTTTATTTCAAGATAAATTGATATCGTATCCTATAATCGAAAATCAATTGACAAAACTACCTTTTTATGCAAAGTAAAAGAGAAAAAAATGACTAAAAAAGTACTGTATATTATTAAAGCAAGTTTTAAAACATATAGTATATTATATCGTACGATATGTAGACAAGAGTAATTTTTAATTATGTCAATATTAAAGATTTTTCTTTATTTAACAAGGAGGAAAGTACAAACATTTCCCATATATTTTTTGGCACGCAAACCTACTTCGTTACTAACCATTTTTCTTGATTTAATTATATTCATAAAAAAATACCACAAAGGTTTGAGAGAAGACTATTATATAAAAAAAACCTCTTCAATTGAGTTATTCAGATTCAAAATTAGTTCTTGAATAAGAAACTGGACTACTCAAGTCTGCTAGATATTTGAATTTAGAGACAAAGTTAAATTAGTAATTGAAAGATATCTGCAACAATTCAGTTCAAGTGTTAAGTACTTAATTTGCATGAGAAAACTAGGAAAGCCCTTTGATCTTTGTTTATTGTCCGCCTGTCACTACGCCTATTCAACATGACCATGAGAAGTTTGCGATCGCCACTTTTCGGTTAAGGGTGAACGTTTTGAAACCAATCCTCTAATATTTAGTTAACTAAGCTAGGTTATCTATTTCAATGAGTTACTTATGTTCACAAATTTTCCAACTCTTTTGAGCGCGGGAAGTGGTCTCTTCATAAACAAGAAAAATAGGCTGGAAATACTCACCGATATAAACTATAATTTATCCAATAGTAAAATAAAGTTACTGTTACATTATTACGTAACGGATTTAACGTATAATTTTGACATGATTACTGGGAATCAACGCCGTTGTTTACAAATGTCCGCCATTTTAAAAGACGCGTTTCGAACCGGTACGCAACCGGTTCAGCCGACTTGAACCGATTAATTTTAAAAGCAAATAAGCTATTGGTTCAAAGCGACAATTATGCAAATCTAATAGGATTATGAATAATTATGTTTTAAAGATGTTTAATTGAATGAGTAACTGGGAAAATTGATGTAATATCGATAAAAAACAACTTTGTGACACCTTTTTTGTATTATTTGTAATGGCCGTTTATCTTAGCGTGAAACCTTAATTGTTTTTCAGACCATGTTTAGTAAAAAGTAAATTTATTATATAATCACGCAGCAAGTACTAGAAACGCGAACAAATAAAATCTGCTAAAGGCTACTTTTGGATGAGTCTTATATTGATTCCATCAACTTGCAATTATCCGATTATCAATAGATCTGATCAATACTTTTATCGGTCATAAACGCCGAGTAAAATCCGAATAGAAGACAATTACATTACCCCATTAAAGTCCCAATCCAATAAAATTTTTAATACCTATTGTTGTATATTACAAAGAGATGAAATTCAATTAGAGATATACAGAATAAGTTCAAATAGAAAAGTTAGAAAAAGAATTCACTTAAAATTAAGAAAGTATTTAATCATTTCCCTTATGTAAATAAATCTTCAATCACTTAACACGTTGTTCTTCTGCATTATTTAAAATATAACTAGATTACTCCTACTGTTCAATTCCAAACTAGAGTTATTTAAATATAAATCAAAATTCTCACATCTCTAATAAGGGTAGCCTTCTACAAAACCAAAAAAGAGACAAACTTCAATGTTAAACTCCTCTTCACCGCATATTCTTAAATAAAGAAAATCTGTCACTGGATGATACTGTGATTTCACAAACATAAAAGCCTAAATTGAACAATTGTTTCTCTTTCTACTAACAATTTATTAACATCGTATAACAATAAAAAAATACAAGAAAGCATTCAGTAAATGTATATTTTTACAAAGGATGAACAGCTTTTCAAAATTAGCGAATCCCTTTCATCATGTCTCTGATCTTTCAATTCCACTATTTACGACATTAAGAGCGATCGGAATTTCTGCAGCAGTCTTGCACAAAGTCATTGAAGCTCTAAAACGTTCTTCATCTTTTTTTTTTATTTTCAAAGAAATATTCTTTTGAAAAGAGCTATCAAATTTTATAACTTCATAACGCATAGCTTCACCGGTCACACCGTATAAAGTTCTTATTGAATTCCTTAAAACTAATTCAAATTCGGCTTTAGCCATTTGTATAGGTTCATCCGTGTCAAATTTCCTGTAATATCAGTCAATAAAGTAATACTCTAAAATAAATGCGCATTTTATACTAACACATTAACTTCCAATATCACCATATTATCGCTAGGAATTTCTTTAGACATTATATTGTTCTATTCTAAAAGTAAAATTTTATCAATATAGTTATATAACATTGAATTTTTTTATATTTGAATATTAATATTTACTACAATCTATGACAATGATTAATTTCTTTTGCAGAAGTAGAGAGCAAGGTGTGTCTACCAGTTTTCGCAAGAGCGGGAAAAAGATCAACGAATACAATGAAACATTTAGCTTAAACTTGGTAATCAACTTTAGAATTACAGTAAGAGCTTAGTTTGTATGCTATATTTTCTAGCAATAAACATGTTAAGACTTCTTTTAGTGGCTACTAAAATTTTGCGCGTAATCTTGTTGGTCCAAAGTACGAAGAATTATTACTTCCTAAATGTTATATCTTTTATATAGCATGATCAATTTTGTGTAAAATTTTATTGAGCGTAAATGCTTGATAGTATAAGTTTGTTCTATATCTTTTTTTAAAGTATAAGTTTAAAATGTTTACAGCTCGCAGCGCCACCAGGTGTACAGATGGTTTTATAATATTTTTGTTGTTTTAAGACACTTTTCGTCATAAAAGATACTAAACAGTGCCTGCCAAAAAATATATTTTTTAAATCTTTAACATTATTTTAATTTATATTACAGGAATATGAAGAGTTTGTTATTTCTATTTTCGGCGCATGCGCAAAGGTACGATTTGTAGAGAGCGCTAGTAGTTGTCAACACAATATCGCTCATTCGGCGGAAAAAAAGGGATTTCTTTGAAAATGGCAGCCCATTTGGCTCAAACGAGCGATGCCTGCCGTCAATATCTTCTGCTCGTTGGAGATTCCAGCGTTCAAGGTAATAAATACAAAATTAAACATTATAGGTAATAATCATGGACTTGTGCCGATCAAATAGTTGAGAAAAGGGCTAAAGCTGCCTCGGAACTCGCGGATCACATAGAACAAGTCGCTTCATACACTAGCTTTTCAGTTTTGATCAATGATTTCTTAAGAGTTTTTACAAGTATCATGAAAGAAATAGAGCCAAATTTCATAAGCGAAAATCCTTATCAGGTTGTTTTCTCTCTTTATTTTCTCTTATAAAGTATCCAAATGTAACTAAATTTATATATCAGTTGTTGAGGAAACATATGCTGGAGTGCATTCACAGGATACCTGCGAATGAAATTGTCAGACCTCTTGTTAAAAATATTTTAAATAGCATGTTTCAATTGATCGACGTAAGTAAAGCTATCTTTTTACTGTTGTTACTGAATTTTAATGAAGCAACTGTTTTTATGCCAATGTATTCAGATTGACAATGAGGAAAATGTTCTAATTTGTTTAAGAATAATAATAGAAATGCACAAACAATATAGACCTCAAATTTCTCAAGAGGTTAGTTGAAATAATTTATAAGCCCTGGAAAGAAATATATTGTTCTTAATGTCTAGATTCATCGATTTCTCATTTTGGTGAAGAGAATTTACGAAGACGTTCAAAAACCTATAAACTTAGGCAAAATATTTGAACCCCAAACGAGCTTGCGAATAAAGGATATAGCAGATGTTGATATTCCAACTCTATTAAACGAAACTTATACAAGTGTAACCGTCCATTACGAAAAGCGAGACGGTACTGGAACTGCAACGGTAAATAAATCTATTAGCATGCATAGGAGCTCACGTTATAGTTATTACTTAATACATAGAGTGTCGTACTTCCAAGAGCAACGATGTCATTAAAAGTTATGGCTGAACTACCGATTATTGTGGTTTTGATGTACCAGTTGTACAAACAAAATGTTCTTAATGAAGTCTCAGATTTTATTCCATTAATAATGAAAACTATTTTATTACAACCAACACCAGCGCAAAGGTATACAAAGCTCTATCCTTCTGTTAATTTATTTAACAACTCTCTTTGCTCTTTAGGTCCAATGCAAATTTTAACAAAGAAATATTTTGTGATTTTGTTGCTGCTCAGATAAAGACTCTTTCTTTTATTGCTTTTATTATACGATTTTATCAAGAAATTATTAATCAACACCACGAACCTTTAATGAAAGGCATGATAATACTCTTTCAAACTTGCCCACCCGAAGTGGCTCATTTGCGTAAAGAACTACTTATAGCTGCTCGACATATCTTAGCAACAGACCTACGAAAGCGTAAGTTCCAGTTAAATTTTAACCACAAAAGTATAGTAATTTTTTATATAGATTTTGTTCCAATTATTGATAAACTTTTTGATGAAAATCTTCTAATTGGGGCCGGTTGGACTGCTCATGATTCACTGAGACCGTTGGCTTATAGTACTCTGGCAGATCTTGTTCATCATGTGAGAAATCAGTTAAAATTCAATGACCTCTGTTTGGCCGTCAATCTCTTCAGTAAAAATATAATGGACGATACACTTCCATGCTCTATACAAACTATGTCCTGTAAATTGCTTTTGAACTTGGTGGAGTGCATAAGATCAAACAGCGAAACTGAAAATAAAGAAGTATGCCTTTGTGATGTTTGTACAATATTATAACATTTAAATTAAATATTTTACAAAACAGGGAAGAGATTTACTTATGAGAATGCTTGAAGTATTTGTTATCAAATTCAAATCTATTACTGAACTCCAGTTACCTATTCTTCTTGATAAATGGTAATTAATTACTTAAATTAATTATAAATTTTATAAAAAGGATCTATTTTAGTAAAACTGATTCTAAGAAAAAAGATACCAAAGAAGCTGTGGTTAAGCCATCATCATCAGATGGGGATAACAATAATGGTACATATTACTTTTGAAGAAAGTTGAGTGGCTATTAATTTATATCGTTACAGAAGCTAAGACAGCTGACGAAAAATCTCCGTTGCCAGATTTTAGTAAAGAAAAAGATGTTGAAAAAGTTATTCCAGGCGTTCCATCCTCTCCTAATTATTTGGTATCCGAATGTCGAGCACTTGTAAAAACTTTAATTTGTGGAGTAAAAACTATCACTTGGGGTACAACAACTTGTAGAACGGCTCAACTTGGTTAGTAGAAAAAGGTTAATTTATTAATATTGTCATTTATATTATTTACTATAGACGCAGCATCTGTCCAAAGTAAAAGACTGACTCCAAAAGAGACACTCGTTTTTGTTCGATTAGTAAAATATGGCTTAAGCGCTCTTGATATTTATACGATAAACGTAACACCTACTGGTCTCCATGTTATTAGACCTGCTTCGTAAGTCTTTTTACCAGTTCACCATATGATCTTTTAATTGACAAAATTTCTCTCCAGCCTACAAACATGCAGAACAAAAGAAGAAAAAGAAGTTTTGGAGCATTTTGGAGGCGTGGTATGCATTCAAATTTTTATAACTGCTAATTACAAAATGACAGCATTTTTGTAAATATATTTATATTTTCACAGTTTACTATGATGTATCCGCAAACCTTTAAAGAGATTTTTGTAAATACAATTGAGGTAAATAAAGTCACTTATTTTAAGATTCGATTGTTACCTATGAAAAATTGTTAAACTTTTTTTCAAATTATAGTTCATGGTTGACAGAATGCAAAGCAATTACTCCATTCAAGTAGTGGCTAATTCTTTTCTAGCAAATGTTCAAACATCAGCTACGTTTGCAACTATCCTTGTCGATTTCTTATTGACAAGATTACCTGATATGGGCTGTAAGAAATTTAATATATTTAGATTCATCATAACTTTAATTATATTTTATTACCAACAGCGAATTCGGATAGATCAGCACTTTATTTGAAATTGTTTAAACTTGTATTTGGATCTGTATCTCTTTTTTCTCAAGAAAATGAACCAATGTTAAAAGTATATACAGTCACTAAACTGAAATTTATATAAATAATTTATCGAATTTATTTTTCTAGCCTCATTTACATTCCATTGTAAATCAATCTATGGAATTAGCCATGACTGGAAAAGATCCATATAATTACTTCTTACTTTTGAGAGCTCTCTTTCGATCTATAGGAGGAGGCAGCCACGATCATCTTTATCAAGAGTTCCTACCCCTTCTTCCAAACTTGTTGCAGGGATTAAATGGTTTACAGTCTGGACCACATAAACAACACATGAAAGACCTCTTTGTCGAATTATGTCTCACCGTTCCAGTTAGATTATCTTCTTTATTGCCTTATTTACCAATGCTAATGGATCCACTGGTTTCTGCCTTAAATGGAAGTCCAACTCTCGTGAGTCAAGGATTAAGGACATTAGAGTTATGCGTTGACAACTTGCAACCTGATTTCTTGTATGAGCATATTCAACCAGTTAGAGCAGAGCTTATGCAAGCCCTTTGGACTACTCTTAGAAATCCGTCAGATCAAATCGCTCATATTGCCTTTAGAGTTCTTGGAAAATTTGGAGGTGCCAACAGGAAAATGTTAAGTGAACCTCAAAAATTAAACTACTTAGATAGATCATGTGGTGCACCAACTATGAGTATTTTACTCGAAGATTTAAAATCTCCAATAAGTCTGCCAGTGGAAATGATAATCGACACTGCGTACAATTCATTAAAACATTCAAGTACAGATGAATACATCAAGTCTGAGGCTTTGGATGTCATTAAATGTTATTTAATAGCTTCCACGAATTTGGACGATGATGTTCCTACTGTTACAAAAATACTTGAACATCAGAGTTTTAAAATTGGACCAATCATAAGTCTTTCTTCTAGTACCTTGTATAAAACAACCGACCCATCTATTAGAAAGACTCACGAGAAAGCTCTGTTGTCATTATTTATTGCCTCATCAGTTAAATCTCTAGAAAACAATGTCTTACCATTTCTACATGGAATTATTAGACAATATGTAATGATTGCATGTTGTCATCAAAGCGGACCTTTTCCCTTAATGAATGATAAATTGAGCAAATTGAACGGTTTAGATCCACACATACTTGTAGATTCAATTTGCTCAGTTTTAGGCCATGAAGACTCCGAATTAGAGGAAGCTGGAATAGTCGGCCTTAAGTTAATTGTGAAAACAGCAACAGTCGTTATGACTGATATAGAAAGAGCATGTCAACTACCATTCTTCGAATATTTGTGTGAAAAAATAACTGAACTATGCTATGAAAGAGCCTGGTATTCTAAGATGGGTGGTTGCATTGGAATTAAATTTGCCATAGTTAATTTTTCTCTTAACTGGGTCCTTGAACATCAATATCAACTCTTAAAAGCACTCTTGTTTGTTTTGATGGACTTAACTGGTGAAGTCTCCAGTGGTGCTGTTGATCAAGCCAAAGAGAATATAAAGTTGCTCCTGAAACATTGTGCCCAAAAGATTAGCTCCGATAAAGAAAGCCTTCTTGATTTACAAAAGAAATCAACATCGGATGTCACACATGAGTTAATGAGACAAGTAACTTCTCCGAACACACTAGTAAGAGAGCAGTCAGTTGAATCCTTAAAATATGTCGCAGAAATTATGGATGTTCCACTTTCTGAGCTAATTATGCCTCATAAAGATGTATTACAGGATATGCTACCTCCTAAAAAACATCTACTAAGACATCAACCAATTAATGCTCAGATAGGCATAATGGAAGGGAATACGTTTTGTGCAGCTTTGGATGAAAGATTTTCATTAACAGTAAACACAATTGTAGAGCATAAAATTTATTTTGACGAATTATTAAGTATTTGTGAGACGGAAGATGCAATGCTACAAAAATTTCCTTGTTATAAGAGCGCTTCAAGCTTAGCTCCTCTCAGGTGTAGCGCTATGAGAGCGCTAGCCTGTTGTCATCATATAGAGGAAAAGAGGCAAACTATATTCAAGATATTTTTTATAGGTCTTAAATCAGAAAAGAAAGAAATCCAAGATACTGCTGTTGCTTGTTTACAAAAATTTCTTTCAAAGTGCCCAATAGAAAATTTGAATGTTGAAAGCAATTTGAACGGGCTTCTTGATGAGATTAACGGAAAAGAGGCATGCGCATTAAAATTTATGAACAATTTAAAATCTCTTGCCAAAATAATTCCTGAAGTGTTCAAGGAGAATCATGTCAATAATTTGTTGGAACAATTTGTAACCTGGATGGAAACAGCTCCATCAAAGCAAAATCAAAAAGCCGAAGGATTTATTAATTGCGATCATGTTCGAATATGCGTTGCTGTCATTGATATACTTCACCTACTTCCTGCAGCTTCATCAAAGTGTGTTGAGAAATTAGTACATACAGTAATGAAGTGTGAGAAAGAAATTCTTACGGAATGTGCTAGTCCTTTTAGAAAGTCTCTCAGAACTTTTCTTTTACGATATCCAAACGAAACTGTTGACTTTTTCCTCAGCGATTCTTTAATAGTGCAAGAAAAATACGTAAGATTCTTTATTAATCTCATAGAGCATCCGGATTCAATCAAACTGAGGAGCTATTTAGAAGTTCAAGATAAGAAGTTGAAAAATCTATGTAAAAGCGTTTCCCACGGGAGTTCCGAATTAAGCGACACAACTAAAAACCTATTACAATTTGTTGGGATAAAAATTGTGAGAATTTTGGCTGTTAAAAATGATTCTTGGTTGTCACAACAAGTTGGAGTAGTTAGTGCTCTCCTTACTGTTTGGGTGTCAGCCAGTTTTCAGGAAAAGCACCAGCATGTAGACAGTATTGACTATGAGCAATGGGAAGAACCTCAATTATTAGTCGAATGCCTTATACTTTACTTTCAATCTTTTCCGAAAAAGTTAGAACTTCTCTTCCAGACATTAAAATGCTTCGTGCATAGATATGCAACAAGTATGCAGTTTGTCAAAGTTTTCCTTGCTAAAACTGTCGTTGAAACTTACTCTGTTCAATGGAAAAGAGAAGCGTTTTTCAAATTTGTCGAAATTTTTCACAATCCTGACTGGAATCAAGATTTAAAAGCCAATATCTTGAAACATGTTTTGTTGCCAAGTTTTGCGCATGCCTTTGAGAAAGGTCAAGATATGCTTATTGAGGCACCAGATTCGAATGGGGAGGAGGATAGTGAAAACAATATTGTTCACTGCTTCATAGCCAAGATTATTGATCCAGATAAGCCTACAACATGCGATTCGATCAGAATCCTTGTCTTACAATTTGCATCTCTTCTTGTTGAGTACGCAAGTCACCACATTCACGACGGAACTTCTTCAAATAAGAAAGATGGAAAAGAAGGTAACAAACTACGAAGATTAATGACTTATGCTTGGCCATGTCTTCTCACTAAAACATGCGTTGATCCTTCAACAAGATACCATGGCCATTTACTTTTGTGTCACATTATTGCTAAATTTGCTATACACAAAAGAATAGTTTTGCAAGTTTTCCATAGCTTACTAAAATCTTACGGAGTCGAAGCTCGAAACGTTGTTAAGCAAGCATTAAACGTTGTTGTTCCAACACTACCGAATCGAATGGAAGATTCGAATGTCAGTATGCTTGTCTTTTGGACCAGAAAAATCATTGTTGAAGAGGGACATTGCGCTGCCCATCTTACTCATATTCTTCAATTAATAGTTAGACACTTCAAAGTATTTTACACTGTCAGATCTGGTTTGATTATGTATATGAACACTTCTATCCAGCGTCTCGCTTTTACACCAAGTTCGAATATGGATAATCGCAAATTAGCGGTAGAAGTCTGCGAAGTTTTGATAAAATGGGAAATAATGCGAATAAAGGAAGAAGAAGAGAGCAAGAATAGTGGTGATGGAATAGTTGATGCTAAAAGAGCAAGGCGGCTCGTCGACAATAAACCTATGGAGAGATATGCTTGCGACAGTGTTGTGAACTCATTGATGAAAATAGCTTGTCAAGTCAATGAGGCATCATCCACGGGACAAGCTGGGGAGCTTTTATCGAAAAAATGTGTTCAGCTTATAAAGTTAGTACTGCGAAGTGATGTCTGGCCAAACGTTGACTTAAAATTGAGCTGGTTAGATAAACTATTACAATCAGTAGAGGCAAATTCTCCAAATTATGGCAATATTATGTGCGGATTGGAGCTTCTCACTATTCTTACTGGTTTTCTTAAAAAGCAAGAACTGTTAGCTAATTTGAGAATAATGCAGAAAGGACTTACTCTTTGTTTAAGATGTTCCAACACCAGAGTTATTAGAACATTGAATATCTTCCTAACAAAGCTGATGACAATATTTCCTACTGAACATACAGCTTCTACAGTGGCAAGTAAGCACGAGGAATTAGATCCCATTTATGCTGCAGCCTCTAAAATAGTATATGAGGGATTAAGCAACTATGATAAAGTAGTTGAAAGGTCACAAAATTCATCTCCTTCTCAATTATTCGGAACCTTGATGATACTGAAAGCAGCCTGTGTCCAAAATCCTGCCTTTATAGATAGGCTACTAAGTATATTTTACAGAGTATTGCAAAGAATGGCCAAAGAACATCTTACACCTCCAACAAGTGATACTAACACTGCTTCAATAACATGTGAATTGCTGATACTCTCTCTGGACTTGGTAAAGAATAGAGTTGGCTGTATGGGCGGTGAAATGAGAAAAAGTTTCATAGGAACCATTCTAACTATGTTAATTGAAAAGAGCACAGATAGTAAAGTTATAAAAGCAATAACAAAGATGGTTGAAGATTGGGTAAAGTCTAAACAAAATTTGCCAATGATAAATCAGGCTCCATCAGTTAAAGAAAAAGTTTTACTACTCGTGAAATTAATGTCAAATATTGAAAAGCGGTTTCCAGAAGAAAAAGAACTTCAGTCTCAATTCTTGGAATTAGTAAAATTTGTCTACTGCGACGAAGATCTTAGAGGAACTGAAATAACTGTCAAATTAGAAGCTGCTTTTATGTACGGTCTAAGATGCCCCCAACATACTATACGACAGCAATTTATGACTGTGTTTGACTCAAGTATATCAAGAAGCATAGAAGATAGATTAATGTATATTTTGCAAAGTCAGAGTTGGGAATCAATCGGTACCCATTTTTGGGTTAAACAATGTATTCAACTGTTACTAGTTCTCACCTCGAAAAACAATAGCTTTACGTCATCGAATTCTCTATATTCAGTACCCTCTATTACTAGCATCTTGTCTCTGGCTGACAAAGGAGAAATGACCTCCTTCCACACTGAGGAAGAAACACATACAAAGGTAGTTAACTCACTAAAAGAATTACTTAAATAGGACAATAAAAAAGTGTAAACTATTACTTTTACTTAAACAGATGGAAACCGATGCAAATGATGAGGAATTCACAATATCTTCAATGATGAAAAAACAGCAGGAATTTTACAACTTGTGCCAAGAAATGAAGGTTCAAATTAAAATATCTGACTTGTAATAAGTTACATATATCCTTATATTTTTAGATGAGTCAATTCGCTTCCTCTTTATCCGAATTATGCCACTCCAACACTAATCTCTCTTATCATTTATGGATTGATCTTTTTCCCCGATTATATAAAGTTCTACCGGAACGCATTCAGACCTTTCTTAATCAAGTCATGTCTCAATTTCTAATTTCGTAAGTTTATTTAATGTATGCGATTGTTATTTCCAAACTATTTTATTTGTTTTGTAGTCCTCAGCACTTACCTCAAAAAGAAGTTTATCCTAGTGCGGCAAATTGTTTTCTTGAAGCCATCTGCAAATGTCTTCCTCACGTCTCATTAAAACCGTCCATTATCAAATATCTCGGAAAATCCCATAATCTTTGGCATAGATCAGTTTTAATGCTGGAACAATTAGCTATCGATGGATCTTCTAACAACATTCGCCGTCAACAAACTGAATATGAATTTGAAGTGGGCATGAGCACGGGTCAGAATGAAGTGTTTGACTGTCTCTGTGAATTGTATTCATTGCTAAGAGAGGAAGATATGGTAGTTGGAATATGGTCTAAACGGGCCAAATATCCTGAAACTGTTCAAGCTCTAGCTTACGAACAGCATGGTCACTTTGAACATGCACAAACATCGTTCGAAAGCTGTATGAATAAAGCTAGACAAGAACATAATACTCAAAATTGTAGTTTGCAACAATGCCCCGAATATAACTTGTGGATACAACATTGGATACGGTGTGCGAAAGAGCTGAATCAATGGGAACAACTGCTCGAATTCTGTAACGTCAAAGGTCAAGTTAATCCTGAATTAGCAATGGAGTGCGCCTGGCATGTACCTAATTGGATAATAATGAAAGATGCTATTACTCAAGTGGACGGAAATTGCGCAAAGGAGATGAACTGGAAAGTAAATTTATACAAGGGTTACGTACATGTGTGTACTCCTGAAGATCAGCCTTTCCAACCAGCTGTAAGTTTATTTTGTAATCTTTCAGCACGAACATAATATAATTTCTTTTTATGTAAGCAGCAAGTAGATAAATTTGTGGATGCCTGTGGTAACAACGTAATAAGGGAGTGGCGAAGGCTGCCTCATATTGTTTCACACATTCACGTGCAATATTTGCAAGCCTCCCAACAAGTGATGGAGTTATACGAAGCATCTCAAATACATCAAAACTTACAAGCAAATGCTGCGACCACAAGAAGTGGTGCTGCACTCCATGATATGAAAGCTATTGTTAAAACTTGGAGAAATAGATTACCTATGATTTCAGATGACTTATCTCACTGGAGCGATATATTCACATGGAGGCATCATCATTATCAGTACATAGTGAATCACTATAACGCACAGGCTCAGCAAGATACTGTAAGATAAATTTATTTTATTTTATAATGAGATAAACCAAATAATTTTCATTTTGTTTCAGTCTCAAAGTTCAAATGCGATGCTTGGTGTTCACGCATCAGCGCAAGCTATTATACATTTTGGTAAAATTGCTCGAAAACATTCACAGACTAATGTATGCCTTGATCAGCTTAGCAGGTGAGTTAACGAGACAAATAACGTCAAAACCGATATACATGAGTTTGCTTGTTTGTACTAAAATTTTCCTCATCAACAGAATTCACACCATTGCCAGTGTTCCTATTGTTGACTGTTTTAACAAGATACGTCAACAAGTTAAATGCTATTTACAAATGTCATCTGTATTGGGTAAAAATGAATTACAAGAAGGATTGGAAGTTATTGAATCTACGAACTTGAAATATTTTACTAAGGAGATGACAGCAGAATTTTATGCTTTGAAAGGAATGTTCCTTGCCCAAATAGGTCGTTCAGAAGATGCTAATAAAGCTTTTTCAGCTGCAGTTCAAATGCATGATTTCTTAGTGAAAGCATGGGCGCTATGGGGAGATTACCTGGAAGCTCTGTTTACGCGAGACAGAAATATTCAAGTCGGAGTTTCTGCTATAACATGTTTCCTCCACGCCTGTCGACACCAAAATGAAAGTAAATCAAGGAAATATTTGGCCAAAGTTCTATGGTTATTAACATTTGATGAAGCCGAGAAACAAACACTTTCAGAGGCCGTTGAGAGATATAATGTAGGAGTTCCACCTATCCAATGGCTTACATGGATACCACAGCTTTTAACTTGTTTAATAAGGAATGAAGGAAAATTAATGCTAAATTTATTAACTCAAGTTGGCCGTATGTACCCGCAAGCCGTTTACTTTCCTATTCGAACTCTTTATTTGACTTTAAAATTGGAACAAAGAGAAAGAGGTTAAACTCAATTCATTATCTTCAACAAAAATAATTTAAATTAAATTTTATTTACAGCTGCAAAAACTAGTGCTCCTCAAACACCAACGACACCACAAACACCTAATCCATTAAGCACTCAGCAACCAATAACTCCACAATCAGCTGAACCAAACGGAGGCCAAACTGCTCAGAGTGGCGCACCAATACGTGCGACTCCTTCAATGTGGCGTTGTTCTAAAATAATGCATAGTCAAAGAGAATCACATCCTTCTATTCTTAGCTCCTTAGAAGGCATCGTTGATCAATTTGTATGGTTTAGGGAACGATGGCATGAAGAAGTTCTCAGACAGTTACGTCAAGCTCTAGCCAAGTGTTACACTCTAGCATTTGAGAGTCGTCAAGTGGTGTCAGAAGCTAGTATCAGCCCACATACTCGAAATTTCATCAAAAAGATTGTATCGACCTTTGGTACTGGTCTCGAACAGGCTAATACCCCTGTTTCAAATCCTGGGTCTGCAGCTTCAGAATCTTTAGCTAGAAGAGCTCAACTATCTCGACAAGATCCAGTATTTCAGAGAATGAAGCTACAATTTACAACTGATTTTGATTTTTCTCAACCCTCTTGTACTAAATTACACACCGTTATGAACAAACTGAAGAAATGGATTAAAATTTTAGAAGCGAAGACAGTTTCGTTGCCCAAATCTCACCTTATTGAAGAAAAATGTCGTTTCTTGAGTAATTTTTCTACCAGTACGGCTGAAGTGGAATTACCAGGCGAATTTTTGCTGCCAAAAGCCTCTCATTCGCATTATTATGTTAGAATTGCTCGATTTATGCCTACAGTTCAAATTGTTGATAAATATGGAACAGCAGCCAGAAGAATATATATAAGGGGTCAGAATGGAAAGATATATCCATACTTAGTTGTAAGCGATAGAATGATGACCGAATCAAGACGAGAGGAGAGGGTTTTGCAACTATTAAGAATGCTCAATCATTTTCTTTATAAACAAAAGGTAATTGGAATATCTTTATTTAAATTGGTTTTTTTAATTTAGGTTTTTTTTTCATGTTTTGCAGGAGACTTGCAGGCGATTGTTGAATTTCACCGTACCAAGAGTTGTTGCTGTATCACCTCATACACAACTCATAGAAGATAATCTATCTTCCATTTCTCTTTCTCATGTATATAAACAACTGTGTATGAAAAGGGGAGTTGAGGCCGACCTTCCAATAGTAAGATACTATGAGAGAGTAGCAACAGTTCAAGCCAGGGGTAACTCGGCTTCTCATCAAGTTCTACGAGAAATCCTAAAGGAAGTACAAAATAATACTGTTCCAAAAACTCTTTTGAAAGAATGGGCTCTTGAAATCTTACCAAATGCCACAGAATTTTGGACATTTAGGAAAAATCTTACTTTACAACTGGCTTTGGCTGGTTTAGCAGAATTTGTTTTGCATTTAACAAGAACAAATATAGATATGATGTACGTTCACCAAGACAGTGGATTCCTGAGTATCTCCTATTTTAAATTCGATGTCGACGATCAAAGTGGAGACTTGCATTCAAATAGACCAGTTCCATTTAGATTAACACCCAATATAGCTGAATTATTGGCCCCAACTGGTGTCAATGGCCCACTTGCAGCTGCAATGCTAGCAGCTGCAAGGTGCTTTGTACAACCTCAATATAAATTCTCAGCTCTACTCAAAGCAATTCTAAGAGATGAATATATTACTTGGCATAAAAAGGTAACTTTTTTGTTATTTTGTTCTGTTAGAGTATCATTAAAACTTTTATTATATCTAAATAGCAACAAGATGAAAGAAATCCTGGAGCCCAGCCCGTAGATATGGAAGGTGAAGTACTAATTCAAATGGTTCAAAAAGCTACCAGTGCCATAACAACACGTCTTCAAAGTAAGCCTAAATAATAGTTACTCTAGGAAAATTTATATAAATTGTAATTGTTAAATTTCAATTAAGGTTTGGCGTCATTGGACGGTGCAGATTCAAAAGTAAGCACACTAGTTGCGGCTGCTAACAGTCTGGATAATCTCTGTAGAATGGATCCAGCTTGGCATCCTTGGTTATAAAATTGACTCTATTATTGTTCGAAACCATATTACACTTTTTATGTGATGTTTGTAAATGTATATTAGTGAAAATATGTTGTATATCTTGTGATAAAGTTTTTATTTTGCAAACATTTAAATAAATTAAGCCGGAATCTATCTATTTATAAATATATATATATATATATATATATATATATATATATATATGTATATATACTGTATATAGACTGTATATGTTTGGTGTATGCAGCATAAGTATATACAAACATATAAATATACTTGTATATATATTGTATATGTACAGACGATACAATATATATATTTAAAAGATTATCTATGAATAAATTTTATCTCATTGTTATTCTTGACATTATGAATATTCAATTTTCATTCACTATACAGTTTACAAAGCTTCTTTAATATTTTTCATTTTATTATGATTTATGATAAAGCATCGACTATTAAAAATCATTGAAAGAAAGCTTATTTGTTTTTATTTGATTATTATTAAAAGCTATTTAATGGCTAAGATGATTTTTCTTTCTTTTTGATTTCAACTGCTAAAAAACAAATTAATTACTTCTCTAAATACAGTTACGCCCTTTAAAATATTTAAACAACTATACTATTGGGCCTATAATCATAATGAAAAGTTCCTTGTAATTAGATTATTGTTGTTATCGACAAAATAGAGGATAACTTGATCTTTCAATACTTTGTTAAATGCTAAACGAAAGTTTCTAAGCTTCTTTCCAATTTTGTAGGCAGTACCCTCAAGATTAGAAGGATTGACGAGAAATATTAAATCTTTGTTCGATAAACAACAATACCCTTCTTTTAGTTTCGGTATAAGATTGTCTTGAATTGATAAATCATATTTCGTTTCTAACTCAACATTAGCGTACAAGAATGATTTGTCATTTATTCGGACGACTAAGATGCTCGTATCTTCCAGCAATAAAATCAATTGATCGTCGACAAGTTTTGAATCTACAATATCCAGATCGTCGTCAATACTGAATTCCCATATAATATCAAATTTCGAATCGAGATGAACAATTTTTCCTGACATAGTAAGAATAACTCCGCTGTTAACGCAGAATATATTTGTCCATCCTTTTTCGGTAGAAAATTTTTCTCGTAATTGATACTTAACCCCTCTCTTTCCTAAACTATATAGTAATAGTTTCTCAACATCGAACAAATAGATAGATGATTTTGAATGTGATTCACTTGCTAATTTTACGGTTTTGCATCCGCAATTATCCAATGTTACAAGATTATTCGGTTGCTTACCATTTTCTAATTGAAAAACAGAATATTTTTCTTTTAAAGCATGTTCAAGGACTAGAACCAAAATTGATTGCCTGAATGAGCAAATTTGTTTGATTTCACCATCGAATGAAGTGGTTTTCTCGTGATCCGAATGAGATAATGACCCAATAGAGAATCTCTGCTGAAAATCATTCATGTCAAACTTCAATTGTCGTTTCATTATATTAGCCACGCCCATCCTTAATCTATCTTCTATATCTTTAGCATACTTCTTACTAAGCTCATTACTTAGAGTTAAACCTTGATAATCTACAAAGCTCTGCTGGTATTCTTTCAATTTCTCGTGTAGATTGTAGTAATAATCACCAACCTCTTTATTCAAAATTTTCACTTGTTCATCCATCTTCTTCTCAAGAGCTTTCTGATGACCAACGATCTTCTTAAGGACATTTTCTTTCTCAATTATTAAATTCTGTGTTTCTTCCTTCATAAAGATCTCAAAATCTATTTTGTTCCTTTCAAGACTCGATATTGTTACACTTGGCCATTCAACAAGTTTCTGACAAAGAGGACACTCTAATCGATCTAAATGTTTGTACTTGCTACTTTCCTTCATCAATTTTAGACAATCAGAACAAAATCCATGAGTATTATCACAAGGAAGAACAAAAATATCATCAAGAATCTTATCGCAAAAACGGCAAATTTGATTTAAATCAGACATGTTTAAACCTCTTGCTTTGGTGGATTTTTACAAACTGACAGACAGCCTCTCGATAAATCTCTTTACAAATAGACAACATATCATATAAAGGCTTATACATCCGTAATGGATATTTGAGAACCATAAAAAATAATGAATATACTATATGCTTTTTATAGATTTAGACTTTTTATTTATATAACATTACCTCTAAAATGTCTAACAATTAAGATATTATTAGTAGTAATGATGTAAAAAATGACACCTCTTACGGTCAAATGGTAATCAAATTGTTTACAATTGTGAAAAACTTTATCAAACGGATAAACAGTATCTAAGCGTTTGTTTACGTTAACAACATGAATAAATTCACAATTTTCATTCAGAAGGATACTTCCATTGCATAGAGGATAAACTATTTGTTTTTGAAATGAAATTATATCATTTGCAGGTTCGTTTCTATCGAAATGGGTGGAGGTAGAATGAAGTCTTAGAATAGTGCCATTTTCCAATAAAAGTATTAAATCAGAAGTTGAATTGCATCTCATATCGATAATTCTATTTTTGAAATATGATGTTGTATATAATTTTTTGAATTGTTTCGTATTCCATTTTTCTATAAGTTTACAATTATTTCTCAATATATAGAGATAATTTTCAGATGATTTCAATGCGTTTACTACGCCATCTGTTGTTGGAATAGACTGAATGTTTTCTAATTCATAACTATCTTTATTCTGTTGTAAAGTCTTTACATTGTTTTCAGTTTGTAAGAGTCGCATTAGATTCATTTTAGGACTAATTTTCATAAGAAATAGACAATCGCTAGCTGACAGTTTGTACGTAGATTCAGAATTCTCTTTCCATTGTATAATTGATAAATTATCGCCGTTCCATTGAGCTTTTCTCGAAATCCTGTATAAGTACTGATTATTCGAAAGGTCCTCTTTAGTTAAAGTATAAAAAGCATCTTTTGAACAAGTGATATCTTGAACAAGGCCATCATAGGTGTATTGGCAATCCAGACCATTAAACGTACTCATAGTCTTTGTTAGATGACCTAAATCGATTGAATTTGTCTTAACAAATCTTATTGAATAATTGAGAATTGATTCTAAATGATCAATTAAGCGAGTTTGGGTTTCTTTCAAACTAAAATTATCTTGATTATTAGAAGAGATCAGTTGAAAATCTCTAAGCGAATTTAATAAAACATTCAAATCCATGTCTTTATTCTTATAGAACTTTTCAAGATTTCTTCTAAGCATATCCCGCTTAACTTTTAATCTTTCGGTAAGACGTTCTAGTTCTCTATCAATCAAAATCAACTCTAATTCTTTTCTTTTATGAAGATCATCTAAGACAAAGATTACTTCTTGTTTCATCTGTTCACAAATCTCATTCCAGTAATTATCATTCCTTCTCTCGCAAATGGGATTTAGTAGTAATGATAAAACTGTTTTATTCAGCTCACTCCAATTATGTTCATTATTACATAACGTACAACGGAATTTATCATTAATTGTCATTCGACTAGTTCGTATTAGCCGTTCAAAGCATTTTAAGCATAGAAGACGAGTTGAATCGCAAGGTAGACAACATAAATATTCATCAAAATTAGTAACTTTACAAATTGAACATATTTGATGATAAATATCCTCTTTCATATCGTATCCTTCATTATGGTAGGCCATAGTTTATTTCCAAAAAAATATGGTGGAGAATTTTGATCATATACTACCTCTATTACAGTATTAAACAATATTAGTCGTATCTAATCTCCAATAGAATAAAAAAAAGAGTTCAAGTACAATAAACTGATAAAAAGAAATATGATTTAGTATCTAAGCTCTGTTTTCCTATGAAAAATTGAATTATTAATATACAAAGAGAAAGAAAGAGCGAGTGAATAACAGAATGAAAGAAAGAAAAGATAAATGAATAAGATAAAGGAGGTCATTCTTAAATTTTATTGACTTTTTCTTGGCTTTTCCGTATTAAAAATACTCGAAATAAAGGATTTTACTTGACTACCATATTTGGATATTTTTTTCAACTTGAATACACTGATTATTTTCCTCAGTTTTACACATTTAAACATATCAGGTTAAGTCTGCAGGGCATATTTTTTTGTTACGAGATTTGTTCTCCAATTTCAGTTGGATGTTTTTACCTAACATCTGGCTTTTTTTATAAGTCTTATACAATGAATTGTTGTTTTGAACATAAGGGAGGGGTGGGGGTGGAGGAAGGAGGGGAAAACCTTTAAAATGTTTTTAATATTCATTATTTATACATTACCTAATCCCTTTCTTATCTCTCTTTCTCTCTCTGTCTTCCCCTCTGTCTCCCTCTCTCTTTATCTATCTCTTGCCTTTGTCTATAAATTCTCAATTTCGTTTAAAGCCAGACGAGTCGTATAGAGCGTATTACGTCATAATTTATCTGGGAAATCGTATATTTTGTCATCTCTCGTTTACTAGATACGAATTAATGGAATTTTAAATTAACCTTGGTCATTATATAACGTTTAAAAATATTTGTAAGATATATTTAATAACAAATTGTTAGATTCTTTATGAATGGGAAAAGTCAATATTCTTTTACTATAAATAATAATAATAATAGTAATAGCAATAACAATAATAACGTATAATTGATAATTATGAAAACAAAAAGCTCTCCTATTAGAAGAAAGCTTAAAGCTTCGACGAGATTGAATACAAATAATTTGACAATGATTAGTCAAGGATCGCTAAATCGTTTAATTAATAGAGAAGAGAAAGTTGAGATTACGTTACCTAATCTTCTAAAGTCAGCGTGTACTAATAAAGTACAAATGATAAAGGAAAATCATGACGGAGAGGCGGATAATAATCTGTAATAAAATAGTTTAAATTATTTCTTCAATTCTTAAAGTTAATTGAATTTATTTTCATTAAAAAAAAAAGACGTAACGCAGACATCTGTAAAGGATGGGAGAGTGTAACAAAGGGATCAAATTTATGCAGGAATGAGAATGCGTTTCTGCCACCGTTCCAACTAAATCACAACCATATGCAAGAATGCTTACAAGATAAAAAACAGAGTTTTCAATCAAATAATAACAAACAAACGAACAAGATCGATTCCTATCACCATCAATCTTTGAAATGTGTTAATAATCCATATAAATTAACAAACTATGAAAATTCTCCTAAAATTCATCGTATTAATAAGTTATTTGACTGCAAATCGCAAACACCAACATGCGAATCTTTTGTATCAAGTAAAGCTATTGAATATTCTTGCATTGATGAACCTATACTATGGAGGTTAAATAAAACGAAAGATTTTTTCTATGGTAACAATACCTTACGTAATAAAAAACGCCCCGTAGAGATGAATTCAATCGCATCAAAAATATCATGCGGATGTGAATGTCTGGATAATAAATATTGGTCAACATTCAATTTAGCTGAATGGAGTAAAAATTGTAAGAATATCGACGAATTTATTAGGTTAAAGGAGAGAAAGAAAGAGAAGAGTTTACTAAATGAACTTGTAGAGAGAAGGGGAAATGGTAGGAGGCGCGGGACGGGACTGAATTGGGAAATTTAGGATAAAAAATGTAACAGAATATCAACTTTTTTCTCTCCTTCATCGATTTTCTAAATAGCTTTAAAGATTTTAATGAAAATAGAAAAAACGATTTATTTACTAACGAGCTGTCAGAATCTGCTATTAATAAAGAGGAATTTATAAAAACAAATTCACTGATTGACAGTAAAGAAGAGCAGAAATCATCCAATCTTCCTTTGATAACTATCTCAAAACATGATAAAAATGTTAAAGATGAATGTGTACATAGTAATGAGAATATAGGTATTGAAATTAGGAAAAATAGTTCATATTCAAAGAACTTGTCGAAATTCTGGAAAAACTTAATAGATAAGATAAAAAGTTCAACCAAAAATAATACAAATTCTCATCAGCATATGAGTAAAAAATTACGGCTACCCATTCAAATAACACCGACTGAAATTTCTTGGCAATTTTCACATGTAACTACGCCATCTACCGACGAACTTGATGCCTTATCTTTATCTGACGACAAAGATACTTATTGTGAGAATACAGATAATAAAAATACTGATTTATTAATACAAATGAAATTTGTATTGAAGATAACGCATTATGATTTTGGTTGTTTGGAAAAAGTTACTAAAAATAAAGGAAACTTTTTAATTAGTATTAAAGAGAAAATAAGGATGATATCAATTGATAAAAATAGGAAGATACTATCAAATAGAGTAGTTAATAGGTTGGTAAACGATGAAGAAAGTTACCTTTCTCTTTCTGATAGTTTTCTGTCACAAACCACTGATATTGTATCATCGAGAACGGAGAGTGAATTAAGAACTACGGAAGACGTCCTATCAAGCGATGGGGAGCAAGATGATAAGAATTATATAGAAGGTATCGACAACTCAGATATACAACCACGAGAAAGTCGAGCATATTCGTCAAACAGTCAGGGTTCGAACTCCTACACAGAACAGCGGTCTGGCGGTTTGATTTACGACGACCCCCTGCATTCGAAATACGAATCCAACAGCGATAAAGAATCCAGCAAACAGATTTCTATTCAAACATACAACCTAGATTCGCCCAAATGTATAAAAGCAGAAAAAAAATGGATTAATGATAAGGATAATGATAACATTAACTTTGGATTTATTGGCAATAATCTCTTGACTCATACTTTAATCATAGCTTTCATAAATTCCAGTAAAAAAATTCCCACCAACCGTTAATCTGTTTTTATCATAGGGCTATTTAGTAATAAACTTCTCTCTTCTTTTCTAGGTTCCATACAAGGGATAAATATATACGTAAGCCATAGTGATTCTGATAGAATTATTCAAAAGGTATATATAGATATAATTACATTTTCAATAAGCTAAGTTGATATTGTGCTCTTTTTCCATCTCTCTCTCTCTCTCTCTCTAATCTATGACTCAATTCTGATTTTAAAGAAGGGAATAAATAAACTGGAATCTAGAAGTAAAGTAATCATCAATTCCGATGTACTTTTTATAACTTTTAGCGATTTTTATGATTCTCATTTACTAAAAGAGCTACCTGATTTAAATAGTTGTAATAAATTAATAGCAACAGTCAGTACTAGCAAGATGTCAGTTAGTTTGGCGGATATATGTAGAGTAAGTATAAACAACTACTTTATCAATATAGATTTAACATCTTCTACATTCTTCCTTTCTCCCCACATTTTCCTGTAGTCATTGGACTTTCAGGGATGTCACTTACATATTTTAGTAAATCAAGCAATAGTTGTAAATTGTGGTATTTCTATCATTATCCCAGGTAATTTTACTTGCATTTGATATTCTTATCAATGTTTGGGTAATCGTCTTTTCTCTCTTTCTCTCTCTCTCTCTCTCTCTCTCTCTCCCTTTCTCCCTCTCTCACTTAGGAACAGAAGTAACGGAATCAGATGTCTTATTGATTAAAGAATATTTCAATGTTTTCGGCATGACTATAACATGTAAAGAATTAAGTTTAGATGCTATACAAGCTTTAGTATTCGATGGAATAGCTTTAGTAAATCTTTTTTATACATTTTATTCATTTTACAACGAAATAAATAATAAAGGAACAATTTTACCTTTTTCTTTTAATTCGTTGACTTATATAAGTGGGCTTACATAATAGAATCTTTAACTATGGCTGGTTCTCGGCAAGGAATTCCTAAAAGAGTATCATTAGAATCAATTTCTTACACCCTCTTGGTATTGTTATATTATGTATTATTCACACAAGTATTTTATGAAATGTAATTACCGAAAGGGTTCTTCAAAACTGTTAATGGAATCTAACGCCCAACCATCCGAATTAAAGGACGCTCTAGTCGGCCCCAACAACCCTTCAATTAAAGGTTTATTTGAAATGGAAAAATGTCTTGTAAGGTCAACAATTATGAACGCCGTTGAAAAACTTGTAAATTCCTATAAGAAATTTTAAATAGAGCAATCTTTGGCGCCTCCTAACGATTCTTTTATCAAGAAATTGAATATTTAGTATGTCAATAGTTTATTTGTATTAATAACAATCCAACTGCAAAAGTATAAAATATAAAACAAAAAAAATAAACAAAGGTATAAGAAAAAATACATATAAAAAAAATAGTTCACTACGAAGAGGATCCTAAGATGCTGTCATCCATCTGACGAAGTTCGACCTTCTATCTCGATCGGACTGAGAGAGGGCATCTATACTAAAACAATGTGGTGCTGGAGGAGCTTCTCGTATACTTTTCTGCTGAGGTTGAGCAGGTTGAGGGTGTTGGATTTGATTTTGCTGGTTAGAACCCGTTTCACCGTGAGTTCTCAAGTGCGTTTTCAAGTTGTTCTGAAGGGCGAATTTACTACCGCAGATATGGCATTCGTGAGGCTTTTCGCCCGTATGCAATAGTTGATGATTTCGTAGGTTTGTTGGTTTACTGAAACCTCTTTGACAAACTTCGCATCTATACGGCCATCTACCATTGTGAACGTACATATGCGATTTTAAATCTCCGGGGGTTGGGAAGGACTTGGAACAAAGAGTGCATTTATGCGGCTTTTCCTTTTTGTGAGTCATTCTATGATAGTAAAGATTCGAACTAGCAGTAAACCTCTTTCCACAAACTTCGCACTGATGAGGTTTTTCTCCCGAATGAATTCTTCGATGAGTGTTCAAACTGGACGACGTTGAAAAACCTTTACCACAGACGTCGCATATATGGGGTTTCTCGCCAGTATGCGTTCTCATATGGCGTCTTAACAATGATGGCCTGTCAAACTTTTTACCGCATACGGAACACGGTAACCATGTTCTCTCTCTTTGTCTCTTTTGAGGTTGGGTGGGTAGTCTACTTGGGCCGTCGTCAACGGCAGCTGGTCTGAGGAAGGGTGTGCTAGTGAGAAGGGCGTTACCGAATAAAGAGGGTGGGGAAAGTAAACCCGTATTGGGAGCCAATAGATGACCAGATAACACTTGATGATCCGATCCAGGAGGGGTTCTTCTCCATTCATATCTATCGGGCACCTTTTCCTCTTCTCTCGAGTGTTCTTTACTCTATAAAAAAAAAACATTTAATTATACAAATGCAAAAATTAGATTTACGTAATTTTGACTATTATTAATGATATCATTTGGCTTTTGTACAAGCGTAACAGCTGGATCGAAAATGTTATAAATACAAAAACGTAAAATGGGAAATAAAACCATTCGCATTTTTAAAGAAAAGGGAACAGTTGTATAATTTCTTTTTCTCGGGTAAAAAATAAGAAAATCATCGAACAGGAACGGGAAAATTGTCGGGGGAATGGCCAAATGTTGGTCCGTAACGACTTTTTGTTTATTTATGCTTACCCTTAATGAAAAATACTGCGAATCGTCGCTAATGGCTGATCGTTTAGATAGATCTTCAGCAGATATTGATAAGCTGTTTGTTGCTCTTCCACTATCGTCAGTAATATTCTTTTGAGTTTGAGTACAACCCTCTTTAATGTTTGCAGTAGTTGCCGATCTATGGCTTAAATCGAATCTGGAGAGGAAGGAAAAGAATGAAAATATATTATTTATTATTATTTATATATTAGCTAAAAAGCCGTATCCAATTAAGATTTAGAAATAAAAAGTAAAAATAAACATACTTGGCCCTTAATTCTCCATTAGCTTCTACGGTTCTTATTATATGAAAAACGGCCAATTCATTTTCATCATAAATAGCTTCTACATTAGCTTCATCATCCGAATTGCATATGCTCAAAAATCGAACCCAATTACAATGTCGAATTTTTTCACCCTCAACCTCTTCCGTTTCTTCAAAGCATCCGAATTTAAATCGTATCTATAAGAGATAAGAAAATCTTTCAATATAGAGTATATAAGGTTAAAACATTAGTACGTTTTTTATTATTTTAATTGTTATATTTACTTGATTTAATAGGCCTATTAAGAATAACATACGACCCACGGTCAGTAAATTTTGCGTAACTATTACGGAGGGTCTTTATCGTTGAGTACTCGCTGTAATGACAGCTTTATCGGGATAAACTAGGGACATGAAAGTCTGTTTAATACAAACCATGACCGCTCGATGAGTTTGCTCGTTAATTGTATTGTTTAAAGAGGGAAGGGGTACGAAAGGGTGAAGGATAGAAAAGAGAAAGTGCTCTTTATTCTCTTTCTTTCGTTCTGACTTTTATGTAACTTAATTAAGAAAACTTTTAATTAAAATGGCCCTTTCCATTACTTTTCCTAGTCTATAGACAAAAAAATGTGTGGAATATAAAGAAAGAAAGGAAGGAATGGGTACTTTTCATTCTTTTATACTTAATTGAAAAGAATGAATGAATGAATGATATCACTAGTCAAAATGAAGGTGAAATTTACAATAGCGAGAGATATGTAAGAGTAAACTGTGAAGATTTCAAACAAAAGGAGGAGTGAAAAGTTTCGGCAAATGGCTCTAAAATATATAGACATAACGCACCGATCCGTTAGTTTGTGTTGTTTTTTTTCGATTGTTTTTATCTAATTTAACGCATCAGCGTTAAAAATAGAGATAGATTACGAAAGTGAATATAATAAAGGGGAAAAGGACGCCGACATTCGGCGAAAACGATGGGGGAGGAAACGACCTCGTGACTTTCGAACAACAACAAAAACAGATGCGCCAAAATCACACCGCTGCTCACATTCTCGCCCTACTGTTGGTTATGTAATTTTACTTGAAAAGAAAGGTGCCGGCCGCCCTTTTTCATCATTGCCCCTTAATGAACGACTTTGAAAAATTGACGACGTAACGCCTACTACCGTATACTTATGAAAGTTAATTAGGTAATTACTAATTCGACCAGGCGTTAACAGCTGCGAAAGAAAAAAGGGTAAATGAATGAAGGGCTTGCGCAAAGTGGGAAAAAAAGGAAGGGGAAGACAGCTGTTATCCCAACTTGGGTCTTCTATCTCCGCTGGACTTCTCCCTTTTCTCTTTATATCCCTTTACTTTATCCCAATGGGAAGGCAGGATGGATAGGGCTTATCATTTGTAAGCACGTGATTCCTATTAGAAAACTATTGGGATTTGTCACAACTTGTAATCGCTTTCCCGTCTTTAAAGTTGACCTTTTTTTCTAGGTCATAAACTACGAATATCTGTAACATCCAGGCGGAAAATTGCTCATACGTTACGTAAATAACGAATATCTAAACAAAATATCTGGCGGTGATGAATATCTATGGAGCTGGTATATTCTGTATATACTCTTTAATTGCTCGGGTCACGTGGTACGGATTATATATTTTTCAACTCAATTATATTTATATATTTTTTATATAGAAAGTGAGTGGTGAGGGGAGAAGAGGTTAGGGATTACTCAAACACTTCAACCCTGGGAATATTTCTGCTAAACCTATTTTTATGAAAATATTTCGTCGAATATTTGTGCAGTCGGTGCTCTATGTCTATATGTTTTAGTGACCACTTGGCAAAACACATCGACTATTGCAAGTCGACAGGACGAGGCCGGTTACGGAATGCGAAGAAGGCCGCAAAAAAAATAATGGTATATTTAGGTCAGCCTTTGATGTCCATCAAGCCGGGGTCTATAGTTTTTCGCATCTAGATTTCTTTCAAAGATATACCGAAACACCTATAAAACTAACTCAATCCAACTTTAGCCTTTTAAGACTTTGTTTCGATCAAAAAGATAGAAGGGAGAGAAGAGGCGTAGGAAATAAAGATCCCCGCCGGGTTATTTCGTAACCGGGCAATTACAATTTTCTGGTCGATTGTTATAAGAAAGAAAAGGTCTAAAGAATTACAGAAAAGGTTTAGACGATTTGACGCGTTGATTGGCTTGCAGGATGCGTTGAGACAACATTGACTTGTTTTTTTTAGTATTTTTAAGATCAAGCTGATGTCGGCCTTTTTTTTCCTTATTCTCAACAAAATAATCTCTCATGTAAAAGAAGGATAAACTTTCACTAAATTCGACATGGTCTATCTCATTCTCTTCTTAATTAGAACTATAAACCTACATGATAATTTTGGCATTTTTACTGTTTTACAATTACTACTTTAATAACCAAGATAATACAATCTAGTGCCTTTTCTTACACACTTCTCAACTTGTTCATTAAAACACAATTAACAATCCATCACTTCCTTCACATATAATAAAACCTCACCCGAGAAATGATAAAGAAAAAGTCTTGTCTCAGAGCATTTTTAATACCTTTTTTTTACTATTTTGTTTTTAAACAAAAGTATAAAGTAGTAAACTACCAAGATGACATTTAATAGATCACAAAATATACCCATATGCTGCTTAAAAAGTCGTTGATTGATTTCGTTGTCGCATTTAGCATTGATAACAGCTTGAAACGCCATAGGTAATAAAATTGTCAATATGTGCATTAAAATTATATGAGCCCTTATTTACTTAGAAAAAGAATACAATTACTTTTGCTAATAGGAAAAAACGTAGCACTGTAGATCACATGACCTAGAAAAATGCTATGCAAACATGACTGCGTGGATAAGTTTCTCTTAGTGTTGAAGTTACTTCGCGGCAATATCGATATAGTACACGGAATTATATCATCCTAATAATCGTCTCGTTGTCCCCGAGAAGCGTGCCTACAACTCAAAAATTGCGCAATTTTAGTAACGCAACGTCAGCGTTACGCAACATAGAGCTTCTCTCGTAACGAGTGTTTGCAATTACGCAAACTCTGGCGTTGGGAAGTATTACATAATACGGCCGCATCTGGCCGTCGTCCCCTTCCTTTTGTCGGTTTTTTTTTAAAAGAGACATTTGAAATTCAGTAATTTCTTGTCTCTTAGGAAAAATGTTTTTATCTTTACATTTCTCTATATGAACCATGACGAAGCGAAACAAGACGACCGAAGAGAAGATAAAAGATAAGATAGCGTAAAAACGGCTCTTCGCGCCCGTTACACCAAACGAGCCGTAGCTCGTAAAAAAAGACTCGGGAAGCAACTTATATTAGGAATTTTTTCACTTACTAGTAAAGACGCGGTCACGCTTACGTTTTTTGGAGGTTTTCTTTTTCTAGTTGCGGGGTGAAAGCGGTCGTGACGTAATCTATGACGTCACATTGGCGGGCGGGCAATTAGAAAACGAAAAGTGTTGCGCAGTCGAGTAATTTCTTCGCTTTTGTCGAATTAGAAGGGTCGAGTGAACATTCTGAGATGATATTATATAAAAAAAATTACCCCGACTTTTAAACGGTCATTAGCAATGAGCGTCTCTAAATACTTAAGGCATAAAGACAGGTCCATAAAATATCTGATAGTGCATATATTTTTATCTAATTATCTATCATCGTTACTTTCGAAATATAAGTGAAATATGGAATCTCTTAGATTATTCACCATAGAAATGTTGCGTAACATCCTAAAAGATATTTTGAAAAATACATTCAATATGTCACTCTCATAGGAGTGAGTCGTTTCAAGCAAAGTTCATCGCTAATGACGGGAATAATTATAGACTTTTTAAAATTTCGCTTGTTTGTAAAAATGTTACAATTATTAAAGATCATCTCTTATGAACCTTGTCTTATTGCTCTTTTCCGTATCATTTCTTCGGTAGTGAATAAAAAGATATTCTGTTTCTATTCAGTAACATTAAAGACTTTATCCTTTGTAATGATAGTTCCTATTCCTCCCTTTTCGACCAATTATATTATAAAATGTATGGAAATATACTATAAAACTAACATAATGACCCACAGTAAACGACTTTACGATATTATTTTGCCTTTAACTTTTGATCACGTGATCTTTCAGTAAATCTAATAAAATCCGGTATAATACCCTTAGTCATATAGTTATTTTTTTTGTAAAGCGGAAGGTGTAACGTGATTTATAAACCATATCCTAGTTCTTCTACCCCGTTCTTGTATCGAAATGCCGCTAACCACTCATAATCATTGAAGGCGATTACTATATCCTTCTACGATGCTTTCTTGCCCGAGGCCTAATTATAAGGTTTTCATCAATCACAAGTATTTCAAGTTAACAAGCCAGTCAAATCACCTTAACTTTTTCGCCTTTTGTATTTAAAGAAAACGAATTAATGTCACATTTTACCTAGTTTTCTTTTAATTTTATAATATTGCCTTTGTTTTTTTAATCGTGTACTTTATGCTTTTTTTATGCTTTTCACTTATTAGTCTAAATGTTCTCTATTTACAATATAAAACTATAAATTTGTATATATGACGATGTTTCTTTTACGATCTTATACAAAAAAAACTCGAATAAATTTTGCTCTTGATACGCAAAAAAAGGAAATAAAATAGAATAATGATCTGCAGCCTAGAGCCATTTCGAGGTGGCTGAAAACGCATCATCAAATTGGCATTAAAGATCTTTTTACCACCCAGAAGCACCAAGTATTTTTTTTTTCTTGTACAACAAATTCTAGGCCTACTTGTTATAAACAAGACGGATTTTTGGGGTTTAAAAAGCATAATCATAAAATGCAAAAGTCATGAATCGACAATGAGTTTTGACACGCCGTGTGCTATGCCATAAAAAGGGAAATGATAGCGAAGATTTTTATCAAAAGGAACCTTGTTTATATTAACAATATATAGAATATTGACGAGGACAAAGCGAACGCGTTCCAGATGTATATCATCGATATTCCGTATCGAATTACGGAGAAGTTGCATAATAACCGATGCGCTCTTTGACGAGGTGATTTCAACGTCAATCTGTCGCTATTTGCTTTGTACTTACATCGTCTCTCTTTAGTAACTTTTCAACTTGTAGGGTGTAAAGTCGTAGTTGCCCGTCATCGGGATAGAGGATTGTTCCTTCTTCCAATTTTTTTCGAGCCCATATAGTGACTCCCATGTCGAATTTGTCAATACTGTTGGTTGATATTTCCGAAGAGTAAGGTTGCAAAACCAGGGAAAGACCATCGGGAATTAGTACACAACTCTCCATATCGTCAAGATAGTGCAGAAAGGGAGAAGATACTGACTGAAATATTACAAGTAGGGATGAGGGGCGGTCAGAGCCAGTCGCGAGTCGCCAGCCAATCAGCGCCTTTAGGCGGAGCCTAAGTATTGAAATTTATACAACGACGACACGGCAAGCGTAAAGATATAAGATACTAGCGAAATTTTCAACGCTGGCGGCATATTACTGATAAGGTAGATGCGTATTCACATAGATAAAGCGTCTAGAATAGGCCTATAGTGTAGCGGTTTATATCAAAAATTGTATACATCTGCGTTCGTGTTTAATTGCTTCCTGCGCATCTGCACGTGTCTTTTACACATTTGCGGGCGATTTATACATGAAAGGCATAAACAAAACATGCATAGAAGAATTTATATACATAAAATCCTAATTCAACGCTTTTAGTTCATTAGCGTATAAGATTTCCAGCCAAAAAGCTTATTAACTGGTAAAAAGAAAATCGTTGATATTTTTTTAATGATTTCATTTAGAGTGAAACTTAAAACTTAAAAATAATTTAAATCTTTATATATACAGTTTTAAAAAAAAATCACGTGACAATGAAAATGTATAGAATAGTTAAATGGAGAGAAACTTTTTCCGTCAACGCTAAAGGCTATTTTCACAAATTGTTGATTCTCAGTATAATCTTATGAACGCGTGCCTCAGTTCTCAAAATAAGTTTACTTTGAGCTTGAACCTCTTAATTGGCGGTAACTTTCTGTTCTTATTCATTCTTTCTCTACTAAAGAAAACAAAATCATGGGAAGAGAGCCATAAATTACAAATGTATATATTCATGTTCCATAAATAATTCATGAGCGTATTATTTAAGTGCAAGAAACTTTTACATAACTCGAAAAAATAAAAGAAATAGCCCTTAAATTAAAGGACACGGTGAACAAGCAACAAACTCAAGGGTTTAATTAATCAGCAAGCGTGTTATATAGTTTATTGGCCGGCAAAGTTCAAAGAATTTGAAAAGAAGCGACACTACCGTTCGTTTTGGTATTCTTTAAACATTGCATTAATATTTATAACATTGCATAACTTGTCATAAAATATTTGGTTAGTACTCGAGAAAGTTTTTATTATTCTTTCTTTAATAAACTCTACCGCGGTTATAGTTTTCTTCTTCTAAGCGGAAGTGGCATTTTAGATAGAAAAAACGTTACATTAAACTTTCTCTACGGATATACAGATAGAGTTAATCGAACGGTTACATCACATTACATAGGGTCCAAAAAGTTTCAAACTCAAAGCAGGCGAGTGTCGTGGGGAGAAGAGAGGAGGCAGAAAACGGATATCGGCCCTTATCACCCTCAACTTTGCCCCGAGAGACGGTCGTTGCTCGTTAGCGTTCCACTTTCGCTTAATCAACGCCTTTCCCACCATATTTTTAGTACCTGGTTACGCAAAATCGGGCGACGCTTTAACGCCGTCAATCAACTGACTAAATAGACCACAGGTTTCTTTAATGAGCGGGCGTTTTCTACCCTAATGAGTAAAGCTTAAAAAATATCCTTTCTCCAAAGACGTTTCTTTGTTTATTTACTAAAAGATTTAAACTTGTACATTTTCTTAAATAAAAAGAGAGAACTAAAATAAAAACTAGCAAACAAACAAGTATAAAATAAACAACGAAACGACATGGAGACACCAAACAAAAAGAATCGATGCTAAAGATGTATTTTTCATTGAAAATGTACAAACAAACATAAATAGGGCAATGCATAAAAAAAGAGAGGGTATAATAACTTTAGACGTGTGTCAGTTTCCAACAATTGTTTATTCGACTTGCTATACTATAACAATAGATGCCCTTTTGTGCTATATTTTAGACGCCTTTATTTCCGTAAAAAATGTTTAAGTTTTATATTTTTAAAACATATTTTAAGAGAAAGAGAGACGGGTGATATATTTAAAAATATAAATATGAAAGGAAAAGACTCATTTGATATAGAGAGATAAGATTAGAATAAGGAAAAGAAAAGAGTTTTTTTATCATTATTGTAACAACGGAATATCTTATCTTCTTAGAAGTCGTATAAAAGTTTGAATAGAACTTATAAAACGTTTGGTTAATTCTTTTAAATAGTCTTCTATAGAAATTTGGTGAGAAAAATGCTATACAAGCCGTTTATATAAGATGCATATCTCTATAAGGACAATTGATCGAATTCGGGCTAATAAAAAGGTCAGACGAATAGATTGAAATATTCACCTTTAAAAGAGAATACTTTAGTTAGAATGAGTGAAAGTTAAGAATAAAAAAAAGGAGTAAAAAAGCGGTAGGGGTTCAAGTATGAACGAAAAATTATGGTGATTTTTCATTCTTTGTTAATTATTCGAAAATATCCGTGTAAAGAGGTCAAAGAGACTAAAAATTTGAATTAAATTGACCGTCATTTAGATGAAGCGTATATTTTAAATGGACAATCATCGACCTAAATTGAAAAGTAATACCCTACCTGCTCCGTGTCTAGGCCCCTCTCCAACCGAGTTTTTTACTTGAGGAAATAAAGTGAAGTTGAGTTATTACGAAATTAATTTAGCCTATATAAATTCCTACGAATAAAAGAGTCATTTGGTCATGCAATAGTTCTAAATGAGACGAATAACGGTCAATTATACAAGTTAAAATTAGTTCATGCGAAAAGAAATTGACGTTATTTTTTCTTTTAAAATAGAAAGTAATAAAGTTTCGGGGGGTCCTAAGATTCCGATAAGGAAATGGATAGAATACGGTTGTGTATGACCTGAACCGAACTTATCAGTATAAAAACTGAAGATTACGCAATCTTATACAGGCCTTTTAAAGAAAAACTTTCCAAACGATACAATCTGAAGAGAGTGAGTCACGTTACCCTCGTTTAAAAAAGTGACGCGCGTTCAAGAGAAGTAAATATATACGAGTACTTGAAAACTGCTTCGTAGTTTAATCGTGCGAGATGAAGGGTTGTATAAAAATGTTTTGTGTAAATATTAACGATCGAAAAGATAGAAATAAGAAGATGAAGATTGACCTCCTTTCCTCCAAACATGTAGTTTATTTTTTTAAACGTCTCACAAAATCTCAAGAGGACTTTTTTATTTTCAAATAAAATAAAAAGTGGTGAAGAAAAATCAATCCGTAACGGTCACGCGTTTCATTTGAATATTCTGACCGTTTCGAACAAGGCGTCTAATTCGAAAGATAAAAAGTCACAGCATCTACAGCTAGACGACCAAATGTCACCGGAAATCGGAACGTCCCAATTTCCGATGTCGTTCTACACCGTCAAAAAGGATGCCCCAACTCCCTTCCCCTAGTTTACGTAATCGCACGCGTCCGGCTCTGTGACGTAACTATCCGTCTATATCATCTATACGCCTGTGCATCGCGTTTAGTTTGTTTACTCGATGGCTTTTTACGAGCGTCTCCCGAGACGCAGACGTCGTCCAGATGCGCCAGAATAGTTGATTTTAACTCTTCTGGTTTTTAAAAAAGAAAATATTCTCTCCCACCCACCGAAACCAGTACACAAAACCCCCCATTTTTACCCCCTAGGCGGTCGTCGTACGCGTCATTTGGTCGTATTTCGCACGGCTCTTCTCGTGACGTCATAATTACATAATACCGACCGGCCTGAACGAAACGTTAATGAGTGGACGTCGTAACGGAAAGTGAAACGTTTCAAAAGCTAATTACTGCCCCCCACCAGTACGTAAAAGTTACTGGCCTTAAGTTTCCGTAATTTATTCCTTAAAGTATACGTTTGCGCTGAATTATATATGTCCCTTTTTTTCTTTCGAGAAGAAAAGAGAGAAATGATCTTTTACAACGAACCAAGACGTTACAAGTATAAATGATAATATGACGTAATGGGAAATTGCGTTACTTTGCCATTTCGGCACGTGTCCACTTCGGTAGCTGTAGGTTCTCTTTGAAGACAACTCAAGACGGCGTTAAATTCGACGCTTTTCGACTTTAGCGTCATCTCGTTAGTGGCGAGAGTGACGCTTTTACGGCTAAAGATCCAGGCGTTAAGAAAAACCGTTAGTGTTTCAAGATTTTTCTAAATCAGTCGAGAGTTTCTCACCACTTCTATTCCTCTCTCTCACTCTTCGGTCCTCCTCTTACCATTTGACCGAGAGAAGGAGAGAGATACATTGCAGAGAGATAGATAGATAGAAAGAGGACGAAGAGAGAGAAAAAGAGAGAGAGAGAGAGGGAGGGATAGAGGGAGACGGAGAAAAGGAAATATTCGGTAACGAATTGTTTATATTATCCTAAATACAAAATATACATACAAAGGTACCCTATGCTGCTTTCTCTTCATCTGAAAAAAGTATTACACTACTCAATTAACATAATTTTAATTAATTTATTCGCAAACTTTCTATAATCTATTACAAAGTTTTAACAAAACTTTTTATTTCGGATAAGCTCCCCCAATCTAATAGACAAAAGTTGGAAGATTCACCTACCCTTTTCTTCTTCTCTTTTCCCCTTCTTAAACAAAGTTCAAGAAAAAACAGAGACTTTTACATAATCTATTAATATTACTAATTTGCATAAATATCTATATCTGTCTATTCGCAGTAAACAAATAAAGAAAACTGAGATAACTAATTTTTGTTCAGACGCTTAAAATACAAAACTTCGTGCTTGTTCAGATTTCTAACGGCTGTTCTTTTAAGGAGAAATGTGAACCGAGTTGCTATATAAAGAACTAGATAGATTCTATTAATTACTATCGTATGTTGCCTTTTCATCCTACAATAGGGTATACGCAAGGGTGTTTTCTCCTGATTAGCATTCCACAATTACCATATAGGGAATAATCTATAACGAATAACACCTGTTCATATCATGTATATTTTTTTCAAAAAGTTCACTATTTATTTTTTTTCTTTTATGTTCTTTTCTTTTCTTTTCTTTTCTTGTTTTTTTTAAAAAAAACCGTTAATTTTATGTCTAAGATCTAAGAATGAAATGTTACTAATTACCACCCAACAACCTCGATACATTGCATCCTCTTATCGCCTGATCATAGAAATGGCTCTTTTCTGTTACTTTTAAAAGGCTAAGGTGAACAGGGAAGTCATCTGCTTGTCAACACCGATGATATTTAAATGTTTAATAGCCATTACGTTTTCATTAGTAAGCTCACTTTAATTTCAAATAGATAATACTAGCTAACAGAACAGACTAAATCATTTGCTATTTAAAAAAAATGGAGCAAGTGCTGCCATCTACCGTATAACTATACAATAAAGTCATTAACCGTATCTTAATTGCAACCGTCGTAAGAAGATTATACACCGTAACGGTTCTAGTGATATCATTAATGTTTTATTATGTCTAATTTAACGTAAAAGAAGTTATATAATAGAGTAAGAAAATCAAAAAAATTATATAAGTCATCTAAAAGGACAATTTCTTCCACTTGTCAATTTTATTTAATACCAATCAGATTACGGCTTAGAAGGTACCGAAGTAGCCATATGTTGTATTTCGTATATATATATATATACTGTATATACTGTATATATGTATTTTACACATAGTTATTATTAAAAGCCTTCATTAAGAAGGCAGGAAAGTAAAGAAAAATAAATAATGAGTAAAGATTGTTAAAGATAGAGGAGGATAGAGAAAGTAACAAACAAAAAGAAACAAACACAAAAATAGAAAGAAATCATTACATAATTAAAACAATACATACATATAGACTATATACGAATATTACAGTATACACTCTTTTATACTTTTTATAGTATGTTAAATAGTGTACTGTTTTGTGTATACTATATAATTTATAGTAGATTTTGTTAATTAGTGCCATCATAAATTATTTAAAAAAACAATATAAACATAAAAGAATGTTTAATTAAAGATCTTCTTTTGGAAATATACTATATAAATATAAATATTGATAAAATACTCTAGCTGTATCAATAAAATAGATTGTTATTTCTTTTCTCTTCTCTTCCACCACCTCCTTCTTGTTCTTGTTCCTCCTCTACCCTTCATTCTCTTTGCCTCATTCTTATTTATTAATAAGATAATAGAAAATAAAGTATGGTTTGCTTTTTTGTTAGAAATGAATATTTATTAGAAATCAACCAACACTAAATGAGCTACCTATAGATATATATAATACTGAATTTATAAGAAAAACAGCTACAAAAGATGAACACTATAATAACAAACAGCGAAGAGAGCGATAAGACAGAAGATAAAAAGGGCATTATTAAGAATATGATTGTTGTAATGATTTCAGTTGTCCTTGTTTTTGCTACTATACAAGGATTGCTAGTTCTTCAGAGTACCTTGAACTCTTCAAAAGGCGTTATATCCCTTAGCATTTTTACTTGCTCCGCTGTATTTTCGTGCCTATTTATTTCTAGTTACGTTCCAAGGAAAATTGGTTGTAAAAGGTCCTTAATTTTAAGTATTGTTGGAACTACTTTATGGACCATGGCTAATTTATATGCAACGTGGTATACGCTTATTTTCGGCTCTTTGATTTTAGGTTTAGGTTTGTTGCCCTTTACATAATCAAACCGTTAATTTATTACCTAATTCCGGAACATTCTAAATAGCCTGGGGTATCTTATGGACATCTTACAGTACATTCTTTACAATGTGTGCAATAAATTACGCTAAATTAACAAGTCAAGAACCATCTAGAGTAATAGCGAGGGTGTTTGGTTTCTGTTTTATGGTCTTATTGTCGGGTAATATAAATTTTTGCTCTCATATTTTTTAAAAGAATATTGTTTATTTTCCTATTTTTTTTTTAGGTCCAATTTGGGGTAACTTATTATCATCCTCTATACTCTCTTTATCCTCATCGATCCCCTCATCAAATTTTAATGCCACTTCGACCGAAAGTAACGATACCCTGCCAGGCTTCTGCGGCTCTGATGATTGTCCCACAAGTAATACAACGGAGGGTGGAACGCCTCACAGGCCAGATCAATGGGTAATTGGCGTGCTAATAGGAGCTTATGCCTCTGTAACAGTCCTTTCTCTCCTTTGTCTGTTACTTTTCCTCGATTTAGCAAAGACAAAATATTCTGATAAAAAAATTGATTACAACTGCAACATTTTCTTGTCAACCATGTCAAGACTTAAGGATAAAAATCAGGTTTTGTTAGTTGCTATTACAGTCTACACTGGAATGGAACAGGCCTATATGACGGCTGAATATACAAAATCATTTGTAGCCTGTTCTTTAGGATTATCTAAAATTGGTTTCGTTATTATGATCTTTAATTCATCTGCAGCAATAATGTCGATTCTCTCCGGAATAATGGTTTCCAGGTTCAACCGTCTCTCTGTTTTCACACTGGGTATCGTAAATATATAAATAGACGCCTCTTCAATTATACTTACTTTTCGCAATGAACCGTAATTTTAGCTTTCATAACACAATTCAGTTGTTTAATAGTCTTTCTCTTTTGGAAACCGGAAGTATCTAAAACGTGGATAATATACGTAATGGCTATATTTTGGGGTATTGGCGACGGTATATGGCAATCGCAAATCAACTGTAAGTTTGACAAATTCCGGATTTATTAGAGAAACAAATCAATAACCCATAATTTTTCCCTTTTGATGATTAAAAATACATTTACAGCGTTTTATAGTATTCTTTTCAAAGAGAACTCCGAAGCCGCTTTCTCTAATTATAGATTATGGGAAGCATTGGGGGCAATGCTATCTTTCGGATATAGTCCTTACTTGTGCGCTTCAACAAAGATAATCTTTATGATAACAGTACTTTCGTTAGGTATGATTAATTACCTTATTGTGGAATTCCTTAATCGTAAAAGGTTAGAAGTTATCGTAAGAAATATCAATGATAATATTGATGACGTACGAATCAATTCCATAAAAGAGTGCAAAAATACGATAGCAGAAGAGGAGGATATAAGTGAAATTTTAACAGTTCAAGATTTAGAGGCTAGTGAATATTCAGTATGCATATAATAAAAAGATAAACATGGGATATAAAATTAAAAGTGAAAGTAAATGGAATAACGCTTGCTTGAAATAGTATGTTATCGTTATTTATTATTTGAATTATTATTACTTTATTATATTTTAATATACTTTTAATGATCAGTAAAGGCCACTCAACAGATTCTAAATTTAGAGGGTTTGGGGGACGGAAATTGTAATGTGAATAGCTGATAACATCATCACTCTAGGTTATCGAATTTCAATTTATTAACATAGAATCAACTATTGTGGGAGTTTGTTGGGTAATTTCGCAGCCGGTCAAATAGAGATATGCAAATTTATGTTAATTTTGTAATAATTGACATACCTTGTTTATATTTTACACTTTTTGGGAAAATCATTTATTATCTACTAATTATTTTGGGCTTATTGGTTGGATTATGACGGATATCGGTAAACCATACTACTGTAGTATTGATTGATTTTTATCGGATTTATGTAAATGGCAATAATAACTGTATTTCTTATTTGTTATATTGAATATATAATTAACCTAATATAGATGGCGCGCTATATTATTAACGGAATTGTAGCCAGATCCGAAATAATCCGATTATGATTCTTTATGTCTGGCGAGACTCTGTTGATTGAATCATTTCGTATCTTAAAGATCTATATATAAAAGTAAAGAGTAAATTGTAACGGCTCTTTCATCAAATAATTACTTTTCTTATTCAAGTTGATAAAGATTCTCAAAAGGAATGGTTCAAAATCGTATAGATGGCGCAAGTGGTTTCTCAAAAGCGGAGTATTATTTTCACATGTATTAGTAGATTGTTGAGAGGGTCTTGAATAACTTTATGATAAAAACTTACAATGAAAAGTTGATGTTTTAGTTAATAAAAGTTATTTGAAAAACGTTGCTGATCTTCTGGAAAATCGTATTATCTGTTGTTCGTTGTAATATATCACAATCAAGACTTTTAACGTAGGATAAATCCACAGTTTTGCAGCTTTTCAATTAGCACTTTTTGGCCCCATCGAACACTTACCATTGGAAAAGCAACTCTAATACGAGAAGGGGTAACCTCTATAAACGGCTGTAAATGTCGTTTTCTTAATCCGCTTATAGCTGATGATATCAAAGAATGACGCATGCAATATTTTCGTCCAGTTGACGCTTTGCCAATTGTGAATATTCGCTGCTAACTCTTTTATCTGTTCTCGTTTGTTGTTCTATCGTTAATATTCTTATTGTTATTTATATTTATCTACTATACGAATTAGCATTACAGTAGGATTAGGTACAGTTTCTGTCTCTCACCAAATGGTCATCGTAAATTTCGATTCTTCCTTTGCATCTTGATGCAAAGAGATAGATACAGAAACACGGTTTAACGGATTTGCGACAAAACCGCCTTAAATGGACTTTAAAAAGATTTAATGCAAAATGTAATCTCAATGCAAATTCGTAATAAAGCCAGAACGAGGTGTAAAAGGGAATTTTATTGGCATTTTTATGTTTTTGACACTGATTTTTCATTCATATCTGGTATTTTGTCTCAAAAAGCCAAATAAAAACTTTGCCATTAATTGTGTGTCATTTTTATTTAACTAGGCTTCACAATTCATAAAATTGATATTCATAAATCTAATCCTTTTAAAAGACAAACAGTATATTAATTTAGAATTTTAACTCATGCCCTGTATCATCTTTGAAGATAAGAAGCACATAGAAGAAAGAGAGGGAGAAGACGATTTTCTTTTTTTTTTTTAACTCATTTCAACTCGTTTTTGGACCTTTCTATTTAATTTTCTAAATTTAGAATAAGGTTTAAGACCTTCGAAACGAGTTCCAATTAATGTAATTTATTTACCTTTTTGTTTTTTTTCAGCTTTCTTGTCAATAAAAAATTTTAAGCATTTAAACTTTAGAATGCTTGTCTATTTATTAAAGAATACCAAATACGAAATAAAAGGTGAAAAAAAGGCTATAATAACCAATAGTTACCGGGCTTTTGTTGTACTATAAAAGAGAGAATATTCGACTAATGTAACACAGTAATTTGATAACGGATATAAATTCTTTCTAATTCAAAATTTTATCAATTCGACCAGAATAACTTTGTTAAAATAAAACGGTTTTTAAAGGGTTTCATCTAAGAGTATTTAGCTCTCTATTCAGATGAATCTCTAGAAAATGGTTATCTTTTGTATTATATTTTATCCTTATATATTTAAGATACTTTTTTGCTTCTTTTATTCTTTATTTTTCTCTCTCCCTCTCTCTCTCTTTCTGTCACTTCTATTCCCTTTTAAGACGCCGAAGGGGGGCTTGGCGAAAATTGGAATATCTTATGTACATATATTCATTTGTTCTGCAGTCCACGGTTTGTTGCGAATGAATGCATAAAAACGAATATGTAAGCTTTACTGCAATCTTTTACCCGCCAATTGGACGATAAAAACGATAAAGGTTGATTCTTTATCTTTTGAAGAGAAGAATTCTCAGATAAACTTGACCTACGTGACTGAAGAGAATTTCGGTGAAAGAATAAAGAAATAATAGAACGAGACTGTTTAAAGAAATTAGTTTGATCAATTCGCATAGGCTTAAACGAAGACTCGAATTTTCCTTATTTGTTCAAGCACACATTTGCCAGACTGATTTTCCGATTTCCTTAATAAAGCTGTTCAAACTATTTTCTAAATGTATTGAAGTAAAAACTGGACGCTATTTCTTCTTATCTGCTGATTGCGTCTGAAGTGTAATTACATTATTAGGGCTATATAATTACCCAGAATATTGCTTTCTAGATTGTCTGAAGAGTTTAGAAGGAGGTAGAGAGGGAGAATGAGCGAGCCAGTGAGCGAGCAAAGAGTGTGTGTGTGTGTGTGTCTGTGTGTGAGAGAGAGAGTCCTTTGTCAGAAATTTACCAGAAAAAGAAAGCATGCATTGGGTTGTGGTGCAGTGTTGTACTGTTTACACTTGCTAGAAAAAGTTGAAGAGTAAGAAGACCAATTAAATCGCGTGCAAAAGCAGTATGTGAGTTTCTAATTAGGGTTTAACAAGATACACCTAAAGCTACTTTATCAACAATCATTTAAATATACTCTAAGGGATGAACATTTAGTGTATATAGAGAAACACTTGTCTAACCTTATCCTCAACATCGGCCTAGTAAAAACATTAAAAAGGGCGTGGTTAACGGCATAGACAAACAACAATAATAACTAAAAGAAAAATCTGTTGTAATAAATATAACAAACTCTCTATGTAATATATTTTATTATAAATAGGATTCTGTTGCTCTCACGTTCGACCGGTCGTTCGTTTTAGGTTAAAGTGTAATAAATAAATTATAGTCAAGAGAATTCGCTTATATAATACAATAAGACAAACAAGGGGGTGTATAAGTTTTATATGCATATAATACAGCGCTATAAGAACCTTCTATATTTAGAAACAATTTGCATACTCTATTATACAAGACTAATATACATTTTCTTTTAAGAATAACAGTATATTTTTTTTCGTTAATTGAAATATTCATTAATTAAAATGTATGTCAGGATTAATTATTTGGAATAATTCGTTTCTTTCTTCTCTTCTTTTCTATTTTATTTTCCTCTCTCTCTCTCTCTCTCTCTTTCTTTCTTTCTTTCTCTTTGGACCCCCTCCCTTACTAATCATTTATGTTCTGTCTTTGTTTCTTTGTCAATTTTGAGAAATCACATAGTTTGAATATTCCTAATTCTACTTATTAGCCGTTGTTTCTGCTAGCGAAAAAAGATTGACTGCAGCGACGTCTATAAAGTCTATCCCGTCAATCGAGTAACGTTCGTGTTTCCTTTAATTGACGACATTTTATGTACATTAATGCCTTTCGGGAGGAAAGCAGTCGTCTAACCGACTGCTCTTCCTTTTCCTATTTTGTATAAAACAGAGTTAAAAAAATATAAGAGTAATATTTTGATATAAAAGTTGTCTTTTCTGTTTATATTAAATAAATTAATAAGGGATAAAAAATAAGAGCATATTGCACGAAATATTTTTACTAGTATCTTTCGCCATTTTGGATGCTACGCGCATGCGCCTAACTAGTACAACACGCGCTAATTCTCTATACATCGTACCCATGAACAAATAGTTCGATAGTGCACACTGTTAAAAAATGATAAAGAAAAATGGACAAAAAGAATTTGAACTTCTATATATCTTCCATATATAAATGTATATATGTACAACAATCTCAACTTTCGTCAGTCAAGTGATTACGCAACAAGCTACCAACAATAACAACCAACAATTATATAAGACACGATCCGAATTTGAAATTCCATAAACAATTCCTGTTTGTATAGGTCTCTTTTTACAATCATTGGTTAAGTACATTGAGCTAGCTCTGACGAGTCCATGCTCATCTCTCAGCTCAGTAATTTCAGATTCTCTTCCCTTCGTAAAATTTACAACACCGGCTCCTCCATTGTATGGAATTTGAGAAAGACATCCAAACATTACAATCATGTGACCGGAAAAGACTTCTTTTATTGCAATTCCAGTAACGATTTCATCGGATCCTGGCCAATTTGAATAACCTGGAAATATTCCTTACATTAAAAGAAATTGAATAAAGAACCATTCTATAAATAGAAAAGGGGCAATAAGTTTCTTGTTAACCGTTTTTTTATTACCTACAAATATAAGCAAAGGGTTTTACATGGGATACGGCTATTGTATACATTTTTTGGGCTTTGAAATTTGAATGCGACCTCATTCACCCTAAATATTTTGACAATCTGTTTGTCCATCTGGAAAGAATCAGACAAACGAACGGGATGTTTTAAATTTCATGCTGTATTAACATGCTTAATTTGAAAGTAATTCAATTCAGGTAACTTGTCTTAATTCGAAAAGAGAAATCTATGTCCCTTACTGTGAATCCATTTATCACCTTTTTACCAGAGCAATACTATCTATGTATTTACAAACAATTCTAGTATTTATAGCCAAGTAAAATTCCCAATTTTATATATGGTTCCTATATTTTCAATGAAATATTACAGATTTATCATTCTAAAGGTTTTCAAATTAATTTATCCAATCAACCAAAAGTATAATAATTTGCTTATGAATAAATAAATGATAACATGTTGATGAAATTGGAGATTTCCCAGTTTAAATGTATTTTATCTATTACCAAAATTTAATGGTTTTTCCATTTCTATTATCTTTATGCTCTTCTCTCTCTCTCTCTCTCTCGATTTTCTCACACACACAACCTTACAGCTACGAATACACACACACGTATATTCTCTCTCTCTCTCTCTCTCTCTTTCTCCCACTTACTCTTTCTATCATTTCGATTGCTTTGCTCTATCATCTCATTTTACAAACCTTTCTTTACTGTTTATTTAAGGATCTACGCCTAGAAATGAGCAAAGATGAAGTGTACTGAGCAGACGAGTCCCTCATAGTCCCTTCAACTTTGTTAATTATTTTAACTAAAAAGCAAGGGATTAAATAGTAACACGAATAAAGAGAATGATTAACACCGTAACTTACAACCTTCTCAGAGAGATCTAAGAGAAACCCTTAGTAGAATATTTTCAATATAACAAATGGTTTAAATTTACTTATGTAAGCTTTATCAGTCAATATTATTCTCCGTTGTTACGAATGTTCGATATTTATACTTTGTACTATATAGACCAAGTATATTTAGTATATGCTGAACTATTCATACTGCGTGGCATTAATGTATATGCTGGAAGCCTGTATCGTGGGGCTTATAAAAATTTATAAAATACCATTTATCTCTCTTTGCAGAGTTTCATAGGTTTAGCTTTCTGCATATTTTCATCAACTAGTGAAACGTTTTGATCCAAGGCCTATTTGTTAACGATATCCCGTATAGATTTTTTTTTAAACTTTATGTAAACTGGAATAAAAAAAAGAGATTTTCTCTCTCATCATGGCAAAATATAAGTTATAGTATAGTTTCAAATCTCTTGGCGCCACCTATGGATAATTATATCTTTTTTTTACCCGTATAATTGTTTCTTTCTTTAACCTTCTTTTTATACCTGATGGAGTGGTTTTACATAATGAGCGCTTATAAATTAATTAGATAAACTAATTAACGCGTTGTAAAACAAGATAAATTGGGGGAAAATGGTATAAATAATGTATAAAAAAATGCTATTCATAAACGAATGCAAAGCATTTATCGGGTATTTAAGATGATTTGGATAAACAGCCGTGTTATTAATCTTTACTAAATACGATCTGCTTAATCTTTATAGGGGATAGACTTTTTGAGATCTTTCTCTTTTATTTTTTTTGACCTTTAAACTCTCGAATATTATTGATTAAACGATAAGAGGGGAAAACTTACGTGAACAAGCAGTAGACGCAAATCTCTTCGGCAATACAGTTCGTATATTTTTTAAAACTGCTTCTCCGGGCCGCCATTCAGCACATAATATGGATTCTATCGCACTCCAACATAATTTACCGTCCCTATAATCCAAACCACCTGCCTCTCGTAGTTCTACGTTAAGGAAATGCTCCCTTAAATTCTCGGAATGCAAAAGTTTTGCCCAACCCCGTTCATTAATTAGCCAAAGATCGGCTGTAAAAGAGTTAAGAACAGCTCTTCTCCCGCACGGACAGAGTGTAACGTTACGAACCAGGACTATGTAGTTTAAATGTCCGTAAGGGTCTTTAAGGACTTTTAGCAATTCGGAAGGTGTTAATGTTGGGCCTCGTAAGAGTTTAGCAGAGGTAAAAGCTGATATCAATTTAGAACAGTTAGAAACCCTAACAAACTCTTGAATAATAGGATATCTCTTTTCACATCCAGTTAGGTGACGAACTTCAAGGGTTTGATGTTTGCTAAGATATCCGTTTGATATTTTTTGACAAACAATATATATCTCTGAATCGTAAATCCCTATGCTAGTTAATTCACATCCGACAAGAGAAACTTCTTTAAATAATATAGTTTTTGTGGAGTTACAATTTGTGCAGTCGGGAAGTTTGAAGAGAGTTACGGATCTTGAGTAACCTGTTTCGCTTTTGGCCCATATCAACATCTCTCCGGTAACATCGTCTACAGTGAAGAACCGAGTTGTGACGCCCTTGTCCGTACAATTAAATCCGAATCTCCTCAAATTAGACGCTGTGCTTCGATCGATATTACCGCCGTAGATTCCCGGTACAGCTTTTCCTTTGTCTCCAGGTGATAGATATACCAATTGACGGGCGTCTAATATTGTAGCCAGAGAGAATATCCAGTAAAAAATCCATTCCATCTCACAGCATCCTTTGCAGTTTTGCTGCCGACTGATAGCAGACGTCTCTGGCGGCGACTGTTATAGCTACCGCGCATGCGCTTTTGAAAGGTCAGGGACGTCGCAATTTTGTAATAGAATTCGTTAATATATGTGGGTCATCAGGTCAATGGGCGGGGCTTATCACCTGTTTTATCAATAACAAGTTGTTTCGTAACATCTTACGCATCGTTGAAGCAAGAAATTTAAGCTTCAAACAAAGACGCTGGTTACCATAGAGACTTGTCTAGACGTTCAAGTGACGCTGGAAGGAGGAAGGGATTTTATCAGTACAACTCGTAAATTTCATACGCTTTATCGCCTTATAGCACATGTTTTCCATTCAGGAACGTGAGAAGAATTCTTACGAAAGACTAAAAGTTGCCCTTAGCAAGTTTTATGGTAGCAATTTCAACGCTGTTATGTAACTTGTCAAAAACATCTCTGAGATGTTCCCTATGGACACATTGTCATTTTGTGAATGCATCTGTTCCGAGAAAAATGAAAATCTCTTTTCGTACAAACATAAAAACAGCAATAAGAAATAATCAAAGTCATAAAATGCACCAGCACGAAATTTTACAGGAGAAATTTCCAACAGTTCGTTTTATCATTAATCGACTTTGGCAAATTAGCTTCTTTTCACAGCACCCTGCCTTCCAAGCATTTACAGAATAAACACTTAGAGTCATCCCTCCTTAGATTGCCGACTCTTAAACGACAGATGTCCGGTGTAGCAAGTAACTGTCAACGTTTATTTACGTTCTATAGATCGAGTTGCTGTTTAGGGGCGTAAGAAAGCCTTACTAATAGGAATGAAGTGCTCTTCTCATCACGCCATCTATAGCACATTTACATATCCGCTTCCAAAGCAAATAAAATATACTCGGGTCTCTTTAGACGTGGAGATACATGCTTATTGCACCATACAGTACTTGCTGTCCATGTATATTTTGCTCAATGCATACAACACACGTTTCCTTGAACGTGAGAAATACTAAGAGTGTGTACATTTTGGATTATAACCGTATTAGAAAAACATTTTTCAAAAAACAGCCAGGTGTCAGAGGGTAAACGTTTTACAGTCTTTGTCCATCAAATTTGCATAAGGTTTAAATAATAGATGCTTATGTACGGATAAAAACTTACTAAAGAGGGAAGGTGTGTATGTGGGGGGGAAGGTGGGAGGGAGTATGAACAAGAGTTAGGAGAGAAAAGGAGGAAGTTAGGGGCGTAAACAAAAAAAAAGACTTCTTAAAAAGAACATAAAAAGTAATGATAGGAATAGCAAGAGTAGGGTCATGTTGTCAGGGTTACTGGGTTGAGTTTATTACCGGAAGATTGGTATTAAAAAAACGAAAGCCTTAAACTGTATGCAGGTATGAGTGTATACTTAAAAAGTCATGTGTTTGTGTATGCATTCACGTCATTTTATTTGTTGAATATAAGCGATCGCGTGACATGAACTGTATGCACATAGACTGGACGTCGATTGTTGATTAAAATAGGTATACTCGATGCGTTATTTTTATGTTAATTAGACGTCAAAGTCTTTCTATATGCAAAATACTTATTTTTACGGTCACGTGCAAACTCGCTCCCGGCCCTGCGATGCTATTCAAAAAGTAAGATTTATGATGGAGAAATATCCCATGTAGATGGCGCTTCTAGGGTCAAAAAGATGACAATTTACCCTAAAGCCAAACTTTTTGGTGAAAGATGAAGGATATAGTGAAAAAAAAATGACAAAAGAGAGTTGTTCATCCATAAAAAAAATAAAAAATGGATGTTTTGTGAAAATTTCACATACGGTAAAGTTCGAAACACAACAGTAAACAATATCAAACGCCCATGTATATTAATAATAAATACAAGGGAGGGGGGAGGGCGATTCCTATGGGAGGTCACTATTAATACAGGTATTCTTCTCGTCGGATTAATTAGGCGAAAACTTAACGATTTGCCCCCATAAAAGGCCATAGAATGACGATCGTAAAGCATTTAGAAAAGGAAAAGAGCACAATGGCTCTCGTTCAAAGCTACTGTTCCGTTTAGCTATTTATGGGTGGGATGGACAGAAGGACAGGGGGAAGGCGCATAAAGAATTTCCATTTTCAATACATCTCTGTCGAAAAAAAAGAAGAGAAACATTCTCTTTCTTTCGTTTATAGTGTTTATTTATTTACTTTGTTTCTTTGTTTTGTTAAGCCATCTTTTTTCAATTTATACTTTTGGTGAAATGTATATAATGGAATAAAATAAATATATATGAGAAAATAACTCCAATCTAGTCAACTCAATTTTCTCCCCTAATAACTCATATCCTTATCTTATCGCCTTTCATTTGGACTAACGAAAAAAAATAGTAAAATTCGGGCTTTGATGAATGATAAAGGCATATCGTCATTAACTTTTTCAAGTTTATAACCTCTATAACGCGGTGTAAGAGCTTATTTAAGTTCCCATTTAGCTGTTTTCTCTTAGAATGCCTTTGATATTCTTTTTCATTACACACACATAGCCTCCTTGTAATGCTTTACTTTGATTCTGGGCCAAGATTAAATCTGCTTTTTGCAAGCAGGCGGCAAAATGTCGATTACGTAACACCGGTTTGTAATGGGTTTTAATTGGCTGTCTGTTACGCCTGGAGCATTCATTGATAATTACGGCGATTCAAGGCGCTGAATAGAAATGAATGATGCTGCACGAAATATTATTTACCATCTGTTAAAATTTCTTTTGTTTTATGAAAAACTTTGAACAGACCGTCAGATGGCGTTCAAATCCTTTGTGACATCGAGAACTTAGTGATTGATGGGCATATATAATTATCAATTTAAAACTCACTAACTGTAACCGTTATACTAGGATTTACCCTCTGTGAAATAAAAATACACTTGTTGATTAGAACGTATGGATCAGCTTTAGGCTTCCCGGGAAGATTGTTTGGATAATAGCAACAGATAATATTTGCATAGTGTCGTTAATTGTTAAAGTTGTTTTGGCAGCTACTGACTGAAATTTCATATTTTCAGGACCTTATTTCAGTGTCTAACGGTTAGCAACCCTGCGTATTATTTAACAAAGCAAACATCAATCTTGAGTAACAACCGCAATTCTGTATTATCTGAAATCAACTTTACGGTTACGATGTGATATGTACAAAATATTACATTGCAGGCATAAAAACAATTCAAAAGGCTTTTTCGTTTGGCTTTACTGATAAAATACTTATTGGTTGCTAAAATAAACAAAATATTTTTAGGTAACTATAGATAACTTTGTTGATTTTCTCCAGCGCCGTCGCTCAACAAGCATAGTGTGCAGGAAAAGTTAAGTTTCGTTGAAAATAAGTTGAAAACCAATCTTAAAACTACAGTAACTTTATATTTAGCAAAAAAGAAATTGTGAACATAAAAATAAAATTTGCTTTCAGGAGATTTATAGAATGATAAACCGATTTATGGGAAAAAACTATAAAGTCTCTTAGTCTAGTTTGTGCAAAAATTTTCTTTAAGTTAGACACGGCGCTAAAGAAATACAAACACGTAGGCCTAATTGATCTTTATTCCCATTTATTTATTTTGCTGGTAAATCTTTTTTGTAAATAGCAAAAATCTGTTTACCAATAGATGACGCTACGTTGACGAATTTAGTCCGTGGAGAGGGTTATGGGTGTCAGGAAGTGTTATATTAATTTGTTTTCTAAATATGTAGAGATTGAAGAAAATAATGCTTTGTAAAGACTAGAAGAGCCTAAACGAATGTTTGCAGATTGAAATATAAAAAAAATATTTCGCCTATAGTATCACAGAAGCGTTGAAAATTTTTAAAAAATCACAGACCAAACGATAACTCTAAAAAGACGGACGGAATAAAACAAACAAACAAACAAACAAACCCTTCTCTTTCTTAAAAACACCCCACTTATCAACTAGACCATTTTTTCGAGTGTAAATTTGCAAGCCCTGAGGCAGTTATCGTTCCATAGTTCTGGGAGTAATTGCCAAAGTTCGACTTGGAAACTGTCGATGATGTAGCATTTGCCTTATTATCATATTGTTTCCTGCCATAGTGCGATCTCGGCCTTGTTGCGCCCGATTCGACTTGTTGTCCTTGTTTTGATGACAATGGTCTTTGATGTGGTATCTATATAGTAAAAAAGAGGGAAAACATAAATACTGATGATATAAAACATACAAAAAGGAGGGATAACAAGCCTAAAGAAAATATAGAGATGAAAAAAAAAACATAAAGAAAAAAAGAGAAGAAAGGCAGGCTTTTAGAAACGACTGGAGAAAGATAGAAAGAGTACTTGCCACAGGTAGCCAGCGACGTTGGAATGGAGTGCAAGTGAACGACGGCCCATGCTGTGATACACGCAAAAAAAAACTTAACGCTGCATACAACTAAACATTTTAAAATATACGCCAAAAAATTATGGAGATTGCTGTATTTTTTCATAATTTTCCCTTATAGAGAGAGCTGCGCCATCTATCGCTTATACTTACAACCAACTTTTTTTATTTATGTTTGAGTTGTTGGTTGCTGAGGATTTATTTGGAATTAGGAAAAAATTCGAACAACTCCTATATAGAAACGTCTTCGAACATGCTCGAAGAGGAAAGGTAAAAAATCATAATAAGAACAATGTAAAAGAAGACCGAGTTTTTAAAGAAAAAAGTAAAAGATAAATTGAAAATAGTATGCTAACCACTTTTGTTGAAGATGGTCCCAAATCACGTAGAATGGCAGGATTATTAGTGTGATTTCTATGTAGGCCTGCTGAGTGAGTTCTTATAACTGTTTGAACTGGTGTGGCTCTACCAACTGGGGCGGAAGTGTGTCTGCTTTTTGTCTAAAATCAAGTCAAATAAGAATTATAAGCAGAAAGTCTAGTTAAAATAGTTTTCTGTTTTAAAAGGTTAAGAGAAGCGTAAAACATTTACTTACCGAACCGTTTTCAATATTTCCGGTTGAATGTTGCTTATGAATGACAGCATGGCTTTTCGGCTTTCCCTGAAATTGATTCGGCACGGGGGTAGCCGTCTGATGTGTTGTTCTTCCAAAAGCTACAACTTTCTTTGCATCAGCAGAACCTTGGTGTTTTTGTGTTGGCTCCTTTGGTGATGATGATCTCTCATTTTTGTGGTTAGTAACTTCCTGTTCTGCTAAATTTTTCGATCTTTCCTCCCTTCTTCTTCGTCTTCTCTCTAGCTTTTTTTGCATGATCATTTCGTATAATTTACTTCTATATTCTTCTACAGTTAGTTGTATATCATCATTCAGCGGTGGTAGGACATCGCGGCCTATAGACTGTTCTTCAGCAGCGTTATGAAAACGAGCAACATATGGATGTTTAAGAGCTTGGTCAGCCGTTATTCTTTTACTTGGATTAAACTGAAGCAGTTTGTGAAGTAGATCTAAAGCTTCACTTGGAGCATCTGGTATTAAATCATTTAAAGTTTTCCGTGACCTAAAAAAATGACAAACACGATTAATTTCATAGTTTTAAGCCTTTAACAGATATAATTCTTAGATTAGAAGCTGTGAGTTTGTTGTTTCTCAATATAGCAGCTGCTGCATCTTACATTTTTTATAAATCAAGTCAAAAGGATCTGTTTCAGCCCTGATATTTAGATATCGACTATTATGACAAAATCAATTTTATCGAGGTGCCATTGAATTGACTCTATTTTAAATCTTACTGGAAGTACTATTTATTCTTTGTTAAATCTTAATATTCAAGATGATAATAATAGAAAAACTACTTATTGAAACCAATTTATCGATTTTTACAGGAAAAAGAATAGCTAATATTTGACGTTAGCTGTAAGAGTTTCAGCATGTCTTGCAGTATTCCTTAGACATATTAAATATTGATTGAAGATTTGTTGATAATATAATTCTATATTTCTACGGAATAAAAAAATATTGCTATAGTTTTCTTACTTTTAAGTGCTAGGGATTTTCTAGTTTTGCTTCAAGAAACATCCTAATTACAAATCTATAATAGTTCTGAATGCTAGTCAAGAGGAAAATGGTTGATGTAATGGGAATAGTATATCCCACACTCTCCGTCAAAAATAGAGCGCAGAAAAGGAAATAAAAAAACATACTTTTTTACGATTTTGTCCAAGAGAGATGCACCAAATGTGCTTTGAATACTGTCAACGTCTTCTCTACTAGGAAGGTCAATTGTCGACATAATACGTTCAATCTGATTAAGTGTAGAACTTCCAGGGAATAGAGGCTTACCCATTAGCATCTCCCCTAGAATACATCCCATACTCCACATATCTACGCCTTTAGTGTAGTTGTGTGAAGCAAGTATAATTTCTGGAGCTCTATACCATCTAGTTGCAACGTATTCTGTTAGACTTGGGTCGGTTTGGTCATCTGCCTCTAATTGAGTCAAAGATCGTGCTAAACCAAAATCACAAACTTTGACAAAGCATTCACTATCTAATAGTACATTTGATGGCTTTTGATCTCTATGTATAACATTTCCAGAATGCAAGTATTTGGTTGCTTTAAGTAATTGATACATTATATATCGCTTATGAACGTCCTTCAAAATATTTCCTCTCTTTATCACATTGTGCAAATCCGTGTCTGAAAAAAAATAATAGTATTATCATTCTACTATGAATAAATCGAATAACGCTTGATTGTAATCATATATCTTATCATTAAATTCAAGTATCGACTGCGTAACGTAATGATTCAATTTCATGTACAACCGATACTATGTCAAAGATGAACAAAGTCAGTTTTATTTCAAAAAGAGAGCTGTTTTGATTTTAGAAATTGAAAGAGTGAATAGCTGAATAATTCTTCACAAATTAAATTTATCTTAAAGCATATAGTAATATATAAAAAAGGACTGGTGTTTGTTTGAATACTGAATGAATAATAGATATCTTGAAAATATCTACAGAATTCAAAATAAAGTTAAAAATTTAATAAATGCTTCAGGCGTTAGAGATGTGTTTCTTTCTTTTTTGTTCATCTATATCTCTGTTTTATAATCTGTTCAATCCACCTCTCTTCAATCTAATGACGTTCAATTAATTAGGAATGAAGCCGAAATTAAATTAGTCTTAAAACGGATGGAATTTGAGTTACTTAAATAGAGCGCTTAAATTTTAACATGGTTGTTTTTTGTCTAAGGATTAATTGAAAGAGTGGTGCGTAATGTGATATTGTGTTGTGGTTGAATCGATTTAATTAGAAAATAACAACAAACCCATAAATTCAAAAACCAAGTAAATATCTTTATCGTTTTCTGCTCGTAGAACGTTGTGAAGTTTTACAATGTTTGGATGATCTCCGAATTCTTGCAAAAACATGATTTCCCTAAACGTTCGCTTTGGGAAAAAATTTAAATAATCAATAAATTAGCTCGCGTGCAATTGGTTCGTAAATTAAAATTGACTGGAAAAGTCAATTTTTACTACTTGTAAATCAATTAAATATTTACTTGAGCATCTGTAGAATTTCGAAAAGCATCAAATATTTTCTTTAAAGCTACCACTTCTCCTGTCCTTCTGTCTATTGCTTTCCATACGATACCGTAGGCCTAAAAAGTATTTATATTAATTTTAAAAGTAAAAAATTAATCGTAATAACCTTTCAGATACATTAGAATAACTATGTTAAATATTATTCATATTGTGAATAACTATTAGATATTTTTAAATTGATAGTTAAATATGATCAATTAAATCATGTTTACCCCTTTGCCAAGTCGTTTCTTAATTTCATATTTCTTCGTTACATGTTCCTCTATCTCGGAGCTCATTTTGTTTGTATAATCAAAGTTTCCTTAACACTTTTTTCAATAAAGAACATTGGGTCGCATTTTTTCAGGCTGACATTCCATAAGCTGTGAGGTGTTTGTTTAATAATCATACGCGTTAGAAAATAGTTATGAGGTATTTGGTAACTTTTATAATAACGATAAAAAGGAAACATAAAATTTATTCCCCAAAAAAAAAGTAAACATTTTTATCTATTATTTTTTAATAAATCTGCTCATAAACAAAAATTTTACATTTAAGCGTAATAACACAAGAGAAACCGAGAATCCAAAGACGTCATATGTCAAATTCCGGAAGTTAGCGCCATCTATTGTTCACTAGTGTTTCCGGTGGCCATATTATTCACTTAGAAATGGCAAAGAAAACGTACGATTTATTGTTCAAATTGCTGCTAATTGGAGATTCAGGAGTAGGAAAAACTTGCTTACTTTTTCGATTTTCCGATGACGCTTTTAATACTACTTTCATTTCGACGATAGGTGAATTTTATAAGATTTTGTATATTTAACCATGAAGTGATTAATACAATAAAAACTTCCACGCTGTCATGTATTTCTTATAATGTAAATGTTGTTTGGTAAAAATTTTTGTTGGAAAGTATAGTTAATAAGTTGAATGACAGGCATCGATTTCAAGATAAAAACGATCGAACTGCGAGGAAAGAAGATAAAATTACAAATTTGGGACACAGCGGGACAGGAACGATTTCACACCATCACAACTTCCTATTACAGAGGAGCAATGGGAATTATGCTAGTGTATGATATTTCTAGTGCTAAATCCTTTGAAAATATCTCGAAATGGCTCAGGAATATTGACGAAGTAAGCATATAAAAATTTTCCATTACTAAAATGAACGAAAACAGGATCTAGTAAAAAACTGATATCACCTGAGTTTTTTGCCTATATATCAGGATTTCACTAGTTTACAAAGTTGGCCTAAATGATAAAATAGTGTACATTAAAAACTAAGTTTTGATATTCGCCCTACTCAGGCTAATAGAGGTTCATGAATCAATCACGTTTGCGGACAAACGTGCCTTGAGGCATATGATGAATTTGCATTTTGTATATGGATATCTATATACAATATAAATATGTAGGTATTTTTTTTATAAATGTACTTGGTGGTAAAGATAACTTTTAATAGCTAGATAATTTCACTGATAGTTTGTTATAAATTTTAATGCTAATTTTATTAATCAGCAACAAAAACAATATATTTTAGTTTTTAGAACACATAACACACTTGGAAAAAACTGTCAAACCTTGTTAAATTGATATGGTATTCTAATTTACATCAAAAATACTTCCTAATAAGTCTTGAAGCAAAAAAAATTATAGAATTTTATGACAGTCAATTAACTATCTATAGATCGGTAGGAACAAGGAAATAATATGACGTATGTTTTTTGAGAAATAAGAACTAGTGTTGATAAGTGAGTGGCGTTATTCTCCTGAGCAAACGCATTATTTAGAAGCGTTGCAGCAGTCACGTTAGTAAGTGACTGAGTGATTTTAGGACGGTTTTAAATGGCTCAAAAAGCCTTGTTCATTGAAAACTCGTAAGAAAGTTCAGTTTGAAGTAGAATAACAAAGGAATAAATTTCCTATAGACATTTGTATAATTTTGTATCAGTAATAGTTTTATTGCTTTATTTGAATATCTACTTTTTTCTGCATTGGACATCAGTTGTCCAATGCATGGTTATTTTTTTGTTAGAATTAATAAACGGTCCCAAAATACAAATAGGACAGACGTTAATAATTTGATAGGACTAACTAAATGACTTAGAAAAATAACCACTTTATACAGGCCATTTAGGATTCACCTAACCATATAATAATATCATTTACTCGTTAGAATGAGCAAATTTAATCTGCAATGAATGTTTACATAATAGGCTTTGACTAAGATTGTCCAGTGATGATAAATCTTAAAATGAGAGACGGGGCTCTATATATTGCGACTAGTGTTCACTTCATATCATTTCATTATTTCATGCATCATTTCCAAGCACTAGTTGTGAATTATGGCGGCTTGTGGTTTCTGTGAGTTTGAGATTATGAGATCTGAGGACGATTTGCTTTACTAATAAAAAATAATGTTTATATATATCAAAATATATAGCTAAGTAAAGAAAATACTAGGCCAAACCAATTAAGACACATAATTGGGAACTGAGTAGAATTCTACGTTACCTATCTGTAATATCTAGTTATTAGAATGCCTCAAAAATGTACTTTAGCTGAAACTGAACTTCTATTCTAAGGTAATGAGTTGTGTCTTTCAGCTATACATTTTTGTTGGTTTAATCTAAAGAGATACGTTTTTGAGGCTTTATTCTATTTCCCACAATGTTTCTCAATTTGGCTGCGTAGTAAAAATAGCACTGGGCGAATAAATTGGTCACATTTTTATACAATGCTTCTATATATGATTTTCTTATTTAACAGCACGCGAACGAGGATGTAGAAAAAATGATCTTGGGTAATAAATGCGATTTGGTTGAAAAAAGACAGGTTCCTAAAGATAAAGGCGAAATGGTACGTGTTTCTTTTCTATGTTTTGAAGACGGAAAAAATATTTTCCTTTCTATAGATTGCAGAGGAGCATAACATTCCCTTCTTAGAAACAAGTGCCAAAAGTAATGAAAATGTAGAAAAAGCTTTTTACCAGTTAGCCGAAGCTATATTGGATAAGGTGAGCTATTTAACTTTAATCTGAAATTTAATTTATCATTAATTAATTGACTGATTGATATTCTCCTTTTTTCTACAGACGCCGAATAAAGAATCAGACAATAGAGGCCCTGTTGATATTCGTAATTCATCGGACTCCCGGCAATCTAAATGCTGTTCATGATTTTTAGTCAAGCTTAACCTGCTTTTAGTATACAAAACTCTGAGAAATTTGATTTTCATCTTTCGATTCGGACACGCTATAAAAACGATTTTAATCGTTGGCATTTAATGATGTCTATCGTCAATCGATTTTCGTTCTATTTTATTTCGCAATCTGCATATTGAGTATATTTTAACAAAGCCTATACAATAGACATGATGTAAGTATAATTATGAAACGCTTTTGTTTAAAAGCGATAAAAAAGTCGAAACAGATTTTTAATTGCGAGGAATTACGCTTACTTGTACAACTTTGTATAGTATTATTATGTTGAATATTATAATGACAAAATAAATTTTTTATTGTACAAAGCTTTTCAACAGGTTTTAAACCATACTTACTAATAAAAAGTATATTCTCGTTGTTTCGGAAAGAGTAATTGAAGACCTAATACGCCCACAAGACAATTAGTTGACTTTATCATCCTATATCGCTTGTTTCTTTGTTCACTTAATATTTTAATGGGAGATGTAAAAAATAAGCAAAATGTAGCTCTCTAAATTTTTCCTCAGCCTGTAACAAGAGCGGATGTGAAATTAATGCTCTCTTGGCCTATTACACTGAGACTTAGCAATTTCATCTTGAAATGAGTTTTAGTGGAGACACGTTGACATTAATTAATCTTTAGTACAAGTTAGTGCAAGAACTAAATAAAAATCTGGTATTTTATTAAACCTGCAATAGAAACACTGTACAATTTGTATCTTCTATTAGGAGAAAAATATTGCAAGTATTACTTTTCCATTGAAAATAACACAGTTAAGTCGTATTCTTCTAGATATTGTCTATTTCTAAAGGAAAATTTCCACGAGTAATTGGCAAGTTTGCGGGTAAAAATTGGATACTTACGCCTGACGTTGATTTTACTTATATTCCTGTTGTATAAAATATTAAGAACAGTTCATACAATTAATTATTATTTTCAAAAAAAACCAGATTAATAAGAAAAGTACTAGAGTTATAAATTGTTTTCGAGCTAGGAATAACAATTTCGGAAATAAAGCTTAATTGTAATTCGGTCTATACAAATATAATTCTTTCAATCCACACTGACCGAGGTGAATGTCATCTCCTTTCCATCTATCCTATACTAGATAATAAATCTTTTTCCACAAAAAAAGAGAAATACCAAATGAAGCATAACACGGTTTAATTGAAAATATTACTCTTTATTTTAGTAATAGAGTAATAAAAAGAGAGATTAAGATATATAAATAATATTTCTTATTTCTTTTTAATGTTTGCTAGTTACGCAGTTAATTTAATGAGGAATTGTTACTGAGAGAGAGAAAGAGAGAAAAGAGATGGAAAAAAACATATAGTAAAAGAAAGTAAACAGATTTTTTTGAAAACGACAAAAGAATATAATTTTATTTCATTAGGAATAAGGTTTTACCGTAATAGCCTTCTTTCTATTCTCTTTCTGTCCTTTCTCTCCCACTCTCCGTTAACGAATAATTTGCATATGTATAGTTTTGTTTATAAAATATATACTGTTACAATATTTAATACGTGTTTTATTTCTATTGAATAGAAGTTTATCATATGCGCCTTTTCGATAATTAAAAGATTGTTTTCTAAGCGAAAAGCTGAAGGAGAAAAGAGAATGAAAAAGGAAAAGGTGTGATTAGAATGAAATTAATTAAATGAATAGCATTAAGTAGATATCGCTTGTCTTTTCTATCAATATTCATTATGGTGATTCTCCAGGCACAGAATAAAAATCTCTAACGTTGTTGTTCCGCTAGTGTTAATTATTGACAATTTTTTTATTACAGGCAGAAGATGGCAGTACTGAGGTTTGAAAGGCTTCTCTGGTGACTGAAAGTTTGATACTGTAAATGTACGAAATGTATTGAGCAAGAGAAATGTATAAATATTTATTTACTTGATAATTTTTAATGGAATAGTTAGGAAGAAACTTGAATTCTTTCAAGAGAGACTAATTTTATTCATTAAGACAAAAGGTCAACTTGATTTAAAATGTCTTTGGGACGAACATATGATGTTCTCCTAAAAATTGTTTTAGTAGGAGATACTGGCGTTGGAAAGACGGCTCTTATGTTATTCTTCGATCATGGACTATCAGCGTCAACAATTATACCTACAATAGGTAAATTAATAATTTACATATTGCTATATTCCACTTAGTAACTTTAATAAAATCATACATTAGAGTATATTGAACCAGTTTTCGCTTAAAATATATTTTCCCCATTAACTAAAGGAAGGAAGCAAGAATCTTTTTAAATGACGCCTTCTAGATTATGAATGTTCTTTATTTCCTATTACAAAATAAAAAAAAGCCCTACAAATGTGAAATATTTTGCCCTATTAATTTCGTAATAGTCGATTTTTTTTATTTAGCTTCCGTGTTTCGTCATAGCTTAGCACTTTTTAAAATTACCCTCATTTTAATAATTAATAATGTTTACTTTATTTTTCTTTTAAAAAACAAAAAACCGAACAGGAATTGATTTTAAAGTAAAAACTATAAGCGTTATGGGTAAAAGAATCAAACTACAAATATGGGATACTGCAGGCCAAGAGAGATTTCAGGCAATACCTTCATCCTATTATAGAGGTGTTCATGGAATTTTACTAGTTTATAGTATCACTAAGGCATCATCCTTTGAAAATGTCTCAAAATGGTTAAATCGTATTAAAAAGGTAGGTTAATTAAGATGAATAATAATAATAATAACAATCATAAAAGAAGACAAACTTTATTCTGTATTAAATGAATATTCCAATTATAAATTAATATTTACTTGGTTTCGTATATAAAAGAGAAATTTAACGTTTATATTCTGAAACCTCAAGATATAACGTCGTAGAATTTTCCTTGTATATTAAATTTACTACTTATGATTATCCTTTTTACTTTGTTCCTTTAAAAGCAAACGGGCTCTGATGATCCCGAAATGATTCTCTTAGGCAACAATTGCGATCTGGAAAATGAAAGGCAAATATCGAAGAAGAACGGCGAAGAGGTTTAGTCTCTAAGAATTTTTGGCCATAGGCTAAATATAATTAAATAGATTATGATTTTTTCCCTTAAATTATAGATGGCCAGAAACTTAAATATCTCCTTTATGGAAACTAGTGCCAAGACAGGCATAAATATTAATAAAGCTTTTTATAGTATAACGGAATTAGTTTTAAATAGGGTGAGATGGCTACATTATCTTTCACACAGTATTTTTCCTTTCATTAAATCATAATTCTAATAACAATTTTAGAGAACAAGAGAAGAGAAAGCCGAATTCGAGGATATGGAGAAAACGTATAAAAAGAAAGGATTACTTGATTGTTTTGGATGTCGTTCTTAGAAAGAGTTGTGTTTTTTTTTGTTTGTTGTTGCTATTACAGTATATAATATAAATTTATATATATAGATAATGTAAAAATATACTGTAGCAGTACATGTATCTGTTTCTTATTTTCTTTGAATTTTTAAAAGTAAACCCAAATTCATTTTACAAGGTATTATATTTCTTATATTAAAAGATTTTCAGCTGTTTAGAATGAGTTACAATTTAGATTTTAATGGATATTTCTTTTTTTTTTGTCTATCCTTGACCATATAGCGTATAGAGTTAGTTATATGACTGATCAAGGACATTTTTCGTTTTTTAAATAACAATAGACAGTGAATAATATATTCTTCTTTATTAACAATAGTTTAGTATTGCGTAGAAAAGGTTCTTCAACTCGTTTAGAATTCGTTTATATTATACTTTATATAATAATGGTAATAGTAATTTGTAGGCCTATATATACATTTAGTTAAAGAACCGTTTTAAATTTACAATTTCTTTTGAAAGTATATTCTTAAGGACCAAAGTTTAAAATGAAATAAGTCGCGCCATCTATAGTTAAGAGGATTGTTAATTTTTTAATGTTCAAAGCTTTGGGCATCAGTCTTGACTACTAATGGCTCCAATCCTCAGAGATCTTTAATTCCACAGGGTGATTACAAGGCTAAATCAATGATAGTCAATTCAAATTGAGGAACTAAATAGGTTCGAGTAGTTGTTACATTCACTGTATTTTTTTTTTCGATTAATCCATGCTCCTTTTGATGAAGTATAAAATGTAGTGAATTTCATGAATTGAGTAGGATTAGTCTTTTTTTTTTCAGGTATTATATTTCCAACTGTAAATAAAGTTAACTTCACAGAGATTTAATTGGATCAATAGATTTTTTTTTTCTAGCGTTTGCTAGAGGTTTTGAAATAAAAATTTCATTTGCAATTCGGTTGGATAATCAAACTGTAGAACTTTTTAAATTGAAAATGTAACAAACAAACTTTAACCATTGTAAACAAATATAGAAAAAGTTGATTATTTTTCTTTAATGGATTTGTATTAAATAAATACGACGCAAGCAACAGTAAATAATATCTCATTGTATACTACAATATACATATAACATGTCATGTATAAACATTCAAGTATACATGGGGTACGTACGTATAGTTTGGTGTGTAAAATTTATATGTATAACGTAGTTACGTACATAAATACATATACTGTATATACTAATATATAGACGGGTAATAAATTACAAAAATAGCAGCTCAAACAAAAAGAAATCTAACGTGACAAAGGACATAGTCAGGAGGCTATCAGGATTCCAACGACGGAGTAAACATGTGGTGAAAACATAAATCGGAATGCCTTGACTTTCTATGACAAAATGCAAACTTTACACCTGTCGGGGTCCGGAAATGACCTACTAATTGTTCATTGAAGATATTCCTTGGAAAAGTGTATAGTTGAATATCATCTATATATTTGTCATTATCGTCGATTCCGTTATAGGAGGCTGGCGGTTGAGCAACTATTGTGGTCAAATAATTAGTTTCGAATGAGCACAGTATGTAGTGAGGAAAATAGTGAAAATCCGTAAGGAAAGATGATGGAAAATTTCTACGTTTCTTATTCCTGCTAATGTCGCCAACTAGTTTGCCATTTTTTACGTCCAGTACCCTTATAATACCCCGAGAACCAGACAAGAATACCTTATCATTAGCGACTTTCATTTCCTTAATATCTCCAATATCGTCCAAGTCGAAACGATATGTCCATTTAAATTGAAAAGCTCCGTCTAACATCTCTACAATATTATACTCCGAAGCATATCTCGTTATAATCACTTCCTTAGAAGTAACATCCATATCGTGTAAACGCTCTTTGTCGTTTTTACAACGATAATAAATCATTCTACTGAAATCTTTAATTTTGTAAATCTCAAAACCATTAACTTCTATGATATACAATGTATCGCCAGTCACCTTCATATCGTAGTTTTGCTCCAAATCGCATTTCCATTTTACAATCACACGTGGCTTTTTAAGACCGTCCATATCGTATTCTGTTATTTTATATAAATAATAGTCGGATAATACGTCCTCTTCCAAAACGTATATTTTCTCCTCCGTCAGAGCGACTGATTGATAATTTTCATTTAGACAGAAACTCTCATCCAATTTAGCGTCTTTCTCAATCAATCGATAAAATTTCAAATTTTCGTAACAATAATCAATACAAAACGAACGGCTTAGAGAAGCGTCTATGGAGTTTGTCAACTTTTGCCACATATCTTTAACGTTTGAGCCAAAAGCATCGCCAATAGTAGTTTCGAAACTTTCCAATAATTTAATATGCTGTAACAATTCGGCAAGTTGACTTTCCTTTTCATCGTAAAAAGTAATTATTCTATCTTCTAAAAAGTCCTTTTGTTTTTGAATGAATTCAATAGCCTTTTCAATATCAATATTAACATCGCTTCTTGTTCTTTGCTTTTCTTCAAACACTTTTTCAATACCTCTTAAAATAACCTTTCTTAATTCATTACCATTTCCACCTTTAACCAACTTTTCATAATCATCTTTTGCTGTTTAAATAAGGATTCAATATTACTATACTATTGAAAAAAATTACTTATATTATTAATGAATTAACTAATTAAAATATCAAAGAAATACGTGTGTATGTGTATATATATTAATATATATAATTATATATATATACATGTTTGTTTGTGTGTGTGTAATATCTCAATATAACATGTACAGAACTAGATACAAAAAGAAGTTTTTGGTTGTTGTTGTTGTTTTTAAAATTTATACTTGTTTCCCTTCTTAATATAAAAACAAAATAGTTAAATTATTAGAAACTCTAAAAATAAACCAAAATTAAAATAAAAAATATATAAAAAAGAAAACAAATGAAGGAGAAAAGAAACGAAAAAAATGATGTGAATTAATTTACATAATGTTTTTTTGTTGCTTTCACTACCTAATACATATATATAGGCGTATGTGTGTGCTTTTTTATCCTTTTTTTGTCATTTTAAACTGATATTGGGTTAAACGTATGACGAAAGACGATTTTTAAAGTATTTGAGGCGTGTTGTTGTCCAATTAGAAATTTTACTCCAGTCTGAGTTAAAAAGTATCCCAAGACAGTTCCTTTTGTAAAAATTCTCTCAAATGTTAATATATGAAAGTCTTCATTTTTTTCTGCCGTTTTTATAATTCTTGCTAAAACGATAATGCTATCTTTTTCGAATAGTGCACAATCAATTGTTAACTTTAAAGAATCGAGATTTGATAGTTCCGATAATGGACGCCTGACTTCGGTATGAGATAATTGAATTTCTTGAAACTTGTTACCATTCTCCATTAGTACTATGTAAACTGTTTTATTAGAACCAAGTATGAACAGTAGTTCTCTTGATACTTGCATCTGCTCTACAGTTTCCATTTTATCATCCATGGTTGCTACCCAATCAACACCTAATGGATCTGATATTTTAACAATGTCATTTTGATTATCCTTTTTACCGTTACAGATAATTCCAGATTTAAATGATACTATTCTTTTACATTCGTAGCCGTTTTTCACTTCGAAAAATATCTCCAGCTGTTTATTAGCTTTTTTCACTTTCAGACATTTTACACCGTTGATTTTCATTACGTAAACAGCTCTACCAACAGCAGCCATTTGATAATCGGCCCTTTCACCTTTCCATTCGGCAATATCAGCTGGTTCATTTTGTAATCTTATTCCATACTCTCTTATCTTGTAAAAATAATCTTCCATTTTCTTCTCTTCCATCAAAACATATAAAGATTTACTTGTACAAGTTAATGTTTGATATTCCCTTGGTATATAGAAACTTCCAACTGGTTTATCTTCTACAGTAGAAAAGTTACCAAATTGAAATTTGTCAGTGTTCATAAAACTTCTGAAAAAGCAATCATATCCTAAAGACGAATCTATAAGATTCTTCAATTTTACTCTAATCTCATCAGTTTCGCTTTGAAAATCATCACCAACTCCCGATTCGAATGAATCAAGCATTCTAATCTGTTGTAAAAGTTCACCTATTTGATTTTCCTTGTGCGAGAAAAATGATCTAATTTGATCTTCCAATAGGATCTTGTGCTTTTTAATAAGTAATAATAATTTTGATTCTTCGTCATTAATTGATTCAATAAGATTCTCCTTGTTACAAGCTATCCTCTCTAAGCCTTTTAAAACAATCTCCTCCATATTTTTTCCATTTTCTCCTTGAGGTAGTAATAGACTATAGCCGTCCGCTAAATTATATAATTCTTGAATTAAATCTCTTTTTGGTTTTTTTTTGTGTCAAATTTCTTTCGTACAAACGTTTAACTAGGTTTGTCAAATAGATAAGAATTATATGGATAATAGGAAATATAATCGTGTTAAACATTTTAACTATATAAAGTATTCTTTTTTATCAACTTTTGACTCGGTTAATGGCCAATGAGTTAACGTTGTTACTCAACTACAGTTATAAAAGACTAATTAGTTCATTTGTTAAGAATGTATATATATTCTTTTATCTTATTTAGACAATAGTCTAGCTCTTTCTCTTAAAAATGTACACTTACTTGATATTTCTTCTTCACAAGTCTCAATATCTTGAAATATTGGTAAACGGCTAAATCCGTTTACTCCATTTTCAGGCCAAATATGTGCTTTTCGACAAACTGGACAATGAAATTCGTCCCCAGTTTTTAATTTATTCTTTTTGGAGAAAAGAACAAGGCAGTCAGCGCAGAAAATATGCGCCACTTGACATGGTAAACAATGTGGACTTCTCTCAATCCAAGAATATGAACATATAGCGCAATTGGAACCTTTTCTGGATATAGTTGTCTTTGAAGTCTCCATGACGACTTTTCTCATACTTCTTCAAATGATTTCAAACAGCGTTTGTTCTTCAAACAAACTTTTCTTTTTTCAATTGTACTATAAAACACCAGATCAATTAATGACACTCTCTGCATGAGCTATATACATATATATATATATATATATATATATAAGGAAAACTTTTTGAGCATTATCACTAATACTCAATTTTTTATTATTCAAATACTCAAGTTTTTAACTAAATCATCTGAAATATTATAGAGAAGCGTACAGTTAAAAAAAAAATCTATATAGGCCAAATAAATACAATTGTTTTTGAGTAGTTATAAATAGTTATAAAGATCTATACCCTTTGCTTTAGCTTAACTTTCTCTTTTGTATATATTTTTAAATAAATTTTTACGATTTAATTGGTACTCGAAAGAGGGGCGTTTCACCTTCACTTTTATTTAAATGATTTCCTGTAATTAATAGGTGAAAATTGATTATTTTTCTAATAAAAATAGATATATGTATATAAAACTATAAGAATAAGAGACAACGTCTATAAAATAGAGAGTCCGGGAAGAAAAAAGGCAAATTAAAAAAAACACTGTACTTTTTAGTTTTTTAAGTGGAAAAAATGTAAATCACATAGTGAATTTATATATCTTAACTAAAAACCAGCGGTAAGTTATATACAGTATATATATATATATATATATATATATATATATATATATTTCAAATTTCTCTGCTTAAAGTAAAAGAGGAAGGGATAAATATTTACTGGTAAACGATTTAATTGTTATCAATTTGGTTATACAGTATATATACTGTATAATGGAAGTGTATTACTTGTAATATATTTGCAAACCATACGTTGGGGAAAAAATTTTTTATCTCGTTACGATCTTCCTTCATTTATTAGACTATTTAAAATAGCTTAATATTTTCATACATGGTCAAAAGTACAAATGGAAGGCTGCTCAAAGACACTAATTATATTTTAATTATCCGTAAAAGTATTCTGTATATTGATAAATAACAGAAGAAAATTCCACAACCCACTGATAACATCTAAAATGTTGTTCTATTTATGCTTAATAGTTCTCATAACATTAGCTTTTGCCAAGAGAGAATAACGGTTCCGAAAGGCGAAGGTCGAAGAAACATACGTAAAAAATATTGTACTACCGTAATCAGAGTTTATGCGATTTAGCCAATATTCATCTGACAGTCAGTATTATCCAATTATAGCTATCTACTCTTGCAAATATCGACAGATTAGCCAAAAATACACATTGATATTTTTTCAATTGTGATGAAATGTTATTTTATCTTTTTTGATTTAACTGTTTGTTTGTTTTGTCATCTCTTTTGGTACATCTTAGATATAATCTCTGAATTTCAAACAGGAAATAACATTCCGCAATTTTATTTTCTCGTTTTTCTTAATTCCTCGTTACGTGGCAATTTATAACAAAAAAAAAACAGTCAAAAATATGTTATCATCCAAAGTAAAATGAACAACATGATCTAATAATTAACGACAGAACTAAATCACTAAAATCTAATTTTACGTAACAACGTATAAAACTATATATTAATCCGACACTATCACTTTAAAAATGAATATGCGGACTTATTTCAATCATTTTTAAAAGTTATCACTTGTACTTTTCTAACTACCATTTTGACCTTGGTCCTCTTCAGTTTTTATTTTACGGAGATGATTGTACACATTTGATTTTTTGTGCTCTTTTAGGTAATCGTGCCCAAATTCTTCGTACATCTTGCTATCAATTTTGGCAGAATTAAAATCTTCAGAACGACCCCATTTGCAGGCACCTTTGAAAGCAGATAAAGACGGTTCATTCGCAATATACACTTTGAACTCTGTTCCACTCGGTAATTCTCGACGAATATCTACTTCTAAGCGCTCTTTAAGACCTAGTATACTACCACATCCTCCAGTAACATATATACACTTTGCTACTCTTTCCATTTGTTCTTTGGCAAGCAGCTTTCGCATTATATACGAAATAGTATCACTAATGCCGGATTGATCTACCCCCAAGATAGCAGCAGGTTGAAAGAGAACCTCTGTTGATCTGATTTGCTGAGTGGCAACATGAATTCTATAGTATTCAGCGACATCAGTTTGAGTTGGGCTATTAGATCTATTGAACAAACATTAAAGAAATTTATGTGAAATTATTTTAATCGAACCTTGAGTAATCAGGATCATATTCTCTTAGGTGATTATCTATCTCGTCTAACTTAGTTTGCTCCTCTTCAGAATCGCTGTGACCAGTGTCCTTATTCTAAGATATAAAAATGAATCGCGTTAATTAATAATTAGTTTTTTATTTTAATTTTAGAGCTTACAATTTCCTTATAAACGTCCCAATCATCATCCCTTTGTCCGAAAGTATCTGCTTTCTTACCTTGGCCTGCAGCCAGTTCACTAAGAATTCTCATTCTTTGCTGTGAGGCATGAGTTCTTCTTTTAGCACTCTCTATTCGATGCTGTCTTCTCTTCTCTCTTCTTTCAATAAGCTCTGTCTTTTGTTTCTTCAAATCCTTTACATAACTTTCTACTTCATCTTCAGGTATTAAATTCTTTTTTGAAGTTTGTGAGACAGCTGGAGCTGGCTTAACGCCATTTTCAACTTCTTCTAATTTAGATCTTACAGAATTTATGGAATTGTTCAACTTATTTATTTCATGACCCAATTCAGCTCTGGATGCCAATCCTAGGTCATGTAAGCTTTTCAAAAATATATCTTCGTCTTCTTCGTCAAGTTCTTGAATAGTAATAAGTTTATTTAATTTTTGTACATCTTCCTCGAGTTTTGCTCTTCTCCTTTTGACATTCATTTGTCTCAAACGCTCTGCTTGTACTTCCTTTTTCTTTCTAGCTTCTTCCACATTAATAGCACTTTGAGCATGGGCAGTAAAAGGCAACTGATACTTGGCAACAACTGATTCATAATAATCCGGATCATTCCACTTAATAATTTCTTCGTTATAGCATTCTACAAATTTAGCGTGTTTTCTAACTAAATATTCTGCGCGACTTAAACTCATAGATGTTGCGAGAGGTGGGTGAGCTAATTGGAGTAATCGTAACATTACATAATCCACGTGAGCTCCACCTACATTTATCCTTCTAACGCTATTGAGCAGCATTTTGCCATCCAGTATTGGAATAACGTGACAGCAATTATATCCAATAGATACAACCAAAGCATCTTCCACCATGCTCTGTTCATGAAAGAAACTATACAAAGCATCTATACCGTACGATACACTAGGAACATTATAACATTCGAAAAGGAGTTCATTCATCTGTTGACGACAGTAATTCGGATTGCAAATAGTTTCTGTCATTACAATAGGGTGGGTAACACTTGATGACGTGATAGAGAGTCGTTCAAATATATGATCGAGTATTTCCTCCTCAAAATCGTACTGGGTCACAATATCTCTATCGAAAGGTGTTCTCAATTGCCATCTAACCAACTCCACATTTGGTATATCATTACCAACAATGTCCTATGAGAAAGATAGCATTTTATATGATATTAAATAGAAATCAAACTGGTGATAGATGTACTTTCGATATTGACTTTTAGACTACTATAAAAAAGTAAAGCATAAAAAAACACAATTTAATAAAAAAAAAAACTAAATTTTGCTGTAATATCCTAATATCAAATTATCAGAGAAATAAAAGAAGCTAGTTGAAGGGATTTCTCATGTATTTAATTCTAATTTGTCTTGAAACGGGAATTATTTACGAAATTTTTTCAAGGTAAAATTTAGCATTATCTGTAGCATTATTTGCATGCGAACGAATCAATTGAACTGTCACGCTCTGTTTCACTAAATTGACTAAACAAAAGGCGATGTTAAATAGTCTTATTTAGAAGAAAGAATGATTAGTTATATAAAGTTGTATAATACATACGGGTTTGCCTTTCTGTCTACATATTACACTTTTAAAAACCATGTGTGGCTCGTCGTCATGAGCGTAACCTGCCCTGCATTTGAATGTACCTGCAATTGGAAAAAAATTTCATTTCTCAGAATAGAAAAATTTACTTTATAAGTTAGTTTTTTACCATTGTCAATTACGATGGGAATATGATTTCCAGGCCTATTCTTATAAACTGGATCCGGAATAGATTTTTCATCATCAAAAGTACATATAGACATTCCAGATCGGATAGAAAAATTCTTTATAGACTCATCAGTTTAACAATATAGAACAAAGCAGACAGAGATCAAGAGCGATAATAGAAATCAAGAAATATACATCAAAATGTTAGGTGATCGTCTTTACATTTACAAGACTGATAAAAGCTGTGGAACTGGTGCCTGTTTAAAATTACAAGCAATCACCGCCTTACTAACAAATGGACGGAAAATTTCTGGCCAATCAGTGCAGCTGTAAGACACGCCATCACTCCTAACTTCTTGCGAGATTTTAAATGTAAATATTGGGAGTTTGAAGATTTTTGCTGCCTCAGGGACAAGGAACAAAAGTGTAAGTTATTTTTTCCATATACTTAATATATAATTTTTATTCTGAGCATGTTTTTGCAATGGTAAGCAAATACTAAGCTGTTATGCAAACATGCTAAATTGATCATTGAAGACCTATCAAATATTAGCTACCGGTCACAAGGGATTATATTAAATAGTTTTCACTTAGATTTTCCCAAGGTTCGTTGATTTATGAATGCATCATCCTCTTATCAAATAATCATAGGCCCTCACATCCGTTTGCAAACCAATAAATTATTGTAAAAACGTCTAGTATTGAAATCACCGTTTTTTTACGCGGTTTTACATTTGTAAAATGACCCCGACTACCGTCTAAGGGCCTATTGTTAACGTCCAAATTCGCTGGACCCTTGAATAGGTGTCATCACATTCAGTTGAAGTTTGCCGGTTGAAAGGAACGTAGTTAGGAGGAGTCTTTGATAGTCTAAATTTTCGGCTAAACATTAAATGAGGTATTGAGCGATTTTTTTTCTAATTCTTTTTTTCATTTCATCTGATCTGTCAATATCCTAGTTACTGATAGCACTTTGATGTTTCGAGTGGGGCATTAAGCGTACAATTTGTTTTGAACTCTATTGCGGCGAGTGCCTCAAAATTTGAAAACCGCCAAATTTGTTTTAGCTATTTACGATTCGCTGTAAAACGCTATTGTTTAAATATACTGAACGTTTCAGATAATTTACATTTCTTTTGAATAATACCGTTAAGATAAAAAAATATATTTATCACGTGTTCATGAAATATAAGCAATAAAAAGAGTGGCTTTACTGTTAAAACTACCGGTTAAAGTAAAACTTGATCTTATTTATATTAATTCAAAAATATCGGTTATACTGTGTAAATTATTTAAACTGAAAAGAAATTCCTGTTCGATAGAAGTCATTCAACATAAGTAAATGGGTATTATTAGATCTTTTTTTAGCAATAAATGAAATAGATAACATAAAATAGTACTACCTATTTTACTTTATTGTATAGAATGTGAAATTCACTATCACTTTCTTTCTATATTTGAAATAAGGAAATTTAAACTTTCTTTGGATAATAGCTATCAAAATATCTCAAGGTGGTATTCGGGCGCTCGCTCTTTCATTTCTTCTTCCTTCCGCTTGAAGTAAACATTTTATTCATCATCGGGTCAATTCACTATCATTCCTTTTATATAAACGTTCAGATCTTTTAATTTGACACCCCATTCCTCAATCACTTAATAACCACCATTGTAAACGATTTATAACAGTCGATATAATTTAAAATACGGTCGGGTGAATATGTGTAATTTTAGGGAGTATTTCCTCACGTTATTACTGACGCCGCTGGATGTCCTTTCGGTGTTTAACCTTCTATTATACCTCTCGCTGCGTTCCAGCAAGATTTTCAATATATGAAAGGAAAATCAATACTTTAGGGGAAAGTTTACAGAAATAGTGAAAGATGGGATTTAACATAGTTGTCCGTGTTCATAGAAAGAGATTTGTTTGGCTATAATTCTTATTCAGTAATTGTATAAACATAGACATCACGGCCGAATTGCAAAGGCGTCTAAAATTAGGTAATCAATTGTGGCATAAGGTTTATTCTTTGTTAATGGCAGGTAGAAATAAGCCTATTAACTAATATTTGTCAAGGGTAAAGTAATCATTGTCAGTTGATAAGCGTCCATTGAGAGTCTGTTATTTTTTCGGACGCCACATCTGCGTCTGGCCGGCAGCTGGGTATTTAAAATAGTCACTGGTAGGCCTTTAATTCTGTTACGTAATAGAAAAGACGTTTATTGAGTCTTACGTTTCATCTCACATTGAACCTTAGAGGGGAGCATAAAAAGAGGTTGGCGACGCAACAAGCACACGAAAAAGAGTTGATTTAACGACGGGATGCCACTGTTATCGGTGGTATTGTAAAGAACAACACTATTTAGAGTGATTAATTCTTAACAACTTGCCGACCAATTAACGAGTAATATAGAAGTCGTCGGCACCTTTGGCACATGGAGTGTGCACGATAATTTGAATTCACTTCCTGTAATTTTATCGCCGGCTTTTACAACGTGCGAAATTTTTTCTCCATTTGATGTCTTGTCAGCTTTTTTATATATCTTATGTAAAAAGAGAAAACCGACGCCTAAACGTTAATTTCTTGTTTTTTTTGCTTGCAGATTCGTTAAGGTAGACACAATGCCCAGTTCAAGTGGTATAGAAGATTATGATGTTATAGAACAAATCGGCTCCGGTTCTTACGGAACTTGTTCTAAGGTTCGGCGGAAACGTGACAATCGAATTTTGGTATGGAAGGAAATGGAATATGGAGGAATGACCGAAACCGAAAAACAGATGCTTGTCTCTGAAGTAAACTTATTAAGAGAACTCCGCCATGAACACATTGTCCGTTATCACGATAGAATTATAGATAGATCAAGATATGTCCTGTATATAGTAATGGAATTTTGCGAAGGCGGTGATTTATCGTCTATAATAGGAAAGTGCAAAAGAGATGGAGAGTTTGTTAGCGAAGACTTCGTATGGAAGATGTGCGTTCATTTATCATCAGCTCTCCAATTTTGCCATAATCGATGTATAAGGGGAGGACGTTCTATATTGCACAGAGACTTGAAACCTGCTAATATTTTCTTGGATTCTGAACAAAACGCAAAATTGGGTGATTTTGGTCTGGCTAGAGTACTTAATCATGATAATTCCTTCGCCAGAACCTTTGTTGGAACTCCATACTATATGAGTCCTGAGCAGGTAACCGAAGTAATTTTATCAATAGCATTCATTTAGAAAAGTAATCAATTTTAGCATGAAAGTCTTCTAAAATAAACATCCGAAATGTTTCACTTGATCATGTAGCATGATTATTTCAGTGGAACTTTCGAGAGAAACCCTAATTATGTTGACATTTTACCATCAAATTAAGGTTTCAGACAATGAATTAATGAGTCAGCCACCTGTCGGAATATATAAATGCCTTTTCTTCTATAAACCTATATTAATATGTTTTAATTGAATTGCAATATTAATAAAAATAACTTTCGACAGATGAACTGTATGACATATAATGAAAAGTCGGATGTTTGGTCTCTTGGTTGTTTATTGTATGAGTTATGCAGCCTTCGCCCGCCTTTCACGGCGTCTAATCAGAAAGAGTTAGCCTCAAAAATTTGTAAAGGAAAATTTCCCAGAATTCCACATCAGTTCTCAGACGATTTAAACAACTTGATTGCGGCTCTGTTACGCGTAGAAGATTATAAAAGACCAACTATTGATCAAGTTTTAGACCATCCCTTATTGATAAAAAACGGAGGTGGATATCTACAACTTTTACAGAAAAAGAGTTCTGGCTCTTCGGTTTCAAGTATGAAAGACTCGGGAGACGATAAGCAAAGGAGTTTAGAATTCAAACATTGGGAGGAATCTTTAAGATCGAGAGAGGAAGCTTTAAAAGAAAAAGAAGAATTGTTGAGAAAAAGAGACGAGCATATTCGTTTAAAAGAGATAAGGATTTCTCAAAGGGAAAATGACGTAGAAAGTGAGTAGTCTAGTCTCATTGCGAATATAGTATTTAGTACATTTAAAGTATTTTCTTAATAGCTTTTAAGGGTATTTTCGTGTGCGGAATTAAGGTTAAAAAAACACATTTAGAGATCACATTGTGTATTGATGGTCAAGCAATTTTAAATTCCTGCAAGCGACCCATAACGTTTGAGGGCACGGGAGGAGAATTGATTAAATCAGTAATATATTTTTAGAAATATTAAAAGAGAATAGAGAAGAAAGTATTTCAAAATCGTAAAGTTTTTATAGTTTAATACGTAGGTAAAAAATACCTTAAAATAGTACAATATATATATATTAGTATATATATATATATATATATTGTATATACTTTATATATCATTATTTACACCAATTTTACTGTTATTTTATAACGTAATTCTGCATATGTTTACTTTTTATTTTATTTCCGAAAGGCTTCTTTTTTTTTATATAAAACTGAACTACATATTGTATATATACTTATTAAAGTTGTTATAAAGGCTAAAAACAACTTATTATTCTTTAGAAATGTTTTTAATCTTGTACATATTAAGCTATAAAAAATGTTATACTTAACGTTGTATAATCTACAAAATTTGTTAAGGAAAAAGCTTTAGTTGATTTCTTTATATTTATTGATTAACGTGTGTATTTTATTATATGTTTGTATTCGATTAGCTGAAAGAACGCAATTTTTTCACCTTATTTGTGAAGGTAAATTAAAAAAAACAGTTATAAATTTAGTAGACAATTGGAATATGATTATCTTTCCAAACACGGCTTAACTTTTTGTTATTTTTAATTTATGCCGGGTCTAATGGATTGTTTGGTTTAAAGAATAATGTTTAGGTCTTTTTAAAGATCTCCCCCTCCGCTCTCTTTGTCAATGAAGAGACCCAGCAATAGATTTAAGAAATTTTTCTCCTGGGATATTATCTACTGAATCAACGTAAATTGAAACCAATTTGATAGGAGGGTTTAATTTGATACTTTTTTTAATACTTTATATTACGGCTTAGCAAGTAGAATAGTTTGAATAGGAAAATGTTTGAATTATTTTAAATTCCAATGGCGGTACTTAATATCTAACATGACAAAATATTCTTTCAGGAAAAGAGGCTGCTTTGTTAAGTCGCGAAAGATTAATCGAAGATCGGTTAATAAGAGTGGACAAAGTTTCTAAATCGGCTACAGGTAGACGGCATGTGTCATCTAGTTCTTCGTCTTGCAGTACTAATTCAGCTCGTAGAATTAGTAACATAGGGACGCCTGAATTTGTTAAAACCCCTTCGCCTAATTCTAAACCTCCTAGAATATCTCTATTTCGTAAACCCTTGGCAACTTTGAACAATGATCGGAAGATTCGTTCAGCCCGTAGATAGTATGCTTTTGCAAGTAGAAGTGCTTTCAATAACTTTCATTCTATATAAATTTTTTATTTTACAGCAATATTTTGTATTGTATATTTTAACTATTTTATTTTTTAACATTTCTTTTTAGAAAGAATCTTTTACGACTGTAAAGCGTCGATTAATAAAACTAAAAAAAGAGAAAAATAAACTTAAAATATGTCTATATTTAGAATCCATTTTTAAGAGCTTAGAAAATTGAGATGCTCGATGTTCATAGATGATTCTGTTAGTGCTTCATTAGATTTAATTTTGATATTATTTACTTTTTTAAAACTTTTAGGCCTTGTTTCAGCATATGGACTTCCTAAGTATTCGCCTACGCCATCTTTTGCTGATCGACTTTATTTACGAAGAAAAGAGAATTTATATGCAAAACAAACAACATTCCGAAAACCTTTACAATTGTTCAATGGAAGAGATGAACAAGCTGGTCAGTCTAATAATAACGGTTCACCAAGTGCCAGAATGAAATTGTTATCCGTTAGATGAAATAATACACAGTTTCACATTACAAAGACTTTTGTATTTAACGTTTTATTTTTAAATGCTATCATTGTGATTGTTAAACGTAATAGTCAAAAGTTTGCTGTTAACATCATAATAAGACCGGAAACCGTTTTATCATAATCCTTTCAAGGAGATTTTCGATATCTCTCTGATAATCAAGTCAATAAGATATCCCATTTGAATGTCAAGTTTGTTTGTAAATGAGGGTCGTTTAAAGGGTGATAAAAGTCGTTAAAAAGCGATTAAGGTATACATATATTAGATTTAAGATATGTTAAAATGGACCAATTCTGTGCATAACAATTTTGCAAATCTATGGTCCGATCCAAGTTTGAAAGGATATTTAATCGTTTTTTGATATTTCAATAATTAACCAATTGTTGAGAGTAATAGAAATAAAAGGTTTTACAACTTCCCATTGCCGTTTAAATATCGATCTACTAACGACATCTCGTTTTACGGATTTATCTCATTTGAATGGGCCGGAAATGGTTTAAAATATTCGACACGACAGCAGCGTCGTTTTTCATTAAAATTTCCGTAAATAAAATAGTATTTTGAATAGCTAATCAGCTATTACATCAGAATCTTTTTAATCCAAAAAACTAGTTGCGATCATTGTTTTACTGTAAAAATCTGTCTTCTTTCGTTTCACATTTTCCCCCATCCGCCCTTAGGATAGAGAATAAATTAAGTTATACGGGTACAATGTAGATGTTCTAAATGAAAAAGGACTTTTCTTTCGTGACGTCTTTTATTATTTGGCATTTGACGCCATTCTGTCAAATTTGTAACAGGAGCTGCCTACATTTTTTGTACATGATATATTTTTAAGGAATTTCAATAAGCAGTTATTTGTAAATGGAGATAGAATCTCACACAGAGATAGAGATAAGGTCATATTACAATGGTCTCAAAATAGTCAAAAGAACAAATAATTATACCGTCACCTTCCAAGTTCGAGACCTCCAAGCTTTCGTAATTCATTTGTAAAGCAATGAGAGCCATTTAAATTAATAGAGGTCGCCCTAATTATTTCCATTGGTTTTGGTCATTCTACCTGACAATCTTTGATTCTTTTTAAGATCAACATGACCTTATCGTCCGGAACATCTATTAGCTAATAGTATTTCATCTGGTACTATAAATAGATTCGTTATTTAAAGATTGCGGTTAAAAGCTGGCCATTTGATATCATCTTCTGGTCTTGAAACTTATACAAATATAATTTTAGAATCTACGAAAATTGCTTTTTTCTGGAGTATACTCAACCTTTAAATTTTCCTCACAGAATCAGGGAAATCATAGAGAGAGAGAGAGAGAGATAGAGAGAGTTCTCGGAATAAAATTATGAAAGATATTTTCCTGTGGTACTGCTATTATATATCTACTTTTTCCTGATGTAGGTCTACCTTCACTATATATTTATTAGCATTTTCTTTATGTCTTCATTTCTTAGTAACTGAGTAATTAATTTGACACATTTACATTTTCGGCTCAAGGACGAGTGAGGTTGGATATATAGATGAAGACAGAGTGAGAGAGCGAATGAGTGAGTGAGTGTATGAGTGAATGAGTGAGAGAAGGAAATAGAGGGAGGGAGGGAGGGATGTAGGTAGGTAGTTAGGTAGGGGAAAAGAAAGAGAGGGAATATAGAAAGCATGAAATCACATACAGATAGTTTAAATACATGCACTTTTTTCTCTCACCCAATATAAATAATACTTCATATGAGAATTCATTATATAAATCAATTACGACAAAATTTATTATTTTATCATGATTTACCATTTGATTCATTATTGTTGCTTTTTTTTTCATCACTAAGAAATAATTATAATAAAAACATAAAATGATGAAAGATTGAATTATTTTTTCTAAATATTTCAACATTAATTAAAATACACAACAACATCTGTGAATGTATTATAAATAAATAAAAGTTTCTATGATACTATATCACTTTATCATAGAATTCTTAACAAATTCAACATGTACAATATATAATAATAAGAATATAGTATTAATAATAATAATAATAATAGCATTTATATGTATGAATGTGTACTTTACTTTATATAATATAAATGCGACAGTTAAAGCGCCTGATTTTCAACATCGTTTCACAAGAGTTTTTACACTAATATGCATTATTTTTGCATATACTTAAATTTCTACCTCCATTTCCTGGACCTGGAAAACGTTTAAAAATAAATTATTTCCAAGTAAAAAAGGAATATCATTTTTTTTGTTAATACAAACATCTATCTCTTGATATAGAGTCGTATTCTGTAAATAGAGAGTTCGCTCCGCACTGTATAAATGAATTTTTCCAGCAATACCAAGTTAGGCAGCTGAAATGCTTCATTGTGTTACAGGCTTTAAGTTCACATTGGCATTCTAAGAAATACAAGTTATGTAATGACATAATACCGAGGGAGAGTTTTTCTATATAGATAATAAATACCGGATCTACAATAGTTCTGCGTGAAATTTTTAACTGCTTCCATATTACTGACTCTACAGGGTGCCAAGCTGGAAGCTTTTTTTAAACATTTGATTTGATTTTTATAAGCTTGACACATCTTTTCAGCATCGTAGCCTTCAGAATTGATTCTAAAGACTTTTAATACAAGCTTTGAATTGCAATCATTCATTTTTTTATGGCACATCCATCCAGTAAAACTTCTTTTCTGTCTAATTTCATTCGAATATTTAGCTGAAATACCCAATGCCAATCTGGAAGACGCTGTGATATCGTTCGAACAGTTAGTCGAAACTGTTAAATAGAAATATATAACATATATATAACTTTATTTCCACAAAGAAATCAATTGTTAGATTTTCATACCTAAATAGAAAATATAGAAAATAAATCCAAGGAGAATATTCTTCATAATTGTTTATTTACTTTAGCGTTGTATATTCAAGTTAACTTTGAAATTATAGTATTATTATTTTTACATACAATATAGCTGTAAAAAGATCGATTTTTGATTCTTTTACGAAAAGATTACTTTTTGCCAACTGTAGTTCTATAAATGTTACTAAAAGGTGATGAACAGCCTTATATAGTTTTCGATTTTTTTTATTGATTACATGATTCTATGTATTTAAATGTATAAATATAAATCAAAGAGAGGACTTTGTGTTCTCTTAAGACAATAAATATTCCTAAGGACAATTGACTAATTCAATTAGAAGGACTTTTTGAGGACGAATACAAGTAAAAACCCAAAAAAAAAATTTGTCCTCTATCCAATACAGAAAACTGTTTAGTTTAACAACTTCGAATTTAAGAAATGTAAATAATAAACAGGATTCTCTGTTTATTCTCTTTTCTTACTTTTATTGGAGTAAAAAAAGGGAAAATGTAAAAAACTTTTGCAATCTTAATCAAAGTTGATTTTTTTTTCTTTTTCTCCCATTTCTTTTAGTTTTTTTTCTACCTTTTATAGGCTTATATACATATTACATAATAAAGTTTCTTTTATTTATAATGTTTTTATTCTTTCTTCTTAAATACAACAAATACCTTCTCAATTTCAACAAATGCTAGAGTTTGTACTAATGAAAGTCTATATCTGTTACTGGCAGCTTATTGTTATGTAAGAGTTACTATTATCATCATCTGAAGTGATTAATAACGTTAGTTATAAATTATACGGATGAAAGAATATCGTTATCTTATCAGTTAGAAAGAGTGTGTATAAAGTAGCATATTGCACTATATACAGTATATCTCATTTTAGGAAGATACCATAAATACGAGTGTTATTAGACGTTTATGCTAAGATGCTTGAGCACTAGGTGATAAATATTAAACTGATAGTCTGTTAGTACGTCTAATTAAGTAGAATTACGAAAAAATATATTTAATACTTTTGAAATAGACGAAGTACACCTATATAAAAATGTACTCAACAATTAACAAACTCCATTTAAATGGAAAGATAAATTGAAAGAAAATTTAAAATATACCAAACCATTAGGACTATTTCTAACTAAATTCTAATATTGCATATAGAATATTTAGAATGCTATTTATTATCTAGTATTTTCCTATTAAGAAAAAACATATGATTTTTTTATTTACAATATATTTATATTTTTAATTATGTAGAGGCTGAAGTAAGATTATATGAAAATTGTCCTTGTAAATTGACAACTATAAAGAATCACCTTAAAAAAAAAGGCTTTTTAGTGTTTTCAACATAGTCGTTCGTTTAGTATGACAATAACGAAACCTTTTTGCGAAGGAAAGTGTTTACAATGATTATATTTTTTTTGCCTCTTTCTTTTAATTTAGCTGTTTAGGCCTAAAGATGTTCTATATATCTATATCTAAAATATATATATATATATATATATATATATATCTAAGTTACATATATGTGAATGTATACTTATACTATGTATAAATGAAAAACAATTTATTAGCTATTTCTATGTACAATATGTAAAGAAATAGGACAGAAGGTTTTATTTTTCATTTTAATCAGTTCTTTGGAAAAGTAAAAACATCAAGATATTGTGGGTAAAGAATTTATCAAGTTATTTTTAGATAAAGTGAACTATGATAGAAAACTGGTATGAGAAATATTATTTTCCCCTTAATTACAATTAAAAGAATGGTGGAATTTTTGGGACGTAATTAATGCTATTTAGAAACATTTAATTCTCTTTTCGGGAATTTTTTTGTTAATTATAGAACATCAGCTAGAAGAAATAAGCTATGATAGATATAGGACTAAAATTCGAATTATTTGACATTGTAAACGATAATGGTACATTGAGTATTAGGTAAATAATAAGAAATTTCAAAACTACCACATTTAAAATAGGAACAACTTACTCATTGAACTATATACTTAAGTAGTAAGAGAAAAGGTAGTTTTGATAGGCACTCTTGAAAATCTTCCTTTTTATTCTAGCTGATCTATAAAGAACTGTTGAACTTATATTTCCAATTTCTTCCGTTAATACAGCTACGTTCAGGGACTAATTAAAATATTTTTATTAACTGAAAGAAATAGTGTTCTTCTACTATGGAATAATTAATTGCTTTAACCTACACGATCATACAGTATTTAAGGATCGACCTACAATTTCCGAAATGTATCTATTACATTAGATGAAGGCTTTTCTCCAACGATATCCTATAGCATGATACCCACATTTGTGCTATTATAAACAGTCAACTCGAGCTGATAGTTTGAAAAGGGTGTTAAATGACGAAAAAGTAAAGTGACCCTTAACTATCTTTGCTATAATAATTGTCAGAAAAGTATTTTAAATTTGCTCAATTAACTACTCTATGTGAGGATAGTCACTGATTTCCTTAAAATAGTTATTATGATTATTTAAATGATTACATTGTTTTTCTATTTTTATTTAAATAAAATAAATGCAGTAAGTTCTATTTAGGTTATTAATTGATACGTATTGCAATGGCTGCAATAGCATGTACTTCTGCTTCTGCTACTTCCAGATTTGCCACTCTCATCCTCAACAACTTGAGCAGTTCCATTAAAAATGTTCTTCAATTCATCTCCTTCTATATTGGTAATTTATTCCCTCAGAAGAGAAGTCTTTTTTTTTTTTTTTTAAAAAAAAACAAGTATGTTTTCCAAAGAATTTAAAATCTTACGAGAATGTAACAAGGGATTTTCTCTCATGACTTTAACAATGTTGACGACCGATGTTTTCTTTAAATCGTATGGTATTTTACACCTAAGGAGATTATTTCAAGCTTCTTAATTTTAGCCTACGAATAAGTCCATGTCATAAACCTCTGCTATCTATTGTTGCTTTTTATTTTCTTTATTTTGGCACTGTTCTTAGATAATGTTCAATGAATTTAGTAAAAATGCCTCTATCTTCCTTTGTTCATAAATAAAAACTAAATAGAGAATTGTTTCTATTTGCCAACTGGAAAGTAAAAGAAATAGGATTTCATTTCACTTATATGTTTGAATAGGTTTAAAATAAAAAGAAGGGTATTTTATCTTTATCTTTTTTCTTTTTTTATCTAGAAATTCAGTCTAAATGCCAAGTAGAATAACGCGAATAAATCCCTTCTTGTCTTTCGTTACAAAAGTTAAATGTTTTAGAAAGTAAACCTGATTTAAATTCTATTTGGTAGAAAAGATATTCAAGTAACATTACATTAAGAGAGATAGAGAAGAGGCTCCTAGATATTTGCCTAATTAGCTATTAAGTTAGCATAATTGAATAAGAAAAGAGATAGTGGATTATTGATGTTCTAGATTCTCAAATCTCTATCTCTCTCTCTTTCACTTTCTTTATTACTCCAGATGTGTTTAAATACAAATACTAAATGTAAACAGTTTACTTAAACTTATATATGGCGTTATTAACAACAAGTCGAGAATGCAATTTTTTAAATAGTCAGAAACTAATTGTATTTGATTAAAAAAGCCGGCTCATCACAAATATACTACTGAAGAAAAAGATAAACATAGTGCCCAATACAAAATATTCAATGCTTTCATTTCATTTTCGCTTTTTTCGGAGTCTAAGGAGAGCATTGACACTTGCAATCGCAGTTGCTTTTGCTCAAGCCACCGGATCCGGGACCTAATAGATTTCGAATTTGTTTCAAAAGTTGTATTCTTAAATAAAACTCTTAAATGTAAAAACTTACAAATTTTAATTGACTTGGGGAATCTTGCAATAGTTTCAGAGTTGTACATGCCACATTGGATGAAAGCGTTTCTTCTGCAATACCAAGTAGAACAATAGCTCAAGCTTTTATTGTCACAAGCAGCCAATTCACACTGACAATCTGAAACAAGTATAAAATGGTAAATTTAAAAGCTAAGCTGATTCTTCAATTACCTTTGCTACAATAACTGTCAGCGAAGCGTTTTGTTAATCCCAAGTTAGTTACTCTGCAGAATGAGAGATTGTCAATTGCCTTGAAGCAGTTGTAGTGACTGCTGTATGCTTCACATAATTTTTTTGCATTGTATTTTCCGCGTAAAGAAATAATTTTAAATCTGGCTTGAGAATTGCAAAATGCTCCCCGATTTGAACAGTATCTTTGGAAAAATGTGCTTCTCTTTGATCTGCCAGACTTATCATCATCTTCATTGGATATCGCAGTTCCATTGAAAGTACTCTCAATTTCTTCTTCTTCCAAATCACCAATATCATCACTTGGTGGAGAATTTTCCTCAGCCATTATCATAACTTTAAGTAAAAAGAAAATCAAAATGTAAATTTTTAACAATGAAAACAACTTGAAACTTACAAGGTAAGACTGCAAGAAGAGCGAGGGTTAAACACAAGAATTTCTTCATTTTTGGTTTGTAGGTAGTGTTTCTTCAGATTCTGAAAAATTGTTTGTGAAGATATTGTTCATGATCAAGTCGTTTTTATAGAGCTGGCTCATTTGAATAAATTTGAATATCAAAGAAACTTTGTTCATCAGCATATGCAAATAGAAGTTAAATATAGACATTTGTATATGTTTTTGCCAATTTTGGGGAAATAAAGTATTCCCCTAAAATTATTCCTCTTTATTCTGATGGTAGCCTTTGAAAGTGAAAGTAAATAAGGAACTATTTAAGCTTAATAAACAAATTTTGAAATTCAAAGTCTTAATATTACAAGTTTTAAGACTATGTTAGCAATAAATTAAAATTGACAATAATATACTTTCTAATTAATTATTCTTTAAAGTTAACAATAATTTCTATTTCGATATAGGACATTTTTAGCATTTGGCAAATAATACATAAAAGCTAATGTTACAAATATAGTTTAAACTGAATCAATTCAAGCTAAATATTGTCTGAATATAAAACCTTTGCAAAGGAAGTATTCAGTTCTTCTGTATGAAATACTGCATTAATATTTCTTATATTATTCTTATGTTTTTTAAGGAAAAAATTTTTCCAAAAATAGACAATGAAATCCGAAAGCAAAATTTGCTTATTTTTCGGAATATCTACATCTAGAAGGAAGTTTATTTAAGCTTGGGAAGTGTAATTTCTTTCATATTTGCAAAAGAATCACTTGATTCAAATGTAAACAAAGGGCTGTATAACATTCATGTTTTTATTTAAATATCATAAACTCGTATGGAACTTTAGACTAGGGAGTTTACCTGCACTTAAAAAGTGCATTAATATTGCAATTGACCATGGAAGAAGTTATGATGTGTTCGTAAATGTCAAAATAAGGTTATTTTCTATGAGAAAAACATTTGTATAAAGGTACTTCCCCTTTGAATATAAATTCAAATGAGTTGAACAAATGAAAGTTTTTCGGAAAAAACTAATAAATCTTTTCAGCTAATGCAAAGTGTTAAATAATTGAACAGAGATTTAAGTTAAAAAGAGTTAATATGCCACTTTGTATGTTGTGTTAACTTTTGATTTTGAAGTAAATTAATTACGAACATACAAACTGAAATAGATCATTAAAAGCTAGATATGCTTTTTGATAAAGGTAAGGGTTTCCTATCTTCATATTGATTGATAAGCCATTCAAAAAAACTGCATTACTTCATAAATCATAATCATTAGAGTGAAAGAAAAAAGTTTAAATGGTATGAAAGTGTGGTGAAAGTTTATATATATATATATTTTGACTGATATCTTCTGATTTGAAAACACTTAAGGTATTAGTCAGTATATTTTCTAATATAATCTATAAACCAGATCTATATTTCAACCAATAAAAGTCGTTATTTTGCAGGGACGTTCCAAATGAAGCCTTCGCTTAAAGAGATTTAAAATAATTTAAAAGGAGGATAAGTCTATTTAAATGCTAATTTACATTAAGCTTCAACCCATGTAAATAGGTTATTTAATTCGGAAAGCGGATGTTATCGATTTGACACACCAGCTCATAGAAATTCTTAATTTCATTTTAACCAGAACTGTCAACAACTTTTGGTTATAAGTTTGCCGTAACATTTCAACATATCTTGTAAAGCATCTACTCCTTCTTCCTGATTTATCTTAAGCTTATATAGATATATGTACTAGTTGGTTTCACTGCTGTTTTTAGTTTGGAAGTTTAACAAATGAAGAGAATGGAGAGAGAGGTACATACTTTCAAGATTTCTCAATAATATTAAATATATTGTATATAATATATACCGTATAATGTACTATATGTAAGTAATAATGTGGCACAGGGTTAACCCTAAACCTTCAGAAACGAGAAAATGAAGAATTATATAGTCAAGTTAATTTCTGAATTTTATTATTTGTTTGAATTGGCATTCTTTCATATTTGTATAGAGAAATAATACGTTAATACTGAAGGAATATATTTTCATATAAAAAATAAAACAATTAATATTTTTATTTCATTTTTAATCAAAAAAATAAATTTAGCTCTAAAGGTTTCGTTGTTTCTATTTTGATTTCTTCTTTCTCAATCGTTCCCATTTAATTGTTTCCGATTCGAAGGCGCTTAATTCAAGTATTCGGTGCTGAAAACTAGACGGTGCATACTGCATTGGATCTGGATAAACTATTTGGGAAAGAGGTAAGTAAGTAACAAAAAAAAGAGTGATATTTAATTCTTTTCTTATATCTATTAATTATCTTACTTAAGGTTTTACTTTTAAAAGTTGACTCGGTTGGCGATATATAACAAGATTTCGGAGAAAGAGTCTTTTCCCTGAGAGCTTGATTTGACGTAAAATGTATTACTGATGAAGAAGTTCGTTCTCTCTCTAAACCTGTTTTGAGAGTAGGATTTAAGCCAATACCACAGGCGTACAAATCATTTCTAGTGTCAAAATTTGTATCTTTGTTTAAGAAACATTCCGGAATTGGTTGATAATTCTCATCAAAATCCCTTTTCTTAGTATTGTTACTTGGTGTAGTTTCTAATAAACCCTTATCGTCAGTTCCTTTTCCATGTATAATCAAGGGAAATTCAGCTGGAATTTCATTTGTCGGTTTCTTATCAGTCTTCTTATGGTTCGCAACTACTTTTTGTTTCGGTGAGTAAGCCGATTCTGCTGATTGCACAGACCTGATAAATGATAACGAAATTTTTATTACGTCATGGTTAATATTTAAAAAAAAAAGAATTTATAACTAGAAATATTAGAGACTTGTACAAGCATGTAAAAGTTAAGTAATAGATTAGGGCCAGAGATATTTAAACTATTCCGAGTGTGTTAAAGTTATTTTCTCTAATAAGTTAAACATAAAATAAAAGAAAACAGAAAAAAGCGGGAGAAAATGAGAGAGAGAGAGAGAGAAAGAGAGAGAGATACAGACAGACAGACAGACAGAGAAAAATAGACAAGCAGACAGACAGAAAAAGAGAGAAATAGAAAGAGAGGATATATAACTAAATCGATAATTTAAAGGATGAAGAGGAAAGAGAAAATTAATAAATAAAAACTACAATTAATAATCCTAAAATCAACCTTTTCAAGTTATTTTTATTAAGAAAACAATTTATCGAAGAATTAAATATTGATTCGAGAAGAGCAAACAAGCAAATAGGTAGACAATGTATGATCAAAAGTATGATAAAATGAGAAGACTGACGAAGCTCTGGAATTGTTTGCTTTATCGAATCCATGTTTTTTATTTTTTTTTTATTTTTGCAGTTGCTGTCTATAATCGTTAAAGTCTAGGAAAAAAAAATAGAATTCTTATACTAGATATTATTGATAATAATTGTAATTATCAAGAAGTATATTCATCTATTATGTCTATATATATATCTATAGATAGATAGAATATACTTAAATATTCCTAATAGAATAGAAACATATCTTAGGATTAAGATTGGATAAAGATAAGTTCATAGATACCGAATATATAATAATATTCTTAATGAACATGAACCTGCTTCATAGGAATATATATATACTGATATATATATTTTTTTATAATACCACCTATTATTTTTTATCTTATCTGATATATTATAAAAATTCAATTAGTCTAATCTTTTTCACTTTTATGCCTAATTAATAGAGAATACTTTTGTAATCTTAAAAAATCTGAAAGAAGAATAAAAAATTAATATAACTTTTAATATTATTTTTAATACGAAAATAAAATTCGTACATTTATATAATTCATTCGATTTGGACTGGTTAAAATATCAAATATACCTGTCTAAAAGTACGTATTTTTTTTTTACGTAATTGATCATAAGTATGTCAATTTAGTAAATATTGTCTTTTGACAGCGTACAAACAATCGAAGTATGTTTGCGTAGGCCTAGTTGAATATAAAATGCATTGTCCAAGTTTATTCTTTTCATTATAAAAAGCTAGTTTAGAGCATCCAAAAAATACAATATATACAGTATATCCTATAAGTTCGTATATATGTATATATTTCTAATACTGTATGTAGGTATCTAGTAGTAATAATTGTAGACTTATAGAGATATTTTCATTAATATATAGCATAGTTACCAGGATAATCCTGTTACTGAAAACTCGTCCTCCACTTCTCGTTTATTTCTATTCCTATTCAAATGGCGGAAATAATCAACTAGAGACGAAAAGCCTCTCTTATCTTCCTTTTTACCAACGCGTTTTTCAACTTCCGGTAAAAGGCATAATGATAATCCTGCATCGTTCCTTTCAACTATAGATATTGAATAGGAATCGACGAATCTAGCCTTGTAGAACGCCATCTTATAGAGAAGTGACGTCGGCGAGGACGCTGTTCTTTGTTAGCTCAGATCGATCGAGCACTTCGATATCGAATGATAAGCTTAAAAAAAAAACCTGTTCAATATTTTGGCGAGATTCCAAATCGGAAATTGAAGAGGTTTATTTCAGTTTTGTTTATTTTTCCTTACTGTTCAAAACCAATTATTACAAAATGAAAATGGAAACGAAATGTGTCGAAACGATCCAGTCTAATGAAGGATAAACAAATATCTTGTCTTTGAATATGTTCAATTGTTCAAACAGCGACGACTCGTAGGGTAAACTGGATTTCAATAAAAAGTTCATCAGAGCGGATACTATTTAAATATTTTATATTAAATCGGCTAATTAAAGCAGTCTCGGTCTTGAATCGATTTTTATGTATGTCTTATTCTTTTTCCAGAACTGTTTCTAGCTAATTAGCTCTTGTCGTTTTACGGTTGAATAGTTTGTCTTTTATCACACAAAATGTTCCGTAAATTGTAGGGATGCTTTTCTTCTCAAATGTTCTATAAACTGATTACTTATAAATGTTTGAAAATAGCAATAAATTAATAGTCCCGTATTTTTTTAAAGGAATACGTCCATAGAGAGAATATTATCTTGAAGATACAGAGGATCTAGGCTTAACTGAAAGTAGAGATGAAAAAATTTCTAATGTAGTTTTAAGTGGAATATGTATATTTGCCTAATGATTACCTTTTAAGGAAGTTTGGCCTATGCTAGTCTCGAATTGGAAAGCTATTTGAAAGCAGGAGAGAAGGAAATTAATGTAGGATAAGTAACAAATTCAATAACTTTGGTTTATAGTTTACAAATGAATACAATATGATGGTAAAATGATTTTCTTTCGAAATGTAAGTCTTTACTTCTATGGTATCCATAAATTAATCTAAAATGATATATAATACTTATTAGAGTTTCTATTTCATTCTTCCGCCCAATAACTTCTTAAACATAACAATTAAATATAGACCAGGAGCAAAGAACCTCTAATTAGTTTAGCATAGCTAGAAATCTAGGATTAACTGTCACGATAGAGGCCTATAATGCTTTTTTATTACAAAAAAAAGAATAAATTGTTTTTTTACTCTTATTAAGAGATGCAGGCCTAAAAGAAACCGAACTAGAGAAAAAGTATCTCCAATTTGTATTTTTTTTATCTTTAATTTTCATTTGTCTTTTTTTCCTTTTTTGCATAACAAGTTCTTTTAAAATTACAAGTATGCAGCAGTTAAAAACTGATGATAAATGATAAAAAATCTGAGAAACACGAATATCTTTTGTTATTTTCTTTACATGGACTGACTATATATACATGTATATATAAAAGTGTATATATACACTTAATATACATAATATACAGTATATATAAATAGGAGAATAAGTATAGATATTTATATATATTTATATATACTGTAATTACATATATATATATAACAAAAAAGGACTTGTATACATACAGTATATGCAAAGTCTTGCCACAGTGAAATAGTACACCAAAACATTTCCTTTTGATCTTTTCAAACGTATAACATATATATATATATATATATATATATATATTGCACATTTAAAAATTCATTAGGTAGATTATACAGCACGTTTTTGAACAAGTTAAAGACTATATAATAAGTTCTAAGGATATTTTGGAGTAGAATCTATCAGATTGTATCTTCCAATATGTTCAAGAAAATTGAATTTTATTTATGTAATAAAAACTCAATAACTATTATTTTAAATCAATTAAAAATAAAAGTTATTTAAGAAATTAATAAAGAAAAACATATAGGCCTAATATGTAAATAGATTTTAATCGGATGCTTGCCCTTAAAAATGCTTTAGTAAGGTTAAAAATTAATAGAAAATATCTTATTTCTATCATTTTTAACATAAATTATTTACGAAAATAATAAACTGACTTTTACTCCAAAAGATAGAGAGGATAACAGTATAAAGGTGGGACGGGAACGGGAAGGGGTGGAAAAGAGGGCGGGTGACCAAGTTTTGTGACAAGGTTTTTTTGATACACTGCATTTACAGTACTGTATTTGCAGTATACGTAACAAACACGAAGAGTATTTGCATAGATAAAAGAATATGAAGTGAATGAAATTGATGGTCAGAAAAGGATGTTTTTTTTTGCATCCAGCAAAAAATAGAGAAAGCCCGGATTTACCGAGTTAATCAGTTTTAAAATATAGAAATAACTTGAAAAATTAAAAGGAATTCTCTTTTTATACACAATCATAAGATATGCTCCTTTATGGCTAGCTGCTGCCGTAAGAAGTCATTGTCTTTCATTGCGGATTTTAATTGTTTATGCAGGTGACGTTCGGAAACTTTCCACATCTTGTAGATTTGTTCTTTACTTACACAGTCTAAATTAGGATTCTTCTCTTCCTCTAATGCTGCCTTTTGCTTCTCTCTTGCTTTTTTCCGATCCAAAATAGACAAACTTCCATTCGGTAACTGATTTAATCTTGTTTCAGAGCTGCTTTGAGTAGTGTCTAAGTTAAATTTTATAACAGATCGAGGAGAATGTGAAGGTGAGCCGGACCAACTGCGAACGCTGACGTCGTCAGCGCTGATAAAATATAAGTTGGGATCAAGTGGAGGTGGTGGTTGTGGAGGGGTAGCTATCTGTAGGCTATTGTCAGGTAAGAGCCTTTCCTCCTCTGCTGTATTTTGCTTTTGTTTTCGATACAAATCTCTCTTAATTTCCGCCGTTGTTTCTTGTGATCTATCTGAATCTGAATGTGCACTTGTTTGTTGAGATAACCTTTCTTCCCTCCTTTGCTTCCACTGAAGTTGTTCTACAATATTGAATAAATTCTTTCTGTTCAGCACCAATTTCTCTTGTTTTCTAACTGACTTTTGGAAGAGTTTTGTAAAGTCTCGATTTTTCACAACCTCAATCATTTCCCTAGCTGAATGATGAGGAGATACTAGTTCCTCAGAAGTTACAATTCTATAGAGGCGCTGAGACCAGAACATCATTTTGTATGTCTTCCATAGGCTTTTTGAAGGTTTGCTTCTCCAATAAGGAACCATCCACTTAAAAATAGCATGCTCAAGCAACATTAAAAGAATACAGAGAACCATTCCTAATAAAAGAAGTAGATAGAGGCCGGCATGCTGATCCCATTCCATACTCTCAGGGCTTCCCTATAGGAGAATAAAAATGATATTTACAATAATTGAAATATTTATTTTTTCCATAAAACGATAATCTTAATTTCTATATCAATCCCTTTGGAATAGGGAATTCTCTCTTGATGTTTTGTTTTTGCATTTAAAATTTCTATCACTCCAGTGGCTTGAACAAGGAAGACAAACCTGTAAATGAAAGCCTTGTGGTGTTTCTGTGCATTGCATCTTCTTGAAGTACAAATCCCTTAAGCTCTCAATAAATCCATTCCTATGATATTCTACAATCTTCTCCGACAATTGATTCTGCATTATGAAAAACAAATGTAAACTGGTGTTATTTTTACTTCCCCTTGACATATTATGCTCCTCTTCTTTTTTACCCTATGGATTTAAAACTTACCTCTAGCCATGAGTTTTTTGGTAAGCCTATCGCATAAGCATCTTCAGCAAAGCCGTTACCAACAAGTTGTAATTGACATTTAGCATCAAAAATGCTTCGGGCATACTGTAATACTGGACTGTCGTCTAGGTATGCATCCAATGATTTATTTCTGGTGACAAATAATTTCTAGTTAGAAAAAAGAATATAAGGATCAGAATAATATTCTCGTGAGATGACTCGTTCGGTTAGGGTGAGAAAAATTTTTGTTAGCCACAAAAATTCGCAGGGATGGGTCATTTGGTCCCTATTGTGGTTTGTATTAGCAGGGACGTTGATTGGCCAAATTTAATCACGTGATCTATTTGGCTCTAATAAGCTATTGATTAACAGTCTACTAACGTGGCTACTGGCCACCCTTTTGTTAGTAAAGACCTCCTATACGGTTGGCAAAACATTATATTGCTGCTATTTATTACGCAATTGCTCAAGAAAATAAACTCCAGAAGGATATTTGACCTTTCAACTGTTTTAAGATGGCTGAGAATTCAATCAAAGAGTATTTCTTAAAGATATTAATTAAAGATTCCATACAATGGAAAGCTAGTTAATATAAGAAAACCATATACAGTAATAGGTTTGTTAAGAGGGAAAGAAAGAAAGTAAATAAGAGAAAGAGAGATACTTGCAGAATGTAAAGGACATATAGGGAAAAAGAGAAAGGAAGAGATTCATACACAGACAGTTAGATAGAGAGAATGAAAGAAAGAAAGAAAGATAGATAGATAGATAGAAAGAGAGAGAGAGAGAGAGAGAGAGAGAAGGAGGGAGAGAGGGAGAGAAATATAGGAGGAAAGAATGAAATATTAAAGGAGTGGGTGAAAGAGGGCTTATAGAAGAAAGGTAGGCATGAAGAACGATTCAGAAGATGGAATTCTTTTTATGCCTTTTACACTTAGAAATATGTTTTTTATAGGCTACATTCATAAGAAAACAAAAAAAAGCAGAAATAAGGTTCGACTAGCTTTGCTTAAGCAGTTTATAAATAACCAGATCACGTAATCAATTTCAGAAAAAAATCTCTCTGCTTTTGCAGTGTCCTCCGGTACAAATTTTTTTGTAAAACTATAATAGTAATTAATGGATAATAAATGATAAAAGATAAAAGATTTCTATGAGAGAATAGAAAAGAAATTGAAATGAGAAATGCAAAATAAAGGAACGAAAATTGATAGATGGAAAGAGGGAGAGGAAGAGGGAGAAAATTTTACTTGATTTAGCTATTTCTTCGAAAAATATTAAATATTAATAATTTAAATCAATTTAAATTTTTCATCTATAAAAAGATATTGTGCAGTCAGCAAATTATCATGATTCTAAAAGAACATAAAGTATATAAGATTGTAGATATTCTTAACATTAGACAGAGAGCCATTATACAGGGATTTTTCTTATTTATTGCTACTGAGCAGCAGAACAGAACGTTTTGATAATCGAATTATTTACTAAATTATTATCTATGACACGAACTGATTATATTTATGAAAAATGAGTAAGAGTGAGATGAGAAAGGAATATCATTATTTACAGATCTAATGAAAGTGTAGTTTGGCTTTCTGATTTAAAATTATAATTTACATTAAACTATAATACATTTGAAAAATGAAAAAGATAGGCATCTGGTAAAAAAAATTTAGCTGTATAAAGCAAAATTCTACTATCTAAAATTAAATTAGAGCTATGCATCTGGCAGATTGATAAATAATAATGGGAATAATAAGAGAGATTGGAAGTAAGTGGGGAAGAAGTAGTAGAGGAGGCAGACAGAGGTAGGTAGAGATAGAGACAGACAGACAGGCAGAGCGATAGAGGGCAGTAACAGAAATTCAGATAGTGAAATATGGAATATATATTTATAAATATACATATATACTCTATATAGATGTGATTCGGAATTTTTACTTGGACAGGACCTTATAATTTATATTTACTGTTATTCTGTTTATGATCTACACAAGGAAAAATAGAATTTTTGCATATTAGGAGAGTCCTAATAATTTGAATCAATCATTCATGATCACGGCCAAAATAAAACGTGACATTTCCTACCAAGTGTAAAGAAGTATTACTAAAATTCTTACTGAAGCCCTCCGCCAGTCCTTTCCTTTTTTTTTTAACTTAATTAAAAAAATCATCAGAACGTTTATAATAAAAAAAAATTAAATAATGTAAAAGCGAATTATTGTTTTCAAAGAACAATAGAAATGATAGTTGGACAAGAAGAAAATAAAGATTAATTACTTAGGGCAAATGGGTAGAACTTTTACAGGAATTAAATATGTACACACAAGGATGGCTCTGTCTATAGACAATCTAATTGCAATGGGGAAAATGGTGTATATATTTCTTCTGATTAGTCTCTTATAGTACAATAAGTTGGAGTATGTACGTCAATAATAGTTCGCCGAATCGAAACGAGCTCTTTTCTTTTGTAGGGTTTTATGCTAAAGAGTGTTTTATTTTGGGATTTTTTCCGCATAATAGGCAAGCTAGAGAGATAAAAAAGAGCTTTCCGTTAGAAGAAACCTCTTTGAATGGTATATAAGGAAAAATTATATTAGAGAGTCAAAAAGCGGATAACAGTTTGCTAAGGTCAATGAAATCTATGATAGCAGAATATATTAAATGTACTTACATAACCATTAGAACACCACTAGCACTGTCCGGTACCAGATTTCGTTTACTTTTCAAATAGACTTGCCTGTTGAGTTTTTCGATATAATTCAAAACAGAACTGGACTGCAAAGCACCAATGCTTCTGGACGGTTCGATCAACTGTAATCGAAAATGTGAACTTAGTGATTTTTGCCCTTTTCTTGTTATTTAGCTCAACCTTTGTATCGTGAACACCGGATATAACAACATCCGAATTTTTGCCAGCCAGAAAGGCCGCTAAATTAGCCGTATAACTCGAATAAATAAAAATGGATGTGGAAGCCCAAAAATTCTGCAGAACCTTGGACGGCCAAGCCTTCGGACTTTTAGTTTTTATCGTATGCTGGAAGAGGATAGCAAAGACCATGTTCAAACCAGAACCTAGAAAAGCAAAATTAATGCAAAGTAAATTATAGAATATAATTTAATAAGGTGGGGAGAACTATCGTAAAAATGCCTGATTTAATAAAAAATCTTGCTATCTGGTGTATAACGCTATAAATAAGACGAACTAAGAGAGGTAACTAATAATAGAGGAAAGAAAAATTCCTTTGAATAAAGAATATACCTAGCGTATAATTCGTCTTTCTCTTCCTCCCCCAGGGATTTAAGCCAAAGGGACTGTTCCATTCTAGAATAGATACGGAGATAGCAGCAATACTGGCGGATACAGCGATAGAAGACCAAACTATCCCGTCGAACGGCTCCATAAATGCATAGAGCGGGACACTTCTCTTTTTCTCGGCAACCAATATACTAAAACCGGAAAAGAAGTACGGATGAGTAAACTCTATAACCTCCGAACGCTCTTTGGTCACGCTCATAGCTCCAACTGCCATGTGAGCTCGATTCCTCATCAGATCACCAACTAAACCGTTCCAACTTCCGTTCTCTTTACTGCCATATTTTGAATCCCCAGTTAAATATAATTCAACGTCGAAATGAAGATCTGTCGAGAGTCTTTCCAGTAGTTTGATAGATAGGCCACTGCAACAGCGTATTTCATAAGTATCGCTTCTCACTCTGCTCTTGTACTTTTCAAACATTTCTTCAATGCTGTTCAATGATAAGAGATCTATAGTTAGTTTACGCATTGTAAATAGAAATTCTTTTAAACGACAAACAACTATGCGTCGTTAAGAATGGAAAACGTATGAGGATTGATAAACCCCTGAAGATCAATTTAATGGTTTACGTGTAGATGAAAAGTTGTTAGCGAATTTTTACAAAAATAATTATGTGGTCATCTTTAAAGCTATTTTACCTTCTATCGTCAATAAAACCTAACGGTTTAAGGCATACAAATGAATTTTCACAATGGCCATCTTCAGATGGAGCATCCATAACAAATGGTCCAGCTGGTGTAGCTGTAACCCGAAGACGTCTTCTACCCTTTTTCCAAGGTCCTGCTGTGATTGTATTCCCTGGCCAGACGATTGTTGATAATCGATGTCGATTGTTGTCGTAGTAACCGATTTTTCTCCATTTCTTATCAGTTTCGTTAATTGCTTGCAGATTATAGAAGTTGTAGGAAGAATGAATATACCGTCCGTAGTAATCGAATTTTGAGGAGGATTTTAGGAAGCTGTCAAGGTAATTTACACGTAGAGTATGATACTTTATCTATACTACAAAATATTATTGAATCTCTCTTCCTCTCTCTCTCTCTCTGATGTGAAGTTTTAGTGAAGATGTCAGATTAATGGGAGTATTAAAGGGAAATGAGTTTGCAGGGAATATATAATACAAATATATACAAATATAGCCTGTGCTTGCTATTTAAATAAATACATATTATTGAAATTATTATAAAAAGAAATAGTATAAACTGACAAGCATTTCAAATATAATTTGATAGCTAAAATATCTCAAGCAAAGTATGGAATAAGTGGACTTGTTGCTCTTTATAAAAGAGTGATAAATCATAAGATACGCACAAATGAATTATTATTTATTTAATTAAAGGCCACTTTTTTTACATTTAATTAATTAATAAATTAATTATATACATTTTAATAAAAGTGTTTTTTCTTTATAATTAACAAAATAGTATTCAAAAGATACCATTCTACGTGAAGATGTATATAGTATACTCTTTATACAAGCTTTTACATGCAAGTACCAATTCTTCATCTCTAAAGAACTTATTGAAATTTACATGGTTAACTAATGAAAATGGAAAAAAAACTGTCCTAACTGATGAAGAGGGAGCTATTTCTCTGCTTTACCAGCTCTATTTATAAATACATTATATACTATAAAGTGTAAACCGTGTTTGATTAGTTTTTGAAGAAGAGAAGGAAAAAGAGAGTTTAATATAAAATACACAAAAATTTTTAACGCAAACAAATGTTGATTAATTTTGATACTTTAGATGAAAACTCTAAATATGTATTTTATTATGATTCATAATATTACTACTTTTTTTATTCTTCTGTTTTAAATTAAGTTTATCTTCTCTGTTTGTCTTTCTAGAGAGTCTGCGTAATTAAAATTACTCTTTTAAGACGATGAAAAAGAAAACGATTCTTGGTAATAGAGACTTATTAACCATTAATAGGATAGAACAGAAAGATTTCACCAAGAAAACGCTGAAGAGATTTAAATAGAAAACAAACGACTGGCAAATCTACCAATAAAACAACACAGATGAGAGAATGTAGAGTGGTCATTAAAATTTTGTGACGGTTTAACAATCGACGTTCCTTAATACTTATGGAAGTTGAGAAAGTAATATTATCTAATTAAGTAGTTATCTTACATTATTACATAGCGATAGCTATACAATACATCATTTAGAATATAGTGGTATTTTGAAAGTAATTAGTGCCTGAAATAATTAAACTGTAAGAGAGGACGAGAAAAAGAAGGAGGGAGGGAGAGGGAAGAAGGAAAGAAGAGAGGAAGAGGAGGATGGAGATATAAAATAGATTTTTTTCTATTAAATTTATCTCGAGATTTTTCTTAATCATGTTTAGAATTTTTGGAGGAAATGAAGAAAAAAGTTCACAATACAATTATTGAGATTATAGAATTATACCTGCGAAATGTTTATTATGTAAAATTATTACCAATTTCCTCGTTGATAAAGTCTAATCAACTCATCAGATATAATAGTATTAGAGAGAAAAAAACACCGAAAAGATGATCAATAAAAACTTGAAGCCTTTTAGGTTTATTTTTAAATTGTAAGCTCAGCCCTTCTTTTCAACTAGAACTTGGACAATTTAGAAAGAAATGGAGGCATTTAGAATAGTTTGATAATTTAAATATCATTGAAAAGAAAATAGCAATATCCTTGAGTTCAATGAAAATTGATTTAAGACAAAAAAATTGCTTTAATGTAACTTTGTTAGTTAGATGTCTTTTAATCAAGTCACTCTTTAGAAAGGGAATGAAGAAAGAAGGACTTTCCTATGCGATCCTATTAATAGAGTATGATAAGTATATAAGTACATGAAAATATCAATTTCATGGGAAATTCGTGTGCATGAATGAATATTTGTTATTATTCTCCATATTGTTGTTACTTGTGCATACGGTGGAATTGTACGTGTATTTAATAAAGACAATTTTTGTAGGGGAAGCGAGCCGTATAGATTCAATTTCGTTTCTTTGACACGTCTTTCATGGGTGAGGATTTGGAAATCAATAAGCCGAATGCTCTTTTGGATTAACTTTCTAGAAAAAAAGAATTAATCTTGATTATATGGTGTCCAGCGTAAATATAACCGCGAGGGAGGGCTTTTTATCATCTGCTTCTAGCATTTTATTTCATGGAATTAAAGTAATCTTCTAGAATAGATAAGAAATACTTGAAAAAGAGTATACAAGGGTAAATATCTGTACGTGTGTATATATTCGAAAGAAAGGAATGAGAAAAGAGAAAGAAAAGTTGATAAAAGAGCTTGTTAGGAAAAACGTTTCCAACCTTTAAAACGTAGTTGTTTTCATCATTCTAGTCGTAAAAATATCCAACTACCAATTAACAGTTTGGGAAAGGGCGAAAAAACACACGAGAAAATAGGACTGAAAGTGGTTTTTTAGGGCTAAGTCGTGGTTTGCTAGAGGGATGGAGAAAGAATCGTCTGGTGTATAACGGGGTCACTATGGCAACCAGTAGAAAGTGGAGAAAATGACATTTTCTTAAAAGCTACAAAGTGCTGGAGCAAAGTCTGTAAAGCGCTTTTCTTGTTTTTCTTTTTCACCTTTTCATATCATTTTTTCAACAAGAAATATTATCTTTTAGTAAAAATTTTATATTTAATATTCTCCTAGATGATCTTCTAGCGGAAATCCTGAACAACTTTTCCCCTTGACGAGTGTATGTTTGTTCCTATTATTGGTCTTTTCTAGTTAAGAATGTTGTTGTAAAAATTCATTTTCGTTCGCTTTCTTGCTAAATCAGACTATAGAAGGGGACGGAACCCGTATTCCGCAGTAAATGAGGCGGAAAGGAGTCACGGCCGCAATGACTGCAACGTCAGAAGCGGCTAAGCGATATGCTTATAGAACTCTAATCCGTCGGATCATCCCTCGTCGATATTTGCAGAATTTAATTTTCGTAGTCGATAGGGAGTATTTATTTTTGGACCAACTATGAGAATAGAATGTATACACTTATCTCACTCTTCCTATCTTTTGAAATCGTAACTCTCTTCTACAAAAGTATAACTGGGAAACGATAAAGTAGCTGAAAGGAAAAAAGGGAAAATACACACACACACACACTTACTCTCTCTCTTTAAGCTCTACGTTCGTTTAATCTATCAATTAAAATTCTAAATAAAGTAATAAATAATGTTTTACATCAATCTATATTAAGTTTAATATTGTTATTGTATATTTTCATTAATTTATGCCAATTATTGGACATTTATGACTGTGAACTTGTGGGGAGAAAATATTCTAAGTGTACTTTTTTTGTATTGTTACCACTTTTGTAGGTAAATGGCAAATTACCTTATAGATTAATTCAGAGGTGACATTTAGGCTGTGTAAAATCATTCTTTAGAATTTTTATAGTCAATATTTGCCTCCGGTAATTTTCTAGACTGGTTGATAATGCAAAATGGATTTTATTTTTAAATTTACTCCTCTTTTAAATAAGTTTTTCCTTTCTATCTCTCATCCTTAATTCTGTTTATTAAACTTTGAAGAAATCTGCATAATTAATTCAAAATTTACTATATTTGAGAAGAGTTAACAATAGATAAATAGTATCAACTGTTTTCATTTTATATATAGACGACCCTGTTTTATAGTTTATCTATTAATCGTTGGAATAGACAATATCGGAAAACTATACCAGATTTTATTGCTTTTACAATAATTTTTAAGAGCTAATGGTCCGTTTAAAAGTTGTATCCTTAAGAACATACTTTTTTAATGCTATTATCTCTTATTTGCCAAAATCTTATCAATTTTCCATCTCACTTTTAGGGTTTAGAAGAATTCTTTATAATTATCATTTTTTAATATTATACGTATTAAATACGTATTCTACTTTCTCTTTTCACTGTCATTTTTCAACGAAATATTTTATTGGACAGTGTAAATTTCTACAAATTAGGGCATATATTGGTGTAAGCTAATCAATAACTCTCATTACAAATGGCATTTTTCGTAAAATTCATTCGGTAATTTGCATTGAAGCGTTACCCTTCTGTTTCTGTAAATAGAATGGAAACGATATTTGGCAACTTTGATCAGATCCTATTCGGAATTCTTTTTGGCATAGAATGAATAGAGAGATAGCGAGAACACAAATAAGAAAAGATAGCTTTGTACAATTCATCCAGGATATAAATAGACTATATAGAAATATATGTTATATAATATTCACTTAAAAAATTGATCAAGAATAAATAGATATATTTATAGTCATTATAAATTATTTAAAGCGTTTTTTAAAACGAAAAGTACTAAATATATCATATATATGAATGAAATTAGCGTATTCTACTCCTGTAGCACTTATTGAGGACACTCATATGGTAACTAAACGCTTCTTAAGCGGAATTTTATCCGATTTTTACTAGAGCAAATCTTATAAGAATAACGATAATATTTCATAAGTAAAAACCTCTACGCTTTTCTCGAATTTCTCTTCATTTGTTGCTATTGCAAGCCTATCATAGCAGTTAATGAATTAGTTACAAAACTAAAATGAAATATGCTAAAGTATAATTATACGATGGCATTCAATCAATCATTACGATGATCTTTATTGTTATTCGTATATACAGTATACATATACCGTATATGTATAAGTGAAATCCAACTGGAAAAGGATTGAAATTTAGAAAAATGTTATCAGAATATAAGAAGATTAAGTCAAGCGCCAAGTACTTTAAGATTGACTTTTATTTATGGACTAAAAGGTACAAAAAAGCATTAAATTCTTACAAAAGAAGTAGATGGATAGATGGAGAAAAAAATGTTTCTTGGTGGGAATATATTAAAAAAAAACAGAAAATTTATATATGTGTACTTTAAAAATCTTTTTATATTATTCTTCCGTTTAATAGAATTAGAAGAATGGAGAACGAGATTAAAATTTTCTATATCTATTATTAAAGGGAAAAAAAAGGTGAGCAAATAGGACTATTGCTTATATTATAATCTTATTATCTCTTGCAACTTTCTTCCTGTCTGATCGGAGAATATGTATTGATGGGACCGTAGAAAAATAAAGTTCTCACACACACACACACACATCTCTCTCTCTCTCTGACACTAGCTTTTATTTTTAGTCATTACAGCTTTGATGGTGTTAGATGAAAAAAAATGATTTGAATATTGCATATTTATAACGAATTTAATTAACAGTTATTTTGATAAATCTATTGAGTGTAAATTAACTATTATCGGATTGACAGTATTTTTGATCATGGAATAACTCAAACATTCTATCTAATGATTAAATTAAGAGAACTAAAAGAACTTAGACTAACCTGTACAATTTCAATTTACTGGAATACTGAAAATTACCAGAGCACGTTGCCTTATCATCGGTTAAGTGCGATCCCCCATTTCCGACCGATTGCAAAAGATTGACTACATCCTTCAAGACCTCGTTCAAATTCACTTTTCTCATACCAACACTTATTAAACCAACCGGAAATGATGTTGGAATTGACCGTCTATTCCCAGTTACATCGTCCGTCACGAACCAGGCGTAACCTCGACCGGTCATCTCAAATTCCTCAGCAACCACCATAATCCTTTTTGCCAATCGTTTCGAACAATGTAGTAAAATGATCCTAGCTCTCCTTTCTTTTAGCTTTTCCAAGTTTAATCCTATTTAGTGGAAAAAGAGTGTTAGAAGAAAGCTTTTACTATTATTCTATTTGATAAAAAAAATCGAAATAGCCTTATTTCTAATGGACATTATCCCTAATAAATTTTTATATAAATAATATATATTTACTATTATTATACAAAATATTCGTTTTATGAACAGTTTATCACCTATATTATCACTCATTTTGATTCTTATTGTAAAATCCAAAGTAATTTTTTCTTTGAGTGTTTTCAATGCATCCAAGAAACCGTCGCTTTCTATAGAATTTTCCACGACTGCTGCCACACGTGTCCAGTTATTCGACGCCAAGACGTCGATAAGCTTCTCGGCCATAAGCGTTTTAGAAGGATGCAATTGCAGGTAGTAGGCCCTATTTGCCTGTAAATAAATAAAATTAATAAATGTATAGTATACAGTATACATACTGTATAAAAATGCATATATATATATATGTGTGTGTTTATATTATATAAACATGATCAAGTGACTTAAATGCATATATACAGTCTACTGTATATATTAGTAGTATAGATTATAAAAATGATTAAATATTTTTATTAGTAACATGAAAGAAGCATTAAAATTGTAGAGTAGGAAAGAGAGTATACTTTAATCCCTTTAAGATATAAACTTAAAAAGAAAGATTTACATGATTACAAAAAAACATAATAAAAAATAAATAGAATTCTTTTTTCACTTATAAACAATTCATTTTTAACGTAGGAAAAATAAAATTAATTAATTATCAGATTCCGGAAGTATGTTTTTTGTTAGGCTGTCGTAAATCGGAATTTGTTGGGATCGATTCTAATGTCTGTATAATGGACGTATGGGATAAGAAGTAGTTTCTTCTTTTTTCTCTCCCCTACCTTTCACATTTCTCCTTTTGCCTTTTGCATAATGTTATATGCTACTAACAATAGAAATATATATATATATATAAATATATATGGTCAGATAGGACATACAGGAAATATATTTATAAATAAATAGGAAAATCGTATATCGACTTTTTACTGCTGTCTTTGATTATTTCAGCTTGTGAACTGAGGTATAACAGTCATAATAAATTCAGTAGAATCCATTTCTTTTACGCTATGTCTTTTCTTTTGTTCATCTACTACTTCATCCTTTGTCTCTCACTCTCCCCCCTCTCTCTCTCTCTCTCTCTCTCTCTCTCTTTCTCTCTCTCTTTTCCGTGTTTGCTTTCCCTCAGGGCTTTTGGTTTTCGAAGAGACCTATATACAGTTGATGCAATCATTGCAGGAAAAGCTTCTAAACGTCTCCTCAAGCAACGATTATGCAGTATTATTCTAGTTATTCATATCCCTTTGCTCTCTATATTGTTTCTACGCGATAGGTCAGGGAAACTCGAAAAGTCGGATGTTTAACAAAGTAAATAAACAATAAGTGCTTAATAGACTATTTCCTGTTAAAAATGACAAATTAAGGAAAGTAGTAGATATTGGTTAGATCTTACCTTTTAATATCTTAATCTGTAAAACGTTAGACTCGTGTCGTGACGTCATTATACTTTCTAGTTTTTAGACACGCTCTTTGTCGATATCTCACTTTTTAAATAATTATTATTCGATTAAATTTTCCCTTTTGTAAAATGCTCTATTCATTTTCTATTTTAAAAATAGACTAGCTTAATAGTAATAGAGTAGAGATATTGATAATTAAGAATTCCAATAATTATAATGATAGTCTAACTATACAATACTATACATTAAAATTTAATATTTAATATATTTGATTAGTTTGAAACAAATTTTAAAATCAGTATTTTATAACAATATTAAAAAACGAAGTTTGTGTAAATGGCAGTAAAACGTGGAATATTTTAATATAGAGTATTCAATTTATGTCAAGAGTGTTTTAGAAATCATATGTGATTGGAATGGTTTTTTTTCTTCTTTTTATAAGTCTATTAAAACTATTTAAAGGGTATAAATTAAAGAAATCCTATATTCTATTTTCCTATATAGGAATGAAAAGATAAAAGATGGAAAAAATAAACTTTATTCCCCCTAAATTCTCTCTTATTTTATCCTTTTAGTTAATGAAAAATATGTCAGAGAGATGGACAGGAATAGGGAAAAAAGAATAAGAGAGATAGATAGATAGATGGAGAGTGAGAGAAGAGAAAATGATATATATATATATATATATATATATACAGTATATATAAAATTTATATATATATATTATATATAGATATATATGTAGTAAGGAAACAAGAGAACAATAAGGATATTTAAGGGAAAGGAGAAAAAAGAGGGAATTTTAGTTTTATTTTGTTTTAGAGAAGAGAATAAAAAGAATCCTATTGAATAAATAAGATTAAAAGGTATGAGCAATTTAATTAGACCTAATTAAATATACTATTTATACTCTTGTATTGATAAAAATGCTATAGTTATTCTGATGTCTAATATATTCAAACTTATTTTACTTTTAATAAACAAACATTACAATATTCTTATTTTTCTTTTACACTTAATTATACGTAATGCGCTGGAGGTTGTACGTGACTAAAGGAAAAAAAACCTTGCTAACATAGAATTTTTTTAGTGACCTAATTAAATTGAAAATTATTCTTAAGAAAGAAAGAAGGAACGAGGGAATGAGTGAATGAATGAATGGATGAAAAATAAATATTACTATTTATTACTATTATTAGTTTTATAAGTCTCTAATATTAGTACAGGACTAAATTTACCGTATACTGCAAGAAAAAAACTGAAATATTTTAATTAGATAATTTGTATATATAGTATATACGAAAATAGATTTTAAGTGAAAGAATAAAGGGAAAAAGAGCTCATAAATTTTTAGCCCCATACGTCAATTTAGCGTTAATTATGTAGTCAAGAAAAAAAAGATCATTTATCAATATTTTCTAGATGGTTTTTTTTTTTTTAAGAGTAAAGAAAGAATGATAGAGTGACAGATACCGAGAGAAAAAAATAAAAAGAGTTCAGATAGAGAAAAGAAGAAATAGAAGGATAATCAATAATGTGTTTCTTTTCGTTAAAGTTGTTAAAAATTAACAAATTGCATCTTATAAAGAGAAAAAACAGAAATATCTGATATTCTACATTGTTTTTAAATGATTTTATATACATTATATAGAGTTTGTTTCTTTTTATCGTATAGTAAAAAGAAGAAGAAAAAAGTCTAAGTTTGTCAAAAAAGAAAAGAATGAAGGATATGTAAAGTAAAACAAGGAAAAGTACTCTATACATTTCCATTATTTTGCTTTTCTTTTTTAGAATAATAATATTATTTATTCCTTACGTTATATACAATTTATATTTTGTTCATCTCCGTTTATTTTCTCTTGTCTTTCTTTTACTATTCATTTCTCTCTCTCTCTCTATCTCTGTCCTTTTCCAATATTCTATTGGTTTATTTCGTCATCCTTTCCACACAGAAAAAAGTATTTTGTGAAAGGAGAAAGTCACGTGACAAGGATAAATTTTTTATTGTTAAATAATAAGAGATTGAGAATTTGATTTTTCAATAATATAATTGGTATTTTCCTCTTTAGAGAAAATTCTGAAAGCTTGTATTTTATTCGAGTTGTTATTGAATAATCCAATAGGACATGTTATTCAAAGTAGAGAAATGATTTTTGCATATAGTGTAAATATCATAAACATGATGTGTATATAAAACATATTAGCTTCTTTTTTAAAAGCTCTAAAATTACTTTGATATGAGATTTAAAAAACAAAAGAAAAAACGACTAACAAATGCGGTTTTTCTTAAATTGCTCTACATTTTTTTGATTGATCTTTGGGGAGTTGATAGAACACAATATAGTGATAACATCACGTGACTAGAAAGCCTCAATACGATTGACTAGCTATCTGATAGCGCTCCGAAATTAAGGTTAGATCTCTTATTCCACATTTAATAAAGAAAGGAAAGAAAAGATTTTGGATAATTTCTCAAGTAAAATCTCAGTAAAAATAATAAGTCGAACAGTTTCTTCTTTGCTTCTTTAGTACAAGTAGTAGTTGAAATGTTGATGGAGAAAAAGTAGAGACAAAAATACACTTCAAGCTTAATAAGGCTAAAGCTTTTTTTAATGACGATTGTAGAAATCGCCGATGCGTAAATCGTAGCTTTCCTAACATTAATAAATAGTATGGTTTTAAAATTTTCTTTTCAATCTTCCTTATATTTGAATAAGTCACTTTGACATTTTCACTTGCATTAAATGATTAATATATAATACTTTATTAAAATAATACCCTAATAAGTAAGCTACTACTGGATTGATTGTTTTGTACAGAATTAGGCGTTTGGCGATTAATTATTCCGCTATAAAATTCGAAAATGATAGAATCTCACGGCTCAGAAGAAAAAAGTGCTAGTTAAAGGACTGTTTCTTTGCTAGAAGTCTTTAATAGAGTCTGATATATATACATATATGTATATATATATATTTATAGGTATAACAGTATTTTTTTCTCTTTAAAAGGGAAAATATAAGAATTTAAACGAAAATAAACATTCAATATACTATTACTCTTCAAAAAAAGTTGAAAAGAGACGAGTTTACAAGTCTTTATTTTGTTTTTCATTCATAAATTAATAAATAGCTTCATTGAAATCTCTTAGAAATGAGTCAACTCTATATTTTGTTGTTTAAAAAGAGTATAAAACTTGGATTTATCGTTTTCTACGTTTGTTTTTGTGTCTATAATGATTAGGATAATATGAAAGAAGGGAGGAAAGTATGGCATAAGGGAAAAGTCCGGTTATTGATCATATTCCCGTGAAAAGATGTATGCTACATTAGCAGTTCCATCACAACTTGGACGAGTCATAAAGAGGAAAAGAATTCTCTAATATCATGCATATATATTTGGCACTTTATTGATTTTCGCCCAGCATCCTTATATAGGACTAAGAAATTTAGCGCGCGCAAACAGCGCGTTGCAATACCGCAATATCCGTTTGCCTTATACTCTTTACTCTCTTCCTCCTCCAGAAGATTTTTTATCCAGCTATTTTCTTTACATTTAAGTGAAAACGACTTTTATGAAAAATATATAAGGTCTGACAAACATATGATGCCGAGCCTAAGTACAATTAGCGTTTGTGCAAACGTCATGCACGAATTAACGACGTTGTACTTTTCTTGTTTGCTCTACCACTTACATACTTCGTTTATTTACCGCTCTATACAGTTTTGCTGCTTTCTTTAGCTGATAGAAAATAACTTTTTTCCCTCTTATTTTCATTTTTCTAAAAGATAATTTCTATTAAAAACTATTGCAATCGTATATTATAAAATGTCAATTTTGCCCTCTTTACGTTTTTTTTTGTATTTTATTTATATAGCAATACATATTTTTTGC